TTTATTTTATTTTTTTAATTCTTAATTTTTATTTTATTTTTTTTTTTTAAATTTTTTTTTTTTTTTTTTTTTTTTTTTTTTTTTTAAATAATTTTTTTTTTTTTTTTTTTTTTTTAATTTTTAAAAAAAAAAAAAAAAAAAAAAAAAAAAAAAAAAAAAAAACTATTAACGAGAGCAAATGAAGCGGACAGGTAACAAGACGTGCTGGGGTTTTCGTTTTGACTCATTAACAGGCAGCCAATTGTTCGTTCATGGTCTCTTGATGGGCTTATTGGTAATTTCAAGGGTCAAAGTGGGGTTATAATACCAGCTTCCAAGAGTCTGGATAAAGGTACATGCAGGTTAAATAATTAAATGCATGTGACCCCAGATGCGGGTTCCCTTGGTGCACAATGAATAAGTGAATAATATTCTTGCATATACCTAGGTAGCATTAGACGATATACCTCCTTTCTAAGTCTTGAGTCCTAAATTCTATAGGTCGTCTTGCCCTCTATATATCTTATTCTAATATCCCCTATTGCCTTCCTCGACCACAGTATTATAGAAAAGATAAAAGCATAGCCCTCGAAGCTATTGAAATTAGTGGCAAATATTGTTTAAGCTGATTCGATTCATGCATGTGCTCTTTCTGCTGATACAGCTGAAAGCTTTCAATTTTTTCCGCCCATTAATTGTGACCTTTTACCTCGGAAGTCAGCCCGCTAACAGAGCTACAATATAATAATACGCCCGAAATGCAACTCCTTTTCTCTGCGTCTATCATGTGCACCTGTTATAAGTACACAGACATGTTGCAGACGTATCTACATGTCTTCGTTTTAATCGGGTGAGAGCTTTTAGATAGTTCGGCCATATCATGCGAGTTAAGGCTATACAAGCTCAAGAGGGAGGCATGCAGAACTGTTGGACCTGTTTGGAAAGTCGGGAATGGTGTGGATATAGTGTTGGTAATTAAAAATTCATACATCTAATCAACCCAAAGGCTTGCATTGCACTTTTTCTAAGAACTATGTTTGATAGATTGTATTCTCGGAACCAAAGGATTGAGACGACTGTGTTCAACAGCATAGTTTCTACTTGTTGGTCTATCGAATTCGAAGCGATCACCTGCATAACTACCTCATTAGGTACCTAGAGTTAATATGTTGCCGCGTTAGTACCTGAAGAATAGATTAATATTAGGTAGATAGTTTTCATCATATTGCAACTGCTATACGAGACAATAGTTTGTTCGGGTCCTTCTGCAGTTAGCTCATCCCCAATCAATAGTCAAGAGTCAACCACCCATCACACTTATCTGTAAGGAGGCGCGCAATGAAAACTACGCTTTACGACGCATCTGAGACGTACTGTATACCTTTCTGCGTTGTATCTGACCTACCGGTATATTGAATCCATGTTATGCGATCGAAGATACTGGACACTGGTTAGCTTAATACATATACTAATAGGTCGTCTTAACGAAATGAAGTTAGCCCCTAGGATCTCGATGTCCTCATACAGTCGTTTATAATTCATCTCTATCAGACGATCATTTATATCAGAGCGCTATTTACGGGCGACCTGGAATTAATTCGGTAATCTTGGTTAAGGCATATCCTATCAGTGAATTTCTTAGCCAACCATCTTCTCGTGGATTAGCTTGTTTCCGGACAGGAGAAGTGGTAATGCGATGGTTTCGAAGAGATATTCCCACCATCACCTCGAAAAATGACATTAGGTACCTAACAATAGTAATCCCGCACTGGGCCATCCTATGCTGCTATTATAACCCTCCTTGTTTCTTTCTGGTTCGAAATTGCGAGCCTAAGAACCTACGACCCTGTCCCGTTCCATTTATGCACGCTCGGATTGTATAGTTTGGCCTTTGAGGGCTAGTCTAGGTAGTTTACGACGCAAGTACTGTGAATGCTGCTTTAGTATCTCGCAGTCGGTCTCGGTTTAGCATCGGGCGCGGTTATATCGCTTAAGGTAGAAATATATGAAAGCCATTAGGAATTAAGTTCCCTTAGAGTTCTTATTATCTGCTTATAATTGCTTATGTATGAGAGAATTGCTTATGGTACTAGATTAGCTTGTTCTATTATTGCCCTTTAAAGCCTAATAACTTCTTGTCGTATGGAACTTCCCTTACGAAGGCACCGAGAGAAAGAAGTTCTCATCGTATTGCAACTAGTTACCCAGGTAAGGTAGGTCTAGGTAAGTAAGTAGGTAACTTCACCCGATAGCAAGAAAGAGGGTAATATCAGAAAGGCAAAAGATTCGGTCCAGGCACGTTTGCTTGACTTAATAAACTTCTGGGGCCAGGGTGCCGCGTCGCATTACTATAGCTACTATAGTCCATGTAGAAGCGCCATGCCTGGGTACCCCCGTTCTTCTTCATGTACGGCAGCGCCACCCGCGGCAGATTGCAGCTAGTATGCAGATGGTACCTTGTCGTCTGGACAGATAAGCCCATGCGGTGACAGACGATCACATCTAGCATCGATGTGGAGGTCCGAGGATGAGGTCCTTTTTGAAGTGAAATAGAACCATTTCTGTGACCTCGTTGCAGTCAAGGTCGTGCATTATATCCTTTTACGGGTTGAGTAGATGCATCTATATAGATTCCCAAACCTGGTACCACAATCTTGACATACCCTCCCCAACGTGGCACTGCGGTAGTGCCACAGTGGATGGGCTGCTTACTGCATATCCGGATTCGCAATAGCACATACAAGACGGTTTAAGCAGGCCACCCCCACACCAATAGCAAACACCGCGACTGGCAGACCCCGAGGCCGAGGCACAGTTTCCCCAGAAGCGGGCGTAGCATTGCAGGGACAAGAGGCATAACTATCAGATCACAGTGGAGCATTCTTCTGTGGATACGTACTAGGAAGAGGCTCCATGTTCGCGGATAGTTGCCTCGATTCTGACGACCTTCCAACAAACAACACTATCCTCCATAACACCTTGCTTCTTCCGAGCAGCCGAACAAGGAAACTACCTGGCAGCTGAAGCAGCGCTGTTTGTCTAGCGAATGGGAAGCTTACCATCAGTTGCTGAGAGTTTATTGATTGGTTTACGAGACGCATAGTCACATTCAGCATCCATTAGTAAAATTTGTAATGGCTGAAGTAGCCGTATTCCGGCATGATATATTTTTGGATGCGGACCGAATAGTTATCGAGCTTGCCGGAGCTAAAAAAAAAAAAAAAAGTAATGTGAGCGGGAGAACCAGAGGAAGTTTAGAGAAAGAGGGAGGGAAGAAGGGAAGAATATTAGTCAGAGGCGAAATGATAAGAAATGCGGCTATCATATTTCCTAAAATTCTGATGTAAGGCTGGCTGGACTCTCGACTAAGCCAGAAAAAAAAACATTAACATAAAAACCACTTCTAAGCCTCGTTTATAAACAACAGCTCAATGTAAGTTGTGGAAATATGTTGATATGTTGCTAAGACGTGAGACCTAATAACTTGTTTTTGACGAATCAGAAATTCCTTAGCCACAACCCAGATGACGAGCCGCAATGGCGTGTTACATTCATGTATATATACCGTTTCATTGAGGCGCATTACCCAGCTGGAAGTGTGTACCTAAGGTACACTAGTCCCAGTGCTACGTTAGGTACCTACACCAGCTACACCTAACCAAACTAACCAAATTTCTAGGTAAGGAAGTTGGGGTCTTGGAAAGTTTAGGTTAGGCTGCTGGCTAAGCTGGTTAGGGTACAGATAATGCTGCTAATGACAAGGATGAGCATTCCACAAGTGATGATCCCCGCCTACTGTACATGTACTACATGTACCACATTCACCTAATGCAGTTGTGCTACCCACTAAGGTTTGATGGCGGTACACCCGTACCTGTCATCTATGAGGTACGGTGTACCTATTCAGCTGATATATATAAGATAGTACAAGACAATTACACGATTACACTACATCATGTACCTACCTAACTTAGGCAGATTAGGTAGGAGGTAGGTAGGTATTGTACATAGTACTTCGGTACTCTATACCGATAGAACACAACTAGGACTACCTGAGTAACATTAACCTGGTTAGCTCCTCAGCTATGACGAAAATGCTTACCGCCAATGGAATTCTGCCTATCGAATGCTTTCCATTGATAGTGAAATCGAATTATTCGTATTGTTGGCCACGAGTTTTTTTTCTCTCTTCTCTTCCCCTCCAACAATTAGGTATAACTTACATACTACGTTAGGTACGTTATACACGTACCTAAATCACCACCCCCGCCACCTGTGGACATTTCTATCTCCGAATGTGAACTTATCCAGTCCTTATTTTCTTGGCATACAGCATACACATACACATACACCACATGCAAGTGCAACTAGGAGCAAGCTCGAACATTCAGTTATCATTGATGGGGGTCTGGGTAACCTCTGGGGGGGCCAAGGCATGTCGCCATGAGGGGCAGGAGGGGTGTTAAATTTTCGGATCTCCTGCATTTGTCTTCCTAACTGTCACTTCTAAATCATTTCTGAATAAGGGGTACTATTTTTTTTTTTTTTTTTTTTTTTTTTTTGTTATTCACTTGGTAAAATCCTATCGACGCACGAGCTGGCCTCCACTACCTGCGTCTTAACTCGCGTGTATATATATAAAGCCTAAGTAGTTCGAAGTTTTTGAGACCTTGTTCTCGCCAGGTCTACCCAGTAGAATTCCTTAGCATTTAGTTAATTGTTCTGTCCACTCTTCTTCATTGTTCCCTCGGGTCATTTGTATCCGTCCTCATAACTTCCAACATCCAGTATGTTATATACCGTATACCGCATACATACCTACTCTTTCGTTAACCTACCTCTTTAGTTGCCTCAATCCATTGCCCGACCCATTCCGGCTCTGAAAAAAACAAAAACAATAAACAAGAAATAAAATAGAAATAAAATAGACACCAAACAAAAAAAAAAACACAATGGGTTCCGTATACATCGCTCCGATCCGTCTCGCGATCCTCGAAGCCGACACCCCAGTTCCCGGAATCAAAGCTAAGTACGGGTCGTACGGCGGGGTGTTCAAATACCTCTTCGAAAGGGCGTGTGCGTCTCTAAACCCACCCCAACCCCTCTCTGCCCTACTCGAGCTCTCGTCCCACGACATCGTAAACCACCCCGGCGACGCCTACCCCGACCCGGAGACGATCGACGCCATCCTCATCACCGGTTCTAAGTACTCCGCGTATGACAATGACGACTGGATCGTCCGCCTCACCCAGTACACCCGGCGCTGCCTCGAGGGCGGCCGCGTCCGCGTTATCGGCGTCTGCTTCGGCCACCAGATAGTCGGCCGCGCCCTCGGCGTCGAGGTCGGCAAGAACGTTCGTGGGTGGGAGATCAGTGTTACCGAACACGAACTCACCGAAGAAGGAAAGAAGCTGTTCGGCATGCAGAAGCTGGTTCGTATACCCCGTCCTTGCCCTTGCCCTTGCCCTTGTTGTTCTTGCTGTTCTTGTTCTTCTTCCCTTCCATAGGTAGTCGCCCCTGATACATCTTACCTCCAATTAGTCAACGAGTTACTTACTGACCCTACGTGCGTCGCAGGCCATCCACCAAATGCACCGTGACCAAGTCTTCTCGTTACCCCCCGGCGCCGTCCAGCTAGCCCGCACCGACGTGTGCGACGTGCAAGCCATGTACATCCCGCAGCGGTGCATCACGGTGCAGGGCCACCCCGAGTTTACCGACGACATGGTGCGCGAGATCCTCGAGATGCGCCGATACGGCGGGATCCTCGGCCCGGATATCTTTGAGGACGGCATGCGGCGTGTTAGTAATAAACACGACGGCGTTGCCGTTGCTAGGGCTTTCCTGCGCTTCCTCCGGCAGTAAACAGCAATCGCTCGTGCGCCATTCTCTCTTTCTCTCTCAAAGCAGGAAAGGTAAAGCAAGCGAGCAAGAAAGATGGTAAGAAGAAGACGAGGGGGGAGGGAGAATGGGAAGATTATATACCTGGAATCCTTAAAACAGCAACCGCAATAAGACGGGGGGGCAGAAACGATCCGCGAGGTGTTGGTTACACAAAATAGGATTGTACTTTATTGACCGGTTAAGGGGGGGCCAATCGGTTACGTGCCGGAGGGGAATGGCAACTCCCACCCCCCTGAGGCACCACAAAGTCTCATGATTTGCGATACATATCCGTTGATGCAGCATGATGATAATGATATCTATTATAAGGAACTCAATATCATTGGAGCCTATGGAATTGTAACGGTTGTTGACTTTTATCTGTTTCTCCTATGTGAGTCTGCAGGTTTTCACTTACAAGACGTTGAGTGAGTCTCGAGTCGAAGTACGGATATTTATCAATTAGATGGGAGAAATAAAGGAAAAAAATCATAAGAATCATTATCCCTCAAGTGCCAAGGAAGAAAGTAATAAATGAGTGAGACAATATCACGTGTTGGATTATTCTAAGGTATCCAATAAACCTTACCACTACCATCCTCTTCTTCAAGAATTATAATTCCACCGTATGACTGACCCTGACCCTCAATGCCCACGTTTAGACTACTCGGATAGGCAGTCCTCCTCTCGTTGCATTGCTTGATGTAACTCAACGCTTATTACATGTGTAACGCCACCCAATGCCATCCCTTTTTTTTAATGCTCCCCACCTCCGGTAACGCTGATTCAATATACGTAGTAAAGTCAAGAATGACTAGATGGATGGCCTTCCCCCCCACGTCCTGTCTCCTCCAGCCTACTTCGTAGGCGATGTGTATACAATAATACCATTGTAACCCCCAAAATGAAAACCGAGCACCGTGCCATGCATATATGCAAATAAATCTTATCGTGACCGTCGTTGCACCCCGCGTAAATATTCCAATTTGACCCGCATGTGGTAGAATGTTAGTGCCGTTCCTTGTTCGTTCCTTGATACATATCGGCGCCCAGCCCTCATATGTATGGTGTTGTTCGTGATTAATATTATGTTAAGTTTCAGCTTGTATCCTGGGTGATTGGGGGCGGCTCGTCTCAGAAGAATCGTCATCATATACATCATCCACGTCCACTGCATCCCACCATTCACGAGGTGTTGTGTTCTGTCGCGTCCAGTGTACTGAGGGCCTTCCAGCGGCGGCCGCGGCTTCGCTACTCATATTTTCGAGATTTTCCTCTTGCTCGCGGCGTACACGCGCCATCATCGCGTCCATGAATCGTTCCTCGCGTGTACGACCCATACCCCGTTGTCGCCGCCGTGAGGGTGTGCGTATCCGCAACCTCGATGCCAAACCTCCCCAAAAACCACCACGCAGATGCAACCAAGGTTTTTCCCAAGCACAGAAAAAGCAACAATCAACAGCAGCACCGATGCATAGGCTCGCAATGCTAATAATCTGCAATGCCACAGGTTCCAACGTTTCCCCAGCGAGGCTATAGTTGCCATCATACCGCAAGATGTGCGATACGAATGGTGCAACCCACGTTATTATATAAATCACCGGGTAAACGAATAGGAGGCGGAGTTGTCGCTGCTGCTTGCGTGATCGTTGCATCGTGTCTTCGGTTTCTTCTTGGGGCCAACAGACGGAATTTGACGAGGAGCTTTGCCTTGAGCCGTTGGCTCGCGGCAGCCCACGTCGCAGGGAACTAGCTATATTAGAGACGGAGCCTGTTACACTATTGGAACCGAACGACCTCGAATGTTTCCATCGAGAATGGCCGTTGGCAGATTGGGAAGACTTTGGCGGATGATAATGAATAACCTCGGGCAGGCGGATGGGGATTGTTGCTTCTGCACGCGGTGATGAAGCGGCAGGATTGGAAAACGACGTATGGCTACTGCGCCTCACTCGCGAGTCGAAATAACCGTTGATAGCGCAGTCTAAGGGGTTCCATCTGGCCGGATCTCGTAGAGATTGTTCGGGTCGTCGTAAAGAAATGGGCGTGATCCCACCAAAATTGAGACTGCTCATCGTCGAGGCAACCGAGCGTTGATGATCACTGGGGTCTTTTTCCTTTGCTAGGCTATCTCGTGCCGAATCGAGAAATCCGTAGTCAGTGAAAGGCGGTGTGGGTGGGACATCCCCACTATTGTCACGGCGGTGATCGCGCTTAGGATTTGGGCGAGGATCGTCGCCATGTACCGTGCTAGCACGCCTTTGGTATTTGCGGAAACGTCGAAATCGGATGGCAACATAGATGTAGAGGAAGCTATAGGTAACCACAATAGCAGCAACAATGATGTATCGTGGGATCCAACTGAGACCACGGAGATACCATGTAGGACGAGCAGGTAGATAGCATTGGGGACCATTATCTTCGAAACGGCCGCCCGTGATTGGTACGACTGCTGCTAATATGATGGGAATGATGGCCCAGCAGATGTACGCTATTCGTCTATATGGATATAAACCAGCTGCGCCACTGGAATTTCGGGGCCTAAGAATAAACAAGGCCGTGTGTACAGCGATCAAGAGAACAGCAATATCCGAGGCCTCGATGCTCATAGTAAGGAGAAAGCCTAGGACTTGACATGCGGTTGACCCCGAGTCGATCGGTTTCCTAGCGAAGAAAGCTAGCGGGCAGACCACAAGCCAGAGGGCCTTGGTCATGTCGCTCTGAATCAAAAGCATGATCAAACTATATAATTGTGAGTTTACTATATTATAAAAAAAATAAAATAAAAAAAAATACCACCATAGACAAAGGTTGACAAATTTAGTCGACTTACTCGTGGCGGAAACTCCTCCTCATCCTGACAAACCAGTAAAATGCGCATAGAGCCGCAAATACACTAATAAAAGCTGTGATGAGGGAGATCGTCATAAGGGCTACGGTTTCTGGGTCGTTGAAGTCCGAATTTCGAGTGGAGTTACGTTTCGTGATGATAGCATAGGATGCGAGGGATTCAGTAAGGGATGCTATGCCCGGCAGATGTGCTACGGGAGCCATCTTTGCTGAGGTGGCCAGAATGGAGGCTCGGGGTGTAATTGAAGCAAGAGATAGTCTGTCATGCTTCCAACGGGTCGCTCAGTTCGATCGAATCTCGAGTCTCATATTTGCTAGCGGTTGTCTCGAGGGGCAATAATGATGAGCAGATGGGATCGAAGGCGGCTAAGATATAATGGATTTCGAGAGACCGGTGTTGAAAGCTGGTATAGGAGAAACACCTGACGAAGACTTTTGAATCAGCTAGCAAAAGTGTTCTTCCTATGCCTATGCTTATGCCTATGCCTAAGAAGAGGTCAAATTTATGTCAGGATATAAAAATTTCCCGAATCGATCGGGGGTTAAAACCTGAGAAGTAAGAGTCAGGTATGGGGGAAGTATTGAGGAAGAAGAGAAGCAAAAGTAAAAGTAAAAGTGAATTAAGTTCACATCGACTCCAAGAAGAAAGGCCGGGCTGTGAGAAAGCATATCCCCTAAGATGCAAGTCATGCATACATACATGGAGTAGCGTGCTCGGGGAAGCCAACCCGGACTTAAAGCATCATATTCCACATAATACAACGTTTGAAAGAGGTAAAATATGCCAATAATTGCTTCTGTATCCGGTAATAGGGTGGTAATCACAAGCCCACACCGGTATAAGATCGGTATAAAAGCGGTATAAGAGGTGGTATGAGAGCTAGGAACGTAGGAATGTAGTAATTGACTACCTTAGGTTAAAAGGGAATGCCGGCCTAAGCTGTGCGTACCTGAATAAGGGTAAGGTTTGGTGTAGGGTATAAAATAAAGCTACCTACGGGGATATGAGGAAGAAAGAGAGGTGTGTATATGCAGGGGGAAGTTAAGACGAAAGAAAAGTATAATAACGGCCCAAGGTAAAGTAAGAGGCAAGTCAAAGAAAAAAAAAATTATGAAAGGATATACCAGAGTTTAGCGTTAGCGGTCTATTTTAGTGGCGGTGAGGGTTGGAAAAAAAAAAAAAAAAAAAGGACGTTGGGATGTGAAGTAAAGAAATGCGTATGTCATATCATGTATGTAAGTTAGGTAGGTTAGGTCAATAATATGTGAAAAAGTACCTAACCTAACCTATGCATTGTACATCTCAAAAAGATGCACGCTTAAGGTACTGTATAATATTCTCTAGCGTATTATTACGTACCTTAAGTGCGGTATGTGTGGTAGTTATCGGTGTAAGGGTCTAAGTCTAAGAAATCCCATTTAGAGCGTGGGGTTTTTTAACCTTCAAGGTATTATTATAGTATACATTCTCAGTTCCTCCCCAATAGGATGCCCAGCCCTAAAACTTTGAACAAGTGATGAAGCCCCAGTGACGCTGCAGCCGTAACGGGCCACCCTAGTAGGTACACTGCGGAAGCCACAAGCTTAGCGCGTTTGTATTCCCGTAACATCCCATAACGTGCTCTAAAACAGCCTTTTCCCCTCGCATAGAGTAACAATGACCCCTCCGCTTTCGTCATAACTTCAGCCACGTAGCAGAGGGGAGAGAAAAACAAAAGGTAAGAAGAGCTCACTTCGGCGCATGCAACCCAGATCTGGTGACCATCGTCCCGGGACGAAATCCAAGCCTGCTGACCCCCACAAAATGTAACTCAAGTACCTAGGTACTATACAAACTTTCTCTAAAATGGACAACATAAATATCTGATTATAAAATCACTTGTTAGAGTTGAGCTACAATCAGTCGCGTACCTAAACGAACAAAGTCTACTTAGTTTTAGTAATTAAACTAACTTAATAACATCGGCTATTTTTACTACTTTCATCTTGCCGTTCAACTAGGCGAAAACGGCAACAGTCCGGCTTTTTTTCCTTTCCTTTCCTTTTTCAAGTTTAATGCAGCAACTTGGCTGGCTTCGAATCGTCATACTATCCACAAAACGCCTTTGGAGGTTGGACTAGAACTACCTGCCAACTGACAAGTTCATATGAGAGATCGAATCATCGAACCAATATCAGGATTGACGTTGTGCCATCCCAAAAAAAAAAAAAAAAAAAAAAAAAGAAGCCTCAGGTTTGATTCGAACAAGGATGTTTATGTTTACAACGTCCGAGAATGGTGTGTGCATGACACAACCCCATCTCCGTTTGTAGAAACCCGAAACAAATCAACACAGACCTCATCTGAAAATATATCGTTAATCTGCTACACATATAGTGGATTTTCTGCAAAGTCTGCAGCTGTTCATCTCACACATTCATTCTGCATTTTACATTTTCGATTCTATTAACTAGAGGCAGCTAAGCTGAATGACTTGTCCTTTCTCAGGAGTCGTTCCAGGTTTCGGCTACAAACCTGTGGGATTCTCTCATCTTATCTAATAACCAATAAGAGTAAATTTAGTCGAGAATATCTCAGAACAACGTGTCTCGGGTAAGACACATTGTTCCTTCTTTAACCACTTCAGACCGAGGACGCCAGCTTGTTAGGTCGTAGTAATATATACACTAGGTGGGTATTGGGTTATTAGAAACGATGGACGAAGGATTCTTGTTGGCGCCCTTTCCTTACGCCGATGTGTACCTAACCTAACCCTCTTAGACCAATGAAAGAATAAAGAAAAAGAAAGACAACAATGACAACGTGAATGTTTTAACAACGAAGAGTCTTAGCGTCACGATAGGCTATGAAGACTCGTCTTCACAATTGGCAGGAAATTCGGCTAGCATATCCAATTATACGAGGGCACTCATTAGCGAGCGGCTATAAGTTGACTAGGAGGTATTTTTATTTCTATTTCTTTTAGTCAAAGGACTCTACACTTTCGCATTCAGCTAACATACATAGTAAACTAATTTTTTTCCACACACACATTAGCGCGTCTTCCACCAATTTTAGTTGACAAGTTTTAATCGCATACCAGTCCAAAAATCTCCCCCGTCTTTGTCGTCGGCTACACTCTTGTGTGCCGCACCGGCCATGGTTAGACTAACGCATACGCAGCGGTGGACAGATGACGAAGAGAATATCGCAATCTGGCACCTTTGTTGGGTTTCATCGGACGGCTATCTGGTGTTGTTGCGGCGGTGAGTCTTGGCAGTACGATCAGACCATATCCCCAAGGTATGAGCTAGAAAAAACATCTATACTGTACTATGTATACCGACACCATCTTTCTACGAATGAAACTTCGCCTATTGTTGATCAAGTAAAGTTTGACATTTGATATGAGATAGTTGCTATCACAAAACAAGAACTCGGCATGTGCTCAAAGCCGTGGTTCGGAACCGAAATAACCGGATCTCTTTATGTAAACCGGGGGGCCACTGAGGTTTCTCCAATAACGAGCAGTTACCTACTTCCGACCTTTTTTGACGCGTGGCTTCATTGAGGACAGTTCGCGATCCCCATTATTCTACGGCTAAGACCAGAGGCATATTATATATTGCCTATGTCATTGCTCGCCTAACCAAGGCCAAGGTACACTGCTGATTGCCGGACATCGTAGTTGAACCTCTGTGCTTTCACGTACTCTATTTCAGGGCTGCTTATCTGACACTCAAGAGTAAAAGGATCTTTACGGTTACACGATGGTTACTGTAAATTCGGAATCCATCAAATAAATAGCTAGCAGTTCCTGAGCAGTACTAACCGAATGTAAATGATATGATTGGTTTAATATGCGTTAGAAAAAATGCCCACTTGAAAGGAAGATCAACATCATCCGCAGGTTGACATAGGTGACAAACCTCAAGCTGTTACTATACACTTAGCCCATCAATAAGGCACACCAATCATTGACTTCACCAACTCTCATTAAGTGAAATAGTCAGGGTATTATTCTTTAGACAAGTATCATCTCTAGCTCATCTGTAGTCGGACTGGTAGCGCCGTTCATCGCACCTTCGCAATAAGCCGGTGCCACAATTCTGAACTCGTTAGAATTCGACTGCGGCCGAAGTACGAGTGGATTGAGGGATCTTAGAAGAGCAAGAACATCCCCTGTTTGACAACTCTGGTGTGCCGTACCGCAGTAACCTGTGTCAAGGGTGAACATGACCCAGTTCCCCCGGATCCTGCGCTTCTCCATGATATCCTCAAGAAGAGTTTCTGATCATCCCTGCGGTTAACAAAAAGAAAATGTTCATGGGATTTCGGTGTAAGAACTCACCATCCGCTGGAGGAGACGTGACGTTACCACGCAAACACCAATGGTAAAGAGCGCCCAATTTGCTGCTGGGCACGTTGGCGTGATAGGGGCGAAGGAGTGTCTGTCTTACGAGGCTTATGTCTTCACCCGATGAATATTTGGCAAGACTGTTGATTGAACGAAGCCAGTCGAGACATGTCGAAATAACCTCCTGGTAGGCTTGACTTCGACTACGCCCTTGGTCTAAAATAAGAGGACAATGGAATTTCCTGATTATCTTCCCGATAACCGTCCCTATTACCCCTAATCTGCCATCTCGCGTACCATCCGTGAGTATAGGAGTGGTGGAAAGATACTGTGCATTAAAGTCTGCTATTTTCCAAATCAACGCAGAGCCATTACGGCCCAGTGTCAACCAGTCGGGGACCCAGGAAGGGAATCCTGAGCTGACGTCCGGAGGTAGTGTGATTGCAATAATGTTTAAATTTTGACGGCTTCTAATATAAGCCAGAGTTGCTTCTTCAAAAACTTGCGTTACGTCCTTCCCATAGTCAGGGCTCGGCAAGTGGATGCCCATGGCCTGGAATACTGAATATAGAGAATACACCTTATCGTGCGCGACGGTTGCCTTCATGTTCCGGATTTCGGACAGGAGCTCGAGCTCGAATTTAACCTGGCCATCTCCTTCGAAACGGGTTTGCGGGATAGCTTGGAGACTCGAACCGCGCAGCGACAAGTACAGCTTCCAGCGAGGAGGAATTAGGTTCCCTAATGAACCGGTTGGCCCTCGCAGCCTAGGCTCTGCCATGTATGCTCCACAAAACGACTCCCAATCTACACTTGACTTGCCACATATAATCACGCACTTTCGCCCAAAAGCAACTTCCTGTATCGTCCAGACCCTTTCGAACCATGGATTCTTGAGTATAGTGGTCATGGACTCCAATAATTGCATGTACTTGCGCCTAACCAGAAATCCTGTTATAATTCCAGTAAGCACTACTCGATAGGACTACTTTGACGTAGGATACCATTGTTGGCCTACCGTAACGTATATCAAAGTGTTGGGCAATTAGAGTATAAGTGACACTTTCAAGCCCTGGATATTCATCCTGGATCCTATCTAAGGAATTAAAGACTGGGAGGTAGCGAAAGAGAAGCGCAGTTGACGCGTCTCCCGGCCCCAACCAAATTAGGACCCGTTTCGCTCTGAGATAAATCTCCCCCATCATCTTCACTTGGCCATTCCGCTCCTGAACCGCCTCATTGTCACTCCCCTGGTTGATGCAGATGGCGTCTATCCACAACACCCTTGGCGTAAAAGTATGTCGCAAATTTACCATTGCCTCATGGCAGTTCTTGGTGACTAACAGCTTTTCGCCCCCGCAGTCCAGGGGCCATTGCCGAGCGGGTTCGCCCCATACATATGAGAGAGCCTCATATGGCCGTGCCTTTGACCGATCTAGGGAGATGGCCTCGATATTACATTTTAATGGATCCCGAGGGCGACGTGCTGGTAATAGCTTTATTATTCGGATTGATCTCTCCGGTAAGGGTTGGTATTGAAATGTGGCCGTGGATGTCATGGAATAAATGATTGACGTGTTGCGTCAACTTGCCTCACGTAAATTCCCCACAAACTGGTGTCAGATTATATGTTAATGGAAGGAAAATTGCAAAGACTGATCAGATTTAAGAAAATGAAAGATGTAGTTGAACGGCTCGTAGGTTACAGGGCACCGCTGCAATAATTGATGGATGAGCAAGTGTCGTCACGTGCTTGTAAGCTTTCAGGGGATGTTATCATCCTGAGACAGAATCTAAAAATTGCATTCTTGTGCCTTATATATCCAAAGGTACCTTGATACGCAATATAGTTAAACTATAAACTGATCTTATGTCTCAGAGATTTCTAGTTCTATTCTATGACGATAGACTGCCCGCTTTTCGAAGAGATTTCTCCTTCCAAGGATTACATGTCGTTAATCATAGATTCTTCGGCAATGTCAAAGACGCTGACGTCTGGCAAGCCAAATACAGCCCCTGACTGCTCGTCTTCGGTGCAGTTCCCTTCGCTCCAGTTCAACACCGTCTTCTGAACAGCTGGGAGGTCGCCAATAGTATCGATAGTGATTCCAAAGATTTTCTCCGCTTGGCGTTCCTTGTCGCATAACTGGGTAGAAAAAGTCGGGGATGGCCCAGTACTAACTATCACGCCATTCGGCCTCTTTCTCAGGTGCATAGTCGTACGGACCATCTTCGATCGGTTCTCGCGATGGTTCGTACCTGACCTCGCCGGGGGCTTCGTACCAATGCGCAACACAGAACTTCGTATCTAACAAGAAAACAGGATTATTTCGTCCACCAGAAGTAAGACTTACGAAGTAAGGAGGTACGTCCACATATATGGAAGCACCCTCAGTAGCAAGCCTCAGCGTCTCTCCGGTAATCTGCCCGCTGGCCAGCTGGTGGCCTAATTGCTGCTAGTCTGCAAAGTAACATTCGGCAGCACCCTGAGCTTTATCCCTGTCATCAGAGTGTCGGCGGATATACGGTAGGTGGCAGAGTAGCGAGACGACTTTGTCCGTCTTGCTTAATGATCTTAGTTTGGTGGTAAGATTCGGCCAACCCTTCGGGAGGCTCAATCACGTCTAATTCTTTAAGATACATTTCGGTGAGGAAATCGTAGTATTCTCGAACCGCGGCGACCATCACGCCGCGCGAATGGCTTATCTCATCAAGGCTCGGCATATTGAAGATGACGACTTGGTTATGTTATTGGTGATCCTATCTTAAATTAAGAGCCATACAATTAAGCACGCTAAGTACATACCTCCCAATAATGAAAGATATGACATTCAATGGTGGATAAACGTCGAAAGTAACTGGTATGTATCCTCTTGAGAGGAACGTGGGGGGAGTTTCTTATACACCAAAAGTGGTCTCTGTGGATCGTGAGGCTCGATGAATGCAAGGGGGGAAGGTTTTTATAAAAATTCATTGGATGAATTTCTCACATACATATCGATATACCTTCCGTACACCGTACAGGTAGGTAAACATGTCTGTATTAACTTACTTAAGGTAACCAAATTCTTTTAATTTGCCAGGGAGTAAAATGATCACTTAACTAACAGATCTTTCAAACTGATAACTAACTGCTTTGAGGTATCTCTATGACTGTTGATTGTTGTCTATAAAGAATAGCTACAATGTTAAACTGTAAGAATAAGATGTTTTGCAATGACCTGAAAGCTCTAAGGGCAATGAGCTTCCAAATTGGCGGTTGTTGCATAGGTATCTTGTTGATTCTGCATCAGGATGGAATATGGTGAGAGATAGGTTAGGTACCTCTTAATTCCACGTAGGTAGAAGGTTGGAAATTATTCAACGGCTCAACTAAATAGGTACGGTACTTAGGTACATACCGCAGGTAAACATTAGTGCCTGAATTAATGTTGCTATCCGCTTATGATCAACGCGGGGAGGCACGTGGCGTTGCGAGTATGCGCGTCAAGACTAAAACACATTAGGGAAGGTACAACTAGAGGTACCTACTTGGCTAAACTACCTAAGGCAGAAACCTTCCGGCAGTTACACAAGGCGACAGGGGATATGGGTGTAATCATCGTTCGCTCCTGGCCTGATAATAGGTTTCCTAACTTCCATAATTTCTTACAACTTTTCTTTTAAAGCAGCCATAAGCAGCTTACCTTCATCTACCTATCGTAACAACTTTTTTTCCTTTTGTTCTGAGGGCCTTGGCAGTAATGCATTTATTATATCATTATTAAAAAGAATAAGAAAAAGAAAAACCTGTTATCTGCAGAAATAAAATTTCGATCCCAACCAATAGGTGTTAAGTCATCCGATTCTTATTAGGCTGCAACCTAACCTCCGGTCTGCCTTTCGCCGCTTTACCGTTTGTCGTATGCCGCATGCCACCTTTGACTAGGTTCCCGAAAGTATGCCTTGATCGCATACTTTATTGCTCGCACAAATTTGGGCGAACTTAAATATTGATTAGACAAAGGCAGAAAAAACCCCCAAAACCAAAAGCAAAAACAAAAGTCACTATGCCGCCGCTGTCTTCGCAAGCCGACAGTACGTCGAATCGACAAGGTGTGAGGCCCGAAAGTTTACTCTCGACTTCTGTCAATCGACTTGCAAACGCCCTGGCACCTGACTCATTCGATCAAGAAAACCGCCAGCCGGCAGTTGACAAACGCACAACCGCAGATCAGACCAGACAAGATAGACGAACTGGCGAGGCTCGAAACTTCCATGATAACGCCGAAGAAGCTGTTCCTCAAGAACAACTGGTGCGTCAGCTACAAGCGCTACCGCAACAGAGGGAAGGCCAAACCCGAGAAATGAAAGAGAAAATGGGTCCAAGAAGAGTTGTTAGCAATTTTCTACCCGATGCTGTCAACGCATTCAGAACTGCATCCCAACTTTTGACAGAGTTCGAGTTATCGGGTGCCATGCCACTGCAGTCTCAACCATCCGGATCGCGACATTCTAGTGGCGCAATTCGACGTCGAACTCGCCATGAGAATCCTGATGGCGATGATGATGATAGTGATGATGCTAGCGACGATAGCACCGAGCTGGGAAGATACGCTTACCCCGGTTTAGTGAAATCAGAGGAGGTGCAGCAAAAAGAACTAGATAATCTTTTGTCTATGCCGGAAATTGACATCCCTCCCGAACAGCGACAGGGCACACCCGCTGCCATGTCTTGTACGCTAATGGAACACCAGAAGGCTTGCTTGACTTGGTTAATACAGCAGGAGGAAGACGTCCATAAGAGAGGGGGTATTTTAGCAGGTAATTTCTCTCGCTTGCTGCGTATTGTTGATTTTGGTGAGATTAACTAACCATCTCTTCAACAAGATACCATGGGCCTTGGTAAGACTGTTCAAGCGCTGGCCTTGATATTAGCACGCCCTTCAAGAGACCGCGCTCACAAAACAACACTTATTGTTGCTCCGCTTTCCCTTCTTAAGCAGTGGGAACGAGAAATACGGACCAAGGTTAAACCAGCCCATAAACTAAAAACAATCATCTTGCATGGTCAAGCAAAGCGTGGAATGACTGTTCCCAGGCTCCTTACCTACGACGTTGTCCTAACCACTTACGGTACTGTCCGTTCAGAGTACAACGATCTGCGAAACTCGAAGAAGAAACCGCTAATCTTGGCTAATGATGCTACCTTCCATCGAGTCATTCTTGATGAAGCTCATAACATCAAAAACAGACGTGCAGTCTCTACGAAGGCCGTATGTAGGATCAAGTCTACCTATAGGCTTTGTATGACAGGTACTCCATTCATGAATAGGGCTGAGGAAATATTTCCACTCATCCATTTTCTTTGTATTAGGCCTTACAATGACTGGGAAACATTCAAATGGGAAATCAACAGACCACTGAAGAGTTGGAATAACGACTTCCATGGTGAGGCCATGAGGAAGCTACAGGCCCTGCTCCGGAGCATAACCTTGCGGCGAACCAAGACAAGCATACTTGACGGCAAACCGATCCTCCAACTACCAGCACTCGTGAAAGAAGAGGCCGCAATCAAGTTCGACAAAGATCAGCAAGAATACTACGATGCTCTGGAAACGAAACAGCGACTAAAGGTGAACCAATATCTTAGGGCCGGGACTACGATGAATACATACGCTTACATTCTCTTATTATTACTACGCCTACGTCAAGCCTGCTGTCATCCACACCTTATCAGAGACTTCGGAGTCCCGGAAGGCATACAGCTCTCGTCGGACGAAATGCGCCAACTCGTCTATAAGTTCAAGTCCAGGGTGGTAAGGAGACTCAAAGAGCAGGATGGATATGAATGCCCACTTTGCCATGAAAAGACCGACAGTCCCCTTATCATATACCCTTGTGGTCATCTGATTTGTAGTACCTGTTTCTCTATCATGATGGAGGTGCAGAATGGGAATTCCGAACAACCGCAAAAGTTTTGTCTGCATGAAAACTGTAACTCGGAAATTGACTCTAAACACGTCATCTGCTACTTCTCTTTCATGGAAGTATATATGCCCGAGAAGCTCGGACTGGATGATAGTGACAATGACTCGGATGGCTTCGAAACCTTTGACGACTCAGATGATGAGGTAGATGCGCGCGGAAACCTGAAGGACTTCATCGTGTCCGGAGATGAGGAGGAAGAGGAGGAAGACGATGAAGATGACGATGAAGATGATAAGACGGAAGACGAAGAATATGAAGAGGAACAGGAAGAAGAAGAGGAACAGGAGGAGGAAAATGGTGGTTCAGATGTGGATGATGCTTCTATTTCGGGAAAGGCAAATCCTATACAGCACTTGGTATCCACTGATGCGAACAAGGAAGTCACGGAAAAATTCGCAGAAGATTCTGATAACGATTCTCTAATGTCTTTGGAGGAGATTTGGAAACGAGTTGACGCGATGAAGTCTCTTAGCAAAGATACACCTGAGCAATCCAAGAAGCGCAAAGCCCCAAGCGATTCGGCATCTGACGTTGATACAGATAGGAAGACACCTCAAAGCGGAGATAAGCGAAAACGCCCTAGTCGCGGGAATCCTACAAAATCAAAAAAGAGGAAGATGGACAATGCAGCTAGTAAGAAGCAGCGTAGGACTGGGAAGAAGAAGTTCACCTCTCTGGCCGCCTTGAAGCAAGCCAGCTCAACTAACGCTGCCGCGAAAGCCAAATATCTAAAACGTCTTAGAAAGGATTGGGTGCCAAGCGCCAAAACTACTAAGACCATGGAGATATTACAAGCGATTAGAGAGAAGAATCCCCAGGAGAAAACGCTGATCTTTAGCTTATGGACATCTTTCCTCGACCTGCTAGAGATTCCTATACAAGACCAAGGCTTCAAATATACGCGCTACGATGGCTCGATGCATCATCGCGACAGAGATGCCGCCGTGAAGAGTTTTATGAATAACCCCGAGGTGCAGATCATGTTGGTTAGCTTGTCTGCCGGCAACGCAGGGCTGAACCTCACAGCAGCAACCCATGTCATCATCCTCGAGCCTTTCTGGAACCCTTTTGTTGAAGAGCAGGCTGTTGACCGGGCCCATCGTATCGGTCAAAAGAAGGAGGTCACTGTCCACCGTGTCTTGATCGAAGGAACGGTTGAAGACCGCATTCGAGAGCTGCAGGAGAAAAAACGCGATCTAGTTAATGCAGCTCTCAGCGAGGAGGGCGCACGAGGTGTTGGTCGGTTGAGCCTTTCGGAACTGAAAGGTTTATTTGGTTTCCGCCGCTAATACTAACTTGTTCGCCCCGGTAGGAGTGAATTGTGCCAACGTCAGAGATTATTACCGTTGCCGCCTTGGCTTCACTTCAGATACCAACGGCGTTAACTATGATAAAATGGGCAAAACCCATCTATTTGATCGACCATCTACTTGTATCCAACACTTCTCTCATATCACTTGATTGAATATGGCTCAAGTAGATGCTTGTCGGTGGCGGTGCGCTTTATACTTGCCTACCTCCGGGTAGGTACTTAAAGCTATTTTGGTCGCATAGATTCTAATATGGACCACCGGAAGCTAAGACCTAGTCTTTATGCTCGGAAATTCGTCCAGCACTTGTATCAAAACTGCTTGTATGATATTGATAGCTCGAGGAGCCGCACGTTTTCCATCTCTATTTAGATTAAAAAGGAGATAGTTGGGGCAACCCTGGTATTGAGGTAATTTGTCACTATGAAGGACTTGGGTGATGGCTTGAAGCCGAGTCCCAGTCACCAAGGCGTCAATGGAAAAACAGGCTCCTAGAAATGACTTAACGCTGTACGAATGGGGTCTCGCGGGCATCGGAGGATCTGAACTTCATGTTACAAATCCGGGTACCCTTGTCAGTCGTACATAGGTACCTACCTAGGTAGCAATATGGATAAATAAGTTTGCCTCTCTAGATACCGGCCTGCCACGTCCCGGATAATTGATAGGGATGGTGTGCATATTTTTAGTCTAACTCATCTTCTTGGTGAAGCCTTATATACACTTGTTAGTAGGCTCCGGTTAATACTTGACAGGTTCGAGGTTTGCTCAATAAGACCCAACTTAGCCAACCACTCGGTACGGCCCATGTTCCTGAGAATGGGTTGCATCCAGGGAGATCATTTTCAACACAGCATAGATGAAGGGGGCTTAGGGGGGTAAACCCACCAATGAGGTAATCGGGCCAGAAGTCGGGAAGTTCGAGACCAGGCTCGCGGGTACGGGTTCTGGCTGGGGAAATGATAAATAAAGCCCCGTGCCGTGGCAAATATTTCTGATGGCAAGGTGCCAATGGTGTGGATGCTAGCCTTCCGTAAATCTCTACTAGATAAGTGAAGGGCGCCGATCGTTGAGACAACCGAGAGAGAGTTTGCTGTAGCGTTCCTTTTCTCGCATCTGTCATCGTCGTGGACGTTGTTGCTTCTTGTGCCATAGAGATAGGTAAACGGCCTCTTACTTGGTATAGCTACAGCAAGAAAAAAAAAAGCTTAAACATATAAAGCTATCATTATTTGGCGCCCCATCCCACACAGCAAGATGAAGGTAAGTGGTTCCCCCGTGAGAAGATGGGAATCTTCTCACAATCGAACAAACTGAACGATAACACCCACCTAAAGTTACCTAGTTCCTTAGAAAGCAAAACACAAGCTAACATACTTACTCCTCTTCACCAAGGCCATATCAGCAGCCTTTACGCTCATGATCCTCCAAGTCGCGGCCGTCCTTTGCGCCCCTACCCCGGCGGAGAAAGGGCCGGCCTCGTGGCGGCTCGACTGCGGGTCCCCCGGTACTACGGCGCTGTGCTCGGCCAGCAACAGCGGGGCCCACTGCGACCCCGTGTCCGGCGAACTGACGATCATCCTCGCCGGGACGTGCGGAGCGTGCAAGTGCGTAAGCGCAGACCAGTGCTCGCGGGGGTGCGGACAAAAAGAGACGGAGTGAGTACCTAACCTAACCTAACATAAGGGTAGGGTCGGGTCGGGTCTTGTCACGGAAAACGTACACACTCGATAGGTATCTGGAAGGCATCCAGGTTGAACACTAGTGCTCATGATAAGTTCTACACGACGAATCGTTAAATCAAATTAAGGTGGAAGAGGTGACGTTTATGACTTGCAAATATATAAACTCAGATACTGGGTAGCGAAGGGGGACGAATGGATTAAAATTTAATTGCCTTCCTTGATGTGCCGTTGATGTTTTGTATAAGTTCTTCGTGTAAGTGTGTAAGTGTGTAAGTGTTAGCGGTGCCTGAGTGCCTGAAATGGCACTTGGCCCTGAGCTATTCGAGTACTACCCCGGGACCCACCCACTAAAATAAGAACATTTAGTGGGCTTTAGCTTTATCGATAAAACTCGATAGTATTGTAGCAGTGTAGGTACCTAATGTACCTAACAGATAGCGCCAGACATTAGCGCATCGAGTCCAAGAAAATCAACATTTCGCACTCCACCAAACCCAGAACTTATTTTGATCATCTACAACCTCCTCCATAACTTATAAGTAGTCGGAACTAGGTCTACTAGTAAATTACCTACTAGGTACCTGACCTACCTTATATCAATACGAATGGCCTCATACACATAAAACAACTCCCCCTTTTCAACAAAATTACACTCGACAATGCCACCATGTCGCTTCAACATACCAACATTTCGACGACCAGCAGCACTTCGACGGCACGCTCGCGATCGCTGCGCGTTCCCGCCAAACCGTCCTTGACCGCCCCTCAGCCTGTCCCTCAGCCTGTCCCTGCTGACACCTCGACTCAGATACCCAGCTCTACTTCCAACCCCGCCCTGTTCCTCACAAACCTTCGCTTGCTAGACCTCGATCAAGAGCCCGATTGGCCGGGGATAACCCTCGCGACTTTTTCCACTAAAGACGCCGCCGGCGGACAGAAGAAGCGGATTCAATCTGTCGAGTGGGCTCTCTACCAGCTATTCACTCTATGGGATTATAATGAGACTCAGAATGTAGGCTTACTATGTCCTAACTTATGTGAAATGCTTCTTCTAATTCTGTAGAAACTACGTCCCTTCTTCCCGCCTCTTGATCAAGTCCAATCTATCAACCTCCGAGCCGCTCTACTCCGTGCTCTCGAACAGGCTAAGAAAAATGGCGTCCTTGGTCGAGATGCCGTTTTGCGAAAGACAATGCTGGACGAATGTAAGGGCGAACGACTCGAAGAAGTTCTCGCCGTCTTTTCCTCGGCAGTCCTAAAGAAGCTGGTAGCCGAACGTGCGCTCAATTCAGGTCCGGAATACCGCCCTACTATATCAGAGAAACTTGCTCTCGAGAACTGGGGCTACTCGGGGGACCGTACGGAGCTAAATGCACTACTCCTAGCCTATAAAGCTTCATTAAGTTCTCTCTTAGCTAAGAAGAATACGGAACGAGCGAAGTACCGCGACTTCGAGCAACTACTAGCCTCGAAGGAACAAGCCCTCTCCCAGCGGAAAGAAAAGGCCAAGGCAGAATCTGAGCGAAGCGTAGCTGAAACGTCTGAGCGGACAAGAAAGGAGGTCAATAAGATCATCAAGACCAACTGGACTGGAAACGACCAGTGGATTGATAGTCTGCTATATAATGATACGAATCCTCGAAAGGGAGGACTCCTTGGTAGTCGCTTTGACGATGTTTGGGCTGGAGTTGAGCAGGGGAAAGTCTGTGACCTTGAAGACGAGAACACCGGCCTCTTGGAGCAATTAGACAGCCGGGTCCAGATGCAGAGATCAAGATTAGAAAAATGGGACAATTTCCGAAAGGAAATGTTCAGTAATATGCCACCGCCGCCTACCATTGAAACGAGGAGAACGACTAAGCCAAAGAATGTTGGCTTGCGCTTCACTGCCCATCAGGAGCTGAACATTGACAAGATACGCGTGAAAGACAAGTTACCCTTGAAAGGAGCCCCTGCACAATACCACACGATTGTCAGTAATATGAAAGCTGAACTCGGTACTACTGGAAAACATAAGATCCCAGACTTTTCTGGTCTATTAGGAGGTTCGAATAGGAGCTTGGGAGTCGGCGCTGCTTCATACGCTACGAAGCCAGAAGAACCAGCCGAAGCGATATCTGACATTAGCGAATGGGAAGACGAGCCGGAAGAAGCACCTCGAATTGAAAAGCCTCTTCAGGCCACCAGCAGGAATCGCTATCGTCTTGTTCCTCCCAAGGCTAGCACCGAAGCTCAAGGACGGACTCACGTACCAAAGGCGTCCTCACTCGATGTATCATTCAGCCGAAACAAAAAAGTCTTCCCAGACCTATCACCCAACTTTAGGCCGAAGCCGTCGGAACAACCATCTTTTTCTCCAGAACCGTCTCCGATAAAGGCTGTGCCTGAAACGCAAGAGTCACCAAAGTTAGATGGTATACCACAAATTATCACGTCGCATAGTATTGTCGCTTCTCCTGAGGTATCTCCCTCGCCATCCCCTTCTGATAAGATGATGGAATCGTTGTCTCCACCGCCAGCCTCTGTTTCTCCAACGCAGGCCATGGCCAACGAAATACTAAAGTCTATGTCAAATGCGTCCCCGTCGCCAGTCAAGAAACCGCGCCATACACTTTCGCTAGCTGAGAGGACTCGCCTATCCATGACACGAGCTCATCCTTTTGAAAAGGAGGATGAAGGATCCCCGCCGTCCCCAACCAAACCTACCCCGGCGCAGAGTAGCAGTGATAACAATACAAATCATCTACCCGAAAATGACGAGTATGAAGATTTAGTAGCACGTACTAGAAGGTCTATGGTTGGCTTTGAGGCCGCACGACAAAAGGCGCAACTAGAGAGGAGACGATCCGAAAGGAAGAGCAAGATGATACAGAGGAAAGGGGAGCAGTTCCCGAAGCTCGAAGAAGATAACGTGGACAATTCTATCGTCGAGGAGCTCATCGACAGGGGTCAAGAGGATTACGAGGCCGTGTTCAGGAGCAGACCGCGCGTGCAGACGAGCCCCTTGCCTAGCCCGTCGAAGATGTGGAATGCGGAGTAAATATGCAAATGAAAGAGACGAGGTATATGTTGTCAAACGATTTTGTCGGTTTTTCTTTTGGGTTTTTTTCATTAATACATACGGCTACCGTTAGGATTATGATACCAAATTGACATTCTCTTTTCAAGGGATGCTAAAAACGCATACAAATCCATAACTTATTCTATCAGACTTGGCATTTTCTATGCCGTAATAACTAATATAATCAATATTCCATCCATCTTCCAACCAACCAACCAACCAATCAATCAATCATAAAAAACCAAAGCCCTAGCCTCGATGCTCTCCCTCGCCTCCCGGTCCTCGTACTCGCGGTCCTCGAACGCGCTATGCGGCGCGCGCCGGGCCGGGACCCGCTCGTCCGAGTCGAAGCACTTGACGAGCAGGACCTCGTCGGGCCGCTGCGCGTGCTTGTAGTACCACCTGTGATGCGCCGGCATCCCCATCCCCGTCCCCGTCCCCGCGCGTCGCGGCGGCAGAATCGTCCACGTCTCGTCCCGGTCCCGGTCCGCCGGGTAGATTATCGACGCGCCGACTAGGTCGGCGTCCGGGATCGAGGAACCGTCCGCGACGCCGAAGGGGTCTTTGAGGACGGGGCGGATGGGGCGCCATATCTGGGAACAGTGATTTTGTTAGTGGAGGGAGTTGGAGGGGTTTGGGGGGTTTTTTTTCTTCTTTTTTTTTTAAAAAAAAAGGGAGGGAAAGGGGATAGATAGGGGAAAAGGGGGGAAAGTGGTTGGACATACGTTGATGATCTGATATCGCCGCTTGAGCAGCTCGTCCGCTTCGTCGGGGAACCAGCGCCGCAGCACGAACTCCGCCCCGGCGTACGACTGGTCTACGTGCGCTCGGAACAGCGGCCCGCGGGAGGACCGATTACCCTTTCCCAGCTTGTGCCAGTGCGACGGTCCGCAGCGCGTCTTGTGGTCGAAGAGGAAGATGCGTGACGCGCCGGTTCTTGAAACGTCGCGGAAAGTAGGTACGCATTAGCTTTGGTGTATTTCCATCATGTAATCCGTAGTTGGGGCAGGTAGATCAGGCAGGTAGGCTAAGAAAAGTGCTTACACTTCCTTGAGAAGCCGTATCGACTCCGGGTAGTACTCGGCCTTGACGTGCTCCTCGTCCTGGAAGTCTTGCAGGGTTTTGGTCGCGCTCTCGTGCCGCAGGAACTGGAATCCGTGGTTGTCAAGCGTGTACTGATCCTCCTCACCCGTCACGTCGTGGATAATGGTCTGCTGGGGGATGTGCGGACGCTCGTTTTTTACGGTGTTACTTTGGGGAGGCTGGTTAGTAGTAGTACTATCTATGCGCAATGGATGTGGTTTAGAAGTATGATGCCACCTACTCGGCGATCACGATAGGCATCGGTAGTGAACCGTCGCCTGGGTCTTTGTAGTAGTTAATGTTCGTAAGCACATCGCGACGTCTTGGTATTTGTGGAGGTTCCTTTGTGAGCCCATGAAGTGCTAGGGGAACTTGTGTCGTTGCGACGGCTGCAGCCATTAGTGTTTTTTTTTCTTTTGCCTTAGTCTTTATCTTTTCTGTGCATGTCAGGTAGGCAACTTCAAAATATCATCTCATCACTATTCGCAATATCTCAGGAACGACTCGCGATATTCGTCAACTACTATTTTAGCGAGCCTCAAATGTAAGCAATTAAAAATAGCTTTCTATTATGTTACGATCAATCCGCAGTGTGCGGGGTCGATACCCTCGTGATGTGATAGTGAATATTGCTATAATAGCCTAAAGCCCTGAGTTAGAAACCTGTCTTGGAAGTCTTGGATAATATAAGATCATTCGGAGTTGGACTCTAGCTCTTGTGGCCTAATTTGGTCAATTACAAGGGGCAAGAGAAGAGTTTTCTTTTTCTTTCAATTTTCAGAGGTGGTAGAGATATGATAACGTTGATAGTGTGGGCTTACAAGAAAAGGGGTTACGCAGTCGAAGCGTATTACTATATGCCTACCTAGGTACTTCTACTCGAATCCCGACTTTAGATATGTCACTTTATTATAACTCTAGCATATTACCTTGTCAATTCGTTCCAATATCCAATAACCTAGCTTATAAGTAGATTTGAGCAAATAGAACAGAAATACTTCATACTCAATTTGTGGCTATTTTAACCAGCCTAACGACATACATTCAACCCAATATGTAATGAGTGACAGTTCCTTGACTAGGTAGGGTTATGATACCTAATATACCTAAGGCTTTTAGCACATCTTCTTCCCGTACCAGTAGCTTATCACGCCGCTGACGGGGACGTGTACTAGCGATGCGGTGGGTACAAGTAATCACCCGGTTCTGCGCCTCCGGGGCGACCGCGAGTAACTTCATACGCCGGCTTGTACGCGTGATAAACAGACATCTTGGTGCGGTCTGCATAATGTTCGGCCTTTCCTACGGCGAGTGAAACCTTCAGCGAAGGTAAATCCACCAACACACCCCTCGAGGTTACGCGCCAGTGGAGGTTAGACTTCAGGAACGGCACCACGTCTGCGCGACCCATGCTTTTCAATACCGATGGCCCGCCGTCACTGTTCTCATGCTGTATTTGGTTCTTATATCGCGTGATGAGAGCGTTGGTTAATGCGACACATCCGGTGGATTTGATATGATTTGCCTGCTGCCTACGGCAATTACCGCATCCTACACCTGAATCGCCCACTAGTAAGTTATAAAACATGTCAGTAGTCATTTTGCTAGATCACGCAAGTTCTTTCCCTCATATTATATGAAGGGATGTTTACGCTTGTCTCCGGGTGCACTTACAGCTTGCTGGTTGGACCGAGAAATTGACTACTTGACCGACCTGAGCATGTCCGGTCTTGTACGGAGTCTCGTCAGGCACCTTGCCGACGAAGATATGGATTTCGAACGGATATCCGTCAAGTTCAAACCTGACAAGAATTAGCTGGTTGTGCAATGTCTCATAGTAGTTGGGCTTTAATACTTCTCATAAATCACGTTCACAACGTAGTCGTCAACAAACATGTCAGTGGGCGCTCCTCTAAGACTACTTAATCTCGCCAGTTTAAGACCGTCTGGTTCACCCGGGTTAGCAGTTAGCCTTGACTTCTGTGCAGCTGACCAGTCGCTGTTATAAGCCCAGTTAAGCTTTTTCCAGAGTGCATCCAGATGTTTCTGCTTGTCATATTTCCCTTCGGTCGTGTAGTGCCACTTCTCTAGACCTGGGTAAGTATAACCTAGAGCTGTCACCTCCCTAACATCGGAAGATGTCCAATACCCCCCTCCCTCCTTATGGAAAGGTCGAAGTGGATCATCGGGTTTATCTGGGTGCCCTTCTTTGATAGAGTACGTTCCATTGTCTTTGTCTCGAGGGTCCTCGCCATCAAACCAAGTGTCGTCATGCAGTATTTGCCAGATGGCGGTCATTCTATCCACGTTGCTATTCAACGTTAAAACTCGTACTATAAAACAGTGCATCTGTATGACTTACCAGTGGTGAATCCAGAAAATTGGATCAAACGCAGCGACAGGTACGTGAGCCATGTGTCCTCCTAAGCATATATTTTGGCTATCCGGCTGAGCGTTACCGCCACAGTTAATATGCATGAGGTCGTGGATGTTCTCACCCGAGCCGAATACATACTTCTTTTCTTTTTTGCCTTTCGGGCCGTAATCAAGCGCCCGTTCAGTTGCAAAGTCCTCAAACTTTGGAATCGTAAGGACGCGATAGAACCCCCCTCCTGAGACTTGCCGTCGTATTCCCTAGCCTTTGATATTATTTCTTGTTGCCGTCCTCTCTATAGTGGTAGTCTCTCATTTTCTTGGCAATTTCTTGGTTGTTCTGCTTTCCTAAGATCCAGTCTTGATTCACGCCCTTTCCCTCAGGGTGCCGACTTGTAGCCTTACATAGGTCAAACTAGATGATAAGGTTTAGCCACTATATGAAGAAATATTACGATATACTTACAGGGAAAATATTCTTATCAGGTGTTGTAACTGCAGAGACCCTTAAGTCCTGCTCTCCGTTTCTGAGACTCCAATCACCCATAGCGATATTCCCAGGCATCGTGAACTGATATAAAGCATTTTTGAAGGGTACAAGCCCCTCGCTTCCAGGCTGCCTGATTTCTACTGTTTTATTCAGGATAGCCAAGGGTACACTGTAGTCCCACCTATTCTGTTCGCCGTTGACGGGCTTCTTGAGCGCCCAATCCCAGTATGGCAGACGCCAAGTCCTTGCTGCTTCCTCGAGATCAGGTCGATCTTTCCCGGGATATCTGCTGATTTTTTCCTTCATAAACTCGAAGACAACTTGCTAGAAGTCTATTAGTAGAATCATAATAGGTGCACAGATAAGATCTCTTACCTCGAAAAGAAGCACGTAAGGCCGGTGCCAAGTAGTAAATAGAATGCTATTATGAGTGCAATAGCCTTCATTCTATTTCTCTGGCTTGGCCCCGGGTTCGTCCCAAGAAACATATGGCATTCCATGAATCCCTAATACTCAGCTTTCAATACACAGCATATAAGTTATACCCGTCCCAAAACTTACCAGCAATCTGGAACCAAGATAGCTTCTCCTGTGGGGACATCTGGGAAAATTTCCATAGAGCAGGGAAGAATAAGGCCCGTTGGTTAGCATGGATCGACTTGTCAGATGTGAACCAGTCATCCACCTCCATGCGGAGATGGACTTCACGAAGTGGTTCATGTTTTTCGGGGTTTAATCCATCTTGGATGCCGACTATTGGATAATAATCCGAGGGTGATGCCATTTTATTAGGCTGTGATTGAATTACTAAATCACTAAGCACGGTTATAATGATCTGATGCTACCTATCTCTATCATGTTCTGGTGTCCTTTGATTCTTTATATATCGTAGAATCTAATGTACTTGGCTCAACTACTAACTAAGGTATACGGGCTTAAAAGACAAAGTCCAAAATTTTCATGACGTCGTAGAAGAAGAGTTGTTTCGTCGGTTAGTCGTATAAACCCATATTAGAGTAATCGTCAGCAGTATCTCTACAGGCGTTCCTCTTGTAGTATAGACTTACTATCTCCCTTCCTAGCATTCCTATTAGTCAGTCCCCACGTGCATTTCAACTAAATGACATATATCATTCCAATTCCGTCAAGGTGGAGTTGAAAGTCAAAGTTAAGATAATTGGTTGCACAATCTAGGGGGTTCACGATGTGCTTTGAAGCACGAATCAATTTTCTTCAATTTTCTCCCTTATCAATAATCTACCTACCTAGGTGCATACTAAGGTACTATTTGTGCACTAATCCTAAAAGCTGCTGGACGTTTTCGTTATTACACTAGGGAGTTGTATGTGCAGATGTACGTATAAGCCTAGCATATTAGTTGTGACTGGCTCACTTTCGGAGTCAGTGAAGGACGATAAAGCAGAGTGTTGAACAAAAGTACAAGGTAATTAATTCACTTGGAATGTAAATATTTATACCATGTATCGGGATTTCCCAATTCGGACAAAGTCCGCAAATAGTTCAACACTTGCCTAAGGCACCCTCCTATTATGCGAAGCCAAAACTGGAGGACAACATGTTCGAAATTAAATTATCCCTGGGCATAATAAGATAGGATACACTCAACGTATTAGTTTCTGCCAATATTCAACATATATCAATTAGTTACTATCCAGTCAAATGTGATTCTGTAAGTTGAGTTTAGCACCATTATATCAGGAAGTGGTTGCGTATGAGACATACCTAATAACGGGCTGAGACACTGTGAATAAAGAGAGATATAGAAGCAGAACTATTTATATTTGCACTTCTAAGTATATTGCTACGAGGCCCTTTGTTCTATATTGTTGTCGTTTTATTATACAAGCCTTACCAGGCCAGTACCTAGCCCCTATTTCGACCCACTTCGTCAAGCTGTAGCTCAGAACTCTACCAAGTGGTTAGTAGAATTGACCACTTAAACTATCCATCCCTATGATATGATAATTAATTGAGGTATCATTAAATTGCTTTTTTTCTGTCGTACTACAGAAACTGGGCATCAGGCTTATAAAATATCCAATATATCGTAAACGTATTGAAAGGACAAACGCCTTACTTCATGACTTTGGTACCAGGTAAAAGTCTCTCTACTATGCCAAATTTGAACTCTACCTAATCTAAGCTTTGCAATTTTTAATATCACCCTAACTACCTAGTCTGCGGCTGTTTTTATGAATAATAGAACACTTATGTTAATCCACAAAGAAGTAGGCGTTGAAAAAAAGAGGTGATGTGTGCAAGGAGTTTCAAGCCATCTAAGCCATTTGACGCTCTTGAGATTGATTAGAACCATATATTGTCTTCATGATAACAGAATGGTTGAAATTATATCACAATACTGTCTACAGTGTTCTTATAAGCAAAGATAGAAACGCCAACCCCTTGAGTTGATATCATTCTGCCTTTTGGTAATGTAACGGGTTGACGGCTGTCTCCCGAACACTTATCTACCGGGTCTGATCTGAAGCCAAGGTGCTCCTTAACAGAGAAATTCATGGTCAGCAATCTAGTTAGTCTACCTTAGGTACCTAGGTAGCTTGAATTTACAGCTTTGGAAACCTAAATAATCATAGTCAAGCTTTGCAAATGAATCTCCACCATAGAACTATACACGCTTCACTGCTCAAGTTCAAGTCGTTCGAAACAATTGGGCAGATTTGTCCCCACCGCCACGGTTTCGTATTATTCTTGTCACTTACATTAGTATCGAGTAGTATTCTAAGTATCCCAACGACAGAGTGACCTAAAACTGTCTAATCCTAAAATAAACCATGGTAGTTCTTACAGAACCGACTTTTCTCCCACTCCTGCCATTGTTGTCAGGCAATGCTCATACGTAGGCCCGTCATTTGTTGACTGTTTCCTCGACTACTGCCTGCTGATACCAGTACCGGATTTCACTGCTCTCCATCCAGAAAGGTAGGAACACCCCCTATCTCATACCCCACGCGTGATTGGCCCTCAGAACTTATCAGACCTCTATTACTTTCATGCGCCTTATTTGATGAAGGCAATCTCGTAGCCTACCCTAGTGACATCCTCATATCCCCTCCTGCCCTCTCCTGTTTGTTATCTCCACATACAGTGTGGGAGATACTTTAGTTTGTACCTGTGCCCTAGGTGCTCTTGATCAAAATCTTCCTCGGGGTGAATTGAAATCAGATTTTTCTCCTGCTGACGCGAAACCTTTAGAGCCCTAACTGTTGGAGAGAATGCCGACGCTATCGTCAAAGCTGGTACTTCCAGCTGAAATTCCCGTGTCAGTGCTTGGGGTTCCGATTTCTGATTGGCTACCAACACATCTGTTCAGTCTTAATTAAACATTCTCCCAGACGTGTTCTGCATAAGTGGCCAGCTCTGGAATGCTGATAATATAATCCCCCTCTCGTGGGCCTGGGGCTCGTAGAAAGAGAAGCCGAAACGAGAGTACCAATTCACCGCTAGTGACATGGTATGACACCGGGTTAGTGGCTGTATCCTTGGTGATACTAATTCTCTGCCGTAGTACTGGTTGGAGAATAGGAGGAACGGTGGCTGCTCGTCTCGTAGTTGTATATCTCCGGTAGATGCCGATATGGAGTGCTTCGTGTAGGTCGGTAGGGATTGTAATGATTAGGATCCCTTTGCTAGCATCGTACCGGCGGAGGCGAAAAGGGCGGTTTTCACGGCGATATAGGTCTTCGAAATCGGCAAGAGAGACTTCTACTAATTTATTAATAAATAAATCTTCAAAATTAAAGGAAGAAAAAATATACCTTATACGACGAGAAAGTCTCCTTAGACCTTTTTTACAGCCTCAAAGAAATCTTGAATGGTTGTAAATCGAATTGTCGGCGTATCATCTCTTTGGGTAGTGGCTAAAGTTGAGGCTGATAAGGCTGGGGATTCTGACGCCATTGTAAGAAGAGGCGTGGCGAGAGGGTAGTGCCCGGTTTTAGAAGAGTACTTCGTATGTACTGTAACCAGTAGGCGATGGGATACGGCAGAATGTCCACTTGAAAATTATGATAATACGATCCAGGTCGTTCCAGGTCGCAGGTCAACCCAATGTCATCCCTGCCCATCAGCCCAACCTCTAACCTAATTGGGTAACGATTTGGGCGGCCAAGACTTGAACATTGGGGTGAGCTTTGAGGCTCTTAATTATTGGAAATGCGCTGTAATACTTGCTAAACACGCTGAAATTACAGCACGTAAAAATCACTAAATTTTAATATTTTATTTAATTAATTAGCTTTTATGAAAAGTTATGAAATATATGAATATTATGTTAACTAGGGTAAGCTTAGCCCAAAGTGCGCTAAAAGTTTTTCTTTACCATTTTAAGTTAGAGGTTGGGCTGATGGGCAGGGATGACATTGGGTTGACCTGTAGACTCGGTGGTTCGAAGCAAAGTTCCAGGTAAGGACATCCTATTTGCGTCCCACTCTATCAACAAGAATCCAAAGATTCAATAACTTGAGACGTAATTGCCAGAAATATTTAGTACCAAGTTCTAACATTTCCGCAATACACAGGTACTCATTTACGGCAAACTTGCCGATTCAAACGGTCATAATGATATGAAGCCGAACACCTTGGTCTTGTGTCCATACTGTTCAGTGGCAAGCATAACACGCACCGTCTAGTTTAGCTTCGCTTGATGTGTTAATTAGGGAGATACGATACGAAATCGCGAATCGATCCTATTATTATAGGAAAGAAGTTGCGCATGGTTATTAATAAATGTGTTCCCATGATTCTATGATTCTATTACATCGTGAATTTCCGAGTCCTAATAAATCATTTGAGCAAATCTCATTCTGGCTAGACCCTATTCTTAAGGTAAGTATCTAATATTAGGTAGGGAATCTAGTAGATTGAGGCAATCGTTGTCAGTTATGAGATAATTCGACATCGTACAAGAGACCGAACCGACTCGATCTTATCGGAATTATAGTTATATCGAGAAGCTAACAACGAATCCTTCGAGCTACAAATCTCATATAAGAGGCAATAAGATGCGAGCTGACCAGTATATAATATTGTTACAATAAGAGGTAGGTATCTAATTTTTTATTCCCCCCAATCTCTCAAGTCCTCAGGAAAGCCCACACTCAGCTAGTTCAATAAGAAGACAAAGAAAAAGGCAAAAAAAGAATAATGGGGTTGATAGGGGTAAACCGCCAGCCGGCCAGTCGTGCCAAGGCTCTCGTTACCACATTACTGCTAACTCTCTCCATACCCGGCACCATCGAGGCGGTATCACTCCCGCCCCCCACCGGTCCTTACCAGGTTGGAGTCCGCAAATACGCCATCGATTACTACAATGATCACGATCCCGTGGCGCCGAACAACATCAGCACGGCGTTCTTGGCGACCATCTTCTACCCCACGCTCCAGAAGCCCGAAGGTGCTCCGAAGCCGTATTTAAACCCCGAGACGGCGGCCTTCTTCGAACAAAACTGGCATTACTCAAACGGGACCCTTTCGTCCATCACTTCGACCGTGCAAGAAGACGCGCCTTTCCTGGAACCGGAAAGCGCGGCCGACGGGCTCCCAACCATTCTATTCGGTCCGGGAGGCGGTGGTCCCCCCGTCGAAGGAAACACCATCTTACTCTCCGAACTCGCGTCACATGGCTACGCCATAATCGGCATAGACCACCCGTTTGAGCAGCCCTTCATCCGATATCCGAACGGGTGACGGGGATCGACCTAGACAGCATCGATATCGATCTCTCGGATATCTACAACATGCGGCCAGAAGTCAACTCCGTGTTCCTAAACGGCCATCTCCCCGAGTTCGTGCGAAATCTGAAATTGCCACTGAGCACTACCAAGCTCGGTGCCTTCGGGTACTCTCTCGGCGGCGCAGCGGCCCTCGGCTCGCTCCAAACCCACGACCAGATCGTCTCCGGACTGAATCTTGACGGCACCCTTATTGGGATCCTAGCGCTAAACAGCAGCGCCGCCGACGAGCGGAAGCCGGCGTTCCTAATAGGCCACGAAGGCCACGGGGATGTTGGAACGGGCGATACTACTTGGGTGACGTTCCCGGGGCGGCAGACGGGCTGGCACCGGAAGATCAATATCAACGCGACGACGCACCATGACTTCTTCGATGATACTTTCTGGAAGACACTCGAGGTCGGTTCTGACCCCCACGCGGGCCTAATCGATGGTCTCGAGCAAGTTAAGGTTCTGAACGCTTATGTCAAGGCTTTCTTTGACTTCACCTTGCTGGGCAAAGAATTCTCCTCTCTTAGACGGCCCCTCGCCCGAGTTTCCGGGAGTTGTTTTCTCTACCTAGTGTGACAGGTCCTCGATAGACCGCGGTTAAGAAACTGAATGAGGAGGCAGCAACTTCTAATCTAACTCACGAGCAGTTATGATTAGACTCCATTACGTTCCAACCGCGAAGAGACAATGGCATGGTGTCCCTGATCAGAAATATAAATATAAATCCCTCGGTTTCAACAACATAAGTATCAACTAATATCCATAGCATCCTCACTAGGTACCACCTACTCCTGGTGTCCACCTTCGTTAGATCTCCCTCACTAATAAGAGACATTGTGAGTGAGACTTGACCAACGCCATTCGTATCGTTATTCGCGAATATTGGCAAAAAATAAAATTGGCATTGCAAAAGATAAAGATGCATCAGCCGCGAATCGAACGCGGGGCCCATCGATGGCAACGATGGATTTTACCACTAAACCACTGATGCTGTGCTCCTTGATGGATGCTTGTTGATGCAAAAACGAACTGTAAAATTTTGCTATATTTTCCATTGCAAGCTTGCTCCACCGAATGCTTCGCCCAATTGGCTGCATCATCTACCTTATTTCACACTAATTGCCGGGGGGCTAACTAACAGTAGTGTATACCTGTTAGTCGGATTAGCACCGGTGTGATTTTCGGGTGTTCAGGACCCATCCGGGATATCTGATAACTGTTAGCGGCAGCGATGCACAATTTTCAACAGATCTTCAGTGAAAGGTATAAGCTCTAATATTTATTGCTATATACACGATTAACCCTTCGTGAGGTGTATTGACGGTTCGCTGCGAATTTATTTACTCGTAATAAGTTATAATACGCCCTCCGCTCAAAATAGGGGTAACAAGTAAGATCAGGCATTCATTCACGTTCTGGTAAGTACCTAGGTAAACTGGACCTATGAGGCTACCACAGTCCTGGGGATAAATAAGCAGATAATGCATTGAATGTGTTAGAGGGTGTAATATTTGAGGTCAAAGTGAGCATAATATGGGCTGAATCTCGCCTAACAATTATTATACGTAAGACTACTAAAAGATTTAAGGAATTTTGGCTCGATAAGTTTGCCAATAATCACGAACGGGATATGAGTGCCTTTATTACTTTTTAAAGTCTCCATAGGAGCTTCTTGGAATTGTTAAAGCTGTGTTTCCATCCCGTCGCCGGGGCTATTATCTCCCATCGATCTAATAAGGGCTTGACGACACTATCAATATTACCAGCCGTACCAGCGCGTACATCGAACGCCAAGTATGTCAAATCAGTTAATGAATTTCCCACCACATCCGCCGCACAACTCGGCCGATATTTCATCCATGATGATGTCTCTAAGTTGAGGGGCCATAACGACGAGATCCTCCCGCTTGAGACACTTGGAGCCGCATACGCCGCAGGTACGCGACATGCCGGGTGCTAAAATTGGCAATCCAGTAGTCGCGCAGGTAGCTATACGCCCATTAGTATTTTCTCGAACGCGTAGCTCCTATTCTGGTACTTTGGGCACCTAATTAGCTGGCGCTTACCGAAGATATGTTTATTACCGCAACGCGACATCTTGCCCATCGGTTCGAGGGGCAGGCCACAGAATGAGCAAGTCTGACTACGGCCGATAATTGCGAAATGATCTTTCAGCGCGGCCTGTTCTTCATTATCCTCTGCCGTTGAGCCTAGGAGTCCCGTTACCGGAGGGCCTCCTCCATACATCCATTCGAACACCTTTGCTTCGGTGCTGAGTTTCTTCATAGCTAGAGCCGTATCTTTCTGCTTGTTCTGGTCTGCATTGCAGTCGTGACGGCCGAAAAGGACGCGGCACTTTACTCCCGCGTATGTATCTCGCCCATACCAGACAGTACTATGGTGACTGGTGAACACAGCGGTAATTCCCCCGCCTGGACTAGCCGTCATTCCCCAGATACGGACTCGGTTAATATGGACTTGATCTTCAGTATCTAAGCCAGCAAAATTTTCTTCGGGGTCGTAATCAGATCCCTCCGCTGAATCGGCATCAATTTCCTCTTCATCAGCTGAACCGTCCTCGGACCCGGCACTGCCAGTATCGGCCATTGGCTTGTATGCCATGGCCCGCGGAAGCTGATGCTCAATCGTCTGGTTGATTTCTGTGGCCCATCGAGGCCCAACAATTCCATCTTCCAGATTTGTAGGGAGCGGAAGGTTAGTCTGGAACCAGCCGTCGTTCTCGTGAGTGGCCGACAGTCGGACGAGTGAGTACGAGGGCATGCCTGTCGTCCGGGAGAGAGAAGGAGGATGGATTATGAGTCCTGTTACTTATAAGCTGGGATCCTAAACTAGCAGGGGGAAGGGTCTATGAACCTGTGATCGGATTTTGTGTTAATACGGAGTTTTCTTGATCTGGATATGTGGTCTTGCACTCGTCCGTAGTGTGCTTGATAACCCGGCTAGACGGCTGGCAGTCAAACTGTATCTGAAAAGCTTTCGCTTGTGAGGGCGTAGCAATAATACCGCGACAGACCTTCAAATCTCCAACAGTCCATATCTAATACCAAGTAAATACGATGATTGCGATGGAAGCAATATGTTATCAATTACTCACCAGGTCTTCCCACACCACAAATGCATCCGTAGATAAATAATGGCAAACCCCGTTAGAGTCAACTTTACCAACCTCCACCTTCGGACACGTCATATGCTCGTAGGGTAGGTGAATGGTAACTTGCCTGAATCCAACATAATTTTTGGCTACATACGATATTATGCTAGTTTTTGACCTGCCCCTTTTCATCCACGGCCCCCAGCTTAGTGCATATGACGAGCCCGAGGGCGAATAATCTGGATCGGTAGGCTGCAATATATGTCAGTCTGAAGTAGAATCTTAAGGAAAGGGGTTGATCACATACGTCGACTTTGGGATGAGGCCCTTCAGCTACGAATCTTGCGACTTCTTCAACTCTCCATTGACCGCAATCACCCGGGGTTGCGCTGGAGTTGTGTTTGGACTGAACTGAGATGATGACAACTTCTTCATCATCGTTCGCATATGCCAGTAACGCCCCATGGCTGCCCGTGTCCTTTGCCCAAGCGAAAGAAGTGATATACTCTTTAGTATAGTCTACTTCATGCCCTTTGGCAAGTGGTAAAAGCATGCCTGCCCCTACGCCCCAGGCGGCTACCCATGGACTCAAGGCTCTAGCGTTGCGGCCACGGAGCTTGAAGGCATTCATACCGTCTGATGCACCTTCGCAGTAGATAGTAATAGAACCAGAGCCGGTAAGAATAGCGAGGACCGAACGATTCATCCTGCCAAGGCCACTAGGTGACCATTCTAAGGCGACGAGGTGGTTCATGGAACTGCCTTGGCTCGCCACAGTGCCCGAACCACCACCCCCAGGGGTGTACTCAAAGTCTGGAACTTTCTGTTTGACGAGGTCAAATATAGGACGGTTCAACTCTGGACTTCTATGCTCGACAGTTGGAAATCTAAGTGTAGTTTCATTATACTGTCGAACCACTCCGGCGCTCCCGCCATTAGCGGTTTTTGGAATGGAGAATTCCGGGACAAAGACGAAGACACAATCATCGCATCCAATGGCCAATTCTGCGTCGGGGGACCACACGATATTATGTGTACTTGAAGGAGCGGCCGTAAGACTGAACGATTCCAATGGAAGGATATTTTGAGGTGGTTTATCAGAAGCCATCTCGGAGAGATGGACGTCTTGTTTTGTAATTCTCAAGTCATACTAATAATTAATCATCGACAGATAGTTTGAGGATGAGAGAAAGTATACGATAACGGGGAAGGCTCCGATTGTTGTTTGTTGTGAGAAGTAGATGCGAAATGTACCTAATTTATGATGTAGAAGAAGAAAATAAAAAGAAATCAAAGTTTATCTCAGTGTAAGTACCTAAACAAATACAAAATTACCCAAAATAACTGCACGCAACGATGCTATTTCTTTTAACCCATGACAATTCTATCTCCCCATCACTTTTTAAACTTGTCCACTCAATACTACCTGACTACCACACTTCTATTCATTGCTATACTTTTAGAATATTTAACCTTGTTGTCGCTATGGCAGATCAGGTACATCGGCTCATCTAACTGTCCATAATCTTTTTTCTTTTCTTTTTTTTCTACTTCATTATTAATAACGTGATACACGGATTTATAACATCACTTAATTCTTCGGGGTCTCTAAGTATGATCCCAAAGCCCATAGAGCAGCACAACTAGCTAATGCTGTCGCGCCTATAAGCTTCTTCCCATACCAATTATCATCCGTTAGGGGTTTAGCTGTTTGCAGCCTCTTCGACGGTCGGGACTTGGGTTTGTTTGAAATCGTAGCATTGTTCTCGCCTGCTTTCTTCGCTTCTGCTTCTTCCTCGTCCGCAAGAACTCTTAGTCTTGCAATAGTTTTGCTGAGAGCTAGCATTTCGTCATCCACTGTGGTATTCCTAGCTCCGTCCACTTCAACATTCTGAATGTTGCCAAAGAAATCGGTTAGTAATCGGCTTCGGGCGGCTTCTGCGCCTCCTTGAAACAGATCGTATCGGACGCCTGCGTTGGAGTGTATCTTCTCGTAGTTATAACTGTCGAAGAGGTCGCCGATCGTTTTCTTGCTACTTAAGTCCTTGACTTCGGATTCCAAGAACTCGAGGTTATAATATGTATATCGGTCAATTACAGCAACCCCGACGTCGTTATCGGCGTGGTGCGAGTATGACGACTGATCGAGTTCGGAAGATCCGGTAGCGATAATATTAGGAGAGTATAGCTTGCTGTACATAGTGTTTGCTTGACACGTGTCGATCATAAATAGGATCTCGTGGTACCTGTCCCAATACTTATGTTAGTCAGGATGTCTCGTCGAAACAAAATGTAGAAAGAGCCTCAAACACCTTCTCTTTTCCCACATCTGTTCAAACGCATCTGCCAAGTCAAAAGCACCGATCTCTTCAGCATCTTGAAACTTGAGGAACTCGTTTCCTCCATGTCCTGTCATATAGACGAAGATGTTGCTCCGGTCGTCAGTCAGCAGTCGCTTACTTCTGGGCATCTCGTCCCCAACGCGATCCGTCAATAAGCGAATAAAATTCTCGACGGTGACCTCGTATCCTCGGTAATCGACTTCGATATTGTCCCCGTATAGGTCGACAGCGCGGTCTGCGTTACTATACACGGTCCCGGGGAAGGCATTGCGAGGGTTGCAAGCCATGTCGTCGGGTAGCATAAGAATGATTTGCGAATCGGGGATGCCCAAGCGCTTGACAGTTCGGTACATGGATAATACATTGGCGAGGTGGCGATAGTTGAACCAGAACCTCGACGTGCCAACAAGGACGGCCCAGTTACTTGTATGTTCGGCTGACACGATCGGGGGCGCAAACAGCGACGCTGCGAGAAGCGCAGGGAGGCTTAACACGGTGGACAACTTCATGATGGATAACTATTATCATCAGATATCATCAGATGTACGAAGTTTCCGTTTAGCGTCTCGTCGTCGGTAGGATAATGGTAGAATAAGAATGTTCTTTCGGAATTCTAAGACGATATCAATGTCATGTCGTTTATGTTATTATCGTCAACGTCTTGGAAGAAATCTTAGAAGAAACGTCTTAAAGATAGAGAAGAATATTGAATTGAATTTGGAAACCGATTTGTCATCTCAGCCGAAGGGCAAAGGAGTCAGTCAATTAAAGCCAAGGGGTCCCGACTTCTGTCTCTACCGTGATACCTAAATCTATGGTCGGCATGTGTTATCTCCGATTGACAAAAGGCACATACCTAGGTACCTACAAGGAGGTATAAGGTTAGGTACTGCTTACAGGTCCGGTGTACCTAAGATACAGGTACCTAAGGTACAATACCTATTGTACTTCCAGCGTTGTAGCGTCATCGGCCCGGGCAACCTAGTAGCTGCAGGGACTAAAGTGCCCTTACCCAATAGCTCTAGGCCGATTCTACCACATGCCTCTTAAGCGCGCTGGCGTTAAAAGGGCTAACTGCTTCAATGCCCCAGATTCGTCCACTGACCTACCGGTAACCTACCATCGACCGACCACTCGCTTCCCAATACCTGCAACTCGAGTCCATTTATGTACACAATACCAAACTTATAAGCGGGTTGCAGGGTTTCGTACCCTGGCGATTATTCTACTTTTACGTCATGCGCCATCTATTTGAGATGTTGCTCGCACCGCAAAGTAGGTACCTAGAGGTAGGTACCTAACCTTAAATTCATCAATCTTAAACTTCTGTCATTAATTTTCCCTCATGACGATCTTTGCCAACCTAACACTTTACTCCGCATCGTTCACGTATTACTTAAGTTTATTTAGTTCTGTTAAAAAGTTTATACAAACTCTTAAGACATTGCACTGCATTGCATTGCCTTGCAGTGAAAATGTTTCATTGCAAACTTCGCAACTCGTCTACGACACTTTGACCGAGGCCGAGACCTAGACCCCTAGACCCGCGTCACCTTTTGGAGAGCTACATCTATAAGATACCAGAGACTTGCGCAATACCCAGTATAAAATCATATGTACAGGAGCCCAAGGTAGCTGCTAATTAACTCACCTAGTTGTTGCACTCACTACCTTTTCCAAAATATTTTGGAGGCCAAGTAATAGGCCTATTCAGAAAAAAAGCAAAAAGGAATACCAAAAATAGGGAATTTTGCTTATACTTACCTAGATATCTACCTAAATCTTCCACTTCTCCACCAACTTGATATCTTGATATCTTCCACTTAGCAATCTCGAATAAACAACGAAAAAAAGAAGAAAAAAAAAGACTCGGTCTCTACTTTACTAGCAAGACTCAGCCGAGCCTAACCGATAGCAGCTATGGGCCACCCTCCAGCTTACATATTCATAGTTAGGTTTGTTTCTCGGCAGAATATTATCCATTTTTAAGCTCGGAACGTGAAGCTAACCACGGAAATCTAAATTTAGGCATGGTAAACGTCTCGACGCCGCCGATAAACAATGGCACTTGTCCTCTCCGACCCCTTATGACCCGCCTCTGACATACGGTGGATGGCTACAGTCTAAGACCGTCGGAGCGAGGATAGCACATATTTTACAAGAGAGGGAAGCAGAGGATGAAGCTACCGTTGCTAGTAACGAGTCAAACAACAGCCTTACCAAGCCCAAGAAGCGTCGGTACAAGGTTGTAATACACAGTTCGCCCTTCCTTCGATGCGTCCAAACATCCATTGCCATAGCCGCCGGCCTCGCCTCTACTCCCGCTTTGCCTACTCCCATAGAAAGGTCTCCCTCCCCACGAAGTACGCATGTGTCACCCCTGAGTTCGCCGGCCATACGACCCAATACGTCTACACCCCCGCTTGCGAAATCATCCCATAGCCCCTCAAAAGCTAGATTGGTGGAGAGGTCTGTTTTGCGACTCGATGCTTTCCTTGGAGAATGGCTATCACCTGACTACTTCGAGCATATTACGCCACCACCAAGATCAAGCCTTATGCTAGCAACAGCAAAAGCTGAGATATTGCGCCAGGAGAATCACAATGACTACGCTCAGTTCCATACTCGCCATGTTCCAAGTACCTCCTCTCAATTATGGAATGCTGCTCCTAGTCGTGGGAGTCCCTTGGCTACCTCAGTCACCCCCGAATCCGACACCAACCCAGGTCTCGATAGCCTGTCCTCCTTGAAAAGTCATCTACCAAGATATAGAAGCGAGTCGGTTGGGCAAATCGACCCAAGAACAGCACATAAGGTATCCTTGCCCAACCCTACGTTGAATCAAGGATATGTCGGCCCGGTTCCTTCTTATGCTCTTTCGACTTCAGAACCCATACCAAGGGGTTATGTGACACATGCTCGCGATGCTTGCGTCGATTTTGACTACCAGTGGGACTCTAGTAGAGATGATATAGGTTGGGGAGACGGAGGCATTCTACCTGAAGAATGGGCCGAGATGCACCAGAGATTTAGGAAAGGGCTGAAGCGATTAGTCGAATGGTATAGCACAACGAAAAATCCTGCTGAGATGGTGACAAAATCCTCGAGTCCGGCATCCCCCAAGTTTCCACCAAATAAGAGTGATAATAGCAGTCGATCTATTGACGATGAAGTTGAAGTAGAAAGCGTTGTTGTCCTTGTTTCTCACGGCGCCGGTTGCAATGCCCTTATAGGTGCTATCACACAGCAACCAGTCCTTATCGATGTTGGGATGTCGTCGATTACGATGGCGGAGCGGAAGCCAGAATTTGATAGCGCCCTTGCTACTACAAGCATTTACGGAGGGCAAGCTTCTTCACTTGAGAAGCCTCTATCAGCCAAGCAACCTTCATTATCGGATATGTTCGAGTTGAGATTGTTTGCTAACACAGAACATCTTTCTACAATTACTCCAGCCGGACTTAGCCGTTCTCTTTCTGCTGCGAGCCGGAACGGTCGAGGTCGAAACAGCAATGGGTTTACTTCAGTACTAAAAGAGGTTGCATTTGGCAACTCGTTATATGGAAACCAGGCATCTTTAAGTCGTAGCAATTCGATAAACGCCTCGCTAGGCAGCATGCGAAGAGGCTCGCCAGTGCCGACATCATCATCGCCCAAGATGGCGGCTGCTGTGGGCGTAACTATTAGTAATGGTACCTCCAGTGCCTCATCTACTCAAGCCGATCGCTCTAGCTCACCGGGACTATGGACACCGCCCACCCCGGACAATGCTCTTCCAGAGGAGCAGACGGAAACTTCACCCATAACCAAAAATGGCCACCAAAGCGAAGCAACAAAGCATAATGGGGAGACGTCTACGGAAATACAAGAGGGTTATTCCCAACCTAATGGCACCGGATCTTTTGTCGCGAAGAAGACTATTTCAAAGACGAGATCGGAATCGTCTCATGGCGAAGGACATGACCAATTCGACGAGAATCCTGCCCCGCGGCTATGGGGCGGCGCGAGTAACGGCCTATGGGGCACTCCTCAGCCTCCCGGAGAGGCTGAAAGAATTAGAGATTTTACTTCGACGAAGCGGCGGTGGACTGTCAATGAGCGATAAAATCCAATTATAGCAGCGACCATAAGGGGATAAAATCGTTATCCTACTCCACTCAAATAATAACTTGCTTCGTTACATGCTACTTTCGCTATCGGACGATATCTAGGCCGATGCGGCTGCCGACATCATCAACGGCGTATTTCTAGATGTTTTCCTGTTTTTGGAGTTCCTTGGCTAAGGGGATATGGAATAGTCCCCATCAAATACCCCCTTCAGCTCAGAGGATATTTCTTTTTTTGCAGCCTCCCATTTTGCTGTTATGGGAGATACCTCTTAACAGGTCAATGATGGCATAACGAGGGAATATGAAAAAGATTGAAAGGCTCAAGTTTGACTCGTAGTAGTGGGCCATGGGCTACGTCGGGCCTGAACTACCTAGGTAGCCGTTAGTTGGTGATGAATGAATGAATGAATGCCCAAACATTTTATATCTGGAGTGATTATGGAAGAATAACCAGGGGATCGAATTGCCCAACCCGTAGTATTCCAAATCAGAATTAATTCTAATGATACTACTCTCCAGAAGCCCCAGTGAGAAGAGGGTAAAACATGCGAGTCTAAGTGACACGAGTAGGCAGCGCCTAGCTTCGAATCCTAGGTGGTTCTCGATCTGCATGCGCCTTCGCGCAGCATCACACAGCATAGAAGACCCTGTATCAACCTATAGAGGCGCATGGGAGTAAACGCCTATCTACTACTCTACACGAGATATTATAGAGCGGGGTTAATGTTTTAATTACCTGGTAGGAATAACAAAACAACAAAACAAGACAGATATAATTACAGTTATAGTTACAGTTACATATAACTAGTTAACCCAAGTTATAAAGATTTGTTTCAAGAACAGCGGAAGTCTCAATTCTAGCCATAGGGGCGACATGTCTAGCACAAAATCTCGACTAGAAATGTTCCAACCCCCTCATAAACAAAACGCCTTGAATATGCAGTTCAGCACCATACTCCTATGCTCGCGCAACACAGATGCCGCCTTCGAGATTCGACCCCGTACCGGTTTCTCGTCTACAAACTCTTGTCCTTAGCTATAAAGCCGTACCAGGTAGTTAAAGGCTCTCTCTCTCTCCCTATCTCTCTTTCTTCCCGGATCAACAGCTCGCTCAATGACTCTCCTCCTCCTCCTTCCTCCTAAGTCCACCGCCTGGGATAGGATCTAGATCTAAACCTAGACCACGAGATTTTCACCCCGTCGGTCCTTAGGTACTTAATAGGTTAGGTATCTTCGATAAAGAAAACCATATGGTTGGTCCTTGGCAAAAGGAAAAAAAAATCAAAAAAAAAAAATCAAAACTCAGGGCCCTTTCAACCAAACACCTTCTTCATAGCCTGATGCGCCAACTCGACGCCCAGGAACGTCGCCGCGTTAGCCGGCACGGCCCTCGCCAGGGCGGGGCCGAAACCGGGGAAGAAGGCCTTGACGCCGCCCTTCCCGTACAGCTCGCGGACCACGCCGCCGATGCTCACGTGGCCCTCGGCAGTCTGCAGCCGGCTCTTGACGGTGTCGACGGGGAACACGGGGATCCACATGGCGATGCCCGCGGCGCCGCCGGCCGCCGTGACGGCCGTCAGGCTCAGGTCGCCGCTGGGCTGGCCGGTGGCGGGGTCGCGCGGGGTCAGGCGGCGCTTAATGTACTCGTAGGTGGCGAAGTAGGCGGCGGAGCCGGGGCCGTCGCGGGCGAGGGTCGCGGCGCTGCCGCGGAACACGGACCGGACGCCGCCTTCGCGGTACAGCTGGCGCACGACGTCCATCGCGCCCTTGTACCGGGGCTCCTCGCCGGGCTTGAGGCGCTGCCCTTGCACCTGCAGGATCACCTTCACGCGCTCGAAGGGCGCGGTGATGGCCGTCATCGGGATCGCGCTGAAGAAACCCGCCGCGCTGATCTGGCCGATGGATAGGGCGCCCGTGGGGGAGGGCGGGGAGAAGGAGGTTACGATTTGCTTGCCGAGGTCGTAGCCCCAGAAAGATACGGCGACTAGGATTTTATTTTGTCAGTTTTTTTCCTTTTTCTTCTTGTTTTTCTTCTTCTTCTTCTCTATGCATACCACAATTTGCGAAAGAATGAATCAAGGGAGAAGGAGGGGAAGAAGAGAAACAGAAAGAGGGAAAGAGGAAAAGAAAAACATACACATAGGGGTAACGCCGACCAACGGCGCGCTAACACCCGCATACAACCCCCTCCTCAGCCCGTCGCGAGCAACGCTCTTCCTCACGACGTCGATGGCGGAGGAGTACGCGCCCTTATCGGCGGTCTGCAGGCGGACCTTGACGAGGTCGAAAGGGTGGCCGACGACGACGGCGCAGACGCCGCCGAAGCCGCCGGCTACCAAGGACCGGAGTTGAGACGAGACGCTAGACGCGGCGGCTGCGGCGTCGGCCTTGAGCTCCGTTTTCAGCTCCTCCTTGCTCTCGGGGATGTGCGGCAGGTGGTCGGCGACTTTGGCCGGGAGCGACGAGTGCAGCTTCTCGTTGATGCCGGCGGCGTGCTTGTCGTTCGACGACATGGCGGCGGCGGTGGCACTGCTGCTGCTGCTGCTCGTGCTTGTGCTCGTGCTACTGCTACTGCTTTCTTACTCGGTTCGATTCGCTTTATCTTTTGCTTTGCTTGGGGGTTATCCTTCGCACCTATCGAATAAGTCGGGAGGGTCGATTGTCCTGTTGCGCGAATTCACGCCCTCGATAGAACCACAAGTGGTTGGCTTGTCGAAATAACAACAATAGTTCGATATTGTTGCGCCCACGTTACACTTTCAACACAACCGGAGTCCGAGACAGATACGTAGAACAAAGAAAAGCAAGCAGGAACTCGAAGGGAAAACAGCTTTATCGAAAAGAAGCAGAGTCGGTAAAGTAAGAAACCAAAGCCGAGCAAAACGTCAGAGATAGTTAGTCTTCTTGCCTCGGCAGAAACCCAAAAAGAAGGGTTCGTAAAGTACCAGGTACAGGCTAGGTACTATAGTACTTCGTGTTTGCGCATACCTATACAGAAGTACCCGCTTTTTGCTAACCTTTAAGCCCGGGCCTGGAACGCCTTACCTCAAGGCTCAAGTTCAATACAATATATTACAATACACACATCGTAGGTATCGCAATGCAAAAAGCACATATAATAATATCTCGTTGCTTTTTTTTTTTTTTTCTCGATATTCAGTTGAAGCTATATATTAAGTTAGGTATCTAGGTAGGTACAATTCAAAACCGATAATATCAGTAACAACAGCCTTGCCACCTGAATGACCCCACGATGACCATCTAAAGAATAAACCGTTAAGCCGAACGAGTCAGGTATATACTATGTATCTATCGTGCCTCGGTCAAATCGGTTTAATGGATCTAAGTAGGTGTTGTCCAGACTCCACTGTCCTTTACGTAAATCTCAGGTACCGAACGTAGCTGGGTAGGTAGGTCAATAAAAGAAAAAAAAAAAAAAAAAAGAAATACCCCGCCGAAAAGTCCGCAGGCGCCAATTCCCCACGTATTCTCAGTACAACCATACACGAACAAGGCAAACACCAAGTCGCTCAATCACATCCGCGAAGTTACCGGTTATAACATTACGTCTTTACTTACATATATCCAGTGTTACCAACCCTACAGCAAGGCCACCATTTATTCCATTAGTTCGGCCCGCCCAAAATTAGGTGCCGGCAGAAGCCGTGCAGGTTGGTTCCTGACCCGGCTATAGGTACCTACCTACGACGATACGTCATAATCATATGCCAAACTGCCTGCTGTACATAATAGGAACGGTGGAACTTATTGAATAAAATGCACGTGTAAATGGTTCACTCGCACATGAATGAGGCTAGGTAGTTACATAGGTACCTAACCTACCTTAGGTAGGCAGGTATTCGCTCTCCAACAATACAGAACATCTAGATCTTTAGAACACCTAATAAAAGAATGGGGTATGCTTGCTCGTCATTTCCCTCTATTCCATTTTTAATTTTATCTTCGAGTTCATCATCGTCTTACAACTCTCTCCAACCACCCTCGCTCTGTCCAATGAAAGAATATCACCACCCATCATCGAACGCCCCTAATGCACATTTACTCCGGGGAAAAGGAACAAACTCGCCCGCAATATACCGCATCTACCCCAGTTCATGGGTAGCTCAAGCGAGATAGAACGCCCCTGGCACCAACCATTGCACCAACCATTCAGCTATTACAGCCCCTCAATACCCACTTAGGCCCTTAGATGTTAGAGCATTGACCCGACCCATCCCACACCAACATGTTGTGTCCCCCTCTCTCTCCATCTGTATCGTGAGGTTGATTCCGTGCTTGCCAAGGTAGCTCTGGACTCTATCTCGAACCTCCTCCAAGTCTGCACCTCGGATTGCGGCCACGTGGATCACACCGAGGATCCTACTTCCAGACTCACTACTTGCACCGTCGTCCACCCAGAACTTCGGCACTGAGTATGAGGCAACGCCTCGCTGGTTCGTGATCTCAGACAGCGTATTACGAAGATTGTACTCGGTATCCGCTGGGATCGTTAGAAGTAAGCGCTGAGCTGATGACTTCACTAGGGGTATAGCCGTAATAAGAATCAGGTACGCAATTAAGAAGGATGCCAGAGGATCCCAGCCTGACCATGGGACAAGGTAGGTTAATATTGTCGATACAATAACAGAGGCACTTCCGAGAGTGTCTGCTAGAATATGCAAGTAGATACCGTGCATGTTCTCGTTCTCGTGGCCATGGGAATGAGCATGTCCGTGTCCGTGGCCGTGGCCGTGGTCGTGCTCGTCATGCAAGCTACAGTCGTGGCCATGATCCTTGTGGCCGTGACTATGGGTATGGCTGTGAGAGTGACCGTGCGAATGTCCGTGGTCGTGCGAATGGTCATGACTATGACCATGATGGTGCCCATGAGAGCCGAAGGCAAAGATACCCAACAAATTTACGACCAGTCCTAACGTACTAACGATGAAAAGCTCTCGAAGTCTCTTGGTTTCTCGGCCTTCTAATAGCCTCTCAAATCCCTCGAACATGATTTCAAGACTAATGAGTCTAGGGATGTTGTTAGATAAAGAATACAAATGGGTGGTAACAAAGCTTACATCAAGAAGACACCATTCGCAAACCCGCTGAGGGTCTCAATCTTTCCGAAACCATAAGGGAATCTCTCGCTAGGTGGCCATTTACTCATGACTGATGCAAACAGTCCTACTGCCAGAGCTACGCAGTCGAAGAACATATGTATACTGTCACTGAGAAGCCCTAGAGAGTCGGTCAAATATCCATAGACGGCTTGAACACCCATAAAAGTAAAATTAACGCTATAAAAAGAAAGGTCAGCATTGAATCAGAAACGTAAAATGAATCTGGGCCGGTCTTACGCCATGAAATAGAAAATGCGCCGTGAGTCCTTTTCTGTCATGATGGCATGTATCAGGGGCCATCTCGAGGTAAAGGGGAGCAACAAGGCCGTAAACTTTGAGCAACTTCCTCCATGGCCACCGTCGTAGGGATGCTCACGTATAACTGTGGCAGTAGGTGCTCTATAACTTGGGGTTTTTGGCGCGTCTATTATGTCATTCTTCTCTGAGCTAGCCAATTCCTCGCCAGTTTGTCTTAGAGGTGATGGTCGGTTTTCTCGTCTTTGTAACGGTACGAACGAATTTGCTCGGTATTGTGTTAGATTCTGCCGAGCCTGTACTTGAGTGTCAGGATCGAGATGGTCATGACTATGGTCGTGGTCGTGGTCGTGATCGTGATCGTGGTCGTGATCGTGATTGTGATTGTGATTGTGGTCGTGGTCGTGGTCGTGGCTATGGCTATGGTTGAAGTCGGGTCTGAGACCTTGGCCTTGAGGGTAGCCCTGCAAAGAACGAGCCGATCTCGAGTGGCCAAAGGACGATGGAGAACGAGAGTGAGAGTGGGTGCGGGAGTGGGAGTGAGAGTGGCCGTGATTGTGTGGAAGTGGAGGCTGTGGTAGAGCGTAAGAGGATGCCATTATGTCGTTCAATGGCCAAATTGGCTTTAGATATATTGTTTGCTTGGTCTAGTAGTGATGATGTCTAGAGTCTTAAAAGACTCTCTTCGATTTTCCAACTTTATAGCATATGTATAGGATTATTAGTGCATAAATAAGAACAAACTTATTATTAACCGACGGTCCTAAATTAAGCACACCGGAAAAGCGTAGGTACTTTCGGCGGTGATGATCGATGATGGTCGGTGCTGAATCGGTATACCTGGCTGTTGGTTATATGGGACAATTATTTGACTGCGTTGGTACGGCGTCGATAGCGATTGAGGGATCGAGCAAGAGGTAATTAATTTAAATATCTATTACAAGTTTTCGAGAGTGAGCGTGGGAGTGCTACGCAATCTTAACTAGCTGACAAAGATTAAAAGAGAAAAAAGCAATCCAAAGAGAACAAGCAAATTGTGGCATCTTATTCTGTTGAAAAAAGAGTGGAGGAGAAAAGAGAACGACGATGTCGAGAAGGAAGAAAGATCCATTCTAGCCCCCTGTCCCTGAATGCGGTTTCCTAAATCATTCTCCTTCCGATCTATGCAGCTTGCAGCAGGTACTCCGCATTATTACTAGTACCATGTACTAATCAGATGTACCTGGGGATGTTTTTCTTTTTGCCGAGTGGTCATTGAGTGTTACGGTACAAATACCTACGTTACAGTAAGATTACTAGGCTTTTAGGGCTTGTTAGGAGGTACATGTAGGCATCCCATGTTTAAAGTTTATGTGCCTGAGGTCCTTTATCTGATGTAGGTACTTAAGGTATTGTACCGAAAGTTTAGTCGGGCTGGGAAAACCTTGAAACATTGAAGAGGTACCTAAGGAGGTACCTAAGATAAGCCATCACAGGTACCCGATCTACTCTGTACCCGGTACATAATAGCGTCAAATGCCTCCTATTCCCGTCATCCAATAAAACATCGATCTTAGGTCTTGTAAGGCTCAAAACGTACCTAATACTTGGCAACCGAACTTTATCGTCGACAACACCACATCGAACAAACAATATCTCCGTCGGCAATCTTGGTAATTAAGATCATGATTACCTTAGGTACCTAACCATCAATTTGGCATTGACATGTACTCTGCCAATGCAGTTCATCCAGATTCCACACGAGAAGAGGACAGGTTGCAGATGAGATTTAAACGAGAAACTCATCGCTGTATAATAGCTTCAAGCTTACCTACAACCATACCAACTTTGTAGTAAGCTATATTCATACCTACAAACGAATCGGTATTATCTTCTCAAAATATATCTCCCCGTCTTACTAATTTTACCATGGCATACCTCGGCTTTGTGCTGGCGTTTACAGCCTTCGGATCGTTACTTGGCCTTGTTGTAGTTTTAACAATGCTACCTTCACGCTACGTCAAGCACTCACCTGTGCCTAAGGAGTCTGTTTCTGTCCAAGTCTTGGTTCTCGGAGATATTGGTCGGAGCCCGCGTATGCAGTACCATGCTTTAAGCGTTGCTCGACATGGCGGAAGGGTTGATCTCATTGGTTATAATGGTATCTTTATTTCTCTTCCTTGGCTGACGAGTAATTCGTACTAAGTCTCTGTATAGAGTCAACCCCTCATCCCGATATTCTCACCAACCCTAGGATCAAGATCTGTCCGTTGGCACTTCCGCCAGCTGTGCTTAGGTCCAGTTCTATCCCATTCATCATCTCGGGACCTCTAAAGGTGATATGGCAGATTTGGACTCTCATCCGAGTCCTCGGTTACCAGACGGAACCAGCAAGATGGATTATGGTTCAGGTATACATACTATTCTTCTTACTGCCTTTGTTATTATGATTATTAGCTAATATCTAATCCAGAACCCTCCATCTATTCCAACTCTAGCCATTACTCTTCTGATTTCTGTATTGCGTAATACACATCTCATCATTGACTGGCACAATTATGGCTGGACAATCCTCGCTGGTACTAAAGGGAGAGATCACCCGTTCGTGGAAATATCAAAAGCTTACGAGTGCGCGTTAGCTCAAGCAGCACCTACCGCTAACATCACAGTTACTCATGCTATGAGGCGACAATTAGAGAAACCGCCTTATAGCGTCAAGGCGCCAATTATTGTGCTTCACGACCGACCAGCCTCCCTATTTCAACCTTTGAAATCTTTGTCGGACCGTAAGGACTTCCTTGAAAGGTTACCAGAGACTAGGGAATTTGCTTCGAACATCGTCTCAGGCCAGACGAAGCTCATAGTCAGCAGCACGTCTTGGACGCCAGACGAAGATTTCTCCCTACTACTTGATGCTTTAGTTACATATGCTGAGAATGGATCCACAACCCCTATTATGGCAATTATCACAGGCCGTGGGCCTCAAAAGGCTGCTTACGAGGAGAAGATCCAGAACTTACAGAAAGCGGGCAAACTGCCCAACATTCGCATATTAACTGCTTGGTTAACGATGGAGGATTATGCTAAGCTCCTGAGCTGTGCTGACCTTGGGATATGCCTTCACATGTCGAGCTCTGGAGTCGATCTGCCCATGAAAGTTGTGGATATGTTTGGATCTGGATTGCCAGTTGCCGCGTACTCTGGATACGAGAGCTTTGGTGAATTAGTTAAAGAGGGTGTGAATGGATGCGGCTTCGAGACAGCAGACGAGCTAGCGGCAATATTAACACGGCTATTAGGAGAAAAAGGGGCAGGCGAGCTCCAGGCGCTACGTAAAGGGGCCAAGAAAGAGAGCGATCTACGGTGGGATGAGGAATGGGATCGAGTTCTAGGTCGTGTATTAGTGGTTATGGACTAAGGAACGACAATGCCTTAAAAGAGCGACTACTTATTACGACGATGGAAATTGATGATGGAAATTGATGATGGATGGGATTTAATTACTTATCAAATAGGTAACACCTATACGCCTTCTGGAATGCTCCGAAAATCAGCTATGCTAGTGTATAAACATACGCTATTCAACAGAAGACGGTACTTCTGGAATAATGTCCTGGTTTCACCTTTTCATTCGAAAGGTACCTCTCATCGACATAAAATTCGCTGTTTGGGACGTGGTGGTGAGTTTCGCTCATCTCGGTCCTTCGTTTAACCTAATCCTCACCCAAGCTCTCCCTAACGCACTTCCTCACCCGCTTCCTGAACTCCTTGGGGCCACCTTCTCGCTCGGCTCGCAACAGTTTAGCAGCGTCTAGATTAGCAGGGCTCTCGTCATTGGGTTCATTAAACAGGCTCAGCACGCTCAGCAGTATCGTCTCGGGGGTCTGGACGGGACTCCAGCGCTCGGAAGCACTCTCATAGCCGTACTTGTCTTCCTCCGGCGGGTGCAAGATCGATATGCAGAGTTCGCCGTTAGGGTAGATGTTGGGGTGGAACGGGACCGGGTTCTGAAAGACGATTTTGGGAGGTAGGTGAGGATACTCGGGCGGGAAGGTCATAATGGCGCGGAAATAGGCACCTGTGTTTTTTTAATATTAGCTATAACCGGGCCGGACCTAGGCGGTCTTTATGACTCGACGATGCCTATGACAAGAACGGCTCAAGAACAATGGGCTGGAGCAGAGAAAGGGCTGAATGAAGACTTACCACCATAGTACTTGCAATCGTCATTGATCATTAGAATAACCTCCCATTCGAAGACGTTGCTTTCCTTAGCCAGCCCTACTGAAATACCTGATAGGTCGGATGACGTATGCATCTCCTTGAGTTGGCGCTGTAAGAGCCGGGCAGCTCCGGAGGTCTGCGCCGACGACCCGGCCGCAGTGCTGGGCGTGGGCGTTGACATGACGATATTTGCGTGTTATGTATTACGCGACAAATGCCTAGGATATTTGTATTTTGGGATTTGTATTTTGGTAACTTGTGGACTTGCTGATGTCTGATGGATAAATCTAAGAGCTGGTATTTAAGATGTAGTTGGACGGGGGGCAACAACGGGATTGTCTAAACTAAACTAAGAGTTTAAAAAGCAACTAACTAACTAGAGCTAGAGGACGTAGTGTAAGGTAGATATACTAAACGTGTAATTCTTTGTTGGGCGGAGTGGCGTTAGATAATTGTTTAACGATAGAAAAGTGAAACAAGAATGTGAAAGCTTGAATCTACGTAGTTCTTTCTGGTCCAAATCCCCCGAGGGCGAGGGCGAATGTCCTGGAATTGGAATTGATGGTGGGGTAGCTTATTTATGTACCGGTACCAAGTTACATCTATGTAAGAATTACATGCAGGGATAAGGAAAATGAATTATATAGGTAAGAATATAGGAATATAAGAATATATATGGCATTGAATTATAACAGGTAGGACAATTACTATATGCTAGACTACCTAACTTACCCAAATTCATTTATAATAAATCTCTACGTCACACATGGTATAAAAATTGTATTTATAACAAAAATACAAGTTCATTTTCGCAATTGTGAACGGTATTAGTGAATAAAAAAAAAAAGAACAAGTGCTTTCATGCGTTACCCTATCAGAGCCTGTTAAAGGTGTTCAAGTTTGAACCCGGCCAAATTGACTCCCATAAGCCCGGGAACATGCATGCAGGCTTGTGCAACGGAACAGGTACCTAGGTAGCAGTCACTTAGGGGCACCTCCTTGTCACATATTACATAAAGTCATACCTATACGCCCATTGGGCTTTACCTTATGATAGGCAACTCCCTACCCATTTCTATGTATCTACATAGGTACCTAGAGGTAGCAATATAAGTCGACAGTTCTACCATCACTTTAAAAGAAAGAGAGAAAAGAAAAATAAAAAAAAATTGGATTACGTAGTAAGAGCTTCAAAACCACCTTATAAATAATGTTTTTATTTTCCAGCATAAATAGGGTATTCCAAACTTAACCTCTACCTCATATGATCGTACCAACCAAACCATGATACTCATCATACTGTAAGTCAAACCAAACGCCGAATCCAATGCATCCTTGACGCCCCCTTGTCCGCTTATATTTTCATATGAATACCCAAGGTATCATCCCATAAAATACCCCTAGTTAATATTAGCCCTCGAACTACTTCTTTTTCGACGTCCCAAACCCAGTAATCCCCATCGCGGCCATCATATCGTCTTCGTCGTGCTCTCCTTCGACCCGCACGTCGTCGCCGTACTCAGTCTTGATCTTCTCCTGCGTCTCCTTCTCCGCCTTCTTCTTCGCCAGCTCCTCCTGCCTCTTCGCCCTTCTCGCCTCCCTCTCCTTAGCCTCTTCTTCCTCGCGCAGTTGCAGCCGCTCCTTCAGCGTCGTTGTGCTGGCCTTCTTCTGCTCCTGCAGCCGCTCCCACACCTCCGTGATCCGCTGGTGCACCTCCGCCGCGCTCGCCTTCTTCACCTCGCCCGTCTCCCCGATGTTCCGCAGGTGCTGCATGCTGTTGACGTGCTCGACCCACTGCATGTTGTCCTTGAACGTGAGGTCGCACGCGCTGCAGTAGAACCCGGCGCCGCGCCCCCTCTTCCCCTGGCCCGCGCCCGCCGGCACCAGCATCGTCTTGCCCACGTTGGCCTCGAGGTCGATCACGTCGCGCCGCGCCCGCGTCAGCGTCTCGTCGCCCGTCAAGGGCTTGTAGTATTTTTTCCCCGCCAGCTTCGCCTCGTACCGTGCCTTCGCCTCCTCCCTCTCCGTCGCCTCGCGCTCTTTCGCTTTCTGCGCGTACTCGTCTAGGTTGTAGCTCCGCCGGAACGACGTGTCGTCGGCCGGCGTGCCGTACGCCGAGCCCTTCTTGTCAGCCATTTCAACGGTACTTTGGAGGCGCTTGTTTGGCTTGTTTTTAAAGGGAGGGTAATGTGAAGAAATAAGTATGTTTAAATATTGACGAGAAGGCAATGCTTGGATGCTGAATGGTGTAGTTGACGTTGTAGGTGCAAGACTTGAAATTGGGACTGACGCGATAATGTAATCTAGCATTTGAATAGTTGAACAACCTAGTTGATAAGTCGATAAGACAGGGATAAGGCAAGTAGAGCTTTCAAATTAGTGGGTATCTATCCGGGTATCCACCCATGGTGTCTCATTCACATGGAAGGTGCAAAGGACTTCCATGAGGCCCCTGGAGAATAAATACGCTTAAAAGATTACCCCTCCATTTATGCCAGTAAGCATCTTAAGTAAAACTTCCTCCCCCACTAACTTGATCGCAGATTTCATATTAGTATGAGATGTTGTGTATCAAGTCTTCTTCCTAAGAACAAACTACCTAGGTACTTCGTATAAAGACCTAAAGCTATCTCAATCTGACACCATAATGCTCTACCTCGTAGGCCTAGGTCTCTCCGACGAGACGGACATTACAGTCAAGGGTCTCGAAGTCGTCAAAAAGGCATCGCGTGTCTACCTCGAGGCGTATACTAGCATCCTCCTAGTAGATCAGTCTGTCTTGGTATGCTAACCTTACTCCGTTCCGTTACGATATCGTCTTTTCTTTATTCAGCTAACGCTAATGGTGCAGTAGGAGAATTACTATGGCCGGTCCATTGTAGTTGCGGACCGTGAGATGGTCGAATCAAACAGTGAAGAGATCCTTCGCGATGCGGATAAAGAAGACGTCGCATTTTTAGTAGTTGGCGATCCTTTCGGGTACGGAAGACTAGATAGAATGGAAGAGGATAAATTAGACTAATACATCAAATCCAGCGCAACTACGCATACTGACCTTGTCCTTCGAGCACGCGAGCTCTCGATTCCCGTTCAGACGGTACCAAACGCTTCCATTATGTCAGGAATAGGGGCTACGGGACTTCAGCTATACAACTTTGGCCAGACGGTGTCTATGGTATTCTTCCTAGATAATTGGCGTCCCGCATCATTCTACGACCGTATCAAGGAAAATCGGTCCATCGGCCTTCACACCCTTGTGTTATTGGACATCAAAGTAAAAGAGCAGAGCCTGGAGAACATGGCGCGAGGAAGGAAAATATACGAGCCTCCTAGGTATATGACAGTCGGGCAGTGCGCGCAACAGATGCTTGAAATAGAAGAGGAGAAGAAGGAGGGCGTTTACGGACCAGACAGTCTTGCGATCGGTGCTGCGAGGGTCGGCGGCAGAGACGAGAAGTTCGTCGCCGGGACGCTGAAGCAGCTCTGCGATGCAGATGAAGCTCTCGGGCCGCCATTACATAGCTTGGTATTACTGGGGAAAAGAGCACACGAGCTAGAGAGAGATTATTCCCGCGAATTTGCGATAGACAAGGAAATGTGGGATACGATCTGGGCTAAGGATTATGGAAAGCAATGAAGAAAGTCATTCTGAAAATGCAAATACCTCCGGTATAAGTGGCCGAGGTAGGTATCTAACCTTAGGTTAAGAGGTATCTATATAATAGGTCAGTTTCATAAGGCCAAATTAACTCTTCAGCAGTATCTCTCAAACGACTTACGTATACTCATTTATTAATAAATGCAACCTCATACCTAGGTAGGTAGCAATATCTCGCGATATTTCTTGCTCCTACTGCTTCCATTGCTCCCAAGGATAAGCTTATGACGTCAACATCAGAGTCGCTAACCATTCAGTCACTATCGTAGATGTCTTCGTTATGGTATTCCCGATTAGTTAGTGACTTTACATTGGCAAGTGATGATATCTGACCATCTTAATTTTGGTTCCAGACTCCAAATGAAAGAAGAAAAAAAAAAAAAAAAAAAGCAAAGCCAAGGTGGTTGGTGAATGGAGGCACATCTTGCTTACTTGTTATCCTCGCCGGTCGATTAAGATAATGCACAGGTAAGGTGATAACGCAGGGAGGTGTTCGCAGCGCTAAGACAGGTCGGTATTGCTGAACCCAGTACTTAGTCCGTATGCATAATTAAAGGTTATTAATAAGGACCAATCCGTGAGCTTGCACGGGGTATTTCCATGTACGCGTTGAATCTATGCGTGTTGGAACTTTAAATAGAATCTAATTTCCAATCTCCCATCTCCCATCTCCCATCTCAAAACTGACATAGTAGGTGCGAAGTGCATCAACTTATTAGGCTCTCCTTCCCCCTTCCCCTCCTTTCGTTCAGCAACTATATGCTACGCTAAGGGGAAATAGGTGGTAAAAAGCCGCTAATCTTACCTACAGGCAGGTACGTGCTGACTTTCATGGGAGTTGTAACTTCCATATTGCCAATTCACCTGACGGAGACAGGAACCTTGGAACTCGCCTGCCTACATAGGTATGTACCTAAACTGAGCGACATAGTACGTACCTACCTAGGTACTCCATTTGTTCTCCATCTTAAATCCTTACCTTAGGTACATTCACACATCTCCATACATCTTCCATACATCTTCCATCCATGCGTCAATACATTCGTTACCTTCACCTCGACATAACAGCTGCTTAATCCATTTGATGCATACATCATCTCAAAGCAATTCCGATTAACCTCAGGTACCTAACATAGCACAAAATAATCCCTGGATTACCCAAAGGGCCAGACTTCTCATCAATTTAAACGGCGTCACCTGACTTCGCGACACTTTCCCCCCATTTCCTTTGGACCGACGATTCTTTTAATCTTTCTCGTTTCTCTCACAACCATTAGGATCTGGTCATAGTTCAGCGTCCCGTCTTTAATGGATCGTTCCTAAATCGTATCCTTCGATATTCGGATTCGTATTAGAAAATTAGGCTCAGGACTTATTTTTGCCGTCGCAGTTCATCTCTTCACCACATTGCAACTTTTTAAATAGATACTGCTCTGACCGAATCTCGGGGATCCCAAGGATTTTTAACTTTACAACTCGTTTGACCTCAGGTGTCTTCTTTGTCTTGTGCAAACAGTCTCTCCTCAAAAATAAACCACTGCAGCGCGCCTACGAGAAGCCAGAAAAAGCAACCAGCATCGTCTTCGAATTTCGATACACGTTAGGTATACTTTTTGGCGTTTTGCCAAACCTTGGGGTTCTGAGGTGCTTTCACTAGTAGACCTCTGGTTATGGTCTTTGTCACGAACCCTTATAATCTTCCACATCATTCAACATGGTACGAAATCAAAACTACTCACATCCCCCATACTTGTTTGATCTTCTTCACTAACTAGTCGCTATAGACCAGCATCGCATGGGAGTGCCGTGATCAGGCCGATCAGGCCGAGATCTACTACAATCATCCCCTTCGCAACAAGGTTCGTCGTCTTGAGGATGAGAATATGACCTTGAAGCGTCTCCTCCGCGAGAATGGCATATCGTGGCAAACTCGTCCCAAGTCAGTGAGCGCAAGAGCTTCTGCTGGGCGAATTACCCGTGCTTCTACCAGGGCCGTTCGTCCACCCCTTCCGCACGTCCCGGTTGAGATCCAGCTTAGAATTATGTCATTCGCTCTGACCAGTCCACTTCCTATTGTTGATCCGCTATGTAAGGCCAGGCCGGAGAACCTGACCGTTCAAGAGAAGTCCAAGTCTAACAGACTTGCTATTCACTTCCTCGCAACCTGCAAAGCCTATTACGCTGAGGGCACCAAGTTTTTATGGACCAATAACTCCTTTGTTTTTACTAGTCCGGAGTCCCTTAGAAACTTCGCCGAGGTCCCTCTTCACTTCCGAGAAAACATTAAGGAGGTCAACCTGCGCGTTATTGCAAAGTTCTATGACGACGAGGAGCGAACACACAAGATCAGCCGCAACTATCATCCCGATCTTAGAAAGGCTGTCACTCTTACCATACATAGACGACCTAAGGAAAATAGTCTTGCTCGCCGTGGCTTCCGAACTTATGGTTGGTACCAGCTCACCGACTTCCTCATGGCCATGTTACCCCCGTTCGACCCAGCTTCTGTTTCCCATGCCAATGGTTCGGCTATGTCGTATTCCACTCCGACACCCAAGTTACTGCCATCTCTCGAGAGAATTCGCATCGACTTTGTGAATTTTGGCGAAGAGATGTTTAACAATCCACCCCCCCAACTTCACGAAGTTGCATCGCATCAGCTTGGATGCACCCTGAACGAAGTAGTTCTGACTGGCCTGCCGAGCGATGAAACCGGCCTCCGAGTTTGTAACGAAATGGGAGGCCTCTTGAAAGACGAGGGTCTTCTTATTGACCATGCACCTACTATGGTGGCTCTTAAAAACGGCGTCCGTACTCTTGAATGTGATACTGATGAGTGCCATTACTGTGCCAAGGTTGTTCGGGCGATGCGTGCATTTAAGAATGGCGAACATCATCACGACGATGTACATGCTCATTTCTTTGGAGCCGACTTTCCCCCCGCACCTAAAGATGAAGGCGAGCCACCTTATTCCTATTATCACTCCTGCAGAACCATCTGGAAGAAGGTACCTGTCAAGCTCGGCGGCGAGGAGCGCAAGTGGGTGCTATTTGATAGGATGAGCGGCCTCCCGTGGGATGACGTAGAGGAGGACATAGTAATGTTTGACTTCCTAAGCGATGATGATGAGACTATGGCCTGTGAAAATTGCGGCGAGTCCCATCCCGGAGCCATTCCCCCCATAGAGATGATGGATCTTTACGATGGCTTTTGAGCATACACTGCAAGGGCTTATCACAATCTTTCTACGATGATTACGAACGATATGCATATGATACCAGGTTTGCTTTTCTTTCGGCATTTGCAAGCACGGACGGAAAAGGAAGGGGGGGAGGGAGGGGCAAATGTACTAAGACGACGTATAGGTCGGAACCCATTTTCCAAACGAAGAGTGCCAGAGCACTACCATGTAATATATGAGCCCAAAGAAACTTTGAGGCCCGAAGATCCCGATGCCTGCTTTCTAGGAATTGACTTCCATGTGTAATGCCAATTTGGCTTTTAGTTAAGAAGAGAAAGAGGCTAAACTTTAGTTAATCGCAGCTTTCATGGCATGCATTAGGTAGCCTCTCTTATTTGAGTGTTGTGAGCTTTGAAAGATAGAACCTGTGCTAGCAGCTGACTTTACAACTATGGCTCCCGATCTTCTTGGAGTCTTTAATAATTAATGTATCGCGTGTCTTCCCAAAGTTCTTAATCAGCTAACTTATTCCATATCTCCTCTACCGAAGTCTCGACGTCGAGACTCCGCCTATGGTCGAGGCGGTCCTTGGGCTAGCTTTGCGATTTTGGGTGTATTCGAAAAGTACCTACCTTAATAGATTAGGTACCTAAGCAATAGACTGACTACAGGAGAGAGAATCACGAGAAGCGAAGAATAAAAAGTTGATTTAGGTTAGGTACTTTATGTACCTGAGATGGAGTGGGTAAAGTAGGAGAACGAATTGTGTTGAGAGGCCTGTTTGAAAATATCCCCAAAACTTATATAAATCGACCCTACGTCGGGCCAGTCAACGAAACGACCAAGATATAACCCGATCGAAGGGTGTATGGAACAATGAATATCCTAGTTGGACTGTTATCAATTGTGATTCGGATTTAATTACTCAGGGTGTTTGCTATAACATGTTTTTCTCTCTTCTCTGCCTCTATCGAGAAGTAATTCTAGATACGACCAGATTACTTATCAGCTTTTGCGGATTTTCGGCCATTTTAACTCCAGTAGTAGACCACGGATCGATCGTCAATCATGGGAAATCCACATTCCCTCGCCACGCCCTTGGACTAGAATAAAATCATAACAGCGTATGAAACCTGGGTTACTCTTCAGACTCAGCTTCGCTTTCCGCTTCCTCTGCTTCGGCTTCTTCTGCTTGAGCCTCTTCGGCCTCGCCGTTTTCCTCTCCGGTGGCAACACCTCCTTCGCTTTCCAACCGTAGCCACTCTTCCCACTCCGGGAAAAGCTCTTCGTCTTCCGTCGGGACAGCAATTACCTTTGCCACCCTACCCTTTTTGTTCTTCTCCAAACTTTCCTTCCAAGCCTTGACAGTGTCGACCGTCAAGCTCGGCTTATATGTCTGTGAGAATAGGACAGCTTCGGCTAGCCTGTTTGTCTTGGTGAGAACCTCAACGCAACCTGCAGTATCACCTAATAACCACTTGCATGTGAACGCAACGTTGTGGGCGCTAGACTCCTCTGCTTGCGTCGCAAGTGCTTTTAAGCCGGCTTGGTCGGATGTGCTTGAATAAATCAGGAGTAAAGAGCCCAAATCTTTCGCATGAGTGAAACACTCAGCTGCAAGCGGGACATCCCATCCTGCAAGGGCTGCATCGCCTACCGTCTTCCACTTGTGGTCATTATCTGCTTGTCGCGCAAGATCCAGAGCAATGTCAAGCTGGTTTAGGGCCAATGACAAATCAAACTTGTGCTCGGGGTCAGTGGCTACTTCTAGCGCCAGTTCTTTATGGCCCTGTCCTTCGAGGAACCTGGCGATCTTGTTGAGCTGGTCTGTAGGGATAGTGGGGAGAAGTTCGGCGGCCGTCTCCATGTCACCACGGAGTACTAGCGTCTGGTACTCTAATACGGGGAGAGATAGAGCAAAGCTTGTTACGTTCACATCTTTATCGGCCAGATATATTCTGGAGTCTCTTTGGATATAGCCAAGAGTATACATCGGCTGGTCGAAGTGTGAGATGGTGTATATTTGGTCGCCAACCAGGTAGTTTAGTCGGTTTGTGCTGTTTGTGTAGATGAAGCAATCTCCAACCCATTGACCTGTTCGTACACTAAAACGATGTTAGATATCGGTAGATGGCTGCTAAATAATAGATACTCACCTCTCAGAAATATCTGTTATAACCTCAAAAGCGGCCTCAACTCCATCTTCGTCTACTTGGCCGGCTTGAGCAGCTTCGATATAGCTTTCTCGGGAGAATCTCAAAACATAAAAGGTGTCTTCGCAGGCCAGGGTAACAAGCTCGCCGCTATCTGACCAATAGACTTCTTTCGGTTCAACTTCAATTCGCCTGACCAAACCGCCCGTGGCCCAGTCGTAGAAAGAGACGCCTCCTTGGCCCTTCACTCCCAACAAAACGCCACCCGTTAAACCATCAGCTTGGAAAGGGATATCCAAACCACCAGTCTTCTCAACGAAGTTCTTGTAGACCTTGACACTCGTTGCCGACTCACGGATAGCGAAGTCGTTACTGTTATCCTTGGATGCCCACACAAAATCCAGGGCAGATCCGAAGGCCTTGTTACGCCAAGCCAAAGCTGTATAAATAATATACTCACCATCACCGCAAACCGCAACGAAACGGCCATTGGGGGAGTGAATAAGTGTTTGGGGATATACTTCGCATGTACCTAACTCCTTTGTAGGAAGCGTAATCGGTTCGTTGTCCTTAATCGAAGCGTCTACAGATTTATCAGTACTTGCCACAGCCACAGAGTAGAGAAAAAAATAAAAAAATACATACCGCCGCCCTTGATGATAGACGAGACTACTTCATTATGACGAGCCCAGATCAATTTACCGGAGCTGTCCATAGACACAGCAGGCTCCTCTCGGCCCAGTTTTACAACTACCGCGCCGTCATCGAATCCGACAGCCACACCCTGCTTACCACGCTGGTAAGAAATACACCACGCGCGCTCGAGGCCGTAGTTGAGGGACTGTTCAAAGCGGTAGGTATTTGCGTGCCATATCCTGATAGTACCATCTTCGGAACCAGAGATAATGACAGGTAGCTCCGGGTGATAACAGGCAAACGACACATTGTTGGTATGCCCTTCTAAGCTCGCAATAAGACTCTTGGTGGTGTAATCCCAAACCTTAACGGTTCTGTCGTCAGAGGTTGTGAGGAGATACGGCTTGTCGGAATGCGGGTAATAATCGACGTGGTTAACGCCCTTGGTCTCGTGCGCCTCGAGTGTGAAGTTGGCGGTAGAGGAGCCGAGGCTCCATATCTTGACAGTCCTGTCTAAACAGGCTGAAGCAAAAGTGTTGGTATCTTTGGGATTGATAGCCAATCCCATTACGTAGTGGCTATGGCCTTCGAAGACCTGTACACACTTCCATCCCTTCTCCCAATCCCATAACTTTATGGTCATGTCATCAGAGGCGGTCAGGACAAAAGGCTGTGTGGGGTGAATCGCGATAGCACGTATATAGTCGGGATGCGCCTCGAAGGAGGTAATCTTTTCGGATGTGTTGTAGTTATATACTCTTAGTTGGAAATCGTCGGAGCCGCAAACAATCCAGTTCTTCCTCGCGACGAATCGACCAGCTCGAACAGGGACATCGGTAAGCTCGAAGGTTTTAACGATCTGTTGTGTTTCGTACGACCAGATGTAAACGTGGCCTGAGGAAATTAGCTATTAATAGGAGCTCTAGGGACTTGTAGAGACTGAGAATGGGCTCACCGCTGTATAAGGTGGTTAAAATCCATGGCTCTTGAGGGTGGCAGTCGATGCCCTTGACACGCTCACTGCGCGCAAAGAGTTGTCGCTGCGCATCAAATACCATGTTAGCAGATCCATTAACCTGGTAGCTGGTTCACACGGTTGGAATAAAAGGCAAGGGAGGTTTAAATTCGTAAGACATGGAGGATCATAATGGTGGCATTTGGGAGTTGAGCCGGAACTAGGCAACAACGAAAGGCCAGGTCTTGATTTACCAAGTACCAAGCCATCCAGCTTGCTAGTCATATTCTTTAAACTGGATGTGAACCAAAAGGAGATCGGAGCGAACGGAAATATTAAACACACCTTCACATCCAGCCTCATTTTGCCGGTAGGTACAATTATTGACCTTTAGGAAATGAAAATGGGTAGTTCGACGGTTGATCGTGGGGTGGATCGATGCTGATATTATTATGTGAGGACCATCTAGATCGAGATTTCTGAACTGTTATATGTGTTCTGTTTTAGAAAAGAGTACCTAAGGTAGGTATCGTTTCAATTGCTGGGTTTGTAGGTTTGTAGTTGAAGCTGTAATAGCTTAGGTAGTTTGAATCTGAAGGCCCAAGTAGCAGAGGTACTATGTTGGCTGTAGCAATACAATTTACCCACACCCGTTCGCCATTTCCACATTTTCAAGTTTCAACGGTGGTCACTTCTCCCCTGCTCCAAATCAACACGATCAACCAATCAGCTACTCTGCTGCTTTGATAGCTTATATAAAATGTGGCTGAAGTTTTTACAAACATCAATTGATTGAACACCACAGTCTTCAATCCCACTGATCCACCTCTCCACTTTCAGGACAAGCCACAATTACCTTTACGAGATCTCAAAATGGAATTCTACATGTGTGCAGAATTGCCAATATGTTATATGAGGTAGGTACTAACTTAGGTGCACAAAAGTTGTATTGTACAGTACGAAATGCTGTTCTAGGTACCTGAGGTATAATGATCATACTAGGTAATAACTACTAGGACCAGATACATATGAACACTTCGCACATATAATTCTACGCATCACTTTTACGAATCCATCTACAAATCCTAAATCACTCAAGAAGGAAAAATAGTTCAGCTTGGTCATAATAATTCTTATTAGAAAGTCAATCTGCTCCTGTCGTCAACCTCGTCTCAACTCAACAGGAATGACCAATACCTAGCGAGAACGCAACGCAATTGATGCAGACTTTTTAATGCTGCTTGACGTGATCTAAGTCGTCGTAATGCGTCCTGCGTCCTGCGTCCTGCGTTCCCTTATATTTCCTTTCTGGTATCATCATACATGAACGCCTTTATCCCCTGTCATTGCCCTAGACGTAACAATCGCTCCCATGCTGTGAAATTAATCTGAAATGCAAATGCGGAAATAGAACATAGAAGGCAAAGAGTAGCTGGAAAGGGGAGATATCGCCCAGATGTTTAATCCTGGCTGTCCGCCTGGACCTTCTGGACAATCTCAACCACCTTGGGGTACAGCTTTTCAGATTTCTGCAGACCGCAAATCTTGTGGACTACCTCCTCGGGGCCGTTCTCTGCCATGATCTTAGCAAGCTCCTTGCTCTCGTCGTCGCCCTCAACGTTCTGGAAGCGGAACGCCATTTCGGCAGCAGCTAGTAGGGCCGGGGTGTCATGACCCATTTCAGCCAATTCAGCGGCGGGACCGATGAAACGCTCCTTGCGGCCAAGCTTTCGGATGGGAGCGCGACCGACACGCTCAACAGCATCAGCTAGGTGAGGGTTGCTGATTCGGTCGAGGATCTTGTTCCTGTAAGCCTCCTGCTCCTCGGGAGCGATGCCATGCTTTTCAACAATAAGCTTAGCGGTCTCGTCGAGGGCAGCGGCAACCTGACTCCTAATGTCCTTGTCTCGCATGGCATCGTCGACGGTCTGCTTCTGCCTGTTGTAGCCGAAGTAGGCGGCAGTGGCGTGGGATGTGTTGACGGTAAAGAGCTTACGCTCGATGAAGGGAAGTAGGTTGTCTACCCACTTGATACCCTCTATGGACGGCTTCTCGCCATGTTGGAAGGGAGTCTTCTCGACGACCCACTCGTAGAACTTCTCCAAAGTCACGTCCAAGCCCGAGTTGGGGTCTTGGGCGGGAACGATACGGTCGATAGCAGAGTTAGCGTAGGCAGCTCGCTCGTGGTGGTCTTCGAGGCGGTGCTCGGGGGTGTTCTTGGGGTCCTTTATGTAGCCGGCGAGGGCGTCGGTGGCACCGATCATGTTCTCGCAAGCAATAACGGCTAAAGGCTTGAGTTCGGCCGAGCGCTTGTCGATACCCTTGGCAATGACGGGAGCGATGAACTTGAGGATGTTAGGGCCGACAGAGCAAGTGACAACGTCGGCAGTTGCGATCTCGTCAATAAGCTCAGCTTCGTTGTGCTTAGAGTTGATGGCTCGGTAGTTGGTAATTGTCTTGACATCTGTGCCCTCAACTCCACGCTCGATAACCTTGTACGAAGGGGTCGAGTTTAGAGCGTCTACGAGCTTGTCGACAACGTCGGCAAAGACGACTTCGTAGCCTGACTCATGTAGGAAGCATGCGACAAAGCCTCGGCCAATGTTGCCGGAGCCGAAGTGGACTGCCTTTTTACCCATTGTGAATTGGTGTAGGTAGAGGGTAGAGGTGATATAAGTAGAAAGGAAGATAATGTGATTGTTGTTAGAGTTAGTGTGGATGATAGAACTTGTAGGAATTGGTGAAGTTCGTTATGCTTCTAAAGTTTTAGAAACACTGAAGTAGAAAGTGGTGTGATTAATCAAGGTTGATGAGTTAAGTAGAAAAGGAAAAGTGAAGAAAGAAAAAAAAGAATTTAGGAAAGGGAAAAGTTGATGTTCTTATGTGCAACCGCAAGAGCAACGCAGAGGTTGGAAAGAGGTAATGACGAGGATGAGGAAGGAGCGAAGGTAACTTGGACTACGTAACTGGACAAACCTGGAAACCACGAGGCCCCACGAGCCCCGAACAATTCGACCGGATGTGGAGGGGTACTGCGTAGCGTCACGGCAGGAATGAATGGCGGACTGTATTGTACTGTACTCCAAAGGGACCCACCGTTTTGCTGGTTCCTGCTGACGGCATACGGCATTACGTACCCTGCACAGCCGGTCATCCCCAGCCTGAGTATTTCTGGTCCGCTTTTATGTACCTTATTGGCTTCGCAGCTTCGTTAACGGTGACCGTTTGACTTACAATATACATACCAGTAATTAGTAGCAGTAAAAAAAATACGTTCTTCTTTTTTCATGTACGAAGACTTCTTTTATATTGTCGTATTTTCTTATATTAACAATTACTATTGAATACCTTAGATTCACTTATTAGTGAATTGCCATTGATTATCAGAGTTATTATTCACTCATTTGTATTCATTTGTATTGTATATCTACAATCCTACAAGTAGCGATTGGAAAAGACCTCAGCTCTCCGCAAAGCAAGCTTTGATTTCCAAATGACTCGAGATCCCTATTGGACTCATCAGATACCTCACGAACACAAGAAGTATCTACTTCCGAAGTGGTTGCCTCTATTTAATGCCTCCCTCTTATGACTTACAACTCGCAATTTGCCATTTCAGCTACTTGTGCCACTCATCACGCCGCGGGAGTATTCCATTTAATTCGAAGCTTGACAACACCATTATCCATAAAATATTATTCTAAGCTGAAGCTACGGTGAAAATTTTATAATATCTCGCGATGTTGAAAGAGGTAGTCTGGAAAAAAAGGGCTTATCATATTCATCGCCATCGTATGATCTATATTTATCACTCAACGATGCTTCTTACTATTGGCCCCTCCAAGTCCCAACGTTTTGTCAGTAAATGAGACAGTATTCGGTTTTATGTTCTTACTCTCCGTGCCAAGAGATAAACAACACTGTATCGTCCCGAATAGTCCCATATGGGCTAGGCAATTCTATCTGCTGCAATATCGTCATTGGTTTTTCAACCACCGCATCCCTGAAAGCTCACTAGCGATTCCGTGCTTAAACAATGATCTATCAAGCCCTCGAGTATAACTCATGATCGCCAGGAGAACGTGAAACCAGGCGTCTAGAAAACCCTATAAGACAACCCCACAGCACACCATAAGCGTTTCGACAGATACCCGGCAAGCTGGAATAGCAAAGATTGATGAATTCATAACTGTAAGGAGAATAAATATCAAAGAACCTACATGGATCCTTGATAATGAACAGGCACATGCAACATGCCCGGCGTGCCAAAGTCTGGGGGAGTCGTGGCCATGCCCAATACTCTCTAGCCTGTCCCCGCCCGGCAGAGCCCTAGATCTGATTTGATACATATATCTGCTGGGTGCTTGGCATACCACTGGGATACATTGCAAACTACTGCTAGCCACTTACACACGAGGGCATCAAACGCAAGCTGGCGATGTGGCCTAGTCCCTGCAGCTTTTTATCACCACCCATTAACGGCAATGGGCGAAGTGGTAGAGATGCCGAGCGGACCGCAGCATTGTTAATAAGAATATGATCGGTTACGAAAGTGGTGTGGCCTTCGGCGCTTCTTTATTATCGTGATACCCTAGACTCCACACACACAACACCCTTTGGGCACAGTTTAAGAATTGTTAAGAGAATGGAGTTCGAGCTTATGTAGGCTACGTAGTAAGGGGGGGGACTTAGAGAGATAGGTATGGGTAGAAAACGAGTTACTATAAGGTAGTTGAGACAGTTATCTTTTTTAACGAATCAGTATTATTTGATTTCCATAAGTTTTTTGAGGGTCCTTGAGATATGGAACGTGTCTAGATCTAATGGTTGAGGAAGATCCCTTACAACTTCACATCCATCCACGACCCCCCCTTTTTTTGTAAGACGCAGACTTCCTAAAAGGGAAAACAAATACGGACGGTGGATATACAAACCGTATGAAACGTATTATAACCTTAAAGTGAAAAAGACAAACAGGGCTGTTTAACCGGATGATAACTCTAAAACCAAGAGGCCAAGACAGCAGAGAGCAAAGGAGGGGCTAAAGGGGTCAAAAGGGCCTAACTCTGGAAAGCCAAAGCCCCATACTATCCTTGTCAATGACCTCATATGGCAACCCAAAATGATCCCTCTGAGCTTTTAACACAAGCAATTAGCGAATGAGAACCGCGCTAAAAAAACAAACAAAAACCACTCAAAACTCCCCCAAAGGCGAACAGAGAAATCTCAAGGGTAGGTATGTTTAGGGTTGCATCCGATCGATTCTAGGGTCATTTCACTCCATGATTACGTACCGGGACGGCTCCCCAGCTACCTTCGTTGAATTCTCCGAACAGGAACCTTTAACCTGTTCGCCGACGTCCATATTTAATGCTCGTTACATAGTAAGTAAACCGCAGGAAATCTACAGGAAATCCTTCCTTTACAGCTTCCTTTACATGAAGTAGGTAGACTCTCCAGACGTTAGATCACAATCTTGCCGCTCGACCCCGCCATTCACAAAAGTTATACATTAGAACATTAGATACTGCGGGGTTTCATCCAGCGCGGGACAGACTTTTTAGTGTATTTATTATATCCTCGGGTTCGACGGCGGAGAAGCTATGATTTTCTTTGCCTGTTAGAGCCAATGCTTCTCCTGTCGCTCACTGGCGTCCTTGCAGCCCGGTAAGGCTTGACATGTCGATCTCCTAAAATATAGCAAGTCAACTTAGACCGACCTGGTATCAGATAAGTTCGAATACTACTTCAGCGGCATTCTCCGGATTTCACATCGCATATCAGTGCATATTAGTAGTATTGAACACTTCTACAAGTATGGCATTGGCTAAATCGTATTCAAGCAAACAAGAGCAAAATCACGGCTTACGAGACCAATATAATTGACTACCTCCTAACCTACCTGCAACCAGGCTACTACTGCTGACTATTACGCCTTTTTTAATCTTTTCCTTCGACGTGGCCGCGGTTTACCGTCTTTGCGGCTAGGCTACTTAGCAAACAACTCTCCTGCACGAGTTGTCCGAATAGATAAGGTAATCCTTCTCTTGGATCTCGATGCCGCTAACGTTTCCATGGGACGTAACCATCGTGATCTAACTAAAACAGTATGTATCGACATCACACAAGAAGCGTGGTCAAGCGGACTATCTAGAAGTATGTATCTCCACTGTCTCCCCTGGCACCCGTATCTCTACTAACCTAGGTACCTAATTAGCAGCCCAATTAACCGTTATCATTCTTCCAACCTCAAGCCAATCAGGTCCCACTCGCTTACATGTCGCTTGGGCGGCTGGGCGGTTACTTGCGACTCCATTCCTAGGATTACCGCCATCTTCATACCAGCCTATTGGTAAGCTGCCAGGGCTACTTACCTTCAGCCGTTGACAGGGCTATAGTGTATGTGTTCTTGCAGCAATTACTACCGCTGATTATTCGGAATGAAATAACTCACGATAACCCCCTAAGCACTGTGTCGGATTCCGAGCTAGTCCCAACGATGTTCGGCATTGCTCCTAAATTCTCACCTCTTCGTTTCACATGGGGTTATTCTAACCCTCTCTAACCTTGCTCGTGCAATAAATGATCGTGAGTTTTGACTTCTTCCGCTCGGCTGAATCTCGATCGCCTCCGGTGTTGGCGGGCCGATTATGCAAGAAACGGAATTATTTCGTTAGGCCTTTCCTGTCTCATGCTAACTCGCTACATTACCCCCCGATAAAACGGCTAAAACTGTAACTTTGAACTTGTCAGGCCATCTAAAAGGACCGATGCAGTTTTAAATCGCCTCGGAGCGCCGCCACGATAGTCTCATTTTTTCCTTTTTTTTTTTGCTCTAAAAAAATTGTCTGCCGAATAACGTGCTGAAAACATACTGTTGTTGTTCGAGATACACCTGACCGCTTGCCTTACTTGTTCGGACATGGACCGGCCACCGGTTCATCTCCCGACCCAGGCGGATCCACTGTGGGGCCGATTTATCCCGAGCTTCGCAAAGTGATTGGGCGTTGCACCGAGGAATTTCAGGAGTGCCAAGTCACGATACTTGTCAATGATACTGCATTCAGACCAAAAAGGATACTTCTGAATTCCCCCCTAAATTCCCCCCTAAATTCCCCCCTAAATCTACTAGGTGGATCTAACACAGTCAAAAGAAGCTACAGGCGATGGACTAAAACTTGAGCAGTCTGTTATTATAATGACTACCTAGTTAATTAGTTTTTGAACGTTAGTTTTGTTTTTTTTTTAGTTCAGGTAACTAGAATAATGTCTTTAGGAGACTAGAAACTCATAATACATGCGAGAATCTTCTATGAATCTGCGAGGTGGAAGTTATCGCAGTAAAGTAAAACCAATAGGGCTTGCAGCTTCTTCTATAAGTTCTTGAATCCATAGTTTTTTTTATAACAACACTTATTTGTGCCTTATCAAATGAGAACCTCATAAATCTTATCTCTCTCCGACCATGCAGCGGAAGTACAGGACACTTAGTGCACTGGTACTGGGTGTCTCCGAGACGGATAGGTTGATGGGTGAGCCGGGTGTGATCGCGTAGGTCAAGCTCGGTCTCCACAAGCTCCCCTTTACACCGAGTTCCGAATAGATGTGTAGTGCGGATATGAAAGTGACCACTTGAAGTATAATCATTAGCCCAGGCGCATGTTCTGAGGAGGGATGGTCTAATATAGAGAATAATGGGAATTTCGTGTCGTCAAGTTCCATGGTTGCCGTATGTGCGTAGGTATGTCATCCCAATCATCCAGTCGACAAGGATGATAAGCATCGGAGAGCACAACCATTCCGCCCCTGGAATTATGACGGGGAAAGGGTTTGTGCTCTACCATTATTGTGATAGGCACTCCGGCCTTGTAGCCTCATTGAAGTATTTTCCCTCGCATCTCTTAATCAAGCCCACCAGGCTCTTACTTAGGTTGAGCGGTTTCAGGATAGGCGAGAAATAGGAGGCGCGTATGTCAGGCTGAAATAATAGGGGGGGAGGGGATAGGGTTGATGTGCCACAGAACATCGTCGAGCCGACGACTTGTGAACAAATATCTTGTTACCCGTCCCAAATCACCACTGGCATAGGCCACGATGAGGTTGGTAGTGATGGTGTGTTCCCCGGGCCACAACCGTTTATGTTATCATTCATCGCGCCGAGACCACAGAGGCTAGGATCTTCTGCGAGGACAAAAATAGAATAGGTAGCCATCGCAGGTTCACCTGTCCACCAGCCTCTAAGCCAGCCCATACACTTCCAGCTCCATTTCTTACTTCTAAAAGATAGGTTGCAATAGTCTGCGTAGCCGTCGTGAAACTCAATGTTGAAGTTAGGTAATCGTGAGGTCACCGGGGCTCGACCACAAAGCCGTCGGAGATATGGATCAAGTCTGTGATAGAAATGCACTCAGCATGAGAGCTGGCTAGTACTAGTGGCTTCAAAATATGATAGACTTGTATGTCCTCTGTGTGTTTGAGAGGTGATTAGTTAAAGTGATATCAATATGAGGATGAGGAAGGGTTATAAAGGGGGTTTTATGAAGAGAAAGTTTCAATGCAGGAGGGGCAGTTAAGTGTTAAGGCATTCAGGTTCAATCAAAATCAGGAGAAGGGTCAGGCATTTATACAGGAACAAACATACCTATGAGGCATTCCATTACGTTCCGCCAGCAGCGACAAGAGTTGGGTGCGAGCGGGAATTATTGATGCCCGTCACAGAATAGAAAGGCCAAGGCCAAATAAGGAGATGCGGTGGATGAGACAATGTATCCATCAGCATTCCAGTTGAACGGTGAAGTGGATAGGTTGTTGAATAAGGTAAATAGGACGGCAGTAGTTGTGAGCCTCGTGGCAACACAATAGCATGTATATTGTAGGGAGTACAAGTGTTACACGCATTAAGTTCTGTAACAGTTTGTGGAGTTGAAACAGGGTAAATAAATAGAGAAGGTATTGGGAAATTTTGGATGTGAGAAGAGGCAGATCAAGTGCTATTTATATATAAATGGTGCTGGGGAACTAGGGAGGAACAGTTCCATATTTGAACCTTGGCTCTTGCTGTGATCGAAAAGATTGAAAGATTCTTTCTTGTGTGCCTAGATAGGTAGGTAGGTAGGTAAGATAGGAAGTTACTTAGGCAACTTGTTGTGCGTAACTTGGTAAAATTTTCAAGAGAAGAATTTGCTTGTTGAAGAGGAAGTAGATAAGGAAAGAAGTAAGAAGAGGAAAGGACCCGCGCGTAAAGATACTACTGATTGTCGTGATAGTAACATCTCTTTCCACCAGTACTTGTGGTCTAGACCCGTAAGATAATGCTACCTAAGAGTTCTTTCCTCCATTCTTGGGGTGAAATACATCTCTACCTAAGCAAGTCACAGTGTGAAGTTAGCCATGGCCCCTATCTACACTCATATGGGACGTAAAGGCCATCCTACAAGGTAGGTACACAAAGATAATAGTTTCGGGAATAGAAAACATTGAAGGAGTGAACAAGCTACGTTCTACATACGTACTGTATGCCTTAAGCCTTGACAGCTAGCTTCCTTCCCTTTGCAACAGCAAGATAGCATACTAACTAGAATAGCCGTCCCTATGAACAGAGATCCAACTGTTTTCTGGCATACTGTCCCCAGTAGGAGCCCCAACTAGTGAAGCTCCAGCATTTATCATCGACGACATGCCCAGTCGAGTTCCTATGCCGGTGAGGTCGGTAGTGAATGAGGTAAGCATAACTGCTAGTAAGGCCACAACTCCACCAGTAAAGAAGCTGTAAAATATTGCAAATGCAATAATCCATGCCCCAGAGTTGGTATTGATACAAGCAAGTTTTACTATGCTAGTGAAGGTTATGCTAAGGAAGAGGGTATAGCAATGAGAGACCGGGTCAGTCTATCTAAGACAGAAGCAGCGTTATGTGCCTATGGCAATTAGATACAAGTCAACAGATTGGCCCTCTAGGCCACGAAGCGTGGCGTAACTTTGAAGAAAAAAATTGGCGAGACGGATGCTACGTAACTTAAAGCTACGCTCAAGCAATAAATGATGTAGTGAGATTTGCGAAATGCTGGGGTGTCGATTAATGACCATACCTAGGGGGCAGAAGTTCGCCTATGAAGTCCCATGAGAGGTATCACAGTTCTGATAAAGGACGTGAAACCCATGATGCAAGTTGTCCAGGCAAAAGCAACTCGAGACAAAAGGCCTAGGAACATGAGAGCATAGGCATATTATATCACTGAAACAATTTACCATCACAAGTAACAATGCCCGTAGCAAGAGGTTTTCGGTTATTGAAAATACTTTATGATGTCGACAACAGAGAGAAATGAAATAGACGTCCAGCAACTATACCGACGCATATAGTCTGATCTAGCATTACTTGCCCGGACTTCGTGCAGAAACTAGTCAACATCATATGTACCTAGAGTCATTAGAACAGACCTTAGGACAAGGGTACTGCTAAAAAAGCTAGTATCATATAGCGAACCTTGAATTATTAGGTACCTTTTAATCGGCCATCGTGAAAATGAGCTTGAGGCTGCCTATGGATTCAAGCACCAATAGTTGAGGCAAAGAGCAAAAAGAGCTAAGCATCTGGTTTGTCAAAAATTGCACATTGATCGTGAAAGGATTATGGGCAGGTCTCAATGAGTACCTCCTTGAACAAAAACAACAACGCTGGGAATTACGACGGCAGATCATGATGCAACTTTAGTAGACAAGGGGGTTATCTTAGTCCTTTATCTTAAACAATATTACACACCAACAGCAGTGCAACCTGCGGCATCAGTTAGGTACCTAAACCGAAGTTCAGACTTCACTATATTTCAAGTTTACAGGGCCAATATTGCTCTTGTATTATGAAATGTCTCTAGCGAAAAGAATAATGGGCATGATGCTAAACGGAGAGAGAGATCATTGATAGACGGCGGTATAAGAAGCGCTTATCAATCAATTCAAGAAATGTTGGGATACTAACATATAATAAGGAAAAGCTTTTAAAACTCTTTATCTTAGGTAACTACCTAGGTATATAAACAAAATATGGTTTCTGGTAACTGGGTATGAAGTCAGGAGGTTGTATACTCAGCTTCACTACTGTAGTAAGGGTAACGTATGGTAACACTTAGGGGCAAAAGGATATGTTGCATAAGGACATAATAACTCAGTAACAAAGGTACTTTTGAGCTAAATGAACCAAATTAAAACTCGAAACGATTTTCCCAACATCACTTAGTAGCTTTTTAGTGCAGAATCAAGTCGTCGTAGTTGTTTAGGTTATATTATATTGACCTTGATTTAGACAACGGCCAAACTACCTACCTTAGGTGCCTAGAATTCATAAGAGGTGGATTACCTACCGGCTTTCCGATATAATAACGGTTTCATTAGGGATTTAGTCATTCCGGAGCTTAGGTGGTGGATGGTTATATCCAGTCCATGGCAACTCAAAGCTAACAGATCACCTAATGCCATCTTCCACATTACTGAATTTGAATCCTCAATTCCCAACAATTACGAGAAGTTTCGGTTCGATATTTCCTTTTACCAGATTTCATATTTGACAGCTGTGTTAATTACCTATCATAACGACTTGTTTTCATTTTCTTAGCAACTCGTACGAGACAGTCTGAGACCTACCCCTGCGTATTACCTGAACACGTCGTACCGCCGGCTGAATAATGAAGAAGACTTAGAGCCTAGATTTCCTCCCTGGCTGCCAAGCCGACCCTGTCCCTCAAGCGCTCGCAAACTTCTTGAACGCGCCGATGAGGCTGCCTGTGCTAGCGTCATGGCCTTCGCCATTGCCAGGCTCATCCAATTCCTTAAGGATCTTCTTGGCAAGAACCTTGCCCAACTCGACACCCCACTGGTCGAAGGAGTTAATGTCCCAAATTACTCCCTCGGTGAAGGTAAGGTGTTCGTAGTAGACGATTAGAGCACCCAGTTCAGCAGGGCCAATTACGCCACCGACCAAGATGCTTGTAGTCGGTCGGTTACCCAGGAATACCTTGTGGGGCACAAGCTCATCGGGTGTACCTTCTTTCTTGACCTCCTCGGCTGTCTTACCGATCATGAGAGCCTCGGATTGTGCGAAGTAGTTGGATGCTAGCATCTTATGATGTAGGTTATTTGAGATAGGGTTGTGGGACTTGGCGGGAAGAATGAAGTCGGTAGGGATCAGCTTCGTACCTTGATGGACAAGTTGGAAGAATGAGTGCTGGGCGTTGGTGCAAGGCTCGCCGAAGACGACAGGACCGGTGGTATACTTGACAGGCGACCCGTCCGAGGTAACGCTCTTGCCGTTCGACTCCATAGAAAGCTGCTGCAGATAAGCAGGGAAGCGGTGCAAGTATTGATCGAAGCTGTAATGTCGTTAGTAAGTAAACTAGGATTGAACATTTGGAGATGATTGACGAAAAAAAAACTAAAAAAAACTTACGGAGTGATCAAGTGTGTCTGCGCAGCAAAGAAGTCGCTGTACCAGACACTTAACAGACCACCGAGAACGGGGATGTTGTCCTTAAGGGGAGTTTCCCGGAAGTGCTTGTCCATTGCATGCCCGCCGGCCAAGAACTGGTGGAAGTTGTCGAAGCCAACGTATAAGACAACGCTGAGGCCAATGGCACTCCAGACTGAGTATCGACCACCAACCCACTCCGCAAAGCCGAACATGTTCTTCTTGTCGATTCCGAATTTTGTGACTTCAGCCTCGTTAGTAGATAGGGCAACGAAGTGCTTCGCAATATCGCCCTTGCCGCCGGTCTTCTCGAGGAACCACGACTTTGCGGTGTTCGCATTCGTCGTAGTTTCAGCAGTGGTGAAGGTCTTGGAGGCAATAAGGAAGAGAGTCGTCTCCGGGTCGGAATCAGCTAGGGCTTCGGCTATGTGAGTACCGTCAATGTTGGAAACGAAGTGTAGCGTCATATCTCTAGCGCCATAGTGCTTAAGAGCTTCGGTAACCATGACAGGACCGCTAGGAGGAGGCTGTTAGAAAATAATACACCATCTCGTAAGAAGTTCGTAGCCATAGCCAGCTTGAGAAACAATACTTACAGGTCGGAACCACCGATGCCGATGTTGACAATGTTAGTTAGCTTCTTGCCTGTATATCCTTTCCATTCTCCGCTTCGGACCTGCTCAGAGAATTCCTTCATGTGCTGTAGGACAGCGTTTACGCCGCCCTCTCCGTTCATGACATCCTGTCCGTCCACCTTCATCTCCCAGCCGCTTACGTTGCGCAAAGCCGGGTGGTAGACGGCCCGTTTCTCGGTGAAGTTGATCTTCTCACCCGCAAACATAGCATCACGCTTCTTCTCGACGCCAGCCTCTTCTGCGAGCTTTACTAGTAGGTTGATCGTCTCATCGGTAACGAGGTTCTTGCTGAAATCAAACAGGATATCTGTGCCAGTGGCGTCGTTGTGGAAAGTCTTGCTGAATTTTTCGAATCGGGCAGGGTCAGAAGCAAAGGCTTCCTTCAAGACGAAGTTCTTTCCTACGGTCTTGTAGTGGTTTTCTAGAGAGGCCCAGGTGGGCAAAGAAACTGCTTGAGGCATCTTGGCTTGAAGGGTGTGTCTGTAGACTGGGAGAGAAAATGAGGATATATCGGTGCTAGCTTCGTCAACAAGGCACTAGGTTAGTATATTACTTTCTTGAAGAGGATTGCGCAATGTTGAATGGTGAAAGTAGAAATAAAATTGGTTGTATGGTTATGCGCGTAATTTATAGCGACGGGGTTGACGGCGCGGGGTGAAGTAGGTAATGGCTATAATTCGATGATGCGGTGATGCAGACGGTAGACAGCAGACAGGAACGGCGGGGCAATATGTAGGTAGATTTTTGTTATAATCTTGTTTTACTTACATTGGGAAAATTAGACAGCTTTATGCGAAAAATCACCAAGCTGTTAATTAAGGCAAAGTCTGTATATAAAAGGTGTTTGTTCTTTTACTTACCTCTCTACCTTAGGTAGGAAAAGAAAGAGGTATATATGTGGTGGGGTTTAAAAAGTGGAATGAGTGAGCGACATTTTGACATTTCGACAACTGATTGTACCTGAATAGTACCTGATATACTACCTCTTTAGGTACAATACTAACGCGGCTTTTCCTACCTAAGCTGCTAACCTAAGCTGCTACCTAAAGTTGAAGGTACGAAGGTCATCATCCCATTTACCCCGCGCTAGTAGGTAGTGACGTGATGCTTATGGGATGGACCGGGCAGCTACGGAACGGTGGTGTATAAGGTAGCTCCATGGTACCTACCTACCTTAGTAGCTTAGGTCAGTACCCCTAAGATATGTGCCGGATGTTATAGAAAATCACCATCCAGTGTAACCACGTGAGGCGGGCCCGGGAATCTCGGCGTTTTTACACTATTGTTCACTTTCGGATTACATATCAGCCAGTTAACCCCTTATATAATAGATATAATAGTCGGTGCTATCGGACCCATTACCTATTAGTCGTTAAGTACCGGATAGCTCCGATACCTAAAAGAAGGACCCGATATTTCTTAGCAGTACGAACACTTTTACTCAAGTATATTACCTAGGTAGAGAACATAGAAATACCTCAGGTACCTAAGATAGGAGGTATTTCAGCGGGCAGAACAATGAATGATACAATGGCATATCGGCAATGGGCATCTTTTCCTCGGCCTTAATCTCTTCTACTATCTACAGAGCTGTCGTCTCCTATTGAGATCCCAGAAAGTGCAAACTCGGAGGCATCGTCACTAACTCATGCCAAACTCCATATGAAAAGTGCTTCTAGGCTGGTCCATAATCCGGTAATATATCTCAACAACAACAGTAACACAACGCAGGACACCCTCACCGCATGTGTATCTCACATCCAGTGTTTCCACTCACAAACCGCACACCTCTTGTGTGTTCTAATAATTTCCATCTTGTAAGTCAATCTTCCACTCGTGAATCAGACCATATATTCGTTGCGTCGCCGTAGCCTAGAGGCCCACAAGATAAGGCATAATCACGTACTTATCGCCTGTCTTGAATACTGCCAACGAACGACGGGTCCTTAACGCTACCGCCAGCATCGCCGAGTCCTGCGATTGGTCGGTTGTAACTGAATCCCGCAAACAAACGTTGATCTGTCTCCGACAATACCGGTCCCTCGACATACGAGTCTTGCGGAGCTTCCGAAGTAAAGTCGGGATCGAAATTCTTTGTATCGAGAGCGTCGGCCTGGGATGGGGTTAGACTTAGGACCTCTGTATTAAAAAAAAAAAAAAAAAAAAAAACAGGCACTGAAAATTACTTACAACGCTGGGCTTGAAAGTGGGCTCATATTTGCGCTGCAATAGCTTGCGCCAGTCGATGGCGTGGAAAAAGGGATGCGCCTTGATTTCGGCGCTGCCTGCAGCCCCTAAACGCTCCTCCGGGTTGCGGTTGAGGAGTTTGGAGAGTAGGTCCTTGGCCGCAGGAGGCACGATATCTGCGCTGGGGAAGTGCAAGGGCTCCGACAAAATCTTGCGGTACATCTCGTTAGTATTTTCGTCGTAAAATGGCGGGAGACCCGTAAGCATTTCGTAGAGGAGAACTCCTAGCGTCCACCAATCTACTGTCTTATTATAACCCTTCCCCATAAGAAGCTCCGGTGCCAGGTATTCGGGCGTGCCGCAGAACGTATTGGTCCTGTCCTCGTCCTTCATATCCAGCTTGCAGAGACCGAAGTCGCAAAGAGCGATATGACCTTGGTAATCTAGTAGAATGTTCTCGGGTTTCAAGTCTCGGTAGATAACGTTGAACCCGTGTAGGCACTCGAGGGCGCAGAGCAGTTCAGCCGTGTAGAATCGTGCCCGGTTGATATCGAATCTCTGCTCCTTCTGGAGATGATGGAAAAGCTCTCCGCCGTTGACGAAAGCTAGTACGAAGTAAAGCTTTTCGGGAGACTGGAAGGTGAACTTAAGAGGTACGATGAAGGGGTTGTTAATCTGTGCCAGCACAGATCTTTCGGCTAAGGTGTGGGCGACTTCGGATCTCGAGATAATGTGGGATTTGCGAATCGTCTTGAGAGCGTAGATTCGATTGGTATCCTTCTTGCGGACTTGCATGACCTTGCCAAAACTACCCTTGCCAACCACCTTAAGCAGTTCGAAGTCATCAATCTTAAGCTTGCCCGCCCGGTTCTCAACATATTCCACGCCGATCTTGAGCCTACCGGAACCGTATTGCACGTCAACCCAATCAACACCACTATGCCCTAGCTCACGTTCTCGGTCGTGGAATTCGGCCGCGGCCTTCTCGCGATCCTTCTTGCTGGCCTTGGGATCCTCGACGAAGGTTCGTTTCTCCTCGAATCTAGGATTGATTCGCACGACTCCTAGGAAGATATCTTGGCTTCGGCCGGACCCTGGCGGTGCGGTAGGGTTACGCATATATATATGTACATTCAACTCCGTGACTCGAGAGACATCAAACTTGTACTGGGTATTATCGCCAGCCCACAAGGGGTTTTCCGGGTTACCGGAGACCGAGTTGACAAAAACCTGGACCTTATCAAAATCCAACAGTGCGTACGGCAGATATTTGCTAGAAATCCGACCGTGGTTGGAAGGTATACCGGCAAAACCCCCTGCCGATGTTTGGGGCCTGCCATTCGAGTAGGACCCTGCTACCGCTCGTTGGGACGATCCTGGTCGTACAGAACTTGATGTAAGGGCATTCCCTGTTGACATGGAGCCCTGTCCATGTTGAGAGAATGCGTTGCGATGTTGCTCGGGAAGAGCAAAATTCTGGCCTTCGTGGAGAGTTACGACGAGAATACCGGGCTTCGGAGGTTTTACGACAGGTTCTTGTACCATTTGTTCCGAGGCAGCTATAAGGACGATGCGTAAGCGACTGTGCCCCTTCAAAAATAGTATGCATTTTGGTTACAAACCGATAGCATTGTCGTTGGGAGTAGGTGTGGAGGATGTTGGGATGGGACTCTTTTCATCCTTTTCCGTGATTGTAGACGTAGAGGGATTTCGGGAGAAGGTATTCGCAAGCGGCCCCAGATGGGTATCCTTTAATTCTGATGAGACAGTCCGTGTTAGCAAACCCGCTGCACGATCGCCGCGCATCTAAAGCGAAAGGACGAAGAGACCAAAGAAACAAAACCATCCGAAGAGCGAAGCTTGTAATTTTTTTTTTTTTTTAAAAAAAAATACTTACTCTTTGTAAGCTTCCACGACATTTTCCAACAGTTCCCCTAATGACTGGTCTATAAATTAGAAGTCAAAGAGGAGGAATAGGAGGATGTCGGTGAAGGGTCGCGCAACAAAAAGGTCGGAGACGGGTTCGAGTTGGTTAAAAGAGGAGATAGTATTTTAGGTATTCAGGTATTTAGGTATCCAAAGGGGGGGGGGGGGGAGGGAGAGGCGTTTCCTTATCGGTGGTTACGATAATGATGGATAATGGATTAATTACTGATAGCTAATTGAGAAGGGATGGAAATGCGGGCAGATAGGTAAAAAGATATATAAAAAAAGGGGGAAGAACAAAGAAGGAATTAAAAATAAAAATGTGGCTGAGGAAGAAGCAATAATGTCAATTTGTTAATTTTTTCCCTTCTTCTAACTTAGGAGGGACTTTTGAGTTAGGTTGATCATCAATTAATTGAATATGGTCAAAGATCTGAACGTTGACCAGGTCAATGTTTCGGTTTATGGGATCTGGCGCAGGAACTAGGTTAGGTACTGAGTAACCTGGGGGTTTGAGAAGGGTGAACGGTTTCGCCGCAGTACATACCTGTAGGTACCTAAGTACCTATAATAAATTAAATCTTTAACATGTACAATAGGGCGACGGTAATAGGTACGGCAAAGGAAAAAAGGAAAACGGGCAAGTAACTTTTTTAGGGGTTGTAGAATTTATGGAGGGGTTTCGCCTGATTGACTGATTGACTGGAACTGTCTGACTGCTGTAGAGTTGGCGTTTTGGCGCTATGGGGCAACCCCTATTAACCATACCTAACACGTAAGACCTACCTGTAGAGACCTCTAATGGTGGTTCGGTTTACAGAGGGTTCACGGAGCACAAAGGCGGGGTAGCACATGCGCGGTTTCCAGCGGAAGTAAGGTAAGCAGTTACGTACCTACCTACTATATAGTTTTCTTTCAAATCAGTGAATACGAACTCTTTTCTTACCTTTCTTCTCTTTTTAAACGCATTGCGCCTCTAGGAATTTCTACTCGTAACAATGCCACAATTTAAGACGAAATGCATAGGTATATCCAAGGTATCTAGTGCACATACTTACGCACGCTGCATAATACATATCATATTGTATTGCACAATACCTCGTCAAGGAGTTTTACACTAATCCACTTACATAGTAGTCGATGGCCTCGACAACGTTAAGCGGAGCGTGGCGGAGCAACTTCAGGGGCTGCATCCAGGTAAATTATCTCCAAGCATCTCAGGCCGACAGCCGCTCCCCTAACGCACGGCTGAAGAATATGTCTATTCTTGATACCGTTGTTGAACTAGGTTGCTTGAAATGGCTTAAATTGCTCGGCTTTATCAAATGAATAGTTCGGGCCAGGTGTCTTACGACGGTGTGTGTCTAAGAGACATTTTCAAGGAAACGATTCGACAAAGAGTGACTTTGGTTAATAAATCGTTCCAAGAATTTATACGGAATATATATAGTTACCTATATATAGTAGTTTCATGCCAGCTCAGACGTTTTGGCAGCGCCGCGAATTAGACTAATTTCACTAGGTACCTGGTAATTAATAAATACGCTCAACTGATAAAAACCTTGGCTACTTGTTGTTACATCTCATGTGAACCACAACTACATAGTATGCAGGGGGACACATACATGATACCTGTAACTTCTAAGTTACTATGTGTACAAGGTTGTATTATAGGTAGTAAGAGGCCGCTCGCAAGGGCACGACGCGCAACCCATCAGCTCGTCCCAAACTACGGGAAACGATTATATTATAAATCACGTGCTTTGCGGCGCAGCTATAGGAGTTTATACAGCTGGGATCAACAAATTTGAACTTTGAAGGAATCTGTCCTGATTGTCGCTACGCTTGAAGAGGAACCGGGAAATGATTTTTATCAAGCGCTATGTCGTAGTAGTTGTGTCTAAGCCTCTGTCTTAGGTAGTTGCCAGAGTCGGAAAAACATTGAATGAAATAAGAATAAATTAAATTAAATGGCTTCTATTCCAGAAATCCAAGAGCATGGCGGCATCATGCTTAACCCCACAACCTCTAAAGAGCCTCAAAACGTCAGCACCCAAAACGATAGCCAAACCGCCTTAGAAATTCCTTCGGAGGCTCCTCGAAGATATATGGAAGGATGGAGATTATATGCCATGATATCCGCGTATGACCCAAAAGTCTAACCACTACGTCTAAAGCCCTCCGCTAACAAGGCCTAACTACCACCTAGCTTATGCCTATCTCTATTTCTATCAACTCTAGAAACGACAATAGTCAGTACATCGCTTATCTCCATTACAAATGCCTTGGGCAACTTTGAGCAGAGAGATTGGGTGGTCACCTCCTATCTTATTACGTATACGGGTACGAGTATAGCTTCGTAGACGTACAAGTCACTCTATTAACACGATACCTTACAGGCTTTCTAGTCATATATGCCAAGTTCAGTGATATACTGGGACGGAAATTGTTGATATTGGTTGCAATAGCCTTCTTCACCGTTTTCTCGATCGTCTGCGGCTCAATATCAGATATGACTCAGTTGTGCGTTATTCCCGTCCGGTCATGACAGTATTGAAATCTAATAATATGGATGAATGTGACTAAACTCTATACAGGATTGTTTTCCGGGCTCTACAAGGGATCGGCGGCTCTGGGATCTATGCAATGGTAACATGTATCCAGCCCGAGCTCGTCCCCCCTGAGAAATGGGGTAATATCATTGCGGTCGTCTCCCTGGTTTCCGTCCTCAGTTCCGTCCTTGGTCCTATACTCGGCGGTGCAATCAACAACAATTCTTCGTGGCGATGGGTCTTCCTTTTGAAGTGAGCGCTCTCTACTCTGGGCGTAAGAATTGTGGAGGTAGCTAATATTGAGAAATAATAGTGCCCCGGCTGGAGCAGTGGCAATTGGTCTGATTGCCTTCGTCATGCCCGCTCACTTTCCGAATATCGACGGTTCAACAGGCTTGATAGGCTTTTACAGCAAGATATCGCGAGCATCGCTTCGTCGACTTGATGTTATTGGAGCTGTGTTGCTACTGTTTTCGTCCGCCTTGATTGTCTTCGCTTTCGAAGAAGCAGGGTCTCGATACAGCTGGCAAAGCCCGGCGATCCTAAGCGCCTTGATCGTCGGCTGTGTCCTATTCATCGGATTTATCGGATGGGAAAAGGTCGCGGACCGACCGAGAGCTCGTCAAGAACCCATTTTCCCTCTTCGATTAATGAAGAGCCGCTTTCTTAGCGCTCTTATCATGTAAGAAAACCGCTTTGAAGTTAGGACTTGTCTCTTTTTTTTTTCTAATATTATTCAGAATCGCCTTTTGCACGGGGCCTCCCTTCATGACCGCGATAATCAACCTTCCGCAACGCTTTCAAGCAGTCGATGGGCTCAGCCCGTTTGAAGCTGGTACACACCTTCTACCCCTCCTACTCGCCTCCCCCGTTGCTACAATCGTCGCTGGGCAACTTGCAACGAAGTTAAAAGTGCCCCCTTTTTATATCCTTCTCTTCGGAGCATCTATGCAGCTATTAGGAATTGGACTCGCGAGTTCAGTTCAGTTTAAAAGCGGCAACGCCATGTATGGATATGAGGTAATAATGGGCTTTGGGTTTGGAATGGGCCTCGTTTCTTTGCTGGTATATACGCCAATGGTGGTAACACGGTCTGATATGGGTAAGTCACTAGCAACAACTTCCAGAAGTATATAGGCTGACTTCTCATACGCTATCAGCTGTTGCCATGGGAGCAATTACACAGATACGAGTCCTTGGTGGGACAATCGGATTGGCCATCAGGTATGAAATGACGTGAAATTCGCGTGAAATCAACCGAAACTGGTCTACTAACTTGTGTGAACAGCTCAACAGTCCTCAACAACCATCTGACCGCTGCTCTGCCTGCCCTTCTTAGCCCAGCAGATATTAAGCAAATCTCAGAATCTGTCCAATATATCAATACACTGCCAGACGCAACCCGCGAGGCAGTACGCCAAGTTTTCGCTGATGGTTTCAACACTCAGCTAAGAGTTATGATGTATTTTAGTGTGGCTGTTTGGGTCTTCGCAGCGTCACTTTGGGAGCGTAAGTTGAGAAGTGCTGCCAATGTCGAGGGCTATTGATTCCTTTCTTGAAGGATACTCCCCTAATAATAACTTGCACGATATTCTCTTCATTTGATTATAAGCTTCGGATGTTCCTTCGAACTGATTAATATATCCTCCTCTAACGAGAAGATTTCCCATTAGGAAATTAAATTGAAATATTGTAGTGTAGTATTAGAAAATCTACCCATGAGCATTCAAACAGTTTAATGCTTTGATCTCCAATGACGCTCAACCTCTAACTTATCACCCTCTATCTATTCTAGACTTGTGCTCTACCCTTTGACATGTTCTCCGTTCCTAACCCTTTCACAGAGTCCCTTCAGCACCTCGGCGCCCCTTATAAAGTCGTCCACGTCCACGTAGACCATGCCGCTGAGGCGCCACCACCAGACGTTTCTGTAAAACTCCGTCTGGAAGTATATTCCGCTCTCGCGGCTTCCCGTCTCTTTGAACCAATCGCAGACCTTATCCGCATGCGCCGGATCAACTTTGCCGGAGCCGTCGGTGCCCAGCTCGAGCGGCAGCCTCACATTGGCGAAGAAGCAGTCTCGCATGCAGGATCCTGGGGTATCCATAATGGAGGTGCCTAGAATCTCCGCGGCAGCTTCGGCACTGCGCTGCGCTACGTCGTGGCAGTATTTCTTGATAGCGGCATCGCCGCCGCAGACTTTGTCACGGAAGTCGATAGCGGCTGTGCAAAAGGGGCGATCGATAAGCTCATGGGTAGGCCAAAGACACCAAGATCAGGCACAAGGAATAGGAGGTGCTACTTACCTTGAACACAGAGCCAAGCGGTAGTGTCGTCCGTACCTACATGGATGGAAAAACGAACACAATCAACACCCATGAATTTCTCCCTCCGGGGACGTTACCCCCGACTTCGTAGAGCACACATACCGGTAAAATCGAACATCTCCGCAAACAAACGCGCCTCGCCCTCCTCGCCCTCCGTCGTCTGCCGGGAACCCAATTCCTTCCGGGGCCTGAACTTGTGGCTCGTCGGCAGCGTCGTCCGGATCAGATGCTGGTTCCTGACGGGGACGTACAGCGCGGCGCACCCGCGCGGCACGAAGAACCACTTATGCAGGTTCGTCACGAAGAAGTCCGGGTCGAGCGCCGACAGGTCGATGTCGACGTGTCCGATCCCGTGCGCGCCGTCCACCAGGACCAGCGCGCCTTCGGCCCGCAGCGCCGGCACCAGCCGCTCGAACGGCACCCGGAACCCGGGCATGCTGACGACGGTGTCCACGACGGCGAGCCGCATCCTGCGCCGCCGCCGCGGGTCCGCGTTGACGCGCCTCGCCGCGTCGACCATGGCTCGCACGAGCTCGTCGTCGGCCAGGGACCACGCGACGCGCACGACGTGCACCTCGACGCCGCGCGTCTCCTCGACCCACGAGATGCCGCGGCCGAGGGAGTCGTACACGCGCTCGTAGCAGAGGATCACGTCCCCGTCCCTCCAATCCAAGTTCTTCAGGACCGTGTCCGAGCCCGTCGTGGCGTTCGGCACGAACACGAGCTCGTCGACGTTCGCACAGTTCAGAGCCCGGGCGGCGAGGGCGCGCTGCGCCGCGAGCCGGTCGTGGAACTCGAGGGCGATGAACGGGTCCGGAGCGGCATCAGCCTCGGCGCGGAACTGCTCGTGGGCGCGCCGCACCGACACCGGGATTGTCCCGTACGACCCGTGGTTCAGCGGCGTGTAATTCGGCCCGAAGGCGAAGTGTGCCTTGCGGAAGGCGGCGCCAAAGGGGACCTGAGAGGTTTCCGCGACTTGCATCGTTGCTTCCTGTCCCTCTTCGGAATGGTGTATGATGGTCATTGTGGATACGGATGAGACAAGAGCAAACTAGAATGCCTACGTACCTAAGGTAAGGATTGGAACAAAGGATAAATGATAAAGTCTAGAGGGGTAGATTTATGCCCACGGGAGTTCGGTTTCGGTCTCGGTCTTGGCTTCGGCTTGAGGTGAAGCTTTCAAAAGAGGGGGTTAAGTTGGTATAACTCAGCTGGAGTTCCTCTATATGAGGTAGCTAAGATAAGTTATAAGACAAGTTATAAGCACAATATCTACCTCTAGGTAGCTACCTAGGTATCTACCTAAAGGAGGCATATATTCCTTCTGTAAGTCCAAGTCCAGTGTCGGAGTGTTGGAGTATCATCTCCATATCGGTTTGCTTCGGAGAATGATCCCTTGTTTTTATCGTAAGCCAAGAAAGTATACAGCCGCCCTAACCAGCTTTTAGAGTTGTCCTCTCTACCTCGAATTATCCCCTCTACTTTCATGACGGATAGTGGAATTTATGCACAATTGCTTCTTAAGAACTTTCTTCTGTAAATTGAATTGGGAGAGATATCATCGCAGTTCCGTCATCTCTTTCTGACGGCTTATATCCTAGGTCGTGTACAGCAGCTGTACTGTCTCAAGTAATGTTATGATATTAATGTAAAGGTGCAGCTTTGGCTTGCTCATTGCTCGTAAACATCTAGGAAATCATCATAACCATAAGCTCCAATGTTCGTTCCCATACAAATGCCGGGTATCCTACAATGTCGCTACTAAACCAGACCGTAAAAGAAAAGAGAAGAAAAAGAGAAAACTCCGTCCAATGCAGAACTTGCTAAATCCAGATGGTCATCCTTGCCGTAACATTTGCCCTTGCTTGCATACATGCATCCTTGCATCGATGCCTTTTACCATTCAATAATTCCAGGCGTCGCCATACCTCACTTGCGTAATTCACTGACTACCAGTCAACTGCCCATCCGTTCTGATCTAGAAACTCTTTGCAAGCCTCCTTGAGTTGTAGATTTGGCCTCAGCTCGCTAGGTTGTAGCGGCTCTCTCGTTAGGGGATCGGTGGGATGCCTTCGGAGATGCTCCATGATAGATGCTCTCTCGTATGACTTGCCAGTCTTGGTCTGTTTATCTGGTTAATTACCCACTGGACAAGTTTCCTAGATGGTTCGTGACACTTACAACCACTGGATCGACCATGATACCGAAACTAATATCATCAATCACCCAATCAGGGACCTCCCGTTTCTTCTCCGATGCGGCTCTAGACTTTTCAAATGTTGACCGTAGCAGTTCAATCTTCTGGTCACACTCTTCTTTGATCTGGTCTTTATCGAAGTCGTTGTCGCACGAACGGATCATATCCTCGCGTTCGCGCTCCAATAGGCCAATAAGATGCTTCTCTAGCTCCTGTCCCTCGCGGGTCCTGTGCTTCTCCATCTCATCCCAACGCTCTTTCTTGCACCGTAGTACTTGATTGGTGACAGGGCCTAGCGACTTGTCGTTGGTCTCGACACATAAACGGTGGGCTTGCAGAGCGCTCTCGAGCGCGGCGTCGTAATCGTGTATAGACAGCTGGCACTGGGAAAGGACAAAGTAAGCCTTTAGATTACCTTTTTCTCCGCTCATCTTGAGACACTCGTTGCAGTCCGCGATAGCCGATTCGTATAGTCCTAGTCGAATACGTGCCATAGCACGGTTTGTGTATAAGGAAGGGTTCGTATCGTCAGCGATGATGCTGTAAGGATTCGAACATAATTAGCTTTCGAGGGCGCATGACGAATAGGTAACTATGCGCCTTCTGTAACTTAACTCACGCTTTGGAGTAGAGGCTCTCGGCGCCTATAAAGTCACCAGACTGGAAGTGGTGGTTCCCATCTTCCTTTAGCTTCGTGGACTTTTCCACGTCCTTTCCCATTGTTGCCAGTATTTACAGTAAGCCCGACCGAGGGGATAAGGTTTAGTTTGTCTTGGTATTCGAAGCTTTTGAAGGTTTTGAAGCTTCAGACCTAGCAAGGTAAAATGTTGGATGATATGGGGTGGAAGATAGGTAAGTTTGGACGAGCGTTCCTTTTCTTTCTTTCTTTCTTCTTCTTCTTTTTCTGAAAGGTAGTAGATATTCGTAGGACTATAAATCAGAGATAGACGCCAGCAGTGCTTATAATAGGTAGGTATCTAATAAGATTAGGTAGGTTAGGTTAGGTTAGGCTTAGGGAGGTATTTAAGGTATTTATGAGGGCAAAGAGGTCGTGTAATATATGTATTAGGATGTATGTACCCGATGCAGGTATTTAGGTTCGTATGGAAATGAGATGTGTTCCAAGGTTAGTAGCGAGAGTATCGATGAGATGATTGTACGTATATTAAAAGGATAGTTGTATAAGATGAGAAGCCTTCGTTCGATGTTTCCATCTGATTCGAGAGTTTCAGCCTTATTGAACTTGGTACTCGCGTGTTGTCGCTTCCGATACAGTATCGATACAACATCGGAAGGCACCTAGGTATCCTTCGTGCTACACAGTACCTTGGACTGACTGATTGGAAGTAGGCTAGGTAGCTGCTGTGCATAGGTACATAGGTGGTAGGTAGGCGCCAATTTGTCAGGCGAAGATTCCAGAATGATGTGCATCCCTGACCCTGGGAATTTGGGGTACGGTGTATGTACAAGGTACGTGAGGTACTTAGGTACATAAATACATGCACCTAACCCAATGTAGGAAAAGTGGGTTCAGGTACAACATCCAGGGTTCTTCAAGTGCTACCCGTAATCCGCTAATGTTTGGAGGTAAATCTAGATGTACCTGACCTTAGGTACCTAGTGCTAGAAAGTGCCGCAATAGCCGTTGCTTACGGTAAGGTCTAGTCACAGAGCGATTCCTAATCTTCACCCTCCTCCTCCTCCCATAAATCGTACTGATACACCACCCAACCACCTTCCCAACACCCATCGTCGCATTGAACCCCTAGTTGGGAACACGTGATGATTCCATAACTAAGTCCCAATGCGCTGCCACCCAGGCCGAGGCGTTCGCGAACTCGCGACTCTAACAACGGCCACCATTATAATAGTAAGAGCAAGCGAGGATATTCGCGCTGACTACAGGATGAACTCGGTCTTATCGGAGAAGTTCCAGGTCTTCTTAGATCCCCAGCTAAGGTCCGCGAGTGAACTATCAACATGCTATTTAGCTACCGTTTTGTCTAGCATCTTATTCCTAGGGCCCGAGAGCTCTTGACATGCCGGTCTTGCAACATATCCGCAACTAGTAGTTGTTTTACAAAGTTGTCCGCGAAGACGACTCCGCTGTCTGTGGCCGAGCCGTACTGTTTTGCATTTCGAAAGAGCTATCTCTATCCCTTCCCGACTGTTAGAGCAAGTTTATTAGTTCTAAATTATCGTTAGAACTGAAAAATATTCGTTGATAAATGGCAGAAATACGTGGGATACCGCATGGGATTATGATCTATCTGTTAACCAAAGAACTAGCAAGGCCTATAATCTTCCCAATGCTGACATTCGTGTAACGAATGACGTTTATTTAGACGCGGTCCCAAGTACGTTAAAAAGGATAACCTGAGCCTCCACAGATCAATAAGTTATCTCTGGAGGAATCTGACCCCGCAGTATGACACTCCTATTTCACTCATCTTGACGAGTTATAGAGCACAGGAGGAGAGTCAATAGGTGTGATATCTTGGTCTTCTCGAGAACACATCTATCCACCTCACGCTAGCCTTCATCGAGACAGCGTCCACATTTATATAGCTGCGGAATCGTGTTAAATTTAGAGCAGTATTGCCGTTATCCAGCTTATTACGAACCTCCTCAATTTCCTTGGCTTAATCTTTGACTCCATTTCTCATAGAATCTTACTCAAAACTGGATTATAGTGAGGTCCTGAGTTACTATAAACATACCCCTCAATTGGTGATCGTATAGGAGGTTCCTTTTACTCATCTCTGTAATTCTGTTTTTATTACTTTCCCATTATTGAGCGATATTCACGATCGCTCTAACCTAGGTTCACATTCTAGTTTATTCTTATTATAGCCAAACTGGTTTACAATATCTTCTTCTGTCCATTGGCGTCGTACCTAGGTCCGGTCTACCTCGTCTTTTAGGACATTCCACTGGCCGTTGTCTCACTTGTTGGTACGAAGTACCTAACCTAACATACCTAAACGACTATATGGTTCCAGGTACTTTTAAGGGGTAGTTCATCACGGCATACATTTGCTAATAGACGCCATTCCAGACAGTGGTCACGATAAATCAGCACTAGGCTCATACTTCGCCTTCCAGTTTCTGCAATACTAAGGCCTTTATTCCGGAACGATAGATGGGCGATACCAAGTACGTCGACGATAAGAGGGATGCCGTACAACCCTGTTCAGATGGAGAAACGGGATTAACGGACGGTAACGAGTCGGGACGTAATATCGTCTCTATCTATAATCTGATAGAGGGGCAAACGACCCAGACGAATGATATGTCTATTGAGACCTGTACTAAGTAGCACGACAGAGACCGACGCAGGTTGAATAGTAGATTACGGGAGGTTATAAGTTTTGATCATGTGGAGACCCCAGAACGGGGATGCGACACCATATCTTAAACCCCTGATCTGACATGCCGGGGTAGAGAAGAGGAATGGCGGGGTGTTCTAAGGCAAGTAACATCCAAAATACAGCTATGTAGACTCCGGTTAGCATCGACGCTAAGAAATAAGGCCCAAGGGTAAAACTGGTTCCCTTCAGGTTGTTACATGTGTATCCCAGCCATCTTTATATCTTAAATCTTACTTACCTCTTATACTTTACGATCTCACGTTGACTTATATCTTAGCTATAGCCAGTGTTACTTATCTCATATTCAATATATCTTATACCAAATTACACCATGGGCAATGTCTTCAGTCAATGCTTATTCATCCCGGCCGCGCCGCTCACGGAAAAGAACTGCCCTGATCAAACCGGCAGAGTAAGAAACAGCTTACCTAGTCGACTACCTACTACTTCAACTTCTTCCGCGTTGCTGATGCGTAACGTAGGTCTTTATCGTGACGGGTGGCTATGCCGGCGTAGGATTCGAACTATGTAAAATCCTCTACGCCCAAAATGCTACTGTTTGGATTGCAGGTCGCTCTGCGCCAAAAGCAGAGAAGGCTATTCTGGATATCAAAAACGCCTCACCTTCGAGCAACGGCCATGTCAAATTTCTACATGTAGACCTATCCGATCTCAAAACTATTAAACCCGCAGTGGAGTCATTTACTGCTCAGGAACAGCGCCTGGACGTCTTAGTAAACAACGCCGGTGTATGTCTAATTTCCGACCCTTTGACCTTCTCACACCTTGCCTTTCCTATTGTGTCTCCCAAATGCGCCTTAACCTGGCCGTTTTTCTAATATGACTGTGCTCGTAGGTCATGTTCCCGCCTCGCGGCAGTGTTGATGCGCAAGGACACGACCTACATGTAGGCACCAACTGTTTGGGCCCATATCTACTATATCAACTACTTCTCCCTCTCCTCACTAAGACTGCATCCAAATCTCCGACGGCTAGTGTGCGTGTTACGTGGGCTGCTTCCATCGCCGTGCAACTCTTTTCGCCGCAACCGCACGGTATGATCCTTAACGACGACGGCTCTCCCACGGACCAAGGGATGAGGTTGAACTACGGCCAAACTAAAGTCGGCAACGTTTTTTTCGCGAGAGAATTCGCCAAGACGACCCCGCAGACCGGCGTCGTGCACGCGGCGTTTAACCCCGGCAATTTGCACACGGAGCTACAGCGCCACTGGAAGGGACTGGATCAATGGATCACGGTGGGTGGCATACGGCTTTGGAACTACCATCGGAGGGGCGTACTAACAATGTCTTACTGCTATAGGAAAAATTCTTTACGTATCCGGCTATCTACGGGGCGTACACGGAGCTCTGGGCAGCACTCACACCCGAACTGACGCCTGATAAGAGTGGCGCTTACGTATATCCCTGGGGGAGGTTTGGCGATCTTCCCGCCGGCGTCGAGACATCGATGAGAGGGGAGTCGGAAGGCGGAACGGGAATTGCAGCTAAATTTTTGGAATGGTGTCGTAAAGAGACGGAGAATTTCGCGTAGAACAGAGAGTGATCGAGTCTATGGATTAACTGGTGGTATCACACCCCTACGATATTGTATCAGGGATCAGGTAATTAAGCTTTGTTTAAAAAAAGGAAATTGGCCAATACATGATTAAATATTTAAAAGGGCCTACAGGTGTTTTATATTTGTGCTACACCTAGGTTGATTTCCATTAGAATCACCATTAGACTAGATTCCTCACCTCTCGATCTCGCCAGTTATCTTCAAATCTTCTGGATTCCAAGCTGTATGAACCAGCCACACTATAACAAGGTTGCCATGAAGCGGCAAAACATGCGGCGCTTATCATGGTTGCATAGAAAATAATTTGGAAAAAGCTCACTTCCGTTTGGTAAGTCGAGTACGATCCTTGTTGTATTGTGGCTTAGTTGGGGAAAGCTGAGGTTTGCAGAGCTTAGTACCGCAGCAACGTCGAATCACACATAAATGACCAACCCTTACTTAGTAGTATACGATAGGAGTACTAAAGATCTTGGCTCTCATTTTCTAGACAGGCCTTAGTCTTGAGTTGGGACCGCCTAGGTTAATATCGTACTTGGAGACATCAATACTTAATGTCGCTCTGCGGTATTAAGACGTAGAGGACAATAGCGGAAAAGGAAATTGAACGACCAAGATAAGCACTTAGCATATAACAGGTAGGTACCTACCTGGTAGGAATTACCCTGTTACCTAATATAGTCGAACAGTAGGCAATCACCGGTCCAGAAGATCTCAATTCAATACACCTCCCCCTCCCCCTCAAGGCCTAAGCCTCTCCTTCGATGGCAATGTGTGGTTCATTGTGGGCCCTCGAGACAGGGGCTGGCTTCCCTGACAAGGCAGTTTAGGCACCTTTGCATTTTGAAGTTGACTTAACATCCCCAGGAAAGCTAAAACAGGTAGAAATCACCCCTTGGATCCTCTTGTAGGGCTGATGGGCGGCTTCAATAATACCTATCATACAACAAAATGCCGAATAGTTCGTCGCGTACGAGTATTGAATCCGCGGCCGAAGATCTAGTATCACCACAAGCAAGAAATGAAAATGAAGAAGCAGTCGACCAAGCCAAGCCTCTCCTCTTCCACGAGAAGGACGTGGGATCACGATACGCCAAGGCAGAGGTGCTGTCTAAGTACATACCAGAGCTAAACCCGTCGGACCCACGAGCCGTTACTCTCAGAGTTAAGATGGCTAAGAAGACGACAATGTTGAAGATCCAGTTAATAATATCATCTCTGGTTGTTGCTGTGAGTACTTCTATAATGGCCTGGTCTGTGATGACGTATAATCCGAATCATCGCGGCGTGGGCACGTATTTCTCTGGCAACTGTTCGCGAGCCAGCTCGCTCAATACCTTCATCCATGCCGCGATGAACATTCTTTCCAGTCTACTTCTCAGCTCTGGGAACTACTGCATGCAACTACTCGTTTCGCCTAGTAGGCACGAGGTAGAAAAAGCACATTCCAGAGGCATTGCTTTGAGGATCGGTATTCCTAACGTTACCAACTTGCGACATATTTCTCTTGGAAGAGTAGTTGGGTGGCTATCCCTTGGAGCCACGGCAGCGCTTTTACATCTAGTGTAAGCTAGCCCCCCTACTAACACAGTTAGGCCACATGTAAGCTACCTCTAATTACTGTAACTAGTTGGAACTCGGTCATATTCATGTCGTTACCTCTAGTATCGATCCCACGCGCTTTGGCGACAGCTGATTTTCAAGTGGCATCAGACAACTGGACTGCCAGCGACCCCTTACCCCAACGTTGGTGGTGGAACATCCCGCCCGGTGACAGATGGGGCACCGTTAAATACGATCTGGAGCCTGTGTATACCTTGAAGACTAATGCGGCGAGCTTGACGCGGCTAGAGCCAAGGGAATGTATCAAGGAGTACCTGAATCCGTTGAACTCTACGAGAGGGGTATTAGTCGTCGCGCGGAATATCACAACCGAGCAGAATGACGGCTCGTCCCTTCTTGATGGCTGGATGAGCGGATGGGACTACTGGGACGCTGGCAACTACTGGCTGTGTTCTGCATATGACCCGGGAGATTACACCAAAATATGCAGTCTAGAATGGGCTGATGCATTGGATGATGATGATTGGGTAATAGGGAAGTCTGCTGGGTTCCCAAATATCTTGGTCGACTACTGCTTGGTTGGCGATCGGGCCAACAACGAGCAAAGGTGTGGGCTTCACTACAGCTTACACATCATGGTGATAGTTTGCATCTGCTCGTCTCTGCAGTGCTTTCTCGTCCTCTGGACGAACTTATACTTCCGCAAATATGACTCATCAGGAGAAAGTGGAAGACGTCGGCGTGCCTTGGTGACTGTCGGGGATGCGATTGCTGATTTTCTAAACGAGCCAAGTACCCAGCCTGACGGGATATCAGAAGATATAAAGAGACCCAGGACCACGAAAGGAGCCTTTTACGAACTTCGACTAGCGCAGTGGAATGAATCTCAAAGCTACTGGTTTACGGCTGTTGGCATGAAGACTTGGGTTATAGCCCTTATCTTGTTAGTATTGATATCTCACATTCCGACACCCATGTCACTTCAATATTTGAACTGATAAGAATGACTTTTTAGATTCGCTATCGGCCTGGCTGTACCGTCTGGTCTTATTGGAGAGTACATCAACAGGCTGAAGAGCCAGGGCATGGATATCTCATTTCTTGATATATGGAGCTTGGGATTCGAAGTCAATCCATCGATGATAGGTCACTCGTTCTGGAAGTCCCAGGGCGAAGGGGGAGCGGACATCATCGGGAATGTCCTCGTTGCTAACCTTCCTCAAGTGCTAGTCAGTTTCATATACCTCTTCTTCAACTCCATCTTGACAAGACAGTTGGTGGCTGATGAGTGGACACGCTTTACCCTCCCCGAAGGCAAGAAGCCGCTCCGCGTGACGTCGCCCGTCGGCATGCAGCGGTCGACGTACTTTCTCTCCTTGCCCCTGAAATACTCTGTTGTGCTCATGATATGCTCCATCCTATTACATTGGTTCATATCTCAGGGCATATTCGTGGTGCAAACCAGCTCCTTTGGTCCCGGAACTAACAGCGAGCGACATTCGGAGCTCGATGTTTCAGCTAGGGGATATTCGGCGCTAGGCGTCCTCCTGGCTATTACCTTGGGCGCCGTCTTAGTACTGGCCCTCATGATTAACAGTTTTGCTAGAAAGTATGAGGGCATTCCAGCTGGCTTTCAGCTAATAGGGATGAATAGCTCTGGTATCAGCCTAATGTGCCAACGACCAGATGGTGATTCAGACGCTCACTTGTTTCCCGTTAGAATCGGCGTCGTGCCTGAGCGCGAGAATGATGAGGCGGAGATGCAAGATATCCAAGAGGGCCGGCTAGTTTTCTCAACGGCTGTCGATATTGAACAACCGAAAGCGGGATCGTGGTACTTGCAACCTGCTTTAATAAAAGCGGAGGAGCAGGCAAAGAGCGGGTTTCCCAAGAGGTAAAGGACGGTATAGTTAGGTAGGCTAGGACCATCTTCGTGGCGTGGAGGGTAAGATGAACATTATTTACATTGTTAACTGAACTATAAAGTTCCTCTTATTTTGCTGTTTGATGTCTTTAATTGATTAGCGTGTTATATAGGAGTCTGCACTGAACTTGGATTCCGTCGCATTGTATAGGAAAGGGGTTGGGCTTGGCTTAGGGTATAATAGCTCATCCAACTATCTAGTTCTATGATTTTTCTGATCTCTCATTGCTTTCATCAGCGTTCGGAGCTTCTTTCTCAGGGCCTATGTGTGTTATGCCCACTTGGCGAACTACGAAGTACGCTGCAATGACAGCGATGCCCCATAATGCAAAACAGACCCCCAAAGCCGATATTAGCTGTAACACGGTTAGCCGAAGGGACATAAAGTTTGACTTCAAAGGTAAATTCACATACTGGTACCGAAGTTGAGCTGATACCGCTAGATATACATTGACCGGCTGATTCTACAGCTCTCGCAACTGAGACGTACCGAATAATTTCCTTAGAATCCCTAGCTAAAAAGCTGAGAAGCCAGAACCCAAAGTTATACGTGAGTGAGAAATTTATCTGCCAGAAAATGTACAACGCCCAGCCTTTTCCGAATCCGCTATCAACCCAGTCTAGTGCTGGCTTGTGACGCGTGTACTCGTTTTGCACGATAGCTCCCCAAACCCAGCAGCCACCGATGAGAGCCATCATGGCTACATAGCCGTATCTCGCTCGTTTATTGAGACTGAGTCTCGTCCAATCTAAAAACGCCCCGAATAAGAGAGTTGTGACAACTTGGGCAACTGCGGAGACAAGAGAGGCGAGAGCACGCGAACGGACTGAAAAGTACAAAGACAAGTAAGTAGTGATATATGGGATCGTCCACGTAATGTATAAAAAGTATGGCATCCTATGATAGTTATGTTCAGTGTGGCATCATAGAATTTACGTATCGCTAATACGTACACCAAGAGGAAGTCTTTTCGTAACAGGACTCGCATCAAAGCTTTCAGCTCCTCAAGATCCGGTATCCGTTCCGCTAGCTGGATACGCGATCCGTTTCTGCGGATGACCTTTTCAGGCGGAGTCAACAATAGGGAACAAAGCGGCCCCAAACATTCTAAATTCTAGGTTAGATAGGTACTTCCGTGAAGAACATTCGGTCATGGGTATTTTCAACTGACGCAGCGCAACAAAAACGATGTAGGTTCTCCAATCGAGCTTTCCTGTCGATTTGCCTTGATAATTGAAGGCGAGGTTAATAATGCCACCGAGTATCGAACCACTGTTGCGATAGCTAAGCCAATATGCTAGGTACCGGCCACGCTTTTCCGGCTCGGGATAGGTCAGCATTATGGCACCTTCTGTTCCCCAGAATATCCCAGAGCTGAGGCCGCAGATAGCTGAGCCGAAGTATATAAACCATTCTGTTCCGTAGCGGTTATTGGTGTATAGAGCTGCCGAGTAGATCACGAAACCTACGGTCCCGAATACTAAAGAGTTTCGTAAGCCAACCCTATTCGCCATCATACTCGCAGTCAGGCAGGTGAGCGTCATGACGGCAAATAGGATAGCATTACCAGCCCTAAGTGTTTTATTAGTTACCTAGGTCCCAGGAACAACTTGTCTCCCTGAGCGTTTTCTCACATAACGAGATATGGGGTCTGCTGCCCGCCAGCCCCGACAGAGTTCATCGCATTCCATAGGCCAGGAGCCGCGAAGGCCGCGATCCCAACGATTGTGGCATTGAAAAAGACTCCATGGTACCAAGAGTATTTTGGTGGGCTCTCATTGACTTCGTCATTAGGTGACGATGCTTTGGTAGAATCACCCGCTGTTATATCGTTGCTTGATGAAGTATGCAACATGTTTCCTTAACAAGTAAAATGGCGAGACTTGAATACCTAGGTCCATTTAGATGATACTTCAATATTAAAGTTTACCAGAGACCAGAGGTTAATAAAGTGCGTGCTTCTGCATTATCTACTCTGTCCTACTCTGTACTTCTCAGCTGCGTCTCGCTTTTCCAACCTAGTTCAAGGCACATACGCCTCATACGCATGTGGCAGTCCCAGAGTTACCTTAGTCCACCTCTGCAATAGTTCTGCGATCATTATCGTGGTATGCACAACTTGGCAATACGGGCATGGCACATAATTCAGGGGTCCGATCTAATTTGATCAACGAATCTGCGGGGGTATACATATCACGACATCTAAAATGTCACTGACGCCTTTTAAGCCTATCATAATGAACCTATACATCGGTAAAGCAGTCGCATCTAAATGATTTCTAACTAAGATCCGAATTCGAAAAGCAGATCAACGATGTACGGGTCGATCTAGTTACTGCGATGTTTGTACCATACTAATAAGAGCCAGTAGTAATATTATATTGCAAGACATAGTAGGTCTTCTTTAGTATAAGCATACTTAGGGTAGCCATTCAAGATGGCTACATATGATCGCTTCGAAACCTTTACCTTCGCGGGTCAGCAAGAGACGGCCAATTTTGGATTGAACAACAGCAAACTATTTCCGTTGGCGCTGAAGCCAGCCGAGGGGTGGATCCCTACATCGGAAGAGTCTATACAGATCATAAAGAGACTATCGAAATCTGGCGAATTATTCGTCGGGTTGAGGGAACATGGCGGCGCAGTTCTCATTCGGGGCTTGCCTATCACGACGCCTCAAGAGTACAGTGACGTCGCTCACGCATTCGGGTTTCCAGCTCATGAGGAAGTTGGCCGGCCGCCACTACGTACCGTGCTGGCTAAGAATATCAAAACAGCGAATGAAGGGCAAGTATAAAAGCCCCCCCGTCGCTATGGCGTTGCTGACCGGCCCCTCTGCCAAAGTCCACTGGAACTTCCTATCTGGCCTCACAATGAGTATGGATGGTCAACGATAAATCCCTCGTGGTTGACATTTACTTGTCTACACACGCCCGAGTCTGGTATTCAATTAACTCATTTAACTTCTTGCATAGCTCTTTTTATCATCTGACTTGCTACCTAGGAGGTGAGACGCCAATTATCTCAAGTCTTGGCTTGGCAGCCGCCTTGAAGGAGCAAGCGCCCGACTTCATTGAGAAATTACTCCAAAAGGGAGTAAAATATGTGTACAGATACGGGCTCGAAGATGTCAGGTCAAATACGGGGACAAGCGTCCTTGGTGCATACGGCCAGCATGTGAAACCGGGGGACGATAAGGAAGTTATCAGACAGAAGATCGAAGAGGAGGTCAGACGACATAGCAATCTCTTCCAATGGCATGAGGACGGCTCACTGAGTGTAACCCACATTGTCCCGAGTACGACATTCTACGCCACATATCTGAGAACCCATGGCTTATAATACTTATAGTCATAAGAAAGCACGAGGATACCGGCCTACCTACATGGTTCGGCAATGTTACGAGCGCATGGGGCCGAAGTAAATACCATGGAGCGACTGAGCCTCCCTACAGAGGCGACGACGATTCGTATCATCCCCCTCCTGAGTATGGGGACGGGACGCCGATGGAGAAAGAGTACCTTGACTTAGCGCTCGCATTGGCTGAATCACTTCAGGTGTTGGTGAAATGGCAACGAGGAGACATTGTCCTACTTGATGTAAGCTCGTCTTGATATAGCGCGGCTAATCCATTCTAACATATCGATAGAATTATGCAGTAATGCATTCACGCTGTCCGTGGACGGGTAAGAGAACGGTGCTAGCAGGCTTATGGGACGATACTCGAAATAGAATCGGTGATTATCCCAATGAGAAGCCCATTGACTTTTCACGAAAGCCTTTAGGAGTACCAGGTATGTAGGTGCCTATTTACTAGGCAAGCTATGACATTTTATCATTGGTGAACTATCTTAATTAACTTCTATATAGGTAGTTGATAGCTCAATTGATGGATACGATTCATGTCGCCGCCTAGAGGTGAAACGACTCCACATTCTCCCATAAGGCAGTATATTATTGTTAGGCTAGCCTAAGAAGAACGACATAGTCATCGTCACTAGGGCAACAGCGCGAGGTCCATTAGCTCCATGGACTTGTTATAAATACCAATTTACCTCTTCCTTTCTTATAATTTAACTATCTCAATGTGCCTCCTATATCGAACCTCACCTAGCTAGCATACAGAGATATTTTTATATCAGGGCATTTTCAAACATGTCGTCTCCCACTCAATCCATAAACATCTATGCTAGATGGCGCCCTTGAGCAGCCACCGAAGCGGTTACTACCTCATCGACCACGACTACGAACATGAAAGTCATATTGACCTGTCCCCAACTGCGGCTCGTGCGTTGTTTGCCGAGCTAGATGCTCATAATGCAACTGCTACTACAAACAAGAAAAGCTCGGTCATCGTGCTGTTGGCTCGTCGAGCGTACACGATCAAAGCTCACGCACGCACGCAGTACTAGAACTATAGATAGTCAATTCCCGTCGTATCGATATGCGGCAAGCTCTTTACGATCGGTAGTTGTAGCTAGTCCTTATAGGGAAGCATGCAGACGACGTTCATATAGATGAGCAAACCAAAAGTGTGATCGTGCTTGAAGGAGGCGGAAGAAAAGCCAGAATCAATCTTGCACACGAAGACCGAAGGTACGCCACGCCTAGGTGGACGACTCGTTTTGTAGATCTTGCCGGCTCCGAGTATCAGAATGACCCAAGCTCATCTCAAGCATTGCTTCAAAAAAAAAAAAAAAAAAAAACGCAAGAACGCCAGGAGGGTAGGAACGTAAGCAGATAAATACAGGTCTGCTAGCTTTAAGGTTGAGGTACCCTAGGCAGCCTACCTAAACCCAAGGTAAATACTCATAGCTGGATGTAGATAAGAAGCGAGGATATACCTTAACATAGGAGTTCCTATGCGTTAAGAACGGATGATAAAAAGGTCTTAATTGCCATTAGTGATCTGCGACGCTTTTCGCTTATAATATATTATATCAATTTCAAACTTCTCAAGTCTTAAAAACTCAATATTTTCACAAAGTATATCATGATAGGCCGTAAGAAATAAGCGGCCTCCTGGATAAAATTAGGTACCTTTCCATACAGAATCTGGCAATTATTCATGCCCCAAAGCCAATCGCTTCTTGATCCAATAGAACCCTAGGCCAATTATCCATACAGCAATGACCACGATCGCCAGCACCGGCGCGAAGAAAGCACCTCTGATTACTACGAACCCGCTGACCACGGCGAACACCACGGGGACCAGGATGAATGGTCGGTACGGCCGCCGTAATTCTGGTTCGCGGAACCGAAGGACAATAGCGCCCAGAACAGTCAAGAAGAAGAAAGAATATTCTCCCAATCCGTTAAAGGTGAGCAGAGCGCGGAAGTTTCCGAGAAGGATGTATAAAGCCGAAAGGATAGCCGAAAGCAAGATCGCGTTGATGGGGGCGTCTGATTGCGTCGTGTTCGGAGAGCTCTGTCCATTACTTGCAGATGGCTCCTCATTCCTCGCTCCCGGTTTCAATCCCAGGTAGCCAACAGAGGCGAAGATGCGAGGAAGCCAGTTCTTGTTTGCCGCTGAGACGGCCATGCGGCCAGCAACGAATGAGTTCCCAAGAAGGGAGCCGGCGACGACTAGGCAGATGAGAGCAGCGGCAACGATGCCGAAACCGCGCCCGAGGAGACGAGTGATCGCAGTCTATCCCACGGCTTAGTGATTTTCCATGTCAGATCGGGGATGCACTTACCACAGCGACGCTATCTGTTGTCGACACCACATTCCACGGAAGGAGGATGTAGTAGGCAGCATTGGCGGCGATAAAACATAGTATTATCGTCGGGATAGCGCTGTTGATTGCGAGTGGAAGTTGGCGTGCCGGTGAACGAAGTTCGGCCGAGACGTAAATCGCCTACGACGTTATCTGAGCAGTTCATCTACATGAGCATTAGTAGAATAGGGGCTCACCTTATCCCACCCAGAATAGGCCCATAATGCTCCGTATAGCGCTGCAGAATAATGGCCAAGAATCTCCCATTCGCTTAGCTGATTCCAGTCCGTCTTGCTTCCGTCGGGGTTAAGAACCTCCCGATTTCCAAACCAAGGCTTGTCGAACCAATCTCGTCCACCAATATCCCTCTCCGGATCAGTTACCTGAAGTATGACAACCACTATTCCAGCTATCACGATTCCCGCGATGCTGACGAACTTGGTAACGACGAAAAAGTTGTTGAGACGAGTACTAGCTTTAGTGCTGATGGAATTTGCGACACTGATAACAACCAAGATGAGAATGGAAAATAGCTTATGCTCGATTCTCCCGGCTTGGTCGGTTACGCCCATCGCGGAGTAGATGCTCTCAACGAAGACGATGCTAAGAATAGCAAGGGTAGCCGGCATGACGGCTACGATCCATGTCCAGGCGGCCAAGAAGCCGAAGACATCTCCGAAAATGTATTGCAGGTAAGGCTGTACTCCTCCTGCAACATATATTAGTTCTGTCTTCATCTCTCGCTTTATCCACGTGTATAGTTAGGTACAGAATGGGTAGGAATATACGAGAATAGCTCACCTTCGCCGGGGATGGCCGTTCCCAGCTCGGCCATTGTCGAAGCGCCGGTCCACGCGAGCACGCCGCCAATTAACCAAACGACCAGGGCAGCGCCCGGAGAAGGTACGTTAGTGTCTATTGACCCGGGTGACGTAAATATGCCACTCCCAATAACGATGCTGATGACGATGGCGAAAGCCTCGAGAGCGCCGAGATTCTTGGTGAACGTGCCCGCATCCCGGGTCGTACCCTGTGGCGGGGCGTCACCATCGCCATCGCCATCGCCATCTGCTGCACCAACCTCCCGCGGTTCTCTCTGGTCAGCAAGCAGAGGCCTTGAGGCATCTTCTACTTCAGATGAGGGTGGCATTTTGTCCGATCGTACTCATCAATTTGGTCGTGCGTAACTGTGAATGATTGTTGATTGAGGAAACATTGAAGCGGAGTTAAATCAATCACGCAATTCTCTTCTTGAACGTAAGTGGGGTATTGAACTTAACCGTGTTCCCCCTTTCATCCAAGACACGTATTTTACCTATTCAATGAAGTATTATTCCAATAACTAAGCCAAGAGAACCTAAGAGATATACGAGGTGTATTTATTATAGTTAAAACCATTGCGATTTTAATTGAAGATAGAATCTACCTAATTAGCAACTGAAGTATGTACCGAACTTAGTATGAATTTTGTTTCTATTTCATAACTTACAAGTGCATGGATGATGTAGGTGCAGATGAAGGTTTTAAAGATAGGTACAGATATGTATGAAAATACGATCAAATTACCCCATTACAACGAGACTAAACCGACTATTATAATATCATCTATCAGCTCTCTCAGAAATTACCCAAACGCAGGAAGCAAAATATAAGGTAACTCATCTATTGCAAAGTCATATGTACATGAGTCAGTTAACTACCTCTAAAATAGGAGAGCTTTTCCCAAGCGCCACTTCAATTACTTCTCTTGCCCGTCTGAATGCTCCAAAACAGGCACCAATTTCCTTTCCTCGTTCCATGTATAGCCGACCGGAGGAATCGGCTCCGAGCCGTTGCCCCCTTGCTGAAACTCGAGCACCTCGTCCATGAGTGGATGTGCTAGAACCTCTTCCTCGGTCAGGGACTGTCTGTATATATAGTCGTCCATGAGGCAATACGACATCCACAGCTGTGATGGTACATTTCTCGGCTTTTGGTGCACTCGCGGCCGGTGGTCTATATCAGGAATCCAACGTTCCGCTCTCCGGAGGCCGCCCAGGTATCCCGGATGTTTATCTTCTTCGTCGGAGAGCAAGAAATCATCCATATACATGTCCTCTTCTGTCTTCTTCCTCTTGTTCCGGCCTCGCTTGGGTTTGGATAGCTTTGGAGATTTGGGACTTCGGATAGAAGGTGATCTTGGCGGAGGGTTCTTAGCAGCTCCAAAAAGTCCACTCTGTTCCAGAAATGCAGCCTCGGGATCCATCGCGGATACTTTTTTCTCGAGAGTTCTCATCGCCTTTGCCTTTGCCTTTGCCTTTGATTTGCTCACGCGCTTCGGTAATCGCTTCGGCGACACCGGACCCGGCGTATGTCTTTGTTTGGGGCTCTGTAGTAGTTTGATCGCTAGTCCATGCTGATCTTGGACTGCATGTCGGGGTTGTGGTATCGCTGCTGCGTCCATTTTGTTGTTTCGATGCAATATTCTACGCCAGTCGTTGAGTTCGCACCAGTAGGTTGGACTCAACTGCCCAAAAATTGTGTTTTATAGATTCAAGTTAATGGTAGGATAAATAATCTGGTGGCATAATGCTACGAGGCCTTGACAAAGGCGTCAGAGGAACATGCGTTGTAGCAGTATTGTAAAGGGAGAAACAAAAAAATAACTGTTGGTTCTATATATATTGTCCTTGTTTCTCGGAGTTGACCGTGGTGTGTATTTGCTCCAGAGCAAAATCTTTGTTTAATTATAATGAATAGTATCTGAGACAAGGATGTCAGTGTTGATCTGAAATAATACCCTTTGTTGATCTAACTATAGAGCACTGGCAAGGTCCCTATTTCAACCAAGGCTCAAAGAAGTCGTTTCTAGCAGTCTCAGGAAAACCTATAATTCATCGTTTACAAGGTAGGTACCTAAGGTACATAGGTACAGTATAAGGTTCCATAGACGAGAGAAAGGCCAATGAATGCGTTATCCAGTAGCCCATCTAAAGTCTCATAGGAAGCTACAATGGGATTAAAACATATCGTTTTATTGGCAACATAGAAGGCAGGTGTTGCGCAATTTTCCATAACGCTCTTGATTTTATATATGCCATAAAGAGAAAAAGTATCAACTTTCTCGAATAACTACATGGAGCAGAAAAGAAAGGACAAATATATACATTGAAACACACTTTACGTAAGAAGTGTCAAGTACGCCTAAAATAGGTGGCCATAAGATAGTTTGAAAAACCTGCTGGAAGTCTACATCAAGTAGATAACCGATTTCAACCACTTAATGCCTGAAGTCCCGGGCATGACGCTTGGCGGAGAGATTAGTGACTGCCGGCCCGGGGATGTGGTACGAGTGAAGGTTGACCCAGATGTCAAGAGCAACGCCAGGGTCGCTACTGTGGTACATCTCGGTAGCGGGCACACCCTCCGGCAGCTCATTACCAGAGCCCGAAATCTCGAGGTTGATGCACTATTTCAAGTCAGTAACAACGCACCGAAAATGTGTTTAGACCTACATCCTCTACTTACCTGAGGGTAGAACTCAGCTTCGCCCTGGTGGGCCTTGTGCAATCCAAGGATCTCGTGTCGAAGAACGTAAGAGCCGGGCCTGATGTTGGGGGGGATGGTGACGGTGAAAGTGTCAATGAAGCCCTCTCCCTCCGGCCGGACATTCTTGTGAACCTCGGTGGTAGCCCACTTCTGAGATTCCCACTGGGGGCTATCAGGCATACCTCCCTGAACGAGACCGTTCTCGTAAAACTTGAAGAATCGGAGGTTGTTCTTGTCGACACTGGCACAGCCAGCTTCGCCGCAGGGTGCGAGGTAGTGCATTTCGGGGCCAGGGTGCTCGAATCCGCCTATCGTGTTGAAGCGTTCGACCTGTAACTGGGAGCCTGCAGCTACCGGAATTGAGGCCTGGGCATTTGTCGCGTCAAGGTGGCAAATGATATCGGGCGTGTTAAGGGATGATACTGGAACCGGACCTTCATCCTCGGTCGTGAAGTGCCATGTAACGGCCTGGCTTTGGTCTTCGTTTGACCACCGCTCGTAACCCGGGTAAGTCACACCGTCGACAATAACTCTTCGGACGTGACCGTGGCCTAGGACTGCCGGCGCCGAGGCGGCTAAAGCCAAAAGTGTGCTACTCAACGAGGGCATTGTGAGAAATATCAAGTTCAGTTTTTGGAATGAGCGACGGTTACATGAAACAAGAAAAGAAAGAAGACCAGCTTCGAAATTGCTGTGCAAATGAATGTTAATTATGGTCAAGTGTTTACTGAGGAAATAAAAGATTCATGATGGAAAACAGGGCGTTATAGACTCTTATTTGAGTACATTGTAAGTGACGATGACGACGAAGGCGTCGCGGTTGTACGAAACATCGCCAAGCTCTTACACTTTTAGTGACTCCTCGATATAGTTTGGTTTATACCGTTGATGCTTTTGGCATCGTGGAGAGATGTTTCAGAGGGACGTATAATGAATGTCCTAAAATGGCAGGTATGTGGAATGTGTATGTGTAGCTAGAGGATTTAGAACGATCTATTAATAAAAGGGGCCGGATACTCCACAGTTTACTCTCTTAATCACATTTTAACCTAGTGCTCTCTTTAACAGAGCGTTCTCTAAACCTTATCCGGGTTTTCCGCATGCTACTGTTGGTGAGTTCATTGGTTAATGATCATAAACCTGAGTCTCCCTTGGTATGATGGTAAGTGTTTGTTACGTTGTTATGGCGTAGTTGCAAGGAATAAAGTAGACAAGGGTTATATTACAGTGCTTACCTAACCTAATGCAACTCTTTGACTTGCAGTACTTACATGCGGTTGACTCTTCAGATTTTAGAATAAGAATTAATAAATTCTAGGTAGTTAAGAGTAGGAATATAGGTCGTGCCCATATTGTGACTCTATAACTCTATATCAACTTCTCGGAAGTATTAAGTACCTATACATCCGTTACATTGTCCTATTACGAAATCTCGAGCTAATGGTTTCAATTTGTTTCTTTGTTTCCTTCTAGTTAAGCATTCTTATTGGATGGTGTATATTCAGGGACAAGGCAATGCGGTTTTACTATCAGGGTCCAGGATGACAAATTCTGTCATATCTCAACAACGCGGCGCTTCAAGCAATTAATTCCCAACAATGGCCTAAGCTCAAAAAGCCTCAATGTGACAACCTCGGCCCCTTTTACGGTGTTTTGTTTTAAGTTTTGAGTTGAGCTAAGTAGATCTAGAGACTAGGCGTGCTATATATAATAGGTAGTGCGTAAGGACCTTTTGTAGCGCCATTCCGCCTTGCCCTGCCGAGCCTGCCAGCCTGCCCCAGGGTTTGACTCGACTAACCCGAATTGGGTCTTGTTCCTGACTATCACAGTCTGTAAGAAATTGACTAACAACGCCGGCCGATACAACTCCAGAATTGCTCTGACCTTGTTGGTAGCCTCGGAAGGATCCGATGAGCAATCAATCGTCTATCCTCTGATCTGAAACGATCTTGTTGGTGTTAAAGGATGGTTAAGCACTTAAAAACTGGCACCTGTGCCTCGAAATTACACGGCTTTGCCAACAAGCGGCATCACCGTGAACAATGCACCATATTAGGATATCATGCTATGTAAGACTCAAGCGCAAACCGATTTCATCTTTGATGGTTTAATTTACCTGTAAAAAAGAAAAAAAGTACCTAATATAACCAAACATCAATCATAGCACTACTGATCCGTACCGTATTTTATATCTATTTGTTTATATCGTAAACCCGGGCTATTGTGAATGCTGGTTTTATAAGCATCTTTCAATACCAATTCGAATATAATGGTTGCTATTATAACTTATTCACTTGCTCGTATTATTATCGGAACCGAAATGCCTAAAAATCCGGGGACGTATTTAAGGTTTAAGCGCATCGGCACCGGTTAAATTGACAATGTTCGGGGTAAGTGGGGCTAATAGATCTAGCAATCACGCCCCGAAAGGTTCTAAAGTACCTCACCTCTTACCGGTATTCTTTTGTGTGCGTATAAGGGTTAATAAAGTGTCAGTTGGCTACAATATTAGAAAGCATGAGCTATATAATTAGGGTCTCCAAATATTGTTGACCGTTGCATAATCTTCGTCGACACCTTAAACCTATCATATCCAAATTCTTATTTTCTAGACTCCCAATCTTGGCGGACTTTAACAAGTCAATTCCGCTAATCTCCGTTCAATAGTTGCACTCTAGTGAAATCTCCATCTCAGGTATGTTAGCTAGTTAAGTCAGAGAAATATCTAGATCGGGTGGGTTAAATTAAACAGTAACCGAATAAATATCAGGTTAATGCTGTTCTATAACATTCCTATAACATGTCTACCTAATGTTAGACTTTATCTGATCAATCATAGACGCCACCTCAAGTTCGAGCTATATCGACAATGCCTACCAACAACAGCGTCAAGGCGGCCTTGTCACTGATCGAGAACGACAAATCCAAAATTTTGGGTTTAAGTGTCGGCAAGCATGTCAACATCGAACCCGGATTACATATCCCAAAGGCCGGTAAGTGATACATATATACCTAACCTTATATGCCCACTGCTGAAGAATTAAAAGAAAACAAAACAAGACGTCTTTAAATACGGGACTAACTCGAGCCTTTCAGACGCTCAATCCGAGCCCGAAATAAGCTTCGCATCGGCGTCACCCGAGAAAACTTACTTAATAATAAACATCGACCTCGACGCCCCGTTCGCGTCCTTCAGCGTGCTGAGCCCGGCGCTCCACTGGATACAGTCGGATCTGAAACCGACGCCAGCCGCCGACGGGAATGGGTTGACTCTCCTCAAGCCTCCTGCTACCGCGCCCTTTATAGTAAATTACATTGGGCCCGGCCCCCCGCCGCCATGCGCGCCGCACCGCTACCTCTTCCTCCTGTACGAACAGCCCGAGGGCTTCGACGCCAAGGAATACGCGCCCGCCCGCGGGAAGCCTGTCGGCATTTCGCGCCGCATACGCTTCGATCTAGACGCGTGGGAGAAGAAGCTTAAGCTCGGGCCGGTGGTAGCGGTCAACTACTTTACCAGCAATTAATGAGTTAGGATTAGTTTAGGTAGCTAGCTTAACCCCGGTCATCTGCGATATTTTTTTTTTCGGTCCTCTCCCTTTTTCTCTTGTGGAGATGATGTTCGATCCAGCCTGGGGTTCGGGTTTGGGTTGGGGGCGGTGACGGGCAGGGCCGAATTGCGATATTATTAGGCCAATTTCGATGCCCTTTCATACCCACATCATTGCTCCCAACGCTGAATTGTCGGGATTCTTACTGGTTAGAACAAGGTGCCCGAGCGGCTCTGGTTCAATTTGCTAATCCCAAACTCTTTGGATTGCATTTTTCGCATTCGTGTCAGGCCGTGAAATAGATTTATCTGGTTGTTCGCCACATAGGGTTAACATCGACTCCAACCTCCCCAACCTTCTATTGACCCATACTATTTGCTGCTGTGACCCACGCTACGGGTGTCGTTATTTTTGCTCCAGTATTAGTTGTTCTTGGGCTCTAGATTGGGTGTTTTCCTTTGGGCCTTTACCCAATGTCGGTGCCGTCATCGCGCGCGCGCTCATGCCCATCAGAATGAGCAGCCTGGGATAAACCAATAGCGCCGCCGGGGAGGGCATCTAGCTTCATCATTAGCTCATTCGAACCACCACGTCACTGCTGACAGGTTGTCGTGTATCATATTAAATCGCAACGCTGGCTCTGTGTTGTCGTAGGTATTGGCATCGCAATATTGAACGGGGCAAACCAAGGCAAACCAGGGCAAACCGGGGCAAATGGTCGACCCCTTTGCTTTTTATGTGAGATACAATCATTCCTCAACATGCACACCCAAAGAAACTCGCTCTTCAGCCTGACTCCAACCGGTAGATACTTATGAGCTTGGTATTAGAGCACGTGTTCATATGACCTTCGGTGCATCTTCCTTCGCCCGCTTCTTTGGAACGGGGAGCGGAAAGCTGCAGAGCGGTATGCATGAAATTGGAGAGCATACAGTTGGGTTCCAAGCCTGACTCTCAGCAGCTCGGCGACTGCGTTTATTCTGTATGGTTTTTGGCGGTCAAGGCTGTGTACCCCAGACCGCCTTAAAATGCGCAATTGGATCTTGTATGTTTTGGGCACAAGTGCCATTGGCCGTAAGGTGATATTGCGAGGCAGGTAATAAAATTTCGCTACTTCAACATCTCTATCGACACCCCTGATCGATTGACCTGATCTGATAGTGAACTTACTCGATGCAACGGTGCTGGTCCTGCAGTAGCGACAGGAAAAAATTTTTGAAATGGATGCCGCCCCAGCCATTCGTCGGTGTATCAACGTTTCTATTGGCGCCAGAAAAACAATCGGTGCGCTGCTCATAAATCTGGAGCCGTTAAGAGCGTGTCTCCCTCTTGTTGGGGATGTGATGAAATTAGAAACCTCACTCCCTAGTTACTTGAATCCAAAACACCACAGAATTACCTATGTATATATTCTATGGATTCTTTCACGTTCAAAATCGAGTCTTACATCCTTAATCTAATCCATAGAAAACCCAGCCAGTCGTTTCTAAATATGGCGAAGAAGAAGAGAAGGTCGGGGCAGAAGGCGCCAGAGGCCGGGAAAGAGGCACAACAAAATCGAATGCCAGATGGAGCTCCTAAGCCAGTCCCAGTGTCAAAGCCCGTTCCAGAGTCAGTACAGGAATTGCACTCAGAGTCGAAGCTGAGGCCAAAGCCAGAACCAGCGCCAGCACCGGCGCCAGCGCCGGCACCCGTTCTAGAATCAGTGCCAGAGCTACCGTCGATCCAAATAGTACCTGAGCCCGAACCCGAGCCAGACAAGGAATCGGAACCGGAATGGGCACGAGACCCTAGCCCGGAACCGGAGCCAGTCCAAGAGATAATGCTGGAACCAGAGCGGGAGCCAGAGCTAGAACCAGAACTGGAACCGGAACTAGGACCAGAACCAGAACCGCAGCAAGAACACGAACCAGAATTATTGCCAGATCTGGCACGGGATTCGACACCTGATCCAGAGCCGGGATCAGTTGAGCAAGACTATGAGCATCCTGTTTCATTCCACGATGCAGAACCGGCCCCGACCACAACTCTCGACGCGATAGGCGAGTTTATCAGGGTAAGGTCTTTCAACATTTGTGCTCTGGTACGCCTAACTGATACATGTCCTATAGAACCATGACCGAAACGCAGCAGAAGTGGCCGCTAAGACTTGGGTATGTTGACCATTCTTTTTCTGGAGAGGATTCAGGTGTATGGGTAGCTCATACGATACAGGCTTATGAAACGAACGGAAAAGAGAATCCGGTCCATTTTTCTGATACGGATTTCACGCACATATCGGATGATGAAGTTGAACGGAATGCATCCGTAGGACTGACTGTCGAGATCAACGCAAGCTCTGCATTCTCGGTTGATGAGGGCTATGAGAACACCAATAACGAAGGACCGGAGCCGGTCTCGCATGAAATCTCGTACTATGACCAACTGCCTCGCATCCCTCCTCCAAACGAACCTCTGGGATCTGAACCGCAAAATGCGGGCTGGTTTGATCTCGATAAAGTTATTGCGGCAATCCAGAACGGATATTCAGCAGAAGAGCTGCGCGAATATCTCGATTACTACCATAAGATCAATAGTGATCTATTGAAAGACAGTCTCAACGAGGAGATTATGGGGCTCCCGGCAATATTCTTTGTCGTCGAGACTAATGATGCGGAGCTTATTCGCTACTGGGTGAAATACGGCGGCGATCCGAACGCCACCTATGGGCCTCTTCGTTTCCCCGTGCTGGCTTTCGCCATTTTGCGGTGCGCCCGCCCCCGACAACAAGCGGCTAGAACTGTAGAGACGCTACTTAGGCTCGGCGCGTCGTCCCTTGTCATTCCTTCGGCATACTATGACCCATTTGACCGGGACCTCCCCGAGTCTGGCCCTGACGAGAGAGAGCTAGAAGATATCACCGACGCCGAGAAAGTATGGTGCTCGCCAGAGATTCGGCCGCACTTAGCCGCCGCATTGAGTCTAACACAGCGATATCTGCTTTGGAGAGCATCTAGGTTGGAACCGCCATCCGGCCGTGAGCGGACATTGGCTTCACGAAGAGGCGTGGAAGAGATCCTTGGCCTGGAGCAAACCATCATTGGACAACGACTAGCGGCATGGACTTTGAGGAAGAGCTTCCTAATGTAAGCGTTACGGAGATGGATATCCTTAATTCACTTGACTAATATTCGATAGAAATCTCGCCGTACCAGGCAGGAAACCCCTTGTGCTCTTTTTCGCAGGGCTGAAGGGCCATGGGAAGAGCGACCTGGTGAACCAGCTAGGACGTCTTCTGTCCTTGGACATCGAAAGAATCGACTATACTCACGTCAAGGGGGTGAACGAACTGTTCGGTCTCGAAGCACCGGTTCAAGGTCACGAGCTAGGTTCGCCTTTGAACAACTTCCTCGCTAGGAAATCGGGGCAAAGAAGTATCGTGTTCATTGAGGAGTTCGAGAGAACCAACGAGGATGTCCGCAAGGTGCTTCTGAGTCCTTTTGACTTAGGTACGTAAAATAATTGGCTTTTGTTGGTACGAGTCAAAACTAAACTGGTTAGGTGAATATACGGATCGTCGAAATGGCCAGAAGATCGACTGCGCCGACACGATCTGGATCCTGTCGACGGACAAGTTCGATAACACGATTCGCAACTTCTGCGAAGAGAACAGTAAACTCTTACGGGATTCTGATTTGCGATTAGAGCACTTCGCGCTCAAGAAGCAGCTGTCTCGACAGCTTCGGCAGGATAGCATTGCTAGCTTCGGAGCTCGCTTGACCAACCGGGTTACCGAAATTGTCCCCTTCCTAACGTTCAACCCGGACGAGCAACTCGTGCTAGCCGACAAATACATCATGGAGCTTGAAGAGAGAATCGCTGGGCCTGTGGTGAACTCAGAAGACCCAGAAGAGGAAAGCCTCATTGGCAATGTTCAACTGAAGATTACCAACAATGCTACGGTATGCTCTGCTATTGCACAGGAGTACTACTTACCCGAACTCGGAGCCAAGAGCATTTCCCGCGGTGTTGATTCACTTATTGCGACACCGCTGATAGGCCTATACTTGGAAGATGGCGACGACTTCAGCGAGGATCAACCGGAGACTAAATACAAGGTCGGAACAAACGAGGAGAACGAGGTAGAAGTGTCGCCTCTATCGGATACCATAGGTACCAACGGTTACTTAGGATTCAAGTATTCCTGGTAGGTAACGGCATGAATTACATGAACTATACGAGTTGCATGATTTCTATGATGTGCCTAAAAGGGGTATTGGTTAGGGGTTAGGTATTTAAACGCATACCGAGGTTAATGTATGGTGGTGTATGAAAAAGGGGATTGGACTCCAACTATTTACTGCCGACTATATTAAATAATGTCTCTTATGTTTTTTCTTCATTTCTGTTTCCTGACTTGGAACTTGGGGATTTAGGATATGTACTTGTCACACAAAAATGCATATCCGCGGATGGTATTACTTTATAATGCACCTTATGTCATATGTAGTATCGGGTTATTGTCGGCTTATATTGAAGCGATATATATATTAGTAATATAATGTAGCTTCCCGCTTTTAGCTTCATTCACATGTCAATCTTCGTGCATTCCTTCTGCTACTACTGAATGACGTAATGGACAGGATTACTTGTACATAGGTAGATACACCAACGGACTTGACAAAGCTCATCGTCATGGAAGCATCAACGACAGGCTTACCCCTGGTATGTCTGGTTATTCAAATTGATCGGTCTCTCTACTATTTACCAGATCTCTCTAGCTTACTTCTTTTCCACAAGCAAGATTGAACTTTAATACCTAGTGTTTTTTGTTTGTTTAACTATTGCCATTGTCGTCTACCCAGCTAGGTAGTTTGTTTACGAACAGGTTAAGTGATTCTCCTCAATCTTAGTTTCCCAACTAGCTCGTGATGTCTCCTCGGGAGAAAGCCCCCGGAGCTTGGTCCGACTTTCGAGCCGGAGCCGGAAGAGAGCTTAATGATCTAAGCAACCCTCTCATTCATCCCTTCAATTTCGTATCAAAGATACTTCAGTGGCAGTTCCAAATCGGCTTCCTTATATTCCAATGGTTTGCCGACAAGCTATTCTCCCCAACACCTCCGGGTCCAAGCACCCAGTTAGGGAGACCTAAGGTTGCTATTATCGGTGCTGGTATAACTGGCGTGACATCAGCAGCTCATTGCATTGGTCATGGATTTGACGTCGTAATATTCGAGGCTGGTGATAAAAAGAGCCTAGGAGGCATCTGGAGCGTATGTATTCACTAATAAATAGCTTTAGGTACAATTTACTGACTCCAGCCCGAATAACAGAAAGTAAATAATACTTCAAGCTTACAAATACATTCGTTCATGTATCGATTCCACCCATCAGTCAAATGGCAACACGGTTATCCAGACCGACAGCAAATCGTCAGCCAGGTCAAGCAGTTGTGGGAACGATATGGCCTGGACACGAGAACCAAATTCAATACAAAAGTCGAAAAGATGTACAAAGACGAGAAGGGTCGCTGGATTATCAACAACCCGGCGAACGGTAGATACGAAGGTGTGATAGCGGCCGTAGGAACATGCGGAGATCCCAAAATGCCGAAGATGGACGGCATGGATAAATTCAAGAATCACATTTACCATTCTAGCGAGTTAACTGGGTAAGTACTAATGCGATGCTTCTGTGCGTATTGTGATGCTAAGAGACACAGGGTTGACGCGAAAGGAAAAACCATGATAATTATTGGTGGCGGTGCGTCGGCCGTTGAAGCTTTGGAATATGCTTCTGTACGTTATCCTCCAGAACATCACTCTAAATCTGATTTAAATTTTATACGTACGCAACCGTCACTAACTCTCAATTTCATAGGATGAGGGAGCATCGAAGATTTATATCCTCTCACGCAGTGACAAGTGGATCATCCCTCGCAACTGGGTTGTTGATATTTTACTTTCTTTGAACATTTGGGGACAGGAGACTATGTTGTCTGTTATCCCCGAAGCCCTACTCAAGAAATTCTTCTATCGAGACCTGCGAGACCTAGCGCCGGACGACAAGGGAATTTTTATGGATACGCCAATGGTCAATTCGGACGTGATGGACAAGCTTCGCTCCGGTCAAGCTGAATGGGTCAGATGCGATATCGAAACTTTCACCGAGACTGGAGTGCTTGTGAATAAGAGAGATAAAGGCGTACCGAGAGGAGGGCCCGGTAAACGAGTCAATGTCGAGGGTGATATGATAGTCATGGCTACTGGTTATAAGAGACCGTCTTTGGATTTCCTTCCGGACGACTGCTTTAGCGAACCATACGGTCCACCGAACTGGTATCTTCAGACATTCCCTCCACAGCATCCATCTATCTCGGCCATCAACTGCACCTATTTATCGGCTATCGGTACCGTTGGCAACTGGCATATCGGCATCTATACCCGAATCCTCCTTATGTTCCTCGTGGACCCCCTGACGCGTCCATCCACGTTCTGGATGGAACGTTGGATCGACATGACCAAGGTCCTGAAAGCTACGGCCCCGACCGGTGCTTTCGACTTCTTCACTTACCTCGAGTTGATCTGGTGGTTCTTCTTTTGCGTCACTATAAACCCATTCCGATGGAAGTGGGCACTCTTTGTCTTCTTCGGCCTAGTATTTGCGCTACCCAAGCATGTAGTAGCCGCGGAAGACCAGGTTCGAAACGGCATTGGGTATTCCGGGGCTGACGAGCGAGACAGAGACGTCGGCAAGAGCTTCTAGGAGATTGTCGGCGCTAGAGATGCGCCTCGCTCGAAAATTTCGGTTTCGAAATCCCTAGAATACCTAGAAGGTCAACGTATAATCGCCATGATGGAAATTATACGCCATGATGGAATCGAATCCTGCTAGCCGCTACGCTGTCAATCCTCATCACAAGTACGTTAGATATGGCTACCATTACAATCTGTATAATGGTTTATTATATGAAAACCCTCTCCGCAACCATAAGAAACGGCGCCTTGCGACCAAATTCGTGCGACCAGCATCGATCGATGTCACTACGAGAAATCCTTATATTAAGGCTCTCCCCTTAGAGCGAATTTTTTCGATGCTCGAACGGGAACCCTAGTGTGCAATAGGTTTCATCAACCTGCTGATGTATTTTAATCATAAAATGTATTATCCTCGTTGTATTGCATGCATATTTGGAGGTTGGATTTGGTCGTAGGTTGCTAGATCATGTAGGATTAGAGGCACTTAATACAATGAAGGTAGAAGAACTGGCGGCGTTATGATGGTATGGCAAGGATTTATCTTGTATTACTGTGCTTTAAGCACTCCAACTCCCAATTCAACGCCTAATGTTAGAGTAGTATGATCTTACTCCAAACCAAAAAGCCTAGGGTAATCCAATGATATTTCATCGACATAATATCGTTAACGTTTTCCTCGGTCTCTGCGCCCGCCCTCCATAACTTTAAGACGCTTATTGAATCTATCGCCGATCTCCCGAGTGCCCATGCCATGACCACTTCCACGGGCTCCATCTGTTGTCTCCCTAGTTCTCTTGCGACTCTTCTCCAAGAGCGCCTTCGTATTACCGCCGCCTTCTCTACGCCTAGTCAATCGCTCGATTCGGTCTACACCTTCGCCGAGATCTCGCCAGTCTTCACCACCGAAAGTCATCTTGTTGCTTCGTCCCTCGACCTTATTGCGCTTAGCGCGGTCCTTTTTGCTCTCCTTCGGCAATCGTACAAAGTTGGACTCTTCGTATTCGCGCCTGCGGTTCTCCTCCTGCCTCTCGGACGCGGTCTTTATCTTCCTGCCGCCAGACACGATTGTCGTTCCGATACTAGGTTCCGCAACTGGCACGTGTGATAGCTCATTTGCGACATATTCATCGACGGCGGCGGACTTCATAGGTCTCCGCTCGCCTCGTTCCCTGCGGTCGAGTGTGGGCATGACGGTCGGCGTGATCTTGGGCGGACGGTATACGCCTGTCTTGTCTTGTGTCGCTGTAACAGCGGCCATACCCACGGGATTTGTAGGTGGAGCAAAGTTGCTAAAGCTTGGGCCGAATTGCTTCGCTGAAAGACCAAGTATAGGGCGGGCAGGAGCTTCGGTTTCGGAAGCATCTTCGTCGTTTTCTTCCTCGCCCGACTCGGATCCAGACTCTGACTCGGCATCTTCCTCTGCCTGGGCAGCAATTCGCTCAGCATCATCGGCTGCGCGGAGTATTTTATCGAGCTGAAATTGCAATTTATCCTCAAGGGGCCGAACACCTTTGTCGAGGTACAATCGTAGTTCAACTAACTTCTTAACAACTGCGTCCGAGAGGTCAGATCCGCTAGACTCATCCGAGCCTCCCGAGATAGTCTCCTTTGCATTTCTGATCTTAAGTAAAATTAAGAACACAAGGTTCTGTAGGTAAGAGAGAAGAAGCTCGTTTTTGACATCGAGGAGGGATACTCCGTCCTTGGTAGGTTCGATGCCGGATATCTTGGGTGTAGCTTCGAATGCGGAATTTAATGAGTTTGTTAAGGAGTCCAGCAAGGCTGGAAGGGAAGCCGGAACTGCCATCGTTATATATACAAGACGAAAAGATGTTTTCCGTTACTTGCTATATATTGGCAAAATGTAGGTGGTTTGGCGCTAAAGGAAGTTTTTTGAAAAAATGAAAAATAAAAAATATTTTTGGTGATAACGATAAGCTACCCCTTCCCCCCTGTCTGCTTTATTTTAGCGGAGGACGCGCCTTGCAGCAGCGCAGCCGGTCTGCCGGTGCAGCCACCATAAAAGCATCTTTAAAGGGTGGGGAGACTGCCCCATTATGAGGTACTTTGTACCTGAGGTAGGTACATGTACTAATATTGTACAATAGGTAGCCTTTAGGCAATACAATTGGTATAATACACTACAGGACAGTTGTCTTGGGGCTTCCAGTATCCACCTCAAATAATATGCAGAAGCTACCTCCACTGACCTATTTTTATTAATATCAAAGATTGCTGCCAAATAACTTCGTCAGCTTCACATCGGTCTTTCGAGATATCACAGAAACGAGCCTTTGTGCTCTATAATTGGGTCTTGAATCCTTCTCTGCGCCGTCCAGAGTGATACGTAAGTCGGCAACTTTTTTTTTTCTAATCTTATTTTATTTATCTGCCTTGTGTCGTCCTTTTCCCCCCTAATTCTCTTCCGGCTCGTCCCTCTTGTTGTACGTATTCGGCTGCTAACTTAAAACCAAAGCTCGATGTCATAGAATCCTAACGATGAAGTCGAGAACTTTTGCGCCGTCATGGGCGCTCTTCTTTGCGCTGCTCGCTGTTCCCCAACTTGCGACTGCTTTCTACCTCCCCGGCGTCGCGCCTAAATCATATAAACATGGCGAAAAAGTCCCTCTTTACGTCAACAGCATTAAGCCTGTTGCTGGCCAAGATGCGCTTCTACACTCCGTCATGTCCTATGACTATTATAACGAGATGTTCCAGTTTTGTCAGCCCGAAGGTGGTCCGTCATACGTGTCCGAAAGTCTCGGTAGCATTTTATTTGGCGATCGAATAATGACTTCACCCTTTGATCTCAGCATGCAGAAGAACGAGACATGCAAGAAGCTATGCACTTCGAAATACGACACGGCCGCTGCGCATTTCGTCAACAAGCGTATAATGCAGGGCTACGCCTTGAACTGGCTCGTGGACGGGTTGCCAGCAGGACAGCATCTCCTCGATGACCTCACCGGAACTACATTTTATAGTCCGGGCTTTGCTATGGGTACTGTCTCGACTACTGATCCGAACGGTCCGACCTTCTTTAATAATCACTATGACATCGTTGTCGAATACCACAAGGTTAACGGGAAGGAAGACCAGCTGAGGGTGGTGGGTGTAATTGTTCAACCTGCATCCAAGGCATACAAGGGAGGCAATCTTGACTGCAACGATAATCAGACACCGCCTGTTGTCCTTTTGGAAACCGAGAGCGCTCAGACCGAAGTCACATTTACTTACAGCGTATACTGGACCGAGTCGCCTACTGCTTGGGCTACACGATGGGACAAATATCTACATGTTTTCGACCCTAAGATCCATTGGTTCTCTCTGGTTAATTCGGCCGTTGTTGTTATATTCTTGACCATCACGGTAGCCTCGGTTCTCTTCAGGGCTCTCAAGAAAGATATCGCGCGATACAACCGGCTGGATCAGATCAACTTGGAGGACTTTTCAGGCGCCACGGATCTCGAAGACGGTGTCCAGGAAGACTCGGGCTGGAAGTTGGTCCATGGAGATGTTTTTAGAACCCCGGCGCACCCTCTGCTCCTCTCCATCTTCCTCGGTAACGGCGCTCAGTTGTTCGTTATGACCGGCTTTACTATTTGTTTCGCCTTGCTAGGTTTCTTATCGCCGTCTAACCGTGGTTCCCTTGGAACTATTATGATTATCCTATACACGCTTCTTAGCTTTGTCGGCGGTTACGTCTCTGCGAGAGTCTATAAATCAATGAACGGCGAGAAGTGGAAGCTGAACATTGGTCTGACTCCTGTTCTGGTTCCCGGCATTGTCTTCATGACATTCTTCTTCCTTAACCTATTCCTATGGGCCAACGGAGCTGCCGGTGCCGTCCCTTTCACCACTATGCTGGTCATTATTGGTATTTGGTTCATCATTTCGATTCCCCTTTCCGTCTCCGGCTCCTGGCTTGGGTTTCGCGCTCCGACCTTTGAACCTCCTGTCCGAACAAACCAGATTCCGCGACAGATCCCTCCCGCTACTACTTACTTAAAACCACTCCCAAGTATGCTATTGGTTGGTATTCTACCGTTCGGTGCCATCTTCGTCGAGCTGTACTTTATTATGAGCTCGATTTGGTTCAGCAAAATTTACTACATGTTCGGCTTCCTCTTCCTCTGCTACGGTCTCATGATCATCACCTGCGCCGCGGTTACGGTTCTGATGGTGTACTTCTTGCTATGCGCCGAGAATTACCATTGGCAATGGCGATCCTTCCTGGCTGCGGGTATGAGTGCAGGCTATATCTTCGCCAACGCCCTAATATACCTAATTAGCAAGTTGTCCCTGGGTGGCTTGTCCGGTACTGTCTTGTATATCGGATATAGCGCTTTACTTTCCTTCCTTTTCTTTATCTTAACAGGTATGTTATCTATACTATTGGTGTTTCTTTTCTTTTCTTTTTCATTTTTTTTTCCTTCACTATACTAATATCGTGATTTAGGTTCCATTGGATTCTTTTCGAGTTGGTGGTTCGTCAACAAGATCTACCGCTCCATCAAGATCGACTAAAGTAGCACGCTGGGAGAGAAGACGAGCAGGAGAGTCGTAAGGGCGAATGACTCAGGGTAGCCGCAATATCTGTACTATATGAAATGTTGTACGACCAACATCTTTTTTCTGACGCATGCCGTCTTCGAAAGTCCGCTTTTTCACGAGGTGGGATGGGATTTAACGAGTTGCATAAATGTAGCCCTTCGAGTTCCCAAAAGGGCCTGGCGTTCTGGGGGGGCGTTCTTCCTGGTGCAGAAGAGGCTCACGCGAAAACCTGTAGAATAGAGCCAAAAAAAAAACTTTGTCTGGGTAGTCAAGTTCCGGCGGAGCAGACAGGCATACGACCCTCCGCGGTGTACTACCTTCCTACGAGGTATCTAAGTACTTTTCTTAAAAATTATGAATAAAAAGTATACCTATGCGTTTCCTATCATTTGATATTTTCGTTGGTGTGCTATTCTTCGTAATCCGTGAATGGTGATCCGTAATGTTCACCCGCTTGTGTGGTTAGGACATGTACGTCTGAGTAATTGGACACTGCCTGAGACCTAAGCTTACTAAAGCTGTCACTAACTGACTGAGAATCATAGTAGAAAATATCAAGACGAGGGGAGATCTAAGGAGGGTGGCTATTTTCGTATATTATATCCGTTTTGTCCATGTATTATGGACTAATATATTCATATATCGGCCAGGGCTGTGGCCCACAGAGGCCTTAATGTATGAGAAGGATTCGCTGTAAAAAGTAGTAAATAGAATATAAGGGTATTTTCGCTATTCAAGAACAGCATGCAAAGTCATGCATATGGATGCACATGCTGGATCTCCATGCTCTCCGAGTTCTATTCCCATAAACACTTTCTCGTCGATCTGCCAATGTCCATTTTTACTCATCGTCATCCTCATCGTCGTCAGCCATAAACTGGAACTGCTTCTTCTCGCCTACCGGCGACGATTGAATCGGTCCAGGGCCCCCAGTAACGCTCGCCCGCCGCCACGCCTCCCTCTGCTCCTTCTCCCGCTCGGCCCGCAGCCGCGCCTGCTCCTCTCTGGCCCTGCGCTCGCGTTCCTCGCGCTCCTGCCTCTCCCTCTCTTCCGCCGCCTGCTGTTCTTCCTTCTCGCGCTCCTTACGCGCCTTCTCTTCCTCGGGATCGTAGTTCTCCGGGTCGACGCCTTTCTCCGAGAGGAAGGCTAGCGTGGCCAGGGCGCCCTTGCGCACCGACTCTTCGCTCGGCCACGGCACGAATTCGACGTCGCTGAACGGGTTCAGCTTCCATGGTAGCTCGTCCTGAGCGACTACCGCGTCGCCGGCGCCCGTGGTGACGAGCTGCTGAGACTGCGACGCGGGGTCTTGCTGCTGCTGCTGCTGTTGCGCGCCGTTTACGTTCGCAGGTGTTGTGGCGCCAGTTAATGCGCCGTTTGGCGTCCCGGCGGCCGGTGTCGTGGCGGCCGTTTCCGTCCCTAGTCCTCCGCTATTCTCGGCTTTCGGTTCGGCCGAAAGGCCGTTTGCGGCGCCGGCGGGAGGGATGGTAGTTTTGCTGATGCGACTGGCGTAGGCGAGCAGTTCGTCGTAGTCGATGTCGTAGCTAGGGCGATCGGACGGGAAGACGGTAGCAGGGGCGTTGACGAGTTCCTTCCGCGTGTTCGCTAGTAGGCGCAGCGTTTCCTTGATCTGTGTGTCGAAGCTAGTCGTAGCTGCTCGTAGATCCTGAATGCGTCGATAGTTAGATTGGTGGGTTTGCACTGAGAAGGTAGATGGATCAGTTCCCATGTATCTAGCGTTTAGAGAGAGAAGGGTTAAGAAGAGGAATCAAAAGGTAACAGAAGAAAAAAAAGCTTAAAAATCCAACAACATACAATCTTCAAGGCCCTTATTCAGTTCGACGTCGGCAAGCCCCAGTTCGTTCACTTGGGTTACGGAAGGATGATATTTAGCAATTGAGTCGACCAGGGTGCCTAAGGCTTTTTCGACGCGGTCGAAGCACACATCAAGCTGCTTATCCATCTTGCGAGTATATAACAGATTATACCAAGACTAGAAGATGTATGAAAAAAAAAATTGAAAAAAAAAAGAAGGGATTGGAAAGGATGAAGCTTTGAGGTTTTGGTTTCTGATTAGAGTTGAAAAAGAGGTACGTACCAATTAATTGCTTACTATGTAAATAAATCTACCTAATCAAATGAATGCGACTAGCGGGGATGAGTGATTGCAATTGGGCTTAGGTAAGTTTGGTACGGGCTGACGGGCTGACGGGTAGCTATTTGTGGCTTGTGGATAGACGGATGTGGCTAAACGGGGCTGCCAACCGGAATTCTCCGAAGGGTCAGCCGAAGAATGTCGCGCAGCTTCCATCGAAAACCGAAATCCAAAGTTGAAGCTGTCACCAAGTTTCTCAACATATATTCTCAAGACGTTCGCGTGCCATTGAGCTTCCCTACCGACATACCCTTCGACTCCAAGTCAAAATGTCGTTCCAGGTACGATATACACCAGGTCTCCAATTCGCTTAGTGGCAATCAACCAGTTTTGTATTGTTGCATCATCATCATCACCATCATCAAAAGCTTGTGTGGGAATATTTCGAAGCTCTGCTAACTTGGCGAGACTGCAGTCTCCCGTTCTACGGGAATACCCGTCCTACAAGAGCCCCTACGGACCTAAGTGAGTACGCACCGAATATGCGTTGGTCGAATATGGGATTCCCAATTCGGATGTGTGGCGTGCTGTTAAGAGTTTGAGATGCGCGTATGGATATTGGAAAAAAATAGCACAACGGATCAGAAGAATGGTAAAAGGCTACTCGAATATTGGCTAACCGATGGACGCGCGAAAGGTACCACTACCAACCCCACGTCGGCGGGTATACGTTCAAGCAGATTGCCAGGCTGTAAGCATCTCGATTATCTTGTTACCCGTTCAGTCCCAACAGTTAGATCCATCACTTGCGAAGCGTACATGCTATCCGCGCAGGTTGAGACAACTTGGGCTTTGCCAACAGCAGCATGCTAACAATATAATTTGCAGCGGACTTAGGGCCAGCGCTTTCGGTGGCGTAGCCCTCTTCGGCGTCATTTACTACGCCTCCGGCATCCCCAGAGTAAAGAAGGATATCCTACAAAAGATTCCCTTCCTCGGTGGCTACTTCATCGACCATGTTCCTGCATCAGACAACGTAAGTTTCAGCCACGACTTGTTGAATTCAAATAAACCACTACTAACTGGCTATAGCCCTTCTAAGCTTGGGTCGTATTGGAGGTTTCTACTAGAGGAAGACAAGGGGAGCGCGATGCTAGAATAGAGCGCATACTACGAACTTCTGTACAAAATAAGCACCCCAATAGATCTCCCTTTGAGCTCCAAGACATTCCATCCTTACCTTTTTGGTAGTATTTGGCACGACTCTATTTTGCACCACGGTCACCGTCAGCCAACCTCATGATATTGCCTGTCTAATGAATGTGGTAGTAGTACAACAACAGTTCTTTTTAAAACAAGTCATTCCACAGGTCCCCCTTTTTTTTCGCCGTAATCTATGTCTTAATTTTTGGAAGCCAGCTCTTCCTTCATCTCCTTCTTGATGCGTGTAATGGTTCCAGCACCTCCATACACAAGACCTGTGTAGACCATAGCGACACTTGCGCCAGCATTTAAAACCTCCAGGGCTTTCCGCCCATCCGTAATGCCTCCTGTTGCAAAAATGATCTTTGGTTCTTGAGACTGGATGATGATAGATCTTGTCTCACCTTCGGGAAGCTTAGTGATGGTTTCTTCGATAACGACGGTCCCATCGGCTACCTCCTTTTCCGTTTGAGCAGGTTGCAAGGACTGGCTATCTAACAATGTCCGGTACCGTCGCACTAAGTCTACGGTTCGGTCGAACATTTGAGGGCCAGAATATCCACCCGTTTCCGTCAAGGTGTGTTTCTCCTTGGGGGTTATGTTCACCTTAGGCGGGATCAATTTACTTCGACGCTTCGTAGTATTGCCGACAATGACCCCATCGACGCCACTCGACCACACAGCCTGCACGATGCCTTTCATCTGGAGTTCTTCATCCTCATCCGGCGAAACCTTGACCATGACTTTGGGTGGCTGCTTCCTGTCCGTACGCCGCGCCTCGTCAACTACGGCGCTCAGAATTTCTGTCAAGGGTTTCGCAGCTTGTAAATCGCGCAGGCCGGGCGTGTTCGGACTGCTCACATTAACAACGAGCACGTCCGCATACGGCGCCAATCGCTTCACGCAGTACACATAGTCTTGCTTGACAGCTTCCACATCACGTTCGTCCGTCTTACTATTCTTGGCGATCTGTACCAATAACAGGTGGCCAGGTAACAGACTTCCAGGAGGAACATTAGCCTCGCCGTTTAGCACGCTGGCCTCGTCCAACCCAACCGACTTGGCATACGACCTGACCCGATCCCGCAACCTCCTGGCCATGTTGTCTGCCCCGTGCGAGTTCAGTCCGTACCGGTTTATCAAGCCTTCCAAAGTAGGAATACGGAACATGCGCGGTTTCGGGTTACCTTCCTGCGGCTGGGGCGTACAGCCGCCCACCTCAACGACGGCAGCGCCGAGGGCGAACAGCGGATCCGGGATTTCAGCATGCTTATCGAGGCCCGCAGAGATAGCAATGGGATTCACCAGTAGCTCCCCGAAGACGGGGACGGCAAGATCCGGGTCGTCAGACAGAGATGAACTAGCACGCTCTCGGGGGTGGAGTCCTAGATCGTACAGGGTTTTCATAAGGGAGACGGAAGTATCGTGCGCGTCCTCAGCGTCCGAGTAGACAAAGCGGAGTCCTGGGGGTACGACATAGCGATGAACGAAAGCGCGAGTATCGGTGCTGTAGATGTAGATCAGATAGCCGGATACAACTATAGACGTCGCAAACAATGCCTTTCTAACGCGGGATACGGGTAGCGACTCGCCGGAGGTCCAGACGTTACGGGTGGCAATTCGGGTACGGAAATGGACGGGAGATCGTAGGGAGGAAGAAGAAGATAGCGGGTTCACCGGGGAGCTGAGGAAGCGCCGAGCTATTCTATGATAAGATGCCATGTTGAAGGGCTTGTGATGGGCATAACTGCCCTCAATGGGCTTGTAATGGTTGATGGGATTTGAGATTCTGATATATCTATGAATATACAAAAAAAAGAAAAGAAAAGAAAAAGAAAGAAAGAAAGAAAAACCGAGAGAATTAAAACTCGGTGCTTGTGTAAATCGGTAAATCGTACCAGGTAGAATCATGTATAAACCAAAATGTTCGAAGCTTAGAATCTTTAAGTTCTTGGCAACGTCACAAAACCAATCATAACCTGGATATCAGTGGATCTGCCCGTCTGTTAAAGTTTGTCAGGGATGTTGTTATGTACCTAGGTACCTACATTCAAGACCTCCAGCTGTCAGCTGTCAGGTGTTATTTTCCTTGTACATACGGATCCGTACCTCTCATAGTAAATAAAACATACCTCATGAGGATATTCGCATTTATCACTATGAGAAATCTTGAACGAAAATTAATCAACAATTTCATATTAGGCATTGAGACTAAGGGACTAACGCAGCTAGCTAGGTATGCTTCAATTTCAGATGAGCATTTTGTGTTTCTGTCTGTTTTAGAGCCTTTCCATTTTCCGATTCGCCAATACCTACAGCAATGCCTTTCCAGCTGGACCTAAGTTCCTCTTGGATTGTGCACCTGGTTGACTATGGTCTCCTTGCGACGGCTACGTATATTTACGCCGTTCGTGATATAGGATCTTCTCGCACAGGTCTCGGCATTTTATTCTCTCTCATAATCATCCAATTCCTGGGCTATGCCTGGTTATCGTTCGTCACCGAACATACTCCGAACCCCTATCTGGTGCGTACCTATCTATAAAATAACTTCTTACTTTTAAACTCTTTGCTGCATCTACTCAGAGCTAATCCAACGTTAGGATGAAGTATTCCACATTCCTCAAGCACAGGTCTACTGCGATGGGAAGTTTGGCATATGGGATGACAAGATTACCACACCTCCTGGACTGTTAGTTTACACTACCGTCTTCCCTAATTAAATACACTCACAACTAACAACATAAAGCTACATCTTAACCATCATTGGAGCTAGAGTATCGAAACTTTCATGTTCGGTCTACAGTCTCCGGGAGTTCAACGTAAAAACCATCTCTTATCTAGCTATAGCGGCCATTACAGCTAGGGCTCAACTTCAACATCTAAAGAGAGCGAGCAACGGACAATCTCCAATCTTGTACACCATAGATTCCTTCTGGACAGGGATTAATGTCACCCTCTTTCCGGTCTTATTCTTCTTTTCAGGCTTATATTACACAGATGTCCTCTCTACATTTGTTGTACTACTTGCTTATATCAACCATCTAGGCCGAATGCGTTCAGATAACCCGGCAGTTGCAAGCAGCATTCGTACCATTGCGGTCGGGCTCGTAGCGCTGAGCGTTAGACAGACCAACATCTTCTGGGTGGTGGTCTATATTGGTGGCTTGGAAGTCGTTCATGTTATTAAAACCCTCTCCCCGGAACCAACGAATACCCCGACTTTCAAAACGCTGTCAGAGCAGATCAATTTTTATGTTTGGAGGTATTCACTCGGTGATATCCACGATCCACCCTTAAACCTAGCCTCACCAATTGGTAAGTCACAAATCTCACCCTCGACTATTCCGTCAACTAAATAAGTAGACCTTGTTCTTTCAACAATTAGCATTGTTATAGCCGCAGTCTGCAACCTCGGAACCATTGTGCGCAAGCAAATTTGGCCGCATCTGATCGTCCTTGCGGCTTTTATCGGGTTTGTCGTTTGGAATGGCGGTGTTGTTCTAGGTGAGTTGACTGGCATAAAGACACCCCTTCTCACAAATTCCATTACTGATATAAAATAGGGGACAAATCCAACCATGTAGCAACCTTGCATTTGGCCCAATTGTTATATATATGGCCCCTATTCGCATTTTTCTCGGCGCCTCTTTTCATCCCTCCGCTTATAGACCTAGCGATATCTGTACTCCAAGTTATCACTGGTTCGACCAAGCCAGGTCCGACCTCGAAGGCACTTCCCGTCTCCGAGAATGGCCCTGGAGAGACAAGGAAACCCAGCCAGTCCGTAGCTCTGAAAGCATTCAATCGCATTGGATCGAGCCATACCCTTCATTCGGTTCTTCTCCTTGCCGGCGCTCTAGCAATTACTGCTTTAATCGTGCGGTATAACACTATTATTCATCCCTTCACGCTGGCTGACAATAGGCATTTTATGTTTTACGTGTTCCGGTATACGATCTTGAGAGCGTGGTGGATAAAATACGCTCTTGTCCCGGCCTATGTAATATGCGGCTGGCTGTGCTGGGTCACTCTGCAAGGCAATACCTCTTCTACGATACCTCCTCAAAAGCGCCAGTGGATATCAACGCCGTTCGATACGAAATCCAAGGCTTTTTCGCCAACTACAACTGGAAAAACTCCGAGTGGTGCAGCGAGTACAACTGTGGACACAACAACAGTACCGCCATCTACGTCGACTGTGCTGATCCTCCTCGCAGCTACTCTCTCTCTTGTAACAGCACCGCTAGTTGAACCGCGTTATTTTATTCTGCCGTGGGTCTTCTGGCGCTTGCTCGTCCCGGCACGGCCCGCCTTTCCTACGTCAGAGCCGGGTCCGATGTCATCAGTTTCCCGACACCTCGTACCGCTGATTGAGACGGCGTGGTTTCTGCTGATAAATGCAGCAACTATGTATGTGTTCATCACTAGGCCTTTTTATTGGCGAGGGCCAGACGGCGAGCTACTAGACAACGGGAATGTACAAAGATTTATGTGGTAGTTAATTGTAACATGAAAGATACCTAAACTAATATACCTAGGTACCTAACGCAATATTCTGCAAGTAGATTGATCTCACGATCAAAAGCCGAATGGAATATAATTACTTGAACTTATAAGGTACTCTTAGTACTCGCCTAACAAAGGAGGTATTGAAGACTCTATCTGAGTAAACAAGTATGATACTTAAGAAGTACCTAACCTATATTGACCCCTTTTTTCGAAGTTAAATAGTCGCATACTATGCAGCAAACATCAAATTCTTGTCGACATCGCTTACAAAGTCAAATTCGTATATAACGGCGTGTCGGCGAGTGGGGAGGTGAGATGGTGAATAACCCGACTTTTAAGCCGGTGATGTAAATAGAGCTCTTTTCTTTTCTCGAAATTCTCTCCTTTTTTTTCTCTTGGTCTTTAGCATGGTTTGCTTTAAAGCCAAATACCCCCAAGCCGCCTGAACGCCATCCTCGAATCGCAAACCGTCAACGCCGTGCCGTGCCGTGCCATATACAATATCCATCCCTCCGTTTAATGCCCTATTTAGGGCAACCATGGTTTAGTTTTATACCGTGTATTCCCATATGTCTGTTCACCCCGACCGTAAATCCCCAAGAGTGAACAGCCGAATCGATATGTTCGATCTCAGTATATATAGGGCATGCAAGTTATCAATTCGCTATCGTCCGATTTCATCCGGTTATTAAGAATAGAGTAGAGTAGAATAGGGTAGAGTAGAGTAGATAGCTTCGGGAAACTAATCATAGACTCAACCTGTCCAAGCTCAGACGGTCTTGACTCCGTACTCGCTTCACAACGCCTAGTTTGAAGAATCGCTCATCACCGCCGGCTGTCCGACCACCGATATACCATTTATCGGCGCCGAGAACATCGCGGAAGCCCTCGCTGCTGCTATCGCTTCCTCGTCGGCGGCCGGGAGCTGGAATCGGCATACCCGGGCGATGTGGTTGGGGGGAGTGGTGGTGTCGGGGTGGCGATTGTAGGGGTATTTGGTTCATAACACCCCCTGTTCGTTGCTGGGGTTGCTGCTGCTGTTGCTGTTGCGACGGTGATTGGGCTTGTGCATGTGACGTCGAGGACATGGACCGAGCCCCCGAAGGGGAGGAGCCGGATGCGGGTTGCGAGGTATGCTTGTTAGCTTGTGAAGTTGCTGAGAGGGCCGGCGGTGTCTGTTGCCGAAAGGCGGCGAGGAAGGAGGACAGGAAGAACGGGCGTTGAGAGGAAGGCATCTTGGCGATATGCGACGAGAAGAGAATAGGGATGTTGGAAATAGGCGAAGGAACGAAGGTCGAGACGGAACGGCGGGAAGCACAGCGTATGGAATGATTCCCTGTAGACCAGGGCGACCAGCGCTGGCGGCGAGGCCGATGATCGGTGAAGATTAAAGCACAGTCCTATTGTAGAAATGAAATGTGCATCCGCGTCCGCGTCCGCGTCTTGTGTCGGCGTCTGAAATTATGCGTCGGATCGGCCAAAAGGGTATAAAGAAATATCAGTCGACATTTACTTAAAAGTGAACTGATAGTTTGATAGAGAAGACAAAAAAGAATGAAATAGCAGAAATTATTCTATCGCGAAATCAACAATGAATTAAATATTTTATTCTATTTTTTTCAATAAATGTGGTGTTGACATGTGTAGATCAAAATTGTATTGTCATCAAGTTGTGTGTGTGTGCGAGGTAAAAGGTCCAAAAATCCTGACGTCGAGGCACATTACTTGAAGGTCAGTTATCGGTGGCTTGCCAGCAAAGTAACAAAAACCCCTCGGCCAATCCCGGGTAACATGAGTAATTGGTTATTACATAGTACACAAACGGCCTGTCAGGTGGGGTAGAAAAAGCCTTTAGTGGGGTTTTCGATTTAGAAATGGAGAGGTTTTGATAGGCTCTTTGTTTTTGTTTTTTTTTTTTGAGCCCCTTAGCTTTCCGGTTTGCTAACAGCCTACAGCGCTAAATGAATTCCGAATAACCTTGGAAGTTAGATCTACGCCTAATACTAGTTTTTTGTGTCTTTGTAGCGTTTGCCGCCTTATACCTACAAGCACACGAGAAATATATACCTCCTATATAGTGGACCTAGGTACCTAGGCACCTAAGGTATTGGATATATGAAAATCATTCGATTCAATCGCCGATCCGAGGTACGTTAGTTCCGTTCGTCCTCCACCCCCCTTTTTTTTCGGTATTCTTTACCCACGCTTCCCCGGATTTCACCATCCCCATTTCTTTTTCCCCCGCTCATCAGCCTTGACAGCTGAATCAAATGTTTTTTTTTTTTCTTCTTCTTTTTTAACTCCTAACTTCATCCTCCGAGGATCGCCGAACACTAAAAACTTCAACATTTTGTTCTTTCACTGGTAGCGCTTGCGGGGTTGTCCCCGATCCAAACCTTTGGTATCGTCTAATAATTATCTCGTCATAATAACGTGTGGGAATGATGCAAGTTGCAACCCATCGGCGTAGCATATAAGTTCCTTGTCCAGATTTTCGTTATCTCAGCATCGCTGTGTAATAGTAAGCTTCTTTTTAACGACAACGATCAGATAAAAAGCCACAAGGATACGATACATCTACGTATACTGTCACCAGGGAGGGAACTGGGTAATGAATGCGGCTTGACGTTAATATCATGCAACTTATACAACTGCGAACGATGGCTTACATGGTACTGTTTATTTTAAGTGGTACCGCCTTTTCAAGAAAAACGTCTCCATCACGCAACTCGCATGTAAACTAGTTCCAGTTCTACCTAGCTGATCGTTTCGATGGGCCCAACCAAGTCGTCTGCATCTCGATCTACCTTGCATAGGTACCTAAGGTAGCTTTTACGCGAGCATGGCGATAGGAAGACTCTTAACAAGTAGAGTCGGCATGCACTTCGTTCCCTGACCAATGCGATCGGGCTGCCCTGGTCTGAGTATGCAACGTTCTTTTGTCGAATATAAAACACGCCATAAATTCCTTCGGAGATAGGGAGTATTGCTGTCCATACCTAAAAACTATTCAGCGTGGAAGAAGAACCACCGTATTATACCTAATTTGCGCAGGTGTCACCCGATAATTGGAAAATTAATTGGAAAATTGCTTAGGTACCTAGGTTACATGGCTGGTGAATATCCAATATAGTATAACTCGTCGACAATATCATTCGCAGTAACTTTGGATAGGTATAAACAATTTGATACACTCTCTTTATTTGATAGGTTCACTGCGAATAGATGTATATAATTCAAGTCAATATTTACACTACAGGAAACATCCATGTTCGCTGAAATATGTGTTCAAGGTATTGTGTACGGAACTAAGGTAGGGAATAGGTAACTATGAGTTTATCAATTCATAGAGTTGAAAAGACAGGTACATAAACGATCCACTCATTTTCTCAACGACATGGAACGACCCTTAGGACGTGAATTACGGCCTAACGGTACGCTACTGGCTCGAGCTGTTTATCACGAATATACGATCAGTAAAGTCTGGGTTGACTAGGGGATTATGTAGCTCGGCGATCGTACTCATACATGCCGCTGCTGGATCACCACTGCCACTCAGATGTCCCTCCCAATATTCGTTACCCGGAAATGAATTACCATCCCACGCGTAGGATAGGACAGGTAAATGAGACTTGTCCTCTGGTTGGGGCAAGTCAGCTGGATTACGCTTTGAAAACATGACAATGATGTTGTGTAGATTCGCGGCATCACCCATCTGTTGCTGAACATCGTCTGGTACATCGATCCACGCGAAGTTAAGTGTCCCAATATGTGTCAGCTTCCGCCCTAGAGCCATGACCGACTCTCTGAAAGCGTGGACGAAAAGTTCAGGTTGAAGGCGATGGTATAGCCATACACCGAGGCCCAAACCTACTATGTAGACGAGCGCCTTTCGCCCCATAGCCATTGCGCGGTCATTTGCCTCCATAAGCAGAATGTCGGCAGAGATACGGATACGCTCAATATAGGCACGCGTGTTGAACCCCTCGCGGCGGACTTGAACAAATTCTCCCTGGCCAAAGAATTCTAAGAAGATGTTCGTCAGCTCCGGGTGCTGTTGCCTCTGTACTACGCCGTCCAAGATATAATTAGAATCCATATGAATCAGCCGCTCGAATCGAGGCCCAACCAGTCCTATTATGATACCCCTAGGCAGAAACGTCCCTGGCGGTTGAGGCCTAGCATTATTATAGCGGCTGCCCGAATTAATAAAGTAACTTGGGCCACTGACTCCTATCAAACTGCTGAGCATGATCTCGTCGTAGGTCAGATATTCTCGCAGGCGTTCGTATGGTGTACCTTCAGCGCCTATTGTATCCCAAAATTCAGTTGCGACTGGGTAGCTTTCTCCGGTACGTAGCAGAGTCGAGTCGTTTGGGCCAACGAAGGACAGGGGCCGCTTCTCTATAAGTCTCTGCACTTCATGCTGCCAGCTCCAATCCGCGCCGTACAGCTGCTTTTCTAAAGAAGTTCCATGCGTACGCTTATGAGCTAAAAACCGATCGACCAGGCCAGGGAAGCGATCGTGTATGACAATGCGGGTATCAAACGCGTCTTTCCGGATGATATCTGGGGGAAAGTTGACGACCCTGTTTGTAGTGGTAGGGAAGTGGAGCCCAGACTCCTGGAGTCCGTAGAGCTCCATAGGCGATGGTGGGGGATGTTGTGAAGCCATATTATTAAATGCGTGGGTTAAATCAAGATGTCTTTAAGGGAGAGTACTATGGTACTTGTCGAGTTGTTATAAGATTTGAAGAAAATGAGGTGAATCGCCGTGATTATAACATGCAGGCGAACATGCAGTATACTTTAACTGTTACCAAGAACAAAGCATTATTTATTCACAATAATCCTGAAAACTATTGTACAACAATTGTACAATATACGCCTCGCGTGTTTAAAAACAGGCCGTGAGTCACATCGTAGGCAATCAAGGCTCAGTCTTCAGCCGCAAATACATTTACCTTTCTAGTGTCATTTGATGCCAAGGTTTACGTGCTCTCGCTGCCTACCCAAAGTACCTAGGTAGTCAGCCTAATGACCCTATCGTGATGATGTATGATCTAGAGGCATGTACACAACAATTATCTATTTTTCTTCGTTGAGTATGGGGAAGGGGGGGCTTGCATACTTTGTTTATAATAAGCATGCCGGCATGCTTTGTACAGGGATATTGTCTATATATATATCACGCATATCGGTATAGGTTAGGTTAGGTTAGGTACCTACCTAGATATACCTGGTATTATTATTTAACTTACATAGTATGTTTTCTAAAAGCTTTCTTAGATGCCCATGAGCTTTGTTGTCTGATCGAACACTCATTTCTCCACTAGGACTTCTAAGGACGTGAATGATCCATTTCTACGCCAATTACCCACTGTTAACAAATACCTAGCATATAACCCCTTTTGAACGACACGACCTTCAACAATCAATTGTGTCTTATGCTACAAAGATCTGTGATGTGCAACCAACAACCATATCCTGTTTTAATTACAGCGAATATTCTTTTAAACTGACACCTTCTTTCCGAAGGGATTCGTGGTAAAATCTCCGCCGGTGTCTGTTATACCTTAATTGATAAACCATGCCACTGACACCAGTTTTTAATGTAGGTAGTAACGTGAAATCCTTTCAACACTAACACACGTAACACAAGATGTGTGTCGTCTTAATCGAAGTTTTCGAGTATCATCTCTAAACCAACAATAACTTCAAAGAGGCAAGCAAGGTGGTTAGGATGGATAATAGCAATTTAATACTATTAAATAATGAATGAGAATTACGTACCTACGTAAAATACCTCTCTGACTTAGGTACTTGGTCTTATATAAAACTCGTCTAGCATCTGTTGCCGTATGATATGTAAAGTGCTATATAGAAACTGTCAAATTGTAACATATTGTCCATAATAAAATTGAATAAAATTACAGGCTTGAATTATGATCAATGAATTCGAGCCCAATTTTAAAATTTTAAAATTGTTTGTTGGAATCGGGAGCCGAATTGGGAACCGAATTCAAGAATTTTCATCCGAAGGCACATACAAGGTAGTAAGGGCTTCTTCACAATTTTTCCCTACATGAAACCAAATCGTTACAGACAACACTAACTCTGCGACAGTATATTAAAGTAGACGAGCGCCGATCGCTAAGCATTTGAATCCGGCACTGGTTTTGATATACCGCGCATTTGAGGATGGATGCGGCGCAATTAATTGGCATATCATGATCAAGCTTTTCTAACCCTTGCAATCCCCGGGAATCGACTTCTGAAAGGGGGAAGATGGATTTAAATGAAGTTAGCCTGGGATCTCCCCTGGCGGGTGGTTCGGTTTTCCCGTTTATACGGCCTCCGAGGATTCGACAAATTGATACCTCTTGCTCATCCCATCGAAACTGTTTGACACCTTAGAAACAGCCGATGAGATGCAAAAATATCCTTTGCACCCTTCAATGAGGCTCTTCGTGTGATTGCTTTTTTTTATTAAAAAAACAGTAACATCACTACCGGTTCTGAGGCCCCTCCTGTTTGTGTCCTACCTCCACGTGGGACGTATCAGTGATCAACTGACATATAAGTAATAAACTGATGATTCCGAGGTCTTCTAGAAAATCAAACTATACTATAAGATGATTTATGTTTGTTCGTAGCTGACTTCCCCTGTCGGATCGTCCTTGCCTTAGCGGCTTAAAATAGATACTCATGTGCTACCCCGGATTGTAAGCCGTGCAAGTATACCTGCCCAGATCGGAAGCTTCCCTTGGGACCAACATTGGTGATTTCGTAGGTTCTATGGATTTCTTATGCCCTTTCCCTCCTCACATTAATGACCTTGCCTTGTCAGTGGGCTCACTAGGCCCCCTGCGTTAAACAACTAACTCACAATAAACCAACTTGACATTATTGTCCTACCACAATGCCCTCGTTGGAACTAGTCAGCAAACATCCGTAGGAGTTCGGAATCCAGTCACTTGGATGCAAAACACCGGATGAACCTAGTTGGGTTGTTTGTGAATATTCTGATGAAGGAACAAGTTACCTGTGATGGCGCCGTATAACAAAGTCTGTCTCCCCAGGAAAAGATATATAAGCCTCAAGGCCCTCCTCTGTTCCTTTACCCGAAAAGCATCATCAACACCACATTCCTTTCTTCTATCCAGGCAGGACCACCAACAGTTTACCAGCAACTAGCTATTCGCTCCTTCACTCTACTTCTAGACATATCTATCAACCGGTTCATAATACCAAACCACCCGACAAGAACACATAACTACTACTTATCACAATGTACACTGTCGCCAAGGTCGTCATTGCTCTGGGTGCCCTCGTTGCCCCATCTCTCGCCTTCTCGGGCGACATGACCTACTTCGCCCCGGGCCTTGGAGCATGTGGCCTCTACAGCACCGAGAGCGAAGCGGTCGTCGCCATGTCGCCCAGCCAGGACGGAAACTGCGGCAGGACCATCAACATCAGCTACAACGGCAAGACCGCCAGCGCCGTGGTCGTCGACAAATGCCCCGGCTGCGCTGGCGACAGCATTGACGTGTCCCCCGCCGTCTTCGAGCAGCTCGAAAGCTTGGGTGCGGGACGCGTCCAGGTTAGCTGGGAGTACGCCTAAATGGCCGGGTAGACCTGCCTACCTGGATGGTGTCCACGACGGGTTTCACTTGTCTATATTATTGGTTGGTAAGCGGCGCTGGAAACGCACAACCCGCATATATTAGTTTTTCTTGTCATCAGGGGTATCATCGCTGGCACAGAATGGGTTAAGGCAATGGGTTAAGGCAACGGAATTGCGTAGAGGAGTCTCGGACTTAGGTTTGTCACGATGGGCCGGGCCCCATTACGAGTTTCTGCGGTCACCGGTCAGGGACCGGATATAGTGGCTTCGGTAAACATAGACCAATATAAGCTTGCATTGCATATTAAACACTACGCACGTCTTATCCATTTGTGCATGCGTGCGTGTGTGTGTGTAGTAGCAGCGGCAGCAGCAGAAGTCTGGGAATAGTTACAGAACACTGGAGTCTGTTGTGGGTAAGTTGTGAACACCCAGCCTCCTTTATTTTAAAACTGACATTATACCTTCTAAGGTACCTAATACTTCACTACGCTTGAAGAGGTTATCCCACCCAAACCGGGTTCATAAAATGCCCTTTTTTCGTGCTGGTTCTATGTCTGTTCTGTTCATCTCGTTAGGAGACGTCGCCTTGAGTCTACTGAAATGTAGGAGGTACCTGAGTTAACTGAATTTTGGTTTACTCTTTTTATTAGTTACCAAACAGTTATTTATAAGTTAGAGGTAGCTATATTCTACATACTCTCAAATTGTGATATTTGCTTTTTGTTTATGACTATTTTATCTACTACTACCTAGAATAAAGACTTCCTGCACTGTATCTCAACTTTCATTTCTTCCGTCTTCGGACCTTGCGGCCACTAAGAATTTCAAGAGTCGGGTACGACTTGCCGAGGCGAGATAGGAGATGGTGGTGTCATATTTTTCCTTCTTATCGGGGTACTCATAAAGACTGCCTTTAGAAAGAATGATAGTTTTATTCTGATAATCTTGGATTAAATTAGGTTAGGTACCTATACCAATGAAGTAAACTAGAGATATTTGTTTCACCTTTAGAGACAGGTGATGAGAGCTAAGCTGCAAATCTGCCTGATCTTTAAATGTGCATATGCTCGCGCTGTGTAAGCTGAATAAGATCCTTATGTCGTCACTCAATACACTGCTTATTTTGAGCATTTCTATAACGTCTATGTGAGTTGAATATTGGAGTTTCTATCTCATTTTGCATCCGCGTGAGTAGCAAACGAGAAACAAGCCATATATCGTCGCACCAAGAACTTGATAACGTGATCCAAAGTGGAACTATGTACATAATAATATACACGGGAACTGTTTTTCTCTAAGCATCTCGATGTCTCGGTGTAAGCACCTTTTGCGCTTTCTTGGGCTTACGTACTCGCGGAGGCTCACCACCGCCTACTTGCTGTAAGATTTGGTGGCAATTGAATCATCCTCGTTGCCGAGAGCTGCTATATCGCGTATTCGCCTCCTGCTCATCGACAAGAAAAATACCCAGGATGGTCGATCCATGATTGGGTGGGGCAAAATCCACCTTATACATGCTTTGGACGTTTCGTCGACGGTATGACTCGTATTGGGAAGGCTGCCGTGGGCCACAGCGATACCTGTATAAGGAGTTGCATCCATTACACCCCTAAGGTCCGGATTAAGTTAAGTTCGTGATTCCTTGCTAGAAACCTGGTTGCCTTCCCACCTCTTGGTCACATCGTGGCATGCATATTTGCTGGCATAACAATTTTCTTTCTAGGCGCTGACCAGAGGAGCCAGAGGAGAGGACCCTTAACGCATCCCCTAGCCTATAGGCTGTCGCCAACTCCTCGAGGACTGTAGGTTTATCAGTTCTTGGACTTAGATTTACATGTGGGTATTGGTTCTCCACGGTTGCATTATACCATGCTTCAGAAGAGATCATCCGCCGGACAATTGTCCGTCGATAAACCGAGAATCTTGGAGTCTCGCCAGTCTTATCACGTGAGACCTTCCTGGCAAACGAGTAAGCAATATCGCCCGTCCTCCACGGTTTTCCATGTACGATATTCCTTCCAAATCCAGAGGGCCTGCTCTGCCTGGCCCCTGTTCGACCTGGTTGGGCAAGATCCCTAGTGCACCTCCCGACGCGCTACCACGATGCTTACGGAGGAAACGATTAGCCATCAGCACTAATTAATCATTGCATTAGGCCCGTCAACCCGTCAAAACTCGGGACATACAACTGACTAAGAGTTGCTCCATTGAGGGTTTTGCTGCGATGATATGCTGCCGTAGTAGAGGATCTACTTAATCCATATAAGCAATATAAATCAATGGCCACTAGGAAGACGTCATGTGACGGCTGCTCGAATTTGCGATCGGAGTAATGAGTCGAAGTTGGAGGAGAAGGTAATGGTGGAAATAGACCGAGATGGTTTAGTCTAAGGATCCAGAAAGGAAGCTGTCGCTAGCAATGAATTAAACAGATGCTGGATTGGCGTTTAGACATCGAGGATCCTCGTCGTGCTTGGGCACGTTTCCGTATGCCTTAGCCGCATAGTTACGTGTGGTCACATCTCCTCGAGCGGGTTGACAGAGTTTACTTCGGACAGATGAAACTACGGGATACGGCCAGATATTTGCAGACCTCTCTGGAATGGGGCTTGAAGTGGAGTATGTTCTTTGTCAACGAACCACGTGAATATCGACGGCTTGGCAGGCCATCCTACGGTTGGATATAGACATGAGAATGTCACCGTACGTAGCAATTGTTGTACTTTTATGTAAGGCAAATTGCATGGGGGGGCTTGGTTAGTACCTCTTAACCTAGCATTGGAAAGAGTTTGCGATGGAAAGGAGCTGGGCGCTTGTGTAAGACTGGGTAAAATATAGCCGACCGTTAAAGAAGAATAAAAAAAAAAAAAAAAAAATAAAGTGGTTTCTGAAAGAAAAGGTTGTTTCCATATCCAGTAAACAAGTCCTTAAGGATAATAAGTGGTATGATTTTTACTTGGTTCCTACCTCTAGGTAAGTATGATGCTCTAGTAAATATGGATCCGGGCTCGCTTATTCGTTCAGACGTTCTCAAAGTAGAGAGACTTGCCTCTTGTTTATGGATGAGATACTACAGTATATAATGTACACCAGTAAACCCTTGAATAAATGATTAAGAAAATCTCCGATTGGTTTGAGCCAAGTGGAAAGATTCCTTATAGGGCTTGTATCTTATTCATGTTGTCTGTTTGATTGGACATCGTGAGCACCCCTGTTCGGTTTTCGGCGGGAGACGTTTTATGCCTCTCTACTAGGCGGCGAGGTCCCCACATAGCAATCTTCAGGTGAGAGGACGATTTACTTGCTAAGCTAGGTGTATTCAAAAAGGGCTGGCTAGGGTCCTTCATAGCGTCTCAATGATCCGGTGCAGAATGGTAAGCTACCAGGAAAACTGCAAGGCAATCTGCAAGGCCACCTGCAATGCTTTACTATAGAATGGACCTTTGCGTGAGCAGTATCTTCCGACCCAATCGGATTGCCCCGTTTAAGCTGAGAAGTATCCCTGCAGGTTTATACCTCAGGTTAAGGTACCCATTTACAATTCCTCGTGTCAACTTAGGTATAAGATACCGAGAAGTTACTTTCTTCAAAGCCTAGACCTCCTGTTCTCGGCTTGCCACTCGTTGAAGGTGATCCTTTCCCGATCCTAAACGATCCCCCCATAACTATCACCCATCTCTTCTCTTCCTAGCTTAGGAATGATTCCACGGAGTTAAGTAATCGTGCAGAAGGTTCAATGTTGTTTTCGATAGCAATCCTTGCAGCGTATCTAAGTGATTGTCTTCGGCATGGCTATGGGCATGGCTATGCATAGACTCTATCACAATGCACCAAAGCCCCACACTACCCTGTTGAGATCTCTCCCATCTTGAGCCGGACTTTAGTTTATGTCTGCGGGAACCTTTATGCCGAAGGACCAGCCGATCCACTCACCCTCCGGTCTACACTTGATGCCTTCACATATAGCTCAGTCTTCCGAGCTCAGTCTTCCGTGTCAAGTGCCTCAACGGTCGCGATCCTCCTTGCAAGCGTGGCAATTCACCTTGGCCGGTTCTTAGGAGTAGCATTCTCAAGGAACGGAGAGCCAACTGCGTAGTTGCTGTCGGGCTAGACCAACGAGGTCAAAGAAGGGGAAGCTAAGCGCCGAGGAAATCACAACAAGTGCTCATCTGCTTAGAAGCCTCTCTCCCGCGCTGAGGTCAGCGCTACCGAGCCGCGATTCATCTAAAATACTGCGAAAATGCTCAGTAGTTGTGTTTGAGTGGCCGATCAAGGAGTAGAAGGTAGGGCCACATGACGTGAAGACTCGTTGTCATGCATATCGATGTCAACGGTTGAAGCAGTCGTCAAGCTTCACGCTTCCACGGCTTGTCAGCCATCTGTGAATAGCGAGACGAGGCCGTCGATATCGCGCAGCGAGTTGAACGCGAAGGTGTAGAACTGCTATCTAACTGCTACTGTTGTCATTCGCCTACATACCTAAGCATATCAACTGAACCTGGGTATCGGCTCATAGTTCCACATGGAGTTCCGGACCGCTTATAGTCGGCCGCATGGCAAGATTAATATACTCGATACATTACCACATTACCAGGTACCTAGGTAGGTTAGGTAGTAGTATATATATACCTACCTATCTAATATTGAAAACGTGGAAGTTCGTAAAAAAAAAAAAAAAAAAAAAAAAGGCACATGTATTCGGCGGTTGCGATGATTGGTAATTTTTTCTACTGTGTATAAGAACAACATCGGTTGCTGCATCGACATTCTGAAGTGGGACAGTGACCTACCTTGACGGCGCGGCTGCATAGGCACGAAAGGTACAGGGAAGATACGGGTTGGGCGTCTTGTACATAAGCTTGCATGCAAGATACGTTTAATGTAGCGTGACTCAGGAGGCGCCTATAACAAAGGAAAGATTTCAAACCGACAGAGTAGAAAGCATGCAAATCATAGATACAGTACCTACCTAGCATAGGTATTACGTTATGCAGATACGCATACGTTATACCTGTACTTTTATACCTTATGTAACTCAATGTCACGTACCTCGGTACCCTGAGTCAATACTTACCTCTCGTACTTGGTTGCCTTACACATGCTAACCTTAAATTTATAAAACCACCGTAGGGGGATCTTGTCATACCTAGGTACCCGCAGGAGAGATCTACTTGGAAAACGATATGTTTCATATACCGCGACCCAGATATAGCCACCGATAGGACACTAGGTAATAACCCTAGCTCGGTGTTGATCATCCGGTTAAAGGTAGCGCTCCATGTTTAGCACTCTCCAAGTAACCAAGTAACGACATTATCAGCCAAGCGAGGAAGCAAAACCGAACCCACGTTTGGCAACTCGAAAGGCACAGGTACCTGGTATAAGAACCCTTGAAGCGTGCTTTGCTGATATGCGCATGCATTGCATCGGCTGCATGCCGGTCGTAGTACAAGGTGACCACGGTTGACGCCAAAATGCGAACCTCTAGTTAAGCTTAATTTAAATACCAACCATGCCTCTAGTGCCTTATATTATACTACGTTATACCGCATTATACACACTTTATTATACTTTATTATACTATATTATACTAGGTACAATACATCATGTACACGTACCTAACCGTTAACCTAACCTGACCTAGCTAAAGGTATGAAACATTACATAGTAGATACCTGCATCTTCTTATACATCCCCATACCTAGGTATCTAGGTAGGTATGAAGTACCTCTCTTTCGGCTTACATATGTTAAAATCCCCATACATAATCTGGAACTTGGCAAAAGCCTTTATTTCTATATTAAGTGCCCTTATAGCTTTATACTACCCAAGGTTAGGTACTATATCTACCTACCTAAGCTATGTAGTTATATGTCATCCTATACATACTCGCTTTGGTATTCGACAACCATCATCTTCATTTTTCTTTTTCTTGCTTCAACTCTCAAACTCCCACCCTCCATCCTCTACCCTCTCTCTCATTCTCGATGACGATGGCAAATCTGGCACGGAGAGGCTCTACAACACCACAACAGTGGAGTAGTAAAGAGAGCACTGGCACCGGGACCCCAACTGGGCGTCAGGCTTGCGAAATTTGCAGAGAGCGGAAAGTTCGATGTGATCGTGCTGAACCTAGATGTGGTCGATGTACCCGTCTAAGCCTACGATGCGGCTACGATAACAAGCGCCGTTCAACTCGAGATGATCTACCTGCCCAACTTTCACAGTTGGAAGACAGACTAGCCAAGGCCGAAGCACTCCTCTCTATGCCCAGGACTCATACAATTCCTACCCCTCCTCATATCGAAAAACCCCCAACACCTACCATGATAGATCCCACCATGATAGAGATATCGCCATCTGCTAATCAACCCAATAATGCTATGGAAGTGGATATTAGTCTCCCGTGTGAGACGAGTCTACCTTGCTTAGATGGCAACGACATGGACCTATTCACCAACTGCAATGATTATCCCGAAAGCACTTCGGGTTTATCGTTAGACTGGACACAACTATCGCTACCGCTCCTAGAACCCACCGTGAGCCCAACTGCTCTAACACCACCACACGTCTCTTACCCACCTCATATAATGTCATCTTCCAGTCACGAAGATGAGATAACGACGTGGGACTTAGCCGCGCTCCATCAAAATTATTTTAATTTTATCTATTATTATTTGCCTTTTCTCAGCAAAGAACGTTTTAACGCGGAGCTCTCCACCAACGGAAGCTCTCCTGCGCTTCGCGCTCTCAGCTACGCGGTTGCCTTAATGGGCTGCACTACCTCGGTGCAATACGGCCATTTACAGAATACATATTATACGCTAGCTCGTAGCTACGCCGAACAATGTGAACGGGAAGCATCGGAAGGAGGCACCGCCAGCCTTAACCTGTTCCAGGCCCTGGTCTTTATCATAAGATTCGAGATCATGGACCATAAACTAACGAGGGCCTGGCTGACACTGGGACGTGCGGTGAGAATGTCGAAGTTGATGGGATTACATCAAATGGACCAGAACGTCAAGCGCGACGATTCGAGCTTGGACATGGGACTATACCTCCCCCCTACAGACGACCCCATGCTCATGGAAGAACGGAGACGCTCGTTTTGGGGATTGTATATATTCGAAAGCTTTGTTCGCATGCGTACTGGGATGGAGTGTGACTTAGGAGCCGCAGAAGTATGTCAAGCTGGCATTAAAATCAGGATCGACGACTAACTATACGAATTAGGGATTTGGCATCTATCTCCCGTCGCCCGGCTTACTAACATCCGATTTCGTGCCAAGCAAGATGCCTTATCTTGGTAATTTAACCGCCGATCCATGTCCCGAGTTGTCATCATTTGCAGGCTGCGTTTTGATGATGGAACTTGCCATTAAATGTTTCGATCACGGACGACTTGCCGAATACGCGTCAACAAGAAATGGTTTCGTAAGTGGATTTTTTTTTTTTTAATCAGCAAAATTCTTGCACTCCATTCACAACAACCAAATGAAATTTTGAGATATAGTCTTCCTCGAATAATTTCTACGGCTTAAAGTCTTCAACTCCTACCTAATACTCTCTTTGACTAAACAAAACAAGTAACTTACCTTTTTTTTTATCTAGTGGGATAGTCACTATAACCTAGTGAAGGTCATAGAAGAACGATTTGGGATGCTACATATGCATCTAAACGCTAAATCGATCCGCGAAGACCCTATAGCTTTCAGTCTTTATATGAACCTACGCGGTACGGAAATCCTTTTCCACGAGGTTGCCGTCAAATTAGTAGAAAGGCAGGGGTTTCCCCTTCTAGCCGCTACTGAAAGTCAGAAACGCTCTATGGCTGCCGCTTATAAGGTTGCGAGTACTATGCGTCTACACTGGCCTTCAGGGCAACTCGATCGCGATATCCTCAACATGCAGGCTACATTCCTTGCATGGCCAGTAGTAATGGCCATGAAGGCTCTTGGCCGCGAATTGAAATGCTCTACTCAAATCAAGAGCGAAAGTACGAACTGCGCAGTAACTTCTCTGCGCTTGCTCAGAGCCGCGCTGGACTATATTGAAGAGCCTGGCGGATATTGGCATCGTTGTACAACTAGCATAGTGGCGGCGCTCCAAGAATGGGATGACGCGGGCGCATTTGATTCCAGCGACATATGATTTTTGACTAAGATTTAGGATATTTACACATGCATTTGAAGCTGTCATTGTAACATTTGAGCGAGGAAAGGAGTACAGGATGTTCGGACCCCAATTTGGGGTAAGGTCGAGGCTTCTCAGCCGGCAAACAGCATGGATAACGAGCACGGCGCCAAGCATATAGAGCGCTAAGCATAGAAAGGAAAGACATCAGTATCACGTTGGGGTTTTCCATGCAATTTAGACCCGCTTGGCTACTTGGACAGCCAAAGCAAACCCTAGCTAGACCGGCATATTTCATGTACACAAGCGCATAGACAGGCCGTTCTCGAAGGGGTCCTTCAGATGCAGGATACAAAAATAGAAGACAGTTAAAACCAAGGCAAATTGTTGAAGTCTAATGCTGGCTATATCTAACTAAACGTATTTTATAATAAAGTGACGTTTGTCTGGATCATTTTCTGCAGGGTCTCCCTACCCATACAGTAGAGCTTGGGGAAAAGAAACCCCCGGATCTTGGTATAATTGTCATCATAGGGAAGAAACAAGTATTTAGTTGCGTGACGTTACAACGGGATATCCGAGATAGAGAGATAAAGAAGTTTTAACGATACCCTAATAGTCCCTAATAGTAGAGATGATGCGACGAGCGTTGTCTAGCTCTAGGTGCCTATCTACATTGCCTATGATTTAATAGGTAGGGTTAGATTCCATAATTTTATTGGTCAGTTTAGTCGCTAATATATCAACTTCCGAAGAGTTATAAGGATGAACGATATCGATAATCGAATAGGAATGCCCACCTCGGTAACCTAATTGGCTTGGTTATCTAGGATCACTAAACATCTTAGGTATGATTTGCCTGATGCACGACCAAGACCTGACGAAGTGTCTTAAGGTTGCAGTCCATTTAAAATAGAACCTAACAAACAAACGAAGTACCGCGAATAGGTACCTAGGTTAGGTAGGCAAGAGAGAGGGAGACAGAGGATGCGGAAAAGGGAATCCGCCTCGCCTATCGACCGTGGGAGTGCAGACAAAGATCCGAACAGAGATTATGCACTCTCTCGGCAGTATCGCCGCCATCGCCAGCGGCTTTAAGATTCACTCCCCGCTACTCCGGTCTCGCAGGGATACGTAATTCTGCTTCTCCCTCTCGTGTTTCCGAAGTTCCCTTGTCCTTCTTAGAAATACCATACGGTTAGGTTAGGTACGTATACACATGGGTAGGTAGGTACCTAAGGTAAGGTAGGTGAGGCATGTATGCATATTACATGCCGAGGCCGGCATAGCAATCAACACGTGCATATGTGTACGAATAATGATTCCCAAAACATCTACGTCTCAGTGAACTATGTTACAGAACTCTGCGCTGGTTTATCTGCAGGTGCTGATGACGTAGTACTGAACACTGGGCAGCAACAGAGACAGGTAATGAAGTGAGAAATATAAGCTGGTTAGCGTTGTTAAAACGAGTAGCAGATCCACCGATAAAAGAGGAATATTGCTACCGTACGGCGCGATGTGATGCAGCAAGCCTCCTTGTTTTGATGACTACCTAAGCTGTTAAGGTACCTAGGTAACTAAGGTAGCTGATACTATGCAGGCAGGTAGGGCAGAGAGAGGCAGAGAGGGGGTGGGGGGTTGGAATGTCCCTTATGCGATTACGACGACTTCCCTGGGGTTTCCTGCAGATTTCTCCACGCACCTAAATAAGGCATGGCAAAAGGGCCCGCATGGGTAGAACCTTGGCTGAGTCTGCCCTATCGTCTGCACGGCTCACGAAGATCAGTGCATATAACCCGAGAAGGGCGCAAATATCGCCGAAATTGATTAGGTATTCACTAAGTAAGGTCCAAGTACCCCTAGGTGAGGTAGATGAAAATCAAAGCCAATACTAAGAAAACATAAAAATAAAAGGGGATTTATATAGAGAGCTTAAGTTTATGATAGTATTTTTTTTGTTTATCTTATTACTGGTGAAAAAGTGTTTGAAGAGGTATTGTTGCAAGATGTCAGTATGAAGGGTAGGAAGGGTAAGTTAAAACCCTGGTTATAAGTCTTGTCCTAAAAGGTGGCTGATGTCTTTTCTAGCGGTACCTGACAGGGTAGTTTTGTTTAATGCTTGGTACCATAACATGTTGGTAAGAGGATGCGCCAGCTTCTTTAACGCCTTTCTGATGCACGTGGGTAAAGAATAAAGGTATTACCAACACCGTACTCGTACGTATTATGTACCTAGGTACCTACTGTGTAATTGTTAGACTACCTATAATAATTTCATATGATACAGGTATTATATTCTATTTCACTTTATTTTTTATTTATGAAATGTGCTCAAGTAGTTGTTGGAGAATTGCTTCTTCTTCTTGTTCTTGTTCTTATCGGCGTTTATATGCTTCTATCTTTCATAACTCCGTTTGTTAAAGCGGGTAACCTAGGTAAGTATAAACGCAATCCTGTCCTAGAGCGAGTCGCTAAAAAGGCAAGTGCCAATTTTCATCGTGTAATGCACCTGCATCGCGAGCCGTCCCGCATCGGAGCAACCGTTTTATAAGCCGTACCCACGCCTCGATGGTCCTTCCTGGTTAGATAATAGAGGTGGAGCTCCCCATGGGTCGTTCCCACTTCCCATCACCCCACTACCAAAAAGTACCTAAAGTGGGTTTAACTGGTGGGATGGCGGCGGGGGGGTTAGGTACTATAGTACATTAGTACGAACAGGTCCCCATACCAAGCATCCTAGAGGATGAAGGCCAAGACCCTACTATGATAGAAATTTCCAACGTTGGGCTTAGGTAGGGCTGAACAGGCTGGTCTTTGCTTCTAAGCGTTTAAATGTTCGTGTTGTCGTGACATTAAGGGGAACCAACCCACGATCTGATTATTTTGTTTTAGGGTTTCATAGTCGTAAAGCGTGAAGTTTGAAATCTTGGTAGCTGCATTAGGTACCTCTACCTAACTTAGGTACCTAAGGTGTACCTATTGTACTTACTAAGGACCGAGCCCCTGTCAGGCTTTCCTTAGAGTAATGGCCTCGCTACGGCAAGCATCGCGCTACTGAAGATGTCCAAAATGCGCCCCACCTAACGCAGATAAGTGAACAATATATGTATTTTGTTGATAAGAGATTGATTACACTCATATACATTAATCAGCCTGACCTGGAGGAAAGAAATAGTATCGTCTGTTAGAAAAAAAAAGCCGTAAGTTACTTCTAAGATCATTTTCTAGTAACTACGTGAATTTGTGTTAATTTGAATTCCACGTCTTATGTCAAGATTGAGCTTTCACAAATTTTTAGTCAAGATTATTTATCGCGAACGGTGCTGGCGTCGTGTGATGATTAAATTTAACGTCGCCTCGATTAAGCTCCATGTTGAAGAGGGAACTAGGGCCGGGTGGCCGGTTCCGAAATAAGTGGGTCGCTCGGCAAACAGTCCGTATCATCCTCCGTAGTTGTAATGCTCTTGCCGTTCTAATGGCTTCTTTTCAACTTCAACAAGGTAATGATGCTATTTACGTAAACTTTGATGCTGCATCCTTAAAAGGGGTGTTGCGTTTTAATTCAGGAGACGGGTAGTAATTAAGCTAGCGTATTAAGTTTCAAGGGCGTAGAAATAATATCTATTTGGAATCATTTTGGATTGTGTCGATGGTTCTTATGCGTCGCTGGCTTGGGCTACCTTACCAGCCAGTCAGAACTTCTTTCATTCCCAATCTTCTCGTAACATACGACCAATACCTATATCATATGGTTTTGCTACCTTAGGTAAGCCTAGCCTAGAGCTGACTATATGTAATCTGCCAAGAATATGCCACGTCCGAGATTTGGTCTTGATGAAGCGACACGATGGTGGATGGGAAACAGTTACCGCTCCGAGGAAGACGGACCAAGTAGCCAGTCAGGGTGGCCTATCGATGCATACGTGTGTTCTTGATGCAATCCTTTGGTTTAATACATTCAAGTGGTCCGTAATCCGACCAAGCCTCCAACTCAGTGACAGTGGGTTTGGATTTAAATCGTTGTCAAGTTTTTTCCTGTGATATATTATTGGTAACTATAATCGGGCTACTCAACGATCACGCTGCCAAGTCTGCAATCCTTCAAATGTAAGCTGCAGATCGTTTTGCGACATTACCCATTGGCCATTGCATACTATCTATACGCCCATGGTAAATGCAAGCTATATGAGAAGCATGACAGCAGCAGAGGACCAACTAAATTCAATATCACTAAAATTACATGTCACAAGCCTTTAAAATTCAAGTCTTAGTGTCAGCTCAATCAAATATTACCCTTGGAGCAAAGTGAGCTTTCAGAATGTCTGGCTAACTTTGAGAATTTTACTCACTTTTTTCTTTTCTGTCACCATGAAAGATCTTTAAACTGTTACGCTCATGTGCTCATGTTTGGTGGTTTGATACTTTCTTTATTTGTTCTAAGTAAACATCCATACCTAAGATAATCATGAAAAGGGACTCAATAGACCATTGTATACAAAACCGGTGAAAACAAATAGAAATCTAGTCTATCCTTTCTAGACTTTGCGTGATTTTTTTCTTCTTCTTTTCGTAGTGTAGAATGAGTAAGATAAGAAATCTACTCAATCTTAATTCCTTGGTTGGCAACAACCAGTTGAGAGAATCCCTTGATGGTGAGCGACGGTCCCAACAGTTGCTGGAAGGCAATGTCAAGGCCGAGCTCCTTGAAGATCCAGTTCCTCAGCTCCGCACCAATCATACTGTCGATTCCGAAGCTGGCAACGGATCGGCCTTCTCCTTCAAAGTCCTCCAAGTCAAGCATGAGGACACGCGAAAGCTTCGCGATGAAATGTTCCTCGACGGCAGCAACAGCCTCTTCGGGGGTTGCCGCGTTCTTAACCCTAGCCAGGATAGAGTCGGCTCCTCCGCCGCTGTCACCCTTGCTTCCGGATTCCATCGCGTGCAGTAAAGTCGAGAATCGGGGGTCGACAGCCCAGAAGACGTCCACGTCGCCCTCAGCTTCGGCCTTGGCCTTTGCGAGAAGCGAGGGGTCGAGTCCAACGACTACGTGGTCGAAATCAACGGACTCGGGGTTACCCTGCTCGACGATGGCAACTTCGAAGGAGTCGAGGAGACCATCCTCGTCAATACCGTACATGCCCTTGCGCTTGAGAGAGTCCTCAAGGGCAGCGTTCTCAGCAACGACACCGACACCGAGGACCATAGGTAAGACGATGGCCGCGGCGCGTTTGCCTTGGGAGCGTCGGAGGCGGGCAAGAGTATCCATGTAGGCGTTACCGGCAGCATAATTGCTCTGGCCTGGAGTACCCAGAGTACCAGATACTGAGCTGGTCATGATGAAGAAGTCCAGGTCCAGGTCTTTGGTGACCTCGTGCAAGTTGGCGCTTCCAAGAACCTTGGGCTTAACAGATGTTACCCAGCTGTCGTAGGTTAAGTTGTGGAACATTCCATCCTAGATAAATGCGTATTAGTGACAAGTCCTTACTTATTGTTGGTGATCGAATGTGACTTACTCGTAAGACCATGGCAGCGTTGATAACTCCGCGAATAGGGCGGTCGGCGGGGGTAGAGCTGACTGCCTTCTCTACATCTTCCTTGATACTGGCGTCGCCCCTGAATACCTGTACATTGGCTCCGGCGGCACGGAGGCTGTCTACGAGAGTAGCGGCCTGGCGAGAGTCCGTGCCTGATCGAGACAGGAATGCAAAGTTCTGAGCACCCCTCTTCAACATCCACGAAGTGAGACTGCGACCTAGACCACCGAGACATCCGACCAGGAGGTACGTAGCATCTGCTCGAAGGTGAGCGTGAGGGCGAGATGGCACAAGCTTCAATGTGCCGCTTGAACGCTCATTGAGGATGACGATCTTGGAGCTCTGAAGGTCATCGGAGAACTCCGAGATGCTCTGGTTAAGCTCGGTGATGTTCTTGACGGTAACGGGCAGGGTGGAGATGGATCCTTGTCGGAGGAATTTAACAACTTGGTCCAGTAGTCCGGACAATAGGCTTGGCTTCTTGAAAAGGTTAATGGTGTCGAATGCGAAGTAGCTTGCACCACGGGTGGCGGGAACGATGTCGAGTACATTAGAGAAGGCAGCCTCGGCGCTGGTACGGTTCACAAATCGGGAGAATGCGGGGATGTGTCTCCAAGCTTCCTGGTTGACCGTCGCATCAACAGAGTCAGATGAGAATACGACGTCGGGCTTGTTCTGCTCCAGCCATGTGGTAGACCATTCGACAACCTGGGTAGAAGGAAGACCAAGCTTCTTGGCAACGAATTCGGCTTCAGCAGAGTTGCGTACAGCTACATAAGGTGTAGCGCCAAGAGCCTTGGAAACCTGAACAACCGGTGCAGTGATGAGTCCGGATCCGGGGAGGACGAGGACCGACTCTCCCTTTTCTACATGGGCTAAGTTTCGGAGGCCGTACAAGGCGGCTCCAAAGGACATGGGCAGGCTGGCGAAAGTGCTGAATGATTCGTCGGAGGTCAGCTTCTGAGCTAAGCTGTGGTTGACGCGCTGGAAGGTGGCGAATTCATTCGAGGTGAAGCTGACTACGCGGTCATTGACAGCAAAGTCCTTGATATCGGAGCCGACTCTGGTAATAACACCAGCAATCTCGTGGCTGATCTCGCTAGTAGTCTCTGTTCCCTGAATAACAGCAACGTCTTCCTTGTTCAACCCGGTCGCTACGACTTGGATTTCGATCTCATCGTTGCCAAGAGAAGCCTCCTCTTCGGACTCGAATATGACTTCACCGCTGTGTACCTTTCCTACAATTCTCGCGGCAGGGTCAAATGGCGCATCCAAGAGATCGTTCTCATCGTGCGCGTGAGTCTCGTTAAGACGCCCGTCTGGAATGAGACGGTTGATGTTGACCTTTCCTTCAGAGACGTAGTATTCCGTCTCTAGGGCTTCACCGTTAATCTGTTTGGTGGCAAGGGAGGTAGTTAAGCTGACAAACTCGGTCAGGGGTACCTCGCCCTCGAAGTCTACTAGGGAGGCGTTCAACTTGATCTGCTCAGAGCGAAGAGAGCGGAGAAGACCGCTGGCCATGGCATAGTGAGGATTCTCACCCTTCAAAATACCGCCGCGAGTAACCCACAAGACCTTAGTAGCTTCAGCAAGAATTGCCTGCAAGTCGCTGAACTCCTTCTCGGTGATTGTGGCCAGGAATGGTCCTTCAAGATCGGCAAGAATGATGATAGTAGCGTCGGGCGAAGTCGGAGCACCAAGCTGGAGAGATTCGACCACATTACCCTTGCTTTCGAGGCTCTTAGCCAACTCTGAAAAGGCGGATGAGATGCTGTTGCGGTAGATGAGCTGCACCTTGTTGGACGTGGAAGGCTTAGTCTCCTCAGCGGTCGCCTCGTCGGAGCTGGCAGCGGGTACAACCACGGCACCGTTTGCAAGGGTGACCTTTACTCCAGAGAATCCGGCGTTCTTCAAGGTGGCTTCACTGAGAGGGGTTGCCGACTTGATAACAGCCTCGCCTCCATCAGCTAACAGCTCGCGAATCTTGGTTAGGGCATCAGCGGAGGCGACGTTGGCAACGACAAGGTTGAAGGAACCTGCGGCAGCGGACTCAAGTTTCTGGAATTTAATGTTCTTGGAGCCTGCTAGCTCGGGCGGCACAGTGTATTCTTCTTCGGGCACGTCGTAGGTAATAGTAACATCCAGATCAGGGAGCGTCTTGGAGAGCGACTCAGCTTCGGCAGAGTCCAGCGAAAGAACCTTAAGACCGGGCTTCTTGAATTCAGCGAGATCAACGAAGTCGGCAACGCTGATCTTCTGAGATCCGCTTAGGAAGCCAACATCTGGCTTGGACAATGTACGTCCGTATGGCTTAGGCTTGGCGGGTTCCTCCGCAAGTTGGGGCCGTGCGGCTTCGTAGCCGATACATTGCATGTTGTTAATTTCTACCAGGACCTGACCGTCGTTGGTTACCAACTGGTTGTTGGCCTTGACTGATCGAGGACCACGAGTGTCAACCCAGGTAAACGCCTTACCCTTGCCATCAGCTAGCTGGGCTTCAGTTGGCTTCCAGATGGCGATCTCTTCTGCCTGAACCGGGACAACACCGAATTTGATAGCGCTGGTGCTTCCACCCCAGAAAGCAACGATGAAAAGTTGGAGGCACAAGTCGATCGAAGCCGGGTGGAGAACGTATCGAGACTCGCCGACCATAGTGTCAACCTTGTTTCTGAAAGCAACCGAAGCTTGAGTGGCGTACGACTTGGCGTCAAAGCTGATGCTCTCCGTCTCCTGGAAAGCTGGGCCGTAGTCGAATCCAACCGCCCTAAGGGCCCGGTTCCAGGACTTACCTGTCGCCGACTGGGGCAAGTTGGGAACCGGCCAAGGCTTAGCCCTCGAGTCACGCGCATTAATCGCGATCCTTCCGCGCATGTGGTTCTTCTGGAAATTGGAGTCCGTAACCGAGCACACGTTGAAATCCCACCACTTCTTCTGGTTCTCGCCGCTATGGGCCGATAGGCGCATGTTCAGGAAGACCTCAACACCGTTGTCATCATCAGGAGTTACAAGGGCCTGCTGGATCAAGACATCTCGGAACACGTAACCCTCGATTTCAGAGGGAGTTTCCGACTGCTCGTCGAGCTGTGTGATGGCTTCCATAGCCATCGCGAGATAACCAGCAGCTGGGAACACTGCTTCGCCACCTAGGCTGTGGTCCTGGAGCCAGGGGACATCCTTAATTCGGAGAATGTTTCTCCAGGTCGGCTCAGCGGGGGAGTTACCGATAACCAACTCACCAAGTACATCGTGTCGCATGTATTTCTGACCACGGTGCTCTCGGCTCTCACGCGACTGAGCAATGAACTTCTTGGATTTGTCCCACTGGTAAGGAGGTAGGTCTACAATGTAGTCTCCACTGCGGGCGCGAATCTTTCCGCTTGGGCTCATCTCCTCGACCGAAGTGGCTCTCGCTAGGTCAATGGAGTAGTCTGCCAAGAAGAGCTCACCAGCTAGCTTCAGAATGGAGGTGGCGCAGTCTTGGCCACGGATCAAGGTAGGTAGATACTGGAATTTCTCAAGCTTGAGCTCAGCCTTGATCTGCTTGATCGGGCCAGAGAGAGCGGAGTGAGGTCCAACTTCAATCAGAGTGATGTCAGAGAACTCAGGGGTAGAACCGATAGTTTGGACGGCCTGGTTGAAAAGAACGGGGTTGAGCAGGTTGGCACTCCAGTAGGTCTCGTCCAGAATAGAGTCCTCGGGAAGGACCTTGTTTGTCACGGACGAAACCATTGTTGCCTTCTCGAGAACCGGGCGGTTCTTGGCACGGAGGTCGATCCCAGATCCCCTCACGAGTGCCTCATACTTGTCAGCAGCCGGCTTCATGTGGTACGAGTGGTAGGCCTTGCCACCAGTCTTTACCAGCCTGCAGAATACGCCCTTCTCATTGAACGTCTCCTGGAGCTTCTTCAAGGAGTCGGCATTACCACTGAGAGTAACACCGGAAGGTGAGTTGTGGCAACCAATGACAATGTCATCGTAACCAGCGAGGTAGGGTGTAACGTCTTCAGCACCGAGACCGACAGCAGCCATAGCACCGTTGGTGTTGATGTTTCCAACAACCTTTCCACGGTAGTAGGCCAAAACAATAGCTTCAGTAGCAGTGAGGAAACCAGCAGCATAAGCAGCGCCAATCTCACCAGATGAATGACCACAGGTAACGGAGGGCTTGATTCCCCAAAGTCGCAGTAGCTGGACCAGACCGATCTGGACGGCAGTGCAGAGGGGTTGAGAAAACTCGGCCTCGCTAACGCGCGAAGTAGCTTCCGGTTCCAGGAGAACATCTTCAAGGGTCCAGTTAGGAGCGTCACTGAGATCATCGAGAGCCGCGTCGAGTTGCTGGATGGTCTTAAGGAAGGTAGGGTAGTAAGCCATGAGACCAGCACCCATCCTCGCCCACTGAGCACCCTGTCCAGTGAATGCGAATCCGATCTTTCGTTCGCTGCCACTGGGGTTCTTCTTCTCGCCGAACCTCCAGTCCTCTTCAGACTGGAAAGTCTTGTTCAAAGTAGCGAGGTTGGCAACTGCGAATCCTCTGCTAGAGAAGTGAGTGCGGCGGTTGGCCAGAGTGTAGGAGAGATCGATAAGGTCGTAGTTGGCGACCACCTTTCCGTGAGCCGCAATGTTCCTCTTCAATGACGCCTTGTCGTGAGCAGAGTAAACTAGTAGATGAGGCCTGTTCTTATTGAATCGGCCTCTGGTGGACCTTCTCTTGTTCTTTTGCTCCTCAGAGTTAAACTTGTAAGTCTGCGGTTGCGTGAGGAGAGACTTGGCGCTCTCAACAATGATGTGGGCGTTCGTGCCACCGTATCCGAAAGAGTTGACACTGACTCGCTGAACTGGAAGCTCCTTGGGGAATGGCATCGGGTCTGTCACAACCGCGACTTGCTTACCCTTCCAGTCAATCTTAGGGTTGAGGTCTGTTACGCCTCGTGTTGGGGGAACGATTCCTCGTTCCACAGCCAGGATGGCCTTGATGACGGCAGATAGCCCGCTAGCTGCCTCACTGTGGCCGATGTTAGTCTTAACAGCACCAATTTTTAGAGGACCATCGGCGGGGGTGCGGTTGTAGTTCATAGCATCGGCGAGAGCGTTGACTTCGATCGGGTCACCAACGGCGGTACCGGTGCCGTGGCACTCGAAGTAACCGGTAAGCCGAGGGTCCAAGTCACCGCATCGCTTGTAGGCGTGCGTGATAACTGCCCTCTGGCCGCCGTAGCCGGCATACGTGATACCGACACCTTCAACTCGGCCGTTGCTGTTGGTCGCACTGGACCTGATAACACCTCGGATCGCGTCACCATCCTTAATAGCGTCCGAAAGTCGCTTCAGGAACACAGCGCCGATAGCCTCGGCGCGGCCATAGCCGTTTGCATAACTGTTAAAGGTATGGCAGGTAGAAGTAGGAGATAGCACACCGAGTTTAGCAGTGTTCATGTGCTGGTCAACCGTGAGAACCAAGTTGCTACCACCGACGATCGCGGCTCCGCATTCCTTGCTGCGAAGCGCATTGCACGCGTTGTGAATTGCGTACACGGATGATGAGCAAGCAGTGTTGACAACGATACTCGGACCCCTGAGGTTGAAGACGTGGCTGATTCGGTTGCTGAGAATGCCAGGGTCTACACCTGTTGCCGAAAGGCTGTGACGGAAAGAGTGCTCCTTAAACTGCATCTGCTGGTAGTCTGCCGTGAACGTTGCCATGAAACAAGCCGTGTTGGTGCCAGCCAACTTATCCAGGGGAATACCAGAAGACTCGATCGTCTCGTAGACGACCTCTAGACACTTCCGTTGTTGGGGGTCCATCCACATAGCTTCTACGGGGGTGATTCCGAAAAAGCTAGGGTCGAACTCCAAAAGCGATTCATTGAGAAAGTAACCTCCAAGAGCGCTGAAGCTTCCGGGACGGTCATTGTTCTCGTGGTAGTGCGCGCCAATGTTGAATCGCGTAGGCGGAACTGAGGGGGTCTGTCCTGTTTCCTTGTTCATCATCATTTTCCAAAACTCCGCTGGTGATCCGACGTCTCCAGGCAGACGGCAACCTGTATCCTATGTTAGTAGACTACCCCCTAGTGTTACCTCATACCAAGATAGAGAGAAGGGGGACATACCCATTCCGATCACAGCAATGGGCTCCAACTGCTGGCTTAGAGGCGCCTCAGATGATCCTTCAAAGAATCCAGCACCTGCATATGCCTCGTCGTCGACTATGCCTTGCGCATTAGAGGTCGGGGCGTTGTAGCCGAGCTCAAACTCGAGCTCGACATCCGACGCGCTCGACGAGGAACTTTCTTTGAAGTGAGGCATGTTGACGGTTTGACTGTGGATTTCGTCTTGGGATCAAGGAGCAGTGAATCAGAAGACTTGCTTGCTTAACTCACTGTGAGCACAATGATACGAGAAATCAAAAACAAGACCAGATGGTGTTGAGACTTCTGTATTTAAATACTCCCTCGACCATCTGCTCGGCCGCCCTGCCCGGTTTCTCCGCCGCGATGCCGGACAGGGTTGAGGCGTCTATCCATCCAAGGCCAGCAGGAGAGGGCGTAACGGGCGTCTTACTGCAGATTGGCGATGAAACAGTGACCTACAACATTGCCCAGATGCCGTCAAGAAACGGAACCTCCACATCATAATCCACCAGTGTACAGCTACCTAAACCTACTTTCAATTCATTTTATTACACGGGATCCATGTACAACTACCTACTTACCACCTATCGTCATATCCATCATCGTATCCCTCATTATTACATAACCGCCGTATCAATCAAACATGTACAAAACCAGCATTTACATGAACGAGTAGCATAAGAGCCCGAACTTTAACTTGCCCTATGCGGCCAAAGCTATGGAAGTGCATATGTAGATGTAATTAATGAATTATCTTTTCAAGGATAATGTACCTAATAAAACCGTTTAAAGTGTTGCGCACCGACGAACTTCCTAATTCGGGCGAGCTGGCTTGATAGGTACAATATCCCGAACGAGTTCCGGCACCCCCTGTGGTGGATGGGTGTGGTGGACTTCGGACCTTGGATGCTGTATAATTCTATGAGTGGCAAAGCTCCGTTGGCACCGCACGGCCGACGGGGGCGGAAGATCAGATCTGCTTATGGTAGACAACCTCGATAAGGCAGAATCCAAAACGCGGGCCAGATCAGATCCACTCATCGTGAAGATCATATCAAGCTACTGCCGCTGGACATAGCCCTGTAAATCTATCAGGTTGCTACCTGTTATTCAGATTATCAATAACCGTGTAGTATTGGCGATACTAAACCAGCATTAATTGGGTTTTACTTTACTGCGACACAGCTATTACTCCGTATGTATTTCTATTATGATATGTTTCTCGTAAGTATCTCTTCACTGAGACTAGACCTTTTGATCTATTCAACGCTGGTAGAATCTCGAATAAAGTGTGCCGTGTTGGATCTAGGTACTTCCGTTACCCTAGATACCTGTCTAACGCATATTCCTATCAGAATAGATTATGACGGCGGGGCTGCAGTGACTTGCATATGAATAGAAGCAAGTTCCAGCCTCTGACGATGTTACAATACCTAGGAGTTCGATGAGATCTCCGGTCCCGCAGGCGGAAGGAATGTCACTAGTGACAGCCAAGGGTCATACTTGTGCATATTAGACCCTTATCCAGGGACGCAGAAGAACCGATTGGCCTTATTCTTAGAGACGACGCTGTCCAGGGCTTTGTATTTACATATAGGCGCAGAAACACAGGGTCCTCAGACAGCATATGCATGACAGAATGGCGTGACTTTTCGGCAGAAAGGATAAGGTACCTTAGAGGTAGGCATCCTCTAACTCCGGCACGTGATAAGCAATAAGCTATAAGCGATGAGTGAGATGAAGGTTGATTTAAGCATGAGTCTTTCAATGTCTCGTTGTGGGGCTTCTTTCTATTACGCCTAGTTAACCTTAGGTACCTAGTTGCAAGAATTATGAGCTCTAATATCTATCTCCTTATGTACCTAAGGTAGTAAGTTTGAGTTGAGGAAGTTTCGGAATATCAACTGAAGCTTTGTCTTCCTCCTCAGGAGGTTAGGTTTAGGTACCCATGTGTCAGGTAAGTTAAGATGTTGATTCCTAAGTCGCACTGTTAGGTACAACTTATTCTAAAATTACATCAGATAAACGATAAATGATTCGGTACCTCAAAGAGGGAGTTTATATTTGAGCCGTAGAGTACGCGGCAAGGTTGTCCTATGGCAAGAGTTGAATTAAATCATTACCAGAAAAACTACCTAGAATGGATGTTGTCTCATGTAGATAAGACTGGCCAATCACACATTTCCATCGGTGGTTGACGCCGCACCGCACGCACCTCAGCGTGAAGTAAATCTGGAGAGACCAATGAGAGACAAGATTTGCCCGGTCAACGCGGCCGTTCCCCATACGAACCAACAACAACCCAAGCATAAGAGTAGGAAACCCAATTTTACTTTCAATCTTTCAAATGAATTGAGTGAAGGCAGTTGGAATAAGAATAAGAAAATAAAATAAATAAAACGCCCATTTCTCTTCCTCTTTTCCATCTTTTATTTTTTATTATTTATTGGTGTGTGTGTGTTTGTGTGTTTAACCAACCAACTTCGTTCCAAATTCAGTTCCTTGTGTTAGTATCCACATTTATACCATCTCTAAAACTTGGTCTTATCGACCTTGTAGTTGGGCAATGCATACGCAAACTCTATCCCGCAACTTCTATACTTATCCGGTCTGATTATATATACTTTTCTGCCATCTTAAGCTACTGACCTGCATACCTCTAGCCAGGTAGGTACTTAACCTAGGTTAAATAGTTAGAGGCAGCTATGTGTACACTAACTAGGTTAGATAGCCATTATTGTACCTCAAGAATTTATACCTTAAGCGTGTCTAGTAACAGTCAAATATTATCAACTAGTAAATATTGACGCTGAAACGCCAGTAACTAATGTAGAAACAACTGACGAGATGATGCATGACGGAAAGTAAATATTCATTTTCATAATACACTCCGTATGCTTTTGGCAATTCAGTATATGATATTCCGTTTAGTTAACACGTAACTGAGAATGGTAAGTCGTCTACCTATAATAGATAGATGACGCATCAAAAAATAATAAAATATAAATAACTATCTAGGATACCTATGCTTAGATATCCTGTACCGTTGAGAACCACACATGCATCCGTACCGAACTACTAGGTACCTACATATAGGTAGGAGTCTAAATTTACCCCATGAGGGCTAGTCTTGCTCCGGGACCGGGAATCTCCACGAAAAGATCTTGCAGCCATGGGCGGTTCGGTTCTAGATGAGCCCAAAGTTCTTCGTCTAGCAGTATGACGCCTTCCATAAGTATAATGTCGAATCAAGTCGAAGTATTTGATATTTCACTTGTTGTTAGATAGAGGGAGGGATCCATAGGTGCATAATCCGTGATCCTCACTCTATTTCTTAAACTTTCACTACCTCATATTGTCATAATACTAAAGCAGTGACAACCTAAGACGTGCATCCCGCTCTAGATAAGGCTGGATCCCGTATTTGATCGTCGCTAGGTTCATTCAGACATATCAAAATATGTCAAACCACCAAGATTGTAGATACGCGCGAGCGGATTCGCGCCCGAGAAATTTCGGCAAATTAATCCACTGTTACAATTTGAATTGCGCCATCCAGGAATTCAGGAGAAATCTGCTATGCAACAGAAAAAGATATACATTGCCGATATCTACCTAAAGTAGTAGTTCTTGCTACGGCGGACTTTAAACTGTTATCGCCGCTGTCTCGAACCTTGTCTCGAACCTCGTCTATTTATCCGCGATTTCGGACGCAGAAGTACCTCCTATTAAAGAACATCTAGATACGAGCATCTAATTTTTTATCATACAAGCTTTATTGGCTTAACTCAATACTTGGTAGCAAAAGCACGTCCCAGTGCCACTGATTGGAAGCGATGAGGTGAAGTGTTTCCAACTCTAAGGTAACTTTAAGTTCTAAATATCATGCGTTTATTTGCTTGAAAAAGGCTAGAACTGGATGGATATAGTGCGTTTGCTTCATTGGCTGGTTTTCCGGCTTGCCCCTTTTCGCAGCTGCATGAACAGCCAAAAGTTGTCAGACAACCAGCAAATCCAACATCCTTCTACATCTTGATCGACATTTACGAGTCTTGCATCATAATTCCGTTGGATATCTACCTCTATTTTTCATTTTAGACTTTTCGAGTTATTACTATTTCCTGTCGGAATAAACCCAAATTTTCACATGTCACCTTAGCATAAGAGCTTGGTCGTCTTCTGAATTCATCGTTACGAAAGAATATATCCTATCGCTGCTTGGCAAAACAGACTCGCCTGCGGGAGAGCGACACCATGCAGATCTTCGCAAACATAAACTTGTATGGCGCTCTGCTTTCTGCAAGCGGATTCCCATTATGTTATAGCAAACTTGTTGATTAGTTCCTTGTACGCATGGATAGGTCCTAGTCACTTTGGCCAGCGAGTCGTTTTCGATAAACATTAACTTCCAAAACTACCCAAGTTATCATGCTCCTGCTCTATTCCTATACCATCTGGATTCTTTTTCTTTTTCTTTTCTAGAAGGAAAAAAAACCTCTTACCCTCTTGCATGTTCAATTTTTCAGAGTTCATATCGGAACTCCCTATTCTGCAGATCCGTCAGGTCTAAGAACTCATGATTTTCTTCCGGTCTATGGTTTTCCCCCAACGCCGCCTTTTCTTGGTCTCGCTGCTTATTCCGTCTTTTTAATACCCACCGCATAACGACAAGGTCCAAGGTAATAAGGGTATAAATGATACAGATCGAGATCTTAGCTGGGAGGTAACGTGGTCCATCCCGAGCCGGAAAAGTCTGTGGGGAGATAATGTTGCCAACAGTGTAAGCGATTGTCCCTATGCAAGCAACTGTGATTTTCTTCGTTGAACCTGCCACGTTAGAGCTCTGAAGCCCGAGAATCGTAGTCCAACCGATTGGTATACCACCGCTCGTATAGTAGCCGATTAGAGCTGGTACCCGCTCCGTTGTGGCCATCAGAATCGCACCAACTATGGCCGGGATGTGGCCAGCAACGCAGAAGTACAGCCGCTGTCTCGTTTTCATCGCGCCGTACGTAAGGCCAATTAAAGCCACTATCTCCCAAGCACCAAGTGGAGTTACTAATAGCAATGACTGCTCATTAGAGTATCCCATACCCTTTACTAAAATATTTCCGAAAGATGTTGCGATAGAGTTGGGAATATTTGCTGCAAAAACCCAGAATGCGTATAGCCAAGTCATCGTGTCAGTCAAAGCCTCTTTAACCTGGCTCCATTTGAAAGTTTGCGACCCGATTCCCTGTTCATTATGTCTGATGCGTTCGAGGTGGAGCCCCTTTTGATCTTTGTCGAGAAACCCAGCGACGGCAGGGGAGTCTGGCATAACGAACCAAAATGCGATACCCATAACTGTGGTGAAGAGGCCCAGGAATAAGAATATGACCTGCCAGCCCTTTAAGGCTGCATTTGGATCTTTGCCTACGTGTATAGCCACGCCATACGCGAAAAAGCCTCCAAACATCTGCGCTACTCCGCACATCGAGAACCATATACCCACACGAAAGGCCTGCTCCTCCTTCGTGTACCATTGGGAAGTGAATAGTACCCACGCAGGCACCACAGCTGCCTCCAGGACTCCCAGGAAGAAACGGCATACCAAGAGCCCGGCGTAGCTCTTACATGCTGCGAGACAAGCTAGAGTAGCGCCCCAAAGAGTAACATTGATTGATGTGTACTTGGCGAGAGGGAACATTTGTATTAACCGAATTGTCGGAAACTCAAAGGCAAGCTGACCGAAGAAAAAGATAGAGGCCACCCAATTGAACTGATTGCCATGGAGTCCAATAGATTCGGTTATACCGGTAACGCTAGCATAAGAGATGGCAGTCTTATCAATGTACTGGAGAAAGTCTGATGCACGTCGTTAGTAGGAGATATATGGTGCCTAAAGCTTCACCTATTTCCTTATACAGCTCCTCGTGTAAAAAAGGGAGGGGATGCTGCGGTTATATCTACGTACAGATTATACAAATTAGGGGCATGACATGCCAGTCGATACGGCGGACAAGTCTTCGATGGACTTCAGGATCAACGACTTGATGCAAGCCTCCAGTCTCTTTTAGAAGTTCTAGAGCTGCATCTGCACCGGAATCTTTGATCTGTCGTGCGTCGACCGAAGCAGGCTTCTTCGCATGCTCCTCCGAGCTTGACTTAGCTTGAGCTGGATCCTCGGCTACTTCCCGTTCAATCATCTCGATCATAAGCACGACGAAACTTCCTATCAAGTGAAGATTAGGTGTGCAAAATGGAATAGGAATATGTTTTTGGTATATACTAGAAGGGAGTTATTCCTATTCATACGTTGTTTTAGTTATCTGAATACTAGATAAAAGAGAGTTCTTTGAAAACGCGATTGAATCAAAAACGCGAAATGACTTCATAGCAAGGTTGAAATATCTCGTTGTGCAATGAAATAGCTGAGCACGTCTGAGCACGTCATTCGCGTGCTGATGATGCCACAAGGCTGACAAGGATTCTAAGCAGCCGATTGGCACAGCTCGGTGAGCTAGAAAAGCTAGAAAAAACTATTAAGAATCTGGGCATCGAAGTGGTTACCTTTTACATGTTATATTGCAGTATCTCCATATACCAATACGCATTAGTATGGGCTCGGCAAGAATGAGACAATGTTCAAATAACAAGCTCCATCTGAGAACAATTTATAATAGCCTAATGATATTAGAAATAGTATTCGGGTGAAATCATTATCGCCTTCGATGTTAAAGGACTGATATTCCTTAAATCCTTCTACCAACCAAATATCATTAGACCAACCAATATTCACATTATATCTTGTAGCTAATCGTCAGACTACAGAGAAATAATACCAAGTTAGTAACCTCTTCAGACTCTTGAGACGACCACATGATTTACGAGCAAAGAAAGCTATAAACGCCTCACTATAAGAAGCCTCCAGCACATAAGCGCTTGAATCAGATATGTATCAACTAATTCACTATTAATCTCGACTGCTTAATAACATACATACCTGTTTACTACTGTAACTGCTATTATAAACAGATGTATATTATTAAGGAATTATTTACAATGACATGCCCTTGACCTTTCGGTACCTCTATACATACATGATACGGCTCGTACTTAAGTTAAAAAGTCAGTATAAATTTTGCATGCCTTAAGTCTATTCTATACACAAGTTCTTAAAACTTACCTACCTACCTTAGGTACCCAGGTAATTACGTGTAGAATTCCTTTTTCTTTCGAAGGAAAGGAAAAAGAAAATCTGCTCAAGTCTTGCTTGGTTTATACAGATAGTATTAGCAGTCAGTGCCAAGTTAGTCGCTATGCTCTACTTGATTTTACTGTAAATAACCTTTCCTCCTTTCATAGCCAGTGCTGCTTTCATCCATAGAATTTTAACCTATGCTATAAACTAAGTGTAACGTGGGAGTTAGGTCCAAAAGTTTAACCAAGCATGATAGGTAGTTAAGTACTCTATACCAAAAAGGAAAAAAAATAGATCATAAGTCGTAGGTAACGTTCTGATATTTCACAAGGTTTTAGTCGTCGTAGTCACTCATCTCTAATCTACCCTAGGTTAAATACTCACCTAGGAGGTACTTAAAGGATCCAAGCCATTGATATAAATCTGAGATACCATACTTAATATATTAGATACCTTCTTAGCACAACTACAGGTAGCTAACCTTAGATAGCTAGACTTCTATTGGAGGCTACATGATGTATAGAATCGAGTATACTGTATTCTAACGGTGCGATATCCTCTAATGCGCGATGGCCGATCGAAATCCCTCAAAGCCAAATTCTTAGTAGTTCTGGTTCACACTCTTGCGTGCTGCTCCACTACGAGTGGCTCACCGATGTCCGAAGAACGCATGCACTATTTCAAAAAGGTTGTTGACAGAATAAATCACTTGAACATGATTCCCCTGGTCTAGAGGGGCGAAACGACTGCTGCGCCTCAAACGCCTCGAGCACAAGTTGGCCGAAGTCCATCTTGATTTCGCTCCGGGGCTGTAAAGTACGACGATCACACTTAAGATACCGCTGACAAGCGAGGATTAAAGGGACAAATATTGAAGGAACGAAGTGTAGCATATAAGATGCAAGTTTCCTACAAGGTAGGTGTCGAGCAATAGACATTATTAGAGGCCTGCTGGTAAATTTCGTGATCGAGGCTGTGTCTGGGCCTTCATGCCGCGTTATTTACCTTACAATAAGGCGATAGCTACCTACCTAACAGTTAAGAATTGAAGAAAAAATAAGAACAAAAAAAAAAAAGAAAAGAAAAAGGAAAGAAAAGTAGCATAGAACTTTACCTAAAGTTCTATACTAAGAAGGTACCTAAGTTACTCACTAATAGGCGACAAGGAGGCATTATGCCCCCTTCCTGAATCTTGAAAATACTCCCCCTATTTAAAAAGCAGCCTAAGGTAAATCATGGTATCAGGTAGGTATGATTTATCATGTTTACCTTAGGTACATTTCATAGCAAGGTAAGTCTAAATAAGCATTGACAGGGTTCCCTTACATGACCTTAGATATGACCTCAAAGTAGGCTAGAAAGATTGAGCCTTCAAGATAGTGGCCAAAGAAACCCTTATTGTACCTAAGCACGTCCCGACTGGACGGACTAATACTAATTTGCGTGAAGCGCTTCATACTTGACGAGCTACCCTTTGATTTGGACGTAGAGCTAAGTGGCGGTCTCATAGTCGAAAACGGTACTGTCCGTATTTGCGAACTCGGATGTGCGATGACAGTATCCTTATCCAATCCATGGCTAGGAGGTACCTAAGCCTTATACGATAGGTGAAGTTACAGCATATGTTATAGTTGGATGCATTCTAAAATCGGATGATGATTACTTCGTTGCTTGCGATTTCATATACGATTATACGATGAGATGCTGTTTGCGCAGTGCGCCATCTTTATCATGTACCTAGACTGTATGCTGCATTAGAAGTCTCCTCAAATCAATAGCTTCTCATTTAACTTATTCAATTTTTGAAAGCAGCTACTGATACTCTCACGATGTGTAGTAGATTACTTTACATGTTCTCTAAGCGTAACTACGATTTTGAGTCTTCTCTCCGCTCTACCCAATCGGCAGACCTCATAGCCGAACTCATCTTCGTCAGCTCCGCTGCCGGTGCTGTCGGCTCCATGGTCAGGCCGTTAGCCAAGCGCGAGGTTTTAGTAGCAATCGGGTCCACAAGTCCTAATGAGAACGCCAGGCGTTATGTTATTATCAAGGGGTCGCGGAATAACTTTGCGGTGTAGCCGTGGGGTATAACAGGCTAACCCTAGCAGAATTCGTTTTAGATGACGAGGACTTCGGAAGGGCTCTCGTACTTCGCTACATTCCAAACTCGGGCGCGTGCAAAGCAGAATATAGGTTAGGTACCTCCTAATTAATTGACACATTCTAAGAGCAAGGATTTCACTGGCTTAACGGCTCCGACCAACCGATCGATCCTACAACAAAAAAGCTTCTCGAGAGCACAGCCCAACGAGCCACAAAACGTCAGTCAGGCTGCTACCACCGATTATTTCCTGACCCTGCCTCCAACGCGCATACCTACCACGGGACGATTCTGCCTATAATTGATGCCTGATGATATACACACACTAACATAGGTAGGTGTCTATGGGCGGTAGAGGTAGTTAACCTAATGGGATGGAAAACACGCATCACGCGGTTGTCCGAGCTTTAGAAGCAACCTAGACACGTCATCAGTTGTACGACTCGATCTCTGGCTTTCCTTGTTTGTATTAATTCCCTGCCAGTCAAAGCCAAAGCCACTGTCTAATACGTTGCTGTCCCGCTCGCGTAGCGGAGAGAATTGGGGCTTATTATACACGCTAGTGTGAATAGATCGTGCAGTACCTATCGTACCTAAGCAGGTAAGATGCTGGTTTTTCATGATATAGGTACCAGGTACAATACCTTAGGTTAGATCAAGTTAGATGCCTCATCCTTCTGCGATAGGAAGAAAAATCAGCGAGTGACAATTATACAGCTAGCTTACTAGCAAGGTAATTTAACTAAGTTAAACACAAATACGTATTGAACAAGACCAAGACTGAATTTGAAAGGCTTGTAAATTTGAAAGTTTTTGTACAGGCTGCTCGGGTCAATCTGAGGTTTGCCAGCTTGATAGGTAGTTCAGTAGTACGCATACTGCAACTATAACACTGCACATACAACACTTGACTTCACAAAGGTATTTAGGTGGTAGTCATCATGAAAATCATTCCCCATCCTTATCGAACTTGGGTGTAAAATCCAGATTTGTAATTGTCCATCTCAAGGTATATCCCCATAAAGGAAATACGACATGTGCTTAGGAAACTGCAAATAGAGGCTCATCTCAAGTCAAGATCCTTCTTGAGCCCAGAGAACATATAAAGTCTCGGATTCAAAAGGAAACTGTCGACTGCGGTTTTCCTCCCTTAGATCGTACCTAACGCCAAACACCAAAATCCGTCTCTAAAACATTACTGGCTTATATGATGGTATAGCGGAATTGTATCGGTACAACGGCGGAGGTGACTCAGTCTTTTACATCTGTCGTGTAAAACACGTTGACGGACTGGGGTTGCCAAAGATCTCCAGAATAGATTCGTTGACCTGAAGTATAGACAGCCGAAGAGAATTAAATAGTACAAAGAGAATCGAAGTGTTATGATCCCTGTAGTAAAGAGAGGAACCACGAAACGATCGTTATGGTTGAATCTGCATTTTATCCTCACGCGCTTTCGGGAATTGTAGGGTAAACTATAACCATGTTAGCTAGGTACTTGGAGTGCTCATAAGTTAAATAGAAGAGTAAAAACTTACACCATGCGCATGTAGCGATAATGGCGTAGAGGCATATCAAAATAAGACCTTCAAGCCAATGACTCTTCCCGTCACCAATTAAATAGTTGACTAAAAGCACGGAGACGAAGAGAACTATGACCTGGAACGTATCGAAAGCCAGAGTCATATCTTGATTACCCATACCCCAACCGATGATGATGAGGAGTGGAATGAGAAGAAGGGCGACCTGCATAGACGATCCAATAGCCACACCGATAGCAAGATCCATCTTGTCCTTGATGGCGACAGTAACGGCCGTTGCGTGCTCGCAAGCATTACCGACAATCGGAAGGAGAATAAGACCGACAAACTCTTCACTAACGGCGCCAGACGAAGTAATGGCCTCGATACCGCTAACCATGCCCTCAGCACAAAGCGCAATGATAACTGTAGCGCCGATGAGTGTAGCAAATGCGACAGTAAAACTGAGCTGAGGCCCTTCCTCTTCGTCATCATCCACGTGTCCAAGAGGGTTCATCATTATTTCGCTGAGTTTGCCCTCTTCGTCATGTACACCAGCATGAGTAGCTCCGAACCCGGCTCTCGCAATCCCGGAAGCAATGGCGTTCTCCGGAAGACCCTTCTTAAAAATCGGCTTGCTTGCAACCTTCTGGCTCTCTTCGTTAAACAAAGTTACGTGAGTCTTCATCTGGAAGAAAAGATACGAAGCGTATACGATCAATAGGATAATGGCGACACCGTGAGATAGGCTCGGGACGGCGGTAGGGCTTAGTTGGATAGAACCCTCGTAAAAATCGTCGGTATGCGCAAAGACGGTGGGCACAATGAGACTTCCAACAGCTAAGGCTAGCAAACTGGCAGCGGTCTGGGCCACAGTAGTATTGAAGTATTGCTCTCGACGATTAATACCACCGCAGAAGAAACAGAAACCTAGGACGAGAAGCAGGTTGGATAGAATACTGCCAACCAGAGATGTCTGTACAACTTTAATCTGATTCTTTGTAAGAGCAATGATGGCCACGATCAGCTCAACAGCATTTCTTTTTGAAAAGTTAGCATTTATACATTCTTCCAAAACAATACTATACTTACCCAAAAGACGCATTAATCAATCCTCCAAGGACTTCTCCTGTTCGCATGGCTATCTCTTCGGTAGCATTGCTTAGCATCGCAGCAAGAGGGATGATGGCGACGAAGTTGACGCCGAATACCACCCTGCCGTCAAAGCCAATAAAGTATAGAATTATACCTGCAGGCGCGGCCAGGAGAAGGATATTGATCGGGGAACAGAAAAACACACGCTGGATTTGGTTCCAAGCGGTAAATGGCTCAGTAGGTTCGACATGCTTGAAGAAACCACCGGTGCCTCGCTTTTTGGGTTTTTCGTCCTCTTCGAGAGTTCCTGACTTGTTTAGAATACTATCTTGGGCACCACGATGTCGCACACTACTGCCATCCTGATCGTTTCCGAAGGTTGTCGCTTGGGACACAAATGTCTCGCCCTGATCCGCATGGTCAACCGCATGGCTGCCTTCTAGCTCTCTACTATTCCGCGCCGACGGATTGACAGGCGTTAAAAGGCGCCCTGGTGCACTTGTAGACGGACCTAGTTGTGCTGTGTCGCCATCCTCGGCTGGTAATCCTCGCTCTGCTGCATCTATCGTGCTTGATCTCTTTGGCGCTCCATAAGCGATGTGCCTGAATGGATTGAAGCGGGCACTACCACCAGAATCGCGGCGGCTCATACGGTGAGCCTTAGCTTTGATTTTTTGTATATTTACTGCATTCAAATCCATAATGTAAGTATGTTATCAAAGAAATGGTGGGGTAAGCTTGTTAATTGCTATTTTGTTAGGTGGCGACGGGGATTAATTGCGCAAGCACAGTTTAGGAAGAAGACCTAAACAGGTTGGCAAAGCGAAGCTTATGTAGCCAGTGATATCTTCAATGAAGACAACATCAATGCCTTTGTGCTAGCAGGTTGTTGTTTTTGTTGTTGTTTTGGCGGGGAACGTGGCAGGGCAGGCGGTTAAGAATAAATTAGAGACAACTTTTGTAAGCAGTATAAATAGGCAGGTCGAATAAATGCATAGCGTAGAAATGCTGACGGAAGAGTAGAATAGGTTGGTCACCGGATGAATGTTTTGGTGAGAATAATAGGGATATTGAATAGAGTAATAATAGTCCCTAATATCTGTGACTATAGAGTCACAACCTCCCATCTATCAATACTGATAGCAAATGAGATTCGGACATTCAATGGTTTTGTAACTCCGCGGATAATTCGATGCCTTTATGTCTCTGTATCTTTTTGTAATGTTGCCCTGCTCTGCCACGTCCTTTGTTCGCGCCTAAATTGAAAGGCGTTACAGGGCTTTGGGGGGAAGGGGGGGAGGGATTCATTCAAATCCAACACAACAAAGATAAACTTACATTCGTCACCCATCTTCAAGAGGCTCTTTCTCACACACTCTCTCTAACTCTCTCAATGTCGGCTTCAGCCTTCTGCTTAAAAAATGGGTACTCTAGGTAGGCAGGCTTTACTGGTTGCCTTATAGAAACGATTGGGGGCCGTGTATGGGGTTTGGTGGACGGTTTCTCGGCACTCGGCTCGCCTTGTAATCAATCTGGAAAGGTACACCTTCGAACGTGCGATTCTAGAATCTCTTCTATTGGATGAGATCGATTTAGTACCTGGATAAGCTTTATATCTAAGTTCTTTTTGGTAGATCAAGCGTAATCCGGGGAAATTTAGGTCGAGAGGAATTGTCGATGGCGTTGAATGTTGTTCTCCTAAAAGAAATCGCGAGAGGGCGACAAGGACACTAATAAAACAATTGAAGATGAACGTTATTAGAAGGCCGAGGTTTCGCACTCCTCGTTGCAAAGGGAACCTCTGGTGGTTGGGCAGATTTCAACAACGAGCCTTAGGGAACTGGAAAAAAAAAGAAAGAACCAAAAGAAGCCTTGGAATTACAATTTCGTTTGAAGGCGCGAACAATCTTGGTAGTAGTTAAATGAATCCCTACTTGATTGTGGTCCTGAAGAAGGTAGGTTAGGTAGGTACCCGGTATGGTAAGGGGAAGTACCTAATTTAGGCCGCAGTACAATACCTTGCGCCTTCTTAGGTAGGGGTTCCACATCACGGCACTCAACAACTCATGTAATTGGATCGGAACTCATCAGGTACATGCATACGTATTGTACCATATACGTACACTACTAGCTTAATCCCTGTAAGTTGTCTGCACTGCACAAGGCAAATCGAAGGGAGCTCTATCCACCTACATAAAAAACCATACGTACAACAAGATACATAGTACATGTAGTCGCGTGCTTAGGAGGGGAGGCCTCTTTACAATGTACATAGAAGCGCTGGCTGCTACGTAAACAATTAGAACCTTCTTATTCGCCCTCTTCAACTTAATTGGACTCTGCGCCATCCTGTCAAAGCCACATTTCTTTTAACCCATTGGGTTTTCTTTCGACCAGTCAGCCGATTATTTGACATATGTACCGGAGATGTGGTCTCAGTTTTAAAACCAAGGTGATAAGCGAATGGTTTTTAGGGACTGTGCTTTTTTTTTTTTTTTTGAAGTTTAGCGGCCCCACAAACATTAAAATATGTAACCTACCTAACGCCGGGTATGGCGCCAACTTCCAACATTGAAGGTTGTAAGAGGCTAGAGGTAGGTACCTACCTGTAAGCACCTAACGTATTTGTGTTTTGATGTTTCCAAATTCTATTCCTACTTCATAATTTCTGACAACTTCTTAAATTTCCCTTGCCGTCATGCAAAACTGACAAGCCACCGTTAAACATAATCGGGAAAGTAAAGGCGAAATTCGCAAATGGGCTTTCTTATGGAAACATCTGACAAATACTTCTAGAACTTTTCATTTTCGTTTTATTTTATCATTTTTTTCTTCAACCATGCGGACATGGTTATTCGATGGTTGTACGTGGCAGTCGGGAGATGAAATCATCAAGTTTTGGTCTGTCTCACCAGTTTTCCCTGGTTTTGACCGTCTTTGACGTGGGTGGCCATAAACTCAACACGTTCTTGGCTTTACATCCGACACATAATGACGATAAGCGGCAAAGGCCTAAAACCACTAAAGACACGAGCTTTGGTCAATTTGGGGTCACTAAATTTCATAGATTTTGGATCCAGTTATCAGTCTATCAATTCTAATCAATTGAGGTATTTAAGGTATATTAGGTACACTATAGATGAGTAATGCTACATTTATTACGGACTTAACCACTTTAATACCAAGTTTATTTTATTTTATCTTGTTTTATTTTTCTTTACGTCAAGAATCTCCTTCAGGATTCAAAATTTATACGACACTTCCCTTGCGGTACCATACAAGTTTACGCTTGGTTGTCGTCGTAGCCCCCTTCTCCCGGACGAGTCAGCTTATCACAGCTCAAGACTAAGTCTAGGACTGAGATATCAAGTACGTTTCTACAATTAGCTCTTTACAAAGGTCGAAAATGTAATGAAAAGAATTACGGCAACAACCACAACAACCACAAAAAAGAAAATTGTAACAAAAAGAACTACCCGGTCTTGATCACCACGAGTTCATAGTGTAGGTACCTAACCTATTGGAAAGCATGAGTCCTCACGCCATCCAAGTGCCTTGACATATAATTTATTCGGAAGAACCCATGAGGATGCAGTGCCTTGAGGTACATAGTACATACAAACATACCAACCGGGCGATGCTGGTTGCATTAGCCTTTCCAGGGGCAGCGAATTAACAACTGCCATGAGGCGGTGCCTCTGAACGTATACGACCCGAAGATCCTATATTACTGCGCCAAGTCGCTTTTGGGAGAATTGACCAGTCGTGGTCAACAACTCACCGCTCATCGACACACCTATAGCTATTCTGGAAAGCTTAGTCCTACATATAACGCTCGTAAGCCTCGACCAAGATTACAAATATTCCTAGTGATTACAGGATGTTCCCAACAGGGGAGAGAAGACATTGCGCCATGTAATAGAAGCATCTCTTTTCTGGAGTGAGCCACTGCTATTCTATGCCTTAAACCTAACTTAGTAGGAAGTATCTCCCTTTCCGTGCCTAGATCAAAGAGAAAAAAAGCATTGAATCGTACATGTTAATATTGGACACTTCCTCGCCTGAAAAGCAGCGAGCCCGCTAGGTTGAGTGCCGGCTTGGGGTTAGCGACGGTACCAGTCTCTGCATTACCCCCAAGAACGAGCGTTGGAATATTAGCGTCAGGTACAGTATCAGGACCAAGTGACGCTCCGACCATAGGTGTACCAGTTACCCCCTTTTCAAGCGTTTCTTTATAGAACGCGTCAAGAGCTTTCGAATCGCTACAGAACGCTTCCAGTTTGTCTTTAAGGGCCTCATGCTTCCCAATGCTATAATCAGCTGATGTTGTGGGCTCCTTACCAGCGGTACTTGATGGCTCCGGAGGTGGCCGAGGCGCAAAGAGTGCAGGCCTAAAAATTGGCGATGCGATGGGCGTGGGCTCGGCTATACCATAGCTCGAGTACGCATTTGCACTAACAAGGCGTGAGACGCGATCGTTTGACACCGCCTCAAAGCGTGCTTGGGCGGATTGGGGTTCAGCCGCCCGATACCAGCACAGCCTGTTGGCCAGAATCAAAAAGTCCCCATCATCAGTGATCTGTACCAACGTCATGCCTGTACGATGGATATATTGGCAATACTTAAAATCGGGCTTACCCCAAGAATAGCTGACGTCGACGTTGCTTGGAAAATCGGAGGCAGCCTCGACGTCAAGTACATAGTCGAACTTCCGCAGTAAGGCCTTTTGATAATAGAACTTTCCCGGCTGCGTCTGCGGGCCAAACGAATTTGGGTCGTAATATGTTACGGGACGTTGGGTGGGAGGTGGTAATGCAAGCTTGATTCGGTAGGGTCTCCGGAATGGATTAACCTCTGTGATACGACAAGCCTCTGCAATTGGAACTTCAATAAGACGAAGGCCGTGCTGTACAGCAATTGCAGCCCAAGACTTAAGGGCGTCTTCGATGAGCTTCGCCGTGACATTCATCCAATCGATACGTATGTGGTAGCAATTATCAGGATTGTGAAGTCTATCATAATGCAAGTTTATCCTCTCAGGGCGGTAAGACTTCTTGCGATGATCCACGTCGTATTTCATCATCTTGCTGAGAACAACCTTGGGCCGCTTCCCGCCGGTTGTTCCCAAGGTGGGTGTCGTACTACCCGAGATTGGAGAGTTTTCCTCTTGGATTGATAGGGGTCTTTGGGCTGCCATTTGATTGGGTCGTGGTGAATCCTTCGGGGGGTTCTCTGATAAAGGTGTTGATGGAACAGAAATATCTCGTCTCCTCGCGTTGAACCAACCCTGTGGATGGGGTTTCGCATACTCGGAAACTATTTGATAAAAGAATTGGCCATCACGAAAAGGGTGTCTCCTCTCGACGTGGATGAAAATGCCACGGTCGCGATCCTTCTTCGCGTCTTTCCCAGCCTCCCTATCCCTATCTTTAGACTTATCATCTTCAAGGACCATCAAAGAATTTCCAAGTTCGACCGCCTCTTCCCGGCTCTCAAGGTCTTCAAAGTTATCCAGCAGCCAGGTCGTCATATCTGATCCAATAAAACAGTGGTAATGAATTCGAAAATGCCACCGCCGCGTTTGCATTCGAATTCCACCTAGTTCAACCGGCTGCTGGATTGCTTCTGCTAGAGCGGCGACATTGAAGTTAGATTTTGAAAACCGCTCCTTGTTCGACACCAGGCCCTTGCGATTAGTTGACTCGACGTTCTCGAACAGTGGCAATGTCTCCATCTCAGCCGCAATTACTACAGACGGATCTTCGGTCTTGTAGACGATGTCAAGAGGGTTGGGGTCTCGCTTCTTCGCACCAGAACTTTGGAACTGGCGTTCCGAAGGTGATAAGAACCGGTGCCGTTGCCAGAGTTGAGCCAGTCTTTTAATACCCTCAAGACGCACTTCCTCCTCATCATATTCATTCCGGGCCGTCGGAGCTGAGGATGTCCGGGGATACATTGGTATAAGCACGAAACGAGCCCGCCAAAACCTGAGGTTTTCAGTCATTTCGTCAGTGTGCCCGGCGAGGTACGAATCGATGTAATTCCAGTTTCGCTCTGGTTTTGGGGTCATAATATCGACATTGACTGTATGGTATGTATCATCAAGTAGAGTTTGAATGGCAGGCCTATATATGGTTGTTTGGTCAACCTGTGACAATGACTCGGTTGGTTTCCGAACGTAAATATTAACTTCAACTTCAGTGCCGTTAACACACGATAGTTGATGGATTGTGTTCCCGACGCTCATGAATATGCTTGTACCGTCATCGACAGTTTTATCTATTGAGAAGACGTCCGCGATTCTCACATGCTTGTGATTAAACGCTCTAGCCACAGACGAACTGATCACGACTTGGAACCCATGAGCAAACCGAGCACTAACAAGCTCTCTTAGGAACTCTACGCGTGATCTAGGCTGATCCGTACCCTCATCTTCTGTTTCCTGCGAGATGTTGTACGGCTGCCGTTGGTATTCGGTGTTGAATTGTGCTTGCGTTGGGAAGTATTCAGTCGTCAACGGTACGGCCGCAGGATATGATAAAGACTTCCATTTCATGACTTTCATCTCGGACGGCCGTGGGAAAACATGCTGCCACCGACTAAACAAAATAGAATCGTCGACTCTATTCACGTCTGGGTTCGACGGGTTGAGAACAACCAGCCAGGGCGCCATGGCAGTGGTTGGCGAGAGCGTAGACGGTAACTCCGGCACACCCCCTGCTCGTAACTTGGAATTATACAACCTTTTTTGGTCCTCTTCTCTAAGAGCGTTAGAATATCTCAGATCCCTATCATCAGGTCGTGCACTCCTAGCTACCGGTGTAGCTGGTATCTGGCCGGACCTCAGTGTACTAATGGGATCTAAGGCTTGCACAGGGTTCCTGATTTGGATAGGGCGGCTCGGTGTTGCCTGCAAAAGTTCCATCATAGAGTCGGCTTGGTCGATGGCTTGTAAAATGTTCCCCGTGCTTGCTGCCTTCGAGGAGCCTGGTCGTACTGCAGACCTGATAGGCGTCATTGGCGACATTCTAGGGGTTGAAGGGGTTTGAAGTCCGGGGCCAGGAGCGTCCATTCGAGTGACGTTTTCCGTCCTTAATTCGGCCGTAGCTAGTTTGGGAGCTGCAATACCAAATCCGCGCTGACCTAGACTAATCTGCCTCATAAACTTTGGTGGCCGTATCGATACTTGCTTAGGCTGGGTCGTAGAGTTACGCCGCGAAACAGTCGCAGATGCAAATCCCTCTGGTCCAGTCCTGTTCGATGATGCGACACTTGAAGAAAGCCCAGTCGACGACCCCGCTGCTCTACTTTCTCCTATTGAAGTCCCGAACAAGTTGACATCTTCCAGTTCTCGAAAAGGATGATTTGATGGTAGAGGTCGATGCGCTGGAAGCCGGGCCCTTGTCTCGTCGAAATTCTGCAGATATTTCCATAGTAATGTTTCTCCATTCTTCGTTAACTTTTCCGGAATGAATTTCAGGAAGCCATAGACAGGCTCGAACAAGGTTTCAGGTACTCTCCGATTCCCAACGGGGTGCGGTATACGGGTATCACCCCTAAGGAGTCGCTTGTCATTTTCCCACTTACCTATGGTGTTCGGATAAGCGGAATCAGCGCGTAACGGCGTGGTCTCAATCTCGTTAGTTTCGAGCACGCTCCTCATTTGGAGGTCGTAGAGCCTACATCGAATCGTGAAGTCGTCTCGGCAATCACTGGGAGATTGGCTCGAGGCAGACAAGGTGATGCCTTGGAAAGATAAAGCTTCTTCCGACTTCCCTGTCCAGTAAGAAATATGCAGCCATTGTGGTACAGCAAATGCCCACTCATCAGTATACAAGGTAGAGTTGGCCGGATCGGCCGCTTTTATTGGAGACGCGGATTCGCCCAAGGTCGTATAACTACTAGCCAAAAGCACAGGCTGCTTCGGCGTACTCCCGGGACTCCTAACAGGTTGGGGCTGTGATCTTTGGTTTGCCTCGAGAAAATGAGGATTTCGGTAGCGAAACAGAGGGACAGAATGCAGTGGTATGTTTGGGATACATATTAGATCGATGCCAATCCCATTACCAACTAGAGCTTCTGTCGTCCGGCGTAAGGACTCATATTCCACTTCAAAGACGCCTGGACCTGGGCTGATAATTACAATAGAAATTCCAGTGCGGACGAGGTCTCGATCTATATAATCATGGGCATACAATGATGATGCTAGGTTGATGGCTTCGAGGAAATTTCCGTACATGGCCAGAGATGACACTGCTTTAATCTTGCTAGAAGAAGTGCCTTTTACCGACGAGTCCTCGGGGATATCCACGTTGTCCATGGCGTTTCGATGATGGAGGCTAATATCACGACGGAAGACGTTAAATTCCATCTTCAATTGGTGCAATATCTTAGTCCATTCGCCACTAGACATCTCACTCACAACAACGCGATAGAAGTCTTTAAACGGACGTCTCTCTCCGGACGTTTGAAAGCCGGTATAATAATCATTGTCAATAGCCGAATTTGCGAGCTCCGTAGTCAGCCCAACATCGTATTCGACCCTTGCGAAGAGTACAATACTGACAATATGCTTTACTTGCATCATCCTCCATTTTTTGAAGAGGGCTGGCAAAAATCCGTTCACAACCTTGTAGAACATGATCTCACCCGAACCATCAGAGTCAAAATCCCACATTTCTCTTGCCATCTGTATGAACAAGACGTATCTAGCGCATTCACTACGAAAGATAGGGCGAGTGTTTCGGCTGAAGAAGGCAGAATGGACCTTGCGACCTTCAACGAAGACGGTACTGACAGTTGCCTTGATCGTTCCCAGAAAGTATACCACTTGGCCCTTATACACAGTTCGATCTGTTAAGTCGGCGACTGCAAGTCTCCACATGTCTGCACGGGACAAATACATGTCCTTAAATGTGAGCTCGACATGAGAGGCTTCGACGGCGGGGGAAAGCTTGTCGACCGGAGCAAGCAGCACTTGTGTCCCCTTTCGCATATTAAATGCGGCGCCAATCTGTTTCGAGACGTATACCTCTATATTAGGATGCCTAGCTTTTAGTTCCCTAGGTATATCCTTTGCGACAAAGACATACCTTCGACCGGCATCGATTTCGGGTTTAGGAATATCATCGGTGGGAGTAGCAGCCATAAATCCTCGGTGATAAGACGCCTGTCTAAAAGTCCCATACTGCGATCCTTGCATCCTGTCCTGATCGGATTTCATAAGAGCGATGGACATTAAGGCTCCGGGCTGCACAGTACCTCCGAACATATCAAGATTCAAGAGAACCTCGTCACTAATGACGGACTCGTTAATAGTGACGCAGCATATTCGTTCATTTATTCGCTTCGAAGGCAACTGATCTCGAGGGGTCGAATGAACGGATATATTATCTGAAGATAGGGGCGAGTCGGTCGAGGTCCTGTCAAGACTGGATCTGCTGAACTGTCGCAAATGCGAAGTCCATTGCGTAGCTCGACGCGGCGCCGAGGGCGAAGGAGCGGCGTTGCGAGACATTTCGCCTCTATTATCCAGTATCAAAGATTTCGAGACGCATCATTGCGGGAAGACGAATTATGCCGTCCTCCGTTTCGAATTACAACAAAACTACACTATTGAAAGTGGTGATTAACATGGACGGACATCTTGGTAGCTTGCAATGTAACATTGAAATAAAAGGTGGATGTTTTTGGTCAAGAAATAAGAAACTTTGAAAGCTTGCCCGCACTGCTGCACGGGGTACGTGGGCAGTATCGGTAAAATCATCTTACCGCTTTCCTTTTTTAGTGAAAAGGTGCTGAAGAGGTAAGGTAGGTACGAAGTACCTCCGATCACGTACCGGTACTTAGGTACCTACCTACATAGGCATCCACCTGGCCAAGCTTGATTTATGTATCGTGATTAGGTATCCTTTTTGCATTATTTAGAACCTTCAGGTACTGTTCTACCTTAACATCGACATCTTCTTATCACAATCAAGTTTGGCATCCGCGTTATTCAACACCGCCCCACAAGGAACTAAAAAAAGGGACGAAGCTGTTCAATACCTTCGTCTTTCATCTTATCCATCACCACTTCCCAGGTCAATTTCATCAGCCTATCTCCGAGTGCGTCGTCCTGCGCCTGCTTATTTCCCGGTTCCGGCACAGCTGGTGGGCAAATGTACTGGCTTGATTTCTGTGTGTACGTCGCGGCAAACATGGTTGATACAGCTCCTTGGAACTGATCCTTTTTAAATGGCTCGATGCCAACTGCCATGGCGTATCCTCCTAAAGGGAACGGCTCGAAGATATCCTTTTTGCTCATGTTCGTACTGACGAAACCCGGATGGGTTGCATTTATGAGCACGTTGGGGTGACCCGCGTTCGTTACCTTTCTCGCCAGGTATCTGGAGTACAAGATAGCAGCAAGTTTGCTCCGTCCGTATAGGGCATTTGGGCCAATGTCGCGGTTCAACTCTTCCAAGCTCGCAAACTCTGTGTCGTTAGGCGTCGCGTGATGCACGTTGCTTGCCTGGTTCGATATGCGAACAAAATCACCCTTCTCTGCTGTTCGCTTCATTAACGGAAGCAAGCAAGATGTGAGAATCACAGGGCCAAAATGATTAACAGCCATGTGTCTATCGACACCGTATTCGGTGAGCTGGTAAGTCATGATCCCTCGCCCTGCATTGTTGATCAGGATGTCGAGGCTATTAGTATCTTCCATGATCTCCTCCGCAACCCCCTTCACTCTTCTCCAATCCGATAGGTCGCAATGCATCCACCGAGTCCTATCTGCTACTGGTTGACCTAGTTCCTTTGCGATGGCTTCCTTAGCGCCCTTCACGGCATCTTCGGATAGGGAAAGGATATAGACTTTGGCAATGTTATGCTTCAGCAGTGTATAGGTACAACCATAGCCGATGCCTTCGCTCCCGCCTGTGACTACGGCAACCTTCCCCGTTAGGTCTGGGACCTGGTCCAAGCTGAATGGGCGAGTTGTAATACCATGAGCCTTGCTGCCTAGATTTTCTCCGATGGTATTCTAAAACAACGGCGTTAACCAACATTTTCTTATAAAGTTTGGTATTAAAGGAGACTTGCCTTGACGGTATCTATACCTTTTGATAGTATTGGCTGTCTAGATGTAGTCTGTGTCGAGAAGGACGCTAAACTCGAGGCGATCCTCAATGGACGGATCAAGAGGTAACTTAAACGATGCACGGCAGCACGGGCCGGAGATACTCGGTAGAGTGCACCACCCAACGTGGTTAAGGGGGCATGCATTTAAATCTAAACGTTTTTTATATATCCAAGAAATGCGGTAGGTTGCAGCTGGTTATTTACCTTTTCGAACGTTTTGAAATACAGAGACCAGAATATGTTCCCCAACCAGCATCTTTACTTCGAGTCGTCATCCATATTTCTTAAATGACAATCCATAATATTTTGCATTTGGCTTTGTTATGACGTGCTGATTCGGTAGTGTAGTCTCGCACATATAGCGCAGAGTCGATTTCTTTGAATTACATAGGTGCCTTAGATACCTACCTGTTTCGATAAGTTCCCGTTCGGATGCACAGACCGTCACTTCGAATGTTTCCATCTACAATAAGTAATGAACGCGGGGCCTGTATTGTACAATACAATATAGGAAGGCCTACCTACTTAGGTAGGTAGAACAGAATGCATGCAAAGCTAGATGCCGTGCTCTGCCGTTCGGTACTCAGGTAGGTATAGGTATAGGTAATTATAATGCAGGCGCATTCTACCCTCGGGACAATAGATCTAGATGCAGCTACAGCTGGATCTGGTAGTCTGTATCATAGAGTCTCCGATTTATACCGATTTAGTAAGCTAGAACTATCCGACGAGTTTGTGAGAGGCCACGACACTGACACTCCTCAGACTTTGCTATGACTCTGTTAGTACTACATAGCAAACGAACGTAAAGAACATCTCAAACACCTACTCCTTAATGGCTGGCCACTTCATCTGTTCTGTGACATATCATCTATGGGCCTAGCCAGCACACTTAGGAAGGTAAATATTAATCCAGCATTCGCCCTGAACAATGAAAAAGATAATACACGTTCATCCATGTTATCTCTTGCCGCCAATGCAGATATGATATCCAACCATCCGAAGCGACCCCATGTATCGATGTTGATTTAAAACAGCAGGGGTGAATTGCGGTTTCAGCGCGATCGACGGTGAAGGCCCCTATACTACAAGTCTGTCAGTAAGTCAGTCAGTCCGTTGACAAATTGGCCACTTCTCCCAAAGAATATCCGAACCAATTTGTCCTTGCGTTTCGTTCACAAAATCTAGTATAATAGACTCAAACAAGGTACCTAAGGCATACAGACATTTACTTCAACAGTACCTTACATATGAAATCACGGATGAAAAGACAACCCATAGCCAATTAGCTGCCGTTAAATATTCTGACTCGCACAAGTCAATAAATTATCTCAGCCTTAACCGTATGGCAACCTTATTGGGTTGTAACCCCATTTAATATCAACGATTGGCGAAATTTTGTCTCCAACTCTAGCCTCAAATTCCAACTCCGTGTAGCAGCCATGGCTACGTTCAGGCTTACGCCAAAGCAGAAGCTTTTCGCCATCATCGGCATCTCTTTTTGCTTTTTTATTGCGGAATTAATCGGTACATCATGGAGTTGAATTTATCCAAGATATAGACTCTAGCTAATTATCTCGCAGTGGCCTTCTCGACCAAATCCCTAGCACTTTTAGCTGATGCCTTCCATTACGTATGTCACGTTTATACTTGCCCATACGTCTATTTTAACTTCTGCTAAAACTGGTCTCATTAGATGAACGACCTTATAGGATTTGTTGTCGCTCTAGCTGCCATCATTGTAAGTCCAATCAGCGCACGTCATTAAAGCATGTCTGAAGAGTTTTGATGGACTGAACGCAACGCCAGATCTCAGAACGTGCATCCTCTCCCGATAATTTTTCGTTTGGTTGGGCACGCGCCCAGCTTCTCGGGGCCTTCTTCAATGGTGTCTTCCTCCTCGCCCTCGGTGTATCCATTTTCCTCCAGTCGATTGAGAGGTTCATAAGAGTCGAACGTAAGTCAACCCCGACCCAAGGCGGTTTCGCATACCGGTGTCCGCCACCTCCGTTAACAATTACATCCAGACGTTGAAAACCCCAAGCTCGTATTGATCATGGGCTGCGTTGGATTGGCACTAAACATTATCAGTGCAACATTATTGCATGAACATCACGGTCACGATCATGGAGGGCATAGCCACAGCCATTCGCCTATTGAAGACGACGAACATACCGAAAGCCATAAGCATGACCATAATCATAATCACGATAACGTCGAGATTGGAAGACAGTCGGTAGAAGGCTCAGGTGGTAATGATCGAGACGGGATTTCCCTAATGGTGGGCATTTCTTACGTTACTCTTCGTGTCTTCCTAGCTAACGTATACGCAGCCCGTAAGTGCCCATGCCGAGCATAGGCATACCATCGTGGATCTTCAAGGTTCGGGACGGGACCTTGGTATTATGGGAGTTCTTTTCCACGTTATTGGCGACGCATGTAACAATGTCGGAGTTATCATCGCGGCGCTAATCATTTGGCTCACGACACCCGAGGCTCGGTTTTATGCCGATCCAGGCATAAGCATGACCATTGCCATTATGATTTTAGTGACATCGATCCCACTCGTGAAGAACAGCGGCAAGATTCTCATGCAGAGCGCTCCGAAAGGTGTGAACATAGACGACGTCAAGCACGACCTTGAGAAGGTAAGTACTCCCTAGGAGAAAACTGCTCGTAATCCTAGGATTACATAGACTGACAATTCCTTATGTGTATAGATCCCTGGCATCCAATCTGTTCACGAACTGCATATCTGGCGCCTTGACCAAAGGAAAGCCATCGCAACCGCCCATATGGTTGTATCAAACAACGACATGGTCGACTTCATGAACCGCGCGCGAACTGTCAGCGAGTGTCTTCATGCCTACGGCATCCATTCGGCAACCCTACAACCTGAACTTGCGACCCCTGCATTGCCGTCATTCACTAACGATGGTAATACCAGCCATAATAACATCACTATTCCAACGGAGATTTCTGCGGCCACAACTGCTGGAACTGACTCATCTTCAGGGGCGTCAATTAGGAGGCGACGCCCCGACATATCAGCACCGTGCCAAATAGTATGTGGGAACATATGTGAAAGCTTGACCTGTTGCAATACCAGTACCATGCGAATCTAAGCGTCAAGCAATTCTGTATACGGTACAGGGGGTTCAATTACAGCAGGATAGGCCATACTATTTAGAGTTGGAGGGCAGAGCAGTTATACAGTTAGGTACCTAACCTGAGATAGACTTGCATTGCGCAATCTAAATTATACCCAATATTTACCTACCAATATACGAACTTAGATAGTGAAGGCACATTGCGGCGCTTGGATATTATCCGGGTATCTCAATGGCGTCTCATCATAAGTTACCCATACTTGATACATCAGTTTTCTTCTCCTGGAACAATCCGTGATGGCTAGGTTTTATTGATACCATTCTTCTATGATGGTTTGAAATGACTGCATTACGGCATACGAGTAACCGTGTGACTTCGGACATGGTCCTCTTCCACTAAAGGCCTAGAATCGATACCGGGGTACCATACCTATATCATGGTATACTCATCCTTGCACCCGAGCCCGTGGTCTCGGTTTGAAGATGCGGTAGATCGCGTATGTCGGATAAGAAGCTCTCGTAGTTGTGGGCTGCCAACGCGGGGGGTAAGAATTAGAAACGTGGGGGTCCCGTCCCTACTGCTTCGAACTTCTGGAGGTAACATTCCTGCATCTATTTCAGGCCCATCAAGCACGCGTATATTGGCCTAAAATGCGAAGTATCAGGGGGGATCGGAGACCTAAACACAAGTGCCAGAAGGGAATCTCATCTCATCTTACGTACCTATCTAACCCTTCATCCTTCGTTATGTATAGGTACTTAATAGGTGCATAAGAATGCATCAGCAGCCATAGCCATTATCATATACTTAGCCTCATTTCCAGCGTAGGTTACATTCTTACGCGACTCCCTTCAGATATGGAGATATCTAATCTTATCAATCCGCCACGTCTATGCGTGCGTGTAGAACGAACACATGTTCGGTATGGCAAAGATGGGCGTGTGACAGATTCCCGCCCCCATATCTTGTCACCGCTAGATGCGAGCTGACTAGCTGACAAGGAAATATTTCCGTTCACCTTCTCGAGTCGGGAAGGGACCCGAGCGATGGAGCCCGCTATACCCTCCACACTCCGTATGTACAGCCGACCTGCGTAACCACACCCATTCCCTATTCTGCTCCTTTATTTCGAGTCTTGCTTCCTTTTCAGTACAATCTTTCAGCCTCGCCGCGGTAACATTTGCGCATGCTACCCAACCACCTACCTACGCTGAAGCATGCAACTCCGCGGATAGTACCTTGCAACTGATATCCTGGCTGCATAATATGCGCGATGGGTACTTGGATAAAGTAGAGGGGCGGGTACGGCCCGCGGAGAATGAGATTATAATTGTCATGTGAAATGTATACCTACCTAAGTAGGTACCTAGGCAGGATAGGTCGTGGCTTTCCGTAGCCGTGGATATCTTATCCGACTACTGTTGAGGAGTGATTCGCAACACACCTCGATTCTTTAACGATGCTTAAAGCACTCAATGACGTATGAACTTTCAGTATTCGAAACCGGATTAGGCCATGTCGCATGATATATTGATACATATACTGCTACTTTGCGGGTATCATGTAATTGTGATCTCCAGCGTCTTATGCTACCCAAGATACGTAGGTACCTAACATTTAGTTCATAGACGTCCTGTTTCCGCTCTGACTTAGCCTGTAGCAGTCGACAGTAAAGTCTGCTAACTATTATAGGAATGGAAATCGCGGTAAGCATTGTGAAATACTCATGCATACCTTTGTTCAAGCCTTTGGCCTACATTATGTTAAGTACAGATACCACTGGGAACAGAACAGTGGGGGCGGACCCGTATCTCCGGTCCGGGTTCGCCGTATCAGCCCCACTACCGGCCGCGCGGGCAGATGTTTCTTTAAGTAGGAAGTCACAAAGTACTCCCGCGATACCGGGCTCTTTCCTTATGTTTCTAGGATGGCCTTTAATACGCATTATATACTTGAATATAATTTAGGCAGTAGAGCATGCCCAAAGCGTCCCAAGATGGACGTCAAAACTAAAGCGGGAGGTGTGGCTCTTTTATCTTTTTGGAGATTACCTTTGAGTCTTATGTCTTTTCTAGGGGTCCGGAGGCAGATAATCAGACACATGCAATAGGTCATTGACTTCACTGCTAGGCAGCCAGAAACGGGGAGTGTTGATATTTCATTATCTACTTCCATTGTAAAGTAGTTGGTCGACCTAGGAGGGGTCGATCTAGGCGCGTATGAAGTCATTAACTGCAGGCGCGGGGCTTCGCTTCGTACTCCATCATATCATGGCATCCAACATTACTTCACCCCTATACGTTGCAAGGCTGGCAAGCGATGATCTTAATGTACTTATCAGCGGGGATAACGGGAGGTGGCATGTAGTTGATAGAAGAGAGTAGCTACGAATCTATTTCCATGGTCGAGGACCCAATAGAATATGGAGGCGTGACATTGCATTGAGGATGCTAGTTGTTATGCATGATACGTTGATCCAGGGCGTATCAAGACGTTCGCTAGACAACTAAATCAATGACAGGTATCTAATCGATCGTATCGTACCTACATACCTATTAAAGAGGAGCCTCGAGCTATGATATGCTGGCTGGCTAGCTAGTCTAATTTGACGATCTGCGGCACAGATTAGGGCACGGCCAGTCCATTGAGGGGTTCCGACTCCGCTGCTCCAGCAAGAAAGTTAGACAAACAAAATAGTATTACGCAAGCCTACCTATATAGATATAGAGTAGATATTAGATAGGCTGGTTTAGATATTGGGTCCAGTTGCACTGATCTCGCCCCAGATCTTCGGTTTAAATTGCCGATCGAATTTTTGGGGAGCAGGTTACCTTAGGTGGTTAAGGTGTTTGTACTGTGCAATCGACAACTGCACTGGTGATCATGATGATGATGATACTGGGTTACATAGCTAAGTAATCCGGGGTAGCAGAGAGCCAATTAATAAAGAGGACCTGAGTAACCAGGAAGCGGAGTAGATCTCGACCCAGGAAGAAGGCTAGCGAACTGACTAACAAGAGAAAAGGAGAAAAGCAATCATAACTTCTGACTTGCGTCCCTGCTCACTGTCAACATGCTTTAGGAGCATAAGAGGATCCATAATAAAAGAGGGTTTTCTTTTCTCCCTTCTGTATCAGATGATCATCTGAAAAATAGCGCACCCAAATTGGCGTTTGCTAGAGCTTCTAGAACTTGTTACCTAATAGGCTTGCCGGCGTTGGGTCGGTATTCGAAAGCGCGGCGCTTCGAGCGGTGTTTATAGCGTCCTCCACATCCGCTTATATCAAAGGAGTTACATATAATGAGGCCCTCTTCTCTTAACGTGGATCTACCAGATTAGTGGGTATACAATGTATACTAGGTTTCTGTTATCGGACCTGGATCTTCCGAGGTCCTGGTAACCTACCTCTTATATAAGTTTGAAGTATTTTACTTGTTGAAGCTATAATGAAGATGAGTATTTACCGGCGGTAAATTATCATAGGCTACGAGACGCCACGGCTAGGTTAGTTAGGTACGTTAGAGGTATGTATGATCATGTAGGTAATTAGTCGATAGCGTCGTCTTTTCTTCCCATCCCCTTCTTGGTGCCAGCCTATGCCAGCCTAGAGGTTTAGCCTTGTAGCTAACCAGTCTTCATTACGTTATTGGATAGAGATAGAAAAATATGGAAAGCTGCGTCGGATACGACATCATCTCTTGGGTTCGCACTTCATAGCAAGCGGAAGTCAAGCGGAAGTAGTTGGCTGGCTGGTAAAATAGAATGCGAGATATATTTCTTATCCCATAGTTGATAAGTTATAGTAGAGGACCGAGAAATGCTTGGTCGATAGCTCTTATTTCCCCCTATGATTACATCCATGATTGCCTCTGAATCTTGGAACTGCTACATAGTATGTACTATGTAGGTTCCTCACCGGGTCTGATCTAAAGGAAGATCAATGGATCGTCGTGGGATCCATAGCAAAATTTGTATGCGAGGGGTAAGAGTCAAGACTGAGGGGTCTTACAACAATGGACAAGGAACGGGAATGAAGTCGCGTGTGCTTGTCCCAGTCCCAAAACGGATATGAGCTGTGACCGCCTTTGCATTGCCGCGGTACCGAATTATGATAAAAATGAAGGAGCTTGACGTACATAGTACAGACAGGGCATCCAAATGAACCGATGAAGCCCAATGACAAGACAGAAAAAGGGTTGGAACGGCATTGGTGCCTTACGGACAGTGTATTATGAATATATGCACTGTATTTTACTCGATATAGGTAGGAGGTAGGTCCCTAAGAGGTATTCAGCAATTGGGGTCGAACAAAAGCTTAACATAAACGCCTGTTCAACAACTACACGCATATCTGTGCAGGCGCCTTCCATGCAGCCATATGAGTGACACAACTAGGAAGAGCTAAGAAAAGGATCTAATGCAGCACTTGCATGTGTACCCGCTCATTTGTGGGTAATTGTTAATTTTTCAAGCAAGTACGGATTATAAAATACAGAAATACGGTACTTGAGAATCCACTGGCTGCTGTTCTCAGGTAGGTGCTACATTATTATTATTATTATTAATGTATTATACTACCTAGGTAGGTAAGGTACCTAACCTATACAGACTCTATTATATTGTACAATACAATATTCAAGTTAACCTCTGCATCAGCCGTGCAACAGTAACGGCAGAATAAGTTCAAAGCCGATTGATTACCAACCCAAGCACAAATAGGTCATTTCTCATTCACCGCCAGATCGCATCAAATCCTCCAGACCGACTCCGGAACCAGTTTGTCTAGGAAGAGACAATATCTACGACCTTCTCCCTCCTTGCCTGTTTTACATTACACGTGTATATTTAGTATATTTGGGGTTAGGTACTTTAAGGGTCCTGTCCAAGTCCGTCGCAATGTTAAATCTCGTGATCCAAAATATCTGGGTACGACGAAGCTTCTTTCCCATTACGCTAACCTAATACTATGTAGGAAGTTAGTAGAACCCAAGAACCCTGGGAAGCAACTGCAGTCTGTACCTAGAACTGGAAATATTCAAAATACTATAGGACACACATACCGTGCTGTTTGTACCTATGCATTATTCTAGAAAGATTTGAATGATACGGGCGATGGGATTTATTTACAGAGTAAAAGTACAGAATATCTGTTTGTATGTTTACATACAAGGTATGTAGATGTCGAATAGGCATTGAAGTCAACTGATAATCGTCTAAAGTTGCTTGGCATTTTATTAATACTGCACTTTGTATTGGTCAATGTAGAGCAGACTTTAGGTACTAGGTACTACCTAGGTAGGTACATCGTATTGTACATATAATTACAGTCACAGATCCTGGTGAGATTGGACGTCATAATCGGCAGTACCTAATGCTTCTTTCCTTCTTTTTTCTTTCTTTTTCTTTTTCTTCGTTTTACTATGTAGGTACATTAATGATTCATACAGGCAACCTAGGAAGTAGGTAGGTACCGAATGGCTCAGGTACCCTCAACATTGAAGATGTAGAGGTTAGGTAACTTTCACTTATATAAGAGGGAAAGGTGATCATCCACTACCTCCGAGGTACCTAAGGTCACTGCACCTTGGTCCTTACCTAGGTACCTAGCCCACATATACATATGTACAATACCTGACCTACCTTACCTAAAAGGCTCTTATGGATCGTTCCTGTTGGCCTACCCTTATACATTACTACTGTAGTGGACATTACTTGCAGAAAGACGCTCCTCTTTCTCTTATTACTTCCCAATTCATATCCTTTTGCCCATTGCGCCTAAAACTTCTACGCTTCACGGACATTTCATCTCCTGGGTTTTATACGCCTGCTTAGATCTTTTTTTTTCCTTCGGGAAATCTGGTTCATTGAGTAACAACGTGTCCTCGAAAGCGACTCAAGCCTAGTCCCTGTTTGTTGTATCCGTTCATCTCCGATTACGCACATTATCACGTCCCTTTCAAGCTGTCAAAGCTGTCACGCTCTTACACGACTCTTCAAACTAGACGCGTGCGCCTTTTATTCAGTTTGTCACTCCACGGCCTTGACATTTACAACATTCCTTTGGATTGGATACCGCCGGCCTGTTCATACTCAACTCTAACTTTGTTGTGGATTCGACTTCTTCCCATCCATGTTGGCCGTTCGATTTCTTCCTTATTACCATAACTGCATTATCTGACTTTCCGGTCCTTGTCTTATCCCCCGTTCCCTGGAGATAATTGCGTAACGATTATTTTCAATGTCTTTCTACGCCATGGTCAACACCGCTGAAGGCCCTCGCCACTGGATGGGTGCCTGTTAAGCGATTGGCAATCTCTACAGCCCTAGTGTTGTTAATTGCCTATTCCTTAGGTCAGGTATATATCCGGCATATTGAGCTTTACGTGTACTAGGACCTAGGACCCAGGACCACAATGTTGGGCAAACTGTTTAATCTCACGTCGGGAACGGCTGGAGGGACGAATTCCCAAGAAGGTGATTCTCCAACTAAACTATCGCCCGAATCGATACAGGAAGATGTTCATACACGGAGCCTCATATTTCCAGATTCACATGCGCTCTACCATCGTCAGGACCAGGTGTTTCCGTTATCATCTACATCTGGCGTGCAGTCCGGGTCCCCCACAAGCCCTTTCGACTATGATGGCGATATTGATATTGATGTGCGTGATGTTCGCATCATAATTATGCAGGACGCTTTAGGCTCTGCCAGTCCCACGTTATTGTTTGATAGTTATCAGATTCCATCGCCCGGTTCACCAGTTGATCACCCACAGCCACCGAGTGCAGCATCATCCTCTCAGTCACTCATGCAGGATCTTCGACGGGCTCCTACATCACTCCGGAAGAGTAGCCTGGGACAAACCTCGAGGCCGCTAGTCATCCAGCCTGGCAGTCCCCAACCTCGGCAAGGTGCATTCGACCGACGCGGATCCATACAGTCCCGTACCTACAGTGCTACAGAGACTGAGTCGCAGAAAGCTGCCAGAGAATATCGTGAAGAGTTGGCTAGTTTCTCTGGCTGTATATTTGCTAATTCTGAAGTGATGTCTTATAAGGGAACGTCGACTAAGGTTCACATTATTCCAAGTGAACCGCGACCATCCACCGTTTCTAGTTCATACGTTGGCGATGGGCGAGGATCTATGGGGAGGTCGAGTATGCGATCAAGCAGATTAGCGCAGTCTTTCACATCGGAATCGGCAAACACACATTTCCAGTCATTTTCTGCGGCTCCCCGGCAGAATGACCGCAGCAAAATTCTAGTAACTCGGTTGTTTCCAGTTAATCTACCAAATGACGATCTTGATTCTCCTACCCAAGCCGCGGCTTTCCATGGTCGCTTTTCCGAGGACAGTGGGGGGTTTCCGTTTCCTTATTCCCCAGATGATTCTAAAGTCAACAAGAAGAAGTTGAAACCTGTACAGAAGAGGACACCGATGTATGCCGTTGCCTTAGTGCTCCAGCTTCCTCCAAATACTCCCAACGCGGTATCAGCGACTGGGTCAAAGCCGGTATTTCGAGGGCCGAGCTCTTACAACGAACAGGACTTTTTCCCTTCTTCTTTTGGATCCGCGCGCAAATCTGGGTGGACTATGGTTGGCTCTGGTTTTGGCTCAGAATCTTTCGAATCGACATATAATAACGATGTCGAGGATCGCATGGACGCCATCACTCAGCATTGGGACATAATCATGAGGACGCTTACTCACCTACAATCTATAGTCGCCACCACTCTAATCCCAATGCTAAAGCAGGTAGATATGTCAGCTCCAGATCCGTATCCCTCGAATATGTCTACCCAGCTCCCTCGAGCGTCTTCGGCAAAGAGCCGAAGAGGCTCGGATGCATCGCAAATGAAGCCGTATAAGACGAATGCAAAGCTTGTAATATTACCTCCAAATTGTCTATCGCAAGATTTGCGTATTGGCCAAGAGATTGAGGATGCTAAGATACGAATTGTGTCTGGTCTTCGAGCTACGAGAGTCATAACGGGACAGGGCCGTTGGGGACCGTGGAGAGAGGAGGCAAGATGGGTTGCAAAATGGGCAGGGACTAGAGAGCAGGGATTTTTCTTTTTTAACCTTTTGACAGCATTTCTTTCGACTCACACTGAATGGCTCCAGGCGTTAAGCCCAGTCTGGTATCGACGGCGACGTTACCAACAGCAGAAAGTAAAAAATGAGGAAGATACGTCCTTGCCGTCCCGCACGATCATAATCGCCAAGGACAAAATGGCTGCCAGGAGGTTAATATTTCTGCTGTCGGCCTTCCTGCCTGCCAACCAGCAGCTGCCCACAGTTCGTGCTCAGCGCCCAGCAACCTCAGCGTCGGTCGCAGCCTTTGGCCACTCGCCACCATCGTACATAGTGCCAATCAACAGGGAAGAATCTCTACGCCGGAAAATTAACCGGCGTCAAGGTCAGAGAGGTGCCTCTCATACCCGAAGTTTTAGTATACAGTCACAGGCTACAACAAGATCTGTTACGGGTATCCCTGCCCAGCTTGCTCATCTCAGCATAGAGCTGTCTAACCAAGACCGCCGATCGTCGGATCTTATAAAGCCAGCCAATCTACCTATTGTCGGGAATGATCTCAACACGCGAAAGAGCAGTGCTGCAACAGTTAATACGATCGTCCCAGACTCAGCTATTCCACACTTCTCTACAGTACATCGGAGTAGTACTGGTCGTGGCGGTCGACCAAATAGTGGTACCAGCTTTGCCGCGGATGATCTGAAGCGGTCGCTTAAGAGGGGTGGTAGTATCAGCCATGGCAGCTGTGCGAGTACTGACTCTCATCAGGGTTCGCGATGGGGGAGCGTAATTAGTGGCTTATGGAGTACAAGACGACGTGATTCTACCGCTACCACGTCGCAGGCATCAGATACTCCTGCCCACCCGGATAGCCCATTTACATCGCCTACTCAAGCCACAGCTAGCAGAAGCGACAAGCTTTCGGTCATGGTTCGAGAAACTCAGCTGCTCGATTCGTCCGTTGGACGACAAGTAGAGGCTGGACAGACCCTACTCGAAGAACCAGATACCCCACGAAAATCAGAGAGCAAGCAGCTCGATTCTCAATCGAGAACTCCGGATCCTTTAGGTGCATACGAATCTCCTGTGAAAACCTCGATCAATAATGACGACGGAGTAATCGACGTGGATGTTCAGTTTCCAGACTACCTTACGTCATTTGAGACCGCCGTCAGTTCGCCGTCTAGTAGTGGCTACCTGTCGACTCCTGGCCTAGGCAGTGGGCTTGAAGGCTTCGAACAGTTCTCTAGACTGGCTATTGATGGGGATGCTCCTTTGAATATCGCGGGGTGGTTAAAACATTTCCATCCAGACTTCACGCTTCAGGCAATCCCGCCACAAAAGGATCTCCTCGACCAGATACGAGAATCTCTAAGTGCGGAACCGACTCCCATGACGCATCTTAATTCAATACCAGCAGAGTGGCCTACGGAACACTGGGTTGACGTAAGCACCGCCATCATTGCCGATGCGACTAATTTTACTATTAAGCGACTCCGCTATCGCCGTTTAGTGAAGCCTAAAACCTCGCTTGACCGTAGTACAGCCAGTTATCTGTCGCCGCATAGTTTGATAACGCCAGCGCTCTCGCCTTACGAACAGCCCATCAAGGATAAAATCGAAGAAGAGGAGCTTTTTACTTTTGATGAAGCGCTTATCGATGCTGTAGAGAGAGTAATAGCGCACAGTAACGACGCGAGTAAGGGAAGTTCAACCACATCTTCACGATCCGCGAGCAAACGAAGAGAGAGAAGAGGTAGTGAAGCTTCTCGATCGACAGAACAAGAGGCATCAACGTGTCCAATTGACTTTCAGGAAGTACCACGTGCGGAATGCAAAACGGTTGTCTTGTCTGCGCTCTCCGGGATCGTACAGGACGTCGTAGATCAGCGGGAAAGAGAGAACCAGAAAACTGACCCGGCTGTTCCATATGAAATAATTCGCGAAAAGGAGAGCATATTGCGAGCTTCGATTAGGACATGGCTCGACAATGTAGAACTCACTGATGGATAAATTTCTAAGTCAACGGCTTTGCTTGGAGGATAATACCCACACCATTTAATGATAATGACTGATGACGAACTTTTTTTTTTTTTTTTTTTTTTTTTTTTTTTTTTACTTTGCGTTTCGTTTATCTGGAGAGCACGTACCAGGACGAGAGGCGGCGTTGCGAGGGAGAAATGCACAAGAGTTGTACCACCACTAACGGTATTGTTTCCAGGGAAAAGATTAGAAGGCCATATTTTCCGCCAAGAGATACCCCAATAAGTACCTGATTCATGCATTATACTACGCGTCTGTTTCGTTGATACAGTCCTTCCCTTCTGACTTCAACATTCACGTTTAGCGAGGAAGTTCGTGTAGTCAGCATAGGAGTCTGAAATGTTGTTTTGTTGCATTGATGTTTTATCCATAGTTAAGAGTTGTGGCAACGGCAGGCTGATGGACGCCTTTCTAGTCAGAGAGGAGGCCGGTGTATCATATAACGACGGTAGCATTAAAACGCAAAGATGCTACATGATATAATCCATATTGTACGCCAAGCGAATTTGTATTGGCTTTTACATTTTAAATAATCTTCGTGATAAATTCGTAAGATGTTGGATACAACTCTGAGCTTGGCACATAAGATATTTCTAGAGGTAAGTATAAGGTAGGTACTTGATAAGAGATTGGTGCCTATGGTAATAACGGGTTGAAAGGGGTCTACCATTACATGTACTCTGTAACCATGTCTACTGGCAACGATTTGCGCACTCAGAATAGGGAAAATCTAATGGAAAGTTGACTTATGTCTTACCTCACCTACATTCTATTTTTTTTTCTTTTTTGCCCGAGAGATATGCTCGTATTAGAAACCACGTAAATGTGAAGCGACCCCTTTTAAGATTTTTATGATTCCCCTCAGACCTTTTTACCCGGGTTTTACCACGATACATCACCATTTGTTTACCATAGCCCTGACGCTCTCTAATGGGACTTCCACTTCTACCAATTTGGCCTTTTTACCTCCAGGAGGTAGTCCCGGATGAGGGTCTCGCCTCAGAGTCCACACGTTGGTTACGCCCAGGCTAGCTAGGTACTCGAGCGCTCGGCCGTAGTTGGTGCCTACCTGTGCAATGCCGTGGCTGTCGTCCGAGAGCGTGAACCTCCCCCCTAGTCTTAGCCACTCCGCGGCAATCGGCCGCGCGGGGTACGGCTCCGCAAGCCCCTTGCGCAGCGCGCTGCTGTTGCACTCTAGCCACCCGCCGTACTCGGCTACAACCTTCAGGTTGCGACGCACCTTCTCCCAAACACCGGGCCAAGACGTCGGTATGTCGCGTCCCGGGTCCGAAGAAAGGAGCCGCACGAGGTCGAAGTGGCCGACCACGCGCGGGCGGAGCGCGGTGAGCATGGCGTGCTGCTGGTCGTAGTACCGCTCCGCGGCTAGCTCTTCGGTGCCCCCGGCCGAAGCGACGGCCTGCGCGTAGTACGAGGCGTCGTAGTCGATGGGTATCCCGTCGATGTGGTGCAGGCTGCCGACGAAATAATCGACGCTGGGATGAGTGGCGAGCTGCGCAACAATGGACGCGTAGGCGGGCCGGGGCCACTCGCCCTCGAAGCCGATGACGATGTGAATCTGAGAAGCGTACTTGGTCTGCAGGCGCTGGGCCTCCAGCAGGTAAGCCTCGTGGCGGGGGAAGAGCTCTGCGAGGGAGCCTTCGGGGTCGTCGAGCTGTGAGGGTGTTAATTACATGTTTGGGTACCTTAGGTAATAACTAGAAATAGTTCAACTCACTTCCTCGGGATATAAGTCCTCGAGAGCGGTCCGTGGCATATGCTCTGTGAGTCCGATGGTGGTGTAGCCGAGATGGATGGCATGCTTGATGATGTCTTCAAGTTGATCTTTTGCGTGGCCGGGGCAGAACTGGCCCGAGTGGGAATGCATGGTAAAAGCCATGATTAGGTATTGGTATATGTTGATATTGCGATATAAAAAATCTCTTGTGAGTTTTATAATTAAAGATTAATTCGACCCCTCGGGTAACCTAGGTAGGTTACAGGCACGGATTACATTGGGGGTACTGTAGGAGGTAGGTACCTGGTGTGATTTCAGGTACTAGAGATATATAAGGTTTCCTATCTTATCCCCCAGATCCCGGTGGTAAGGAACGGGCTGCCGGGTCGATACCTACATAGTACCTGGTTATCAACTTCCCTCCTTGCCTCCTTGTCTAACGGTACCTAATACTAATTCCGTATAACTTACTAGAAGTACCTCATACGCAGTGCTATGCAATTTCGTATAATACGTAATATGCTTTATAGTGCCTATTATTAGAGGGTTTTCGTAACTTTCATAACTTTTGATTTATATAATGAGGAAATACAGAGAAACTGTTTATCACAAAAATATATATAGGTACCTAGGTACCTATAGTATATTACAGGTAGATACCTTAGGTTAGGTACCTTGATAGATAAGGTCAGCAAAAGAGCAGCACGAACACCTGTTGCTCATAAAAATAACCCAGGTACTTTAACTCATCATACCCCACTAGAAAACTGCTAAAAATGCCAAGCATTCAAGTACCCATGTACCCATGTACCCATGTATCGACCGGGGCTAACTCCTGCTGATGACATCGCGACCATCAGTGGAATTTTTCTGGAACCGCGGAACCGCATCTCTTTTCAGCCTTGTACATTTTTATGTCTTAAAGAGCTTAAACTGCTTGCTTAAACTGCATGATTGACGGCGCATTTATCACCCACCATTTGATATCACCCTCGAAATCTTTGCTTGACATTAATTAATATTGACAAATTACAAACGACCTGTCAACTTCACTACTTCCCGTTCCTTTTTTTTTTTTCTTTTCTTTTCCCCCTAAGGGAAAAACACTCCAATGTCAAGATAGATTTCCAACTTCCAATTGACAATGTTGTTCCCCGAGAGCGACGCGTCTCTTCTAAGAGCATGGATCATAAGGCGCCTGGCTAATACGTATGTTATCCAACCTCGCCTGAACTTTTCCCCTTGAACTTCCCATTGTACCATTGTTACTTACATTCATCTTTTTGTTATTGTTAGATCCGACGCCGATGCAGATGTGCTTGCCGATTACGTTCTCGCCCTCTTGCGACACGATGGCGACGCCGAGTCCATCCGGAAGATGTTTGAGGAAGAAATTCCCGATTTTCTCAGAGAAGGTACGGTTATCCTTGGTCCCGTCATACCTTTAGATAAAAAATATTTCGGACGAAATATCTAATGTACTCTCTAGACGCGGTCGCCTTTACCGACGATGTTTTCCAAGCCGTCAAGTATCGTTCTTATTTACCAGGAGCTCCTCCTGCGCCTCCAAGCAACCGTCAAGTTCTTGCAGCTCCTCCCGTTTCGGCGACCGCCCCCTTACTACATTCATACCAACCCTCTATATCTTATAATGCAGCCCCTACCGCTCCAGCCTTCTCTCAGAACGGTTCACGAAAGCGCGCGTATAATGATCGAGACGATAACGACGTAGACATTATTTTAACGAGCCAGGGAACCCAACCTTACAAGCAACCTCGTAGAGGAGGTAGCCTTTTACAGCGTGGTGGGAGATTCGACGAGCCTTATAAGCCTAGAGACCAAAATGCGTTTGCTAGTCCTTACCCGCCGCCCTCTAGATCCAATGGCCGCTCTGGACTACCACTGCCACCATCTTTCCACCCTTCTACCCATGATCAAGGTATTCCGCCGCCCATAAACCTAGACAGCTTCATGGAAAATATCCAAAGAATGAATCAGCTTGACATTCCTATTCCACAGCTGCCTGACCTTCCTAAACCAGTTTATTCGGGATCTATTCCTCCACCGCGTCGGAGAAGGCAGAAGTGCAGAGACTATGAGACTCGGGGCTATTGCTCGAGAGGTAATAACTGTAAATTCGAGCATGGTTCTGATTCTTTAATGTTACCGCCGCTTCCATCTTCAACAAGCGATGGTAAGTGCCTACCTATACATTCTATCGATATTACTTTGGCCTCTTATTTTGTTTTACATTCTCTAACTCGGTGTAGAATATGATCCAAACAATCCTGTTTTCCCAATGTCGCTCCTAGGAAATCAACACCAGTCACAAACCTTCCAACCCCTAAACTTACCCTCCTTCCCCACGGCGCCCTCTACGAACCATCGCGAGCATAATAAGCCAAGACGGTCGAAGGGTCGGCCGCCTAATACGGCAAGCGGTCCTGTACACGACAAGACAAAAACCGCTATCGTGATCCAGAACATTCCCAGTGGATATTTTACCGAGGAGAAAATCCGTGAATATTTTTCTCAGTTTGGTGACATCACAGATATTTCATTGCAAGGTCCCGATCGCCTGGCGGTGGTTAAATTCGATACTTGGGAAGCCGCTCATGCCGCATGGAGCTCACCAAAGGTGATATTTGATAACCGGTTTGTGAAGGTATTTTGGTATAAGAATGATTCTGAGCCCGGGACGGCTTCAGTAAATGGGAAGGCCGGAAATGGGGTAAAGAACGAAGCTACTGACGGAGATTCGCTTACCAAAGAGGGTACCCCTGCCGAACCATTTGATATGGATGAGTTCATGCGTAAGCAGGAAGAGGCGCAGAAGGCTCACGAAGAAAAGTTGAAGAAGAGACAAGAACTGGAGCGCCAACGCCAAGAACTAGAGGAACGCCAGAAAGAGCTTCGAGCACGGCAACTCGAGGAGAAGCGCAAACTTCAGGCTAAGCTCGCCGGAAAAAATACATCTTCAGAAACTACAGATGACACCATGAAAAAGCCTATCTCACAGACAGAAGCTCTCCGAGCCCAATTGGCAGCTTTAGAAGAGGAAGCCAACGTCCTAGGAATCGATCCAGACGCTGCTCAGGAGGAAGTGCCATGGTATTCTGGAGGTGGTGGCAGAGGTGGCCGAGGCTACCGTGGCCGTGGGCGCTATGTCACCAGAGCTACCAGGGGCGGGTATGGCTACCAAGGTAGAGGAGGCGTAGAAGCCAGACACGCAGCTTATGCAGCGTATTCCTTAGACAACAGGCCCAAGATAATCGCGCTGTCTGGGGTTGACTTCACACATTCAGAGAAGGACGAGGCATTGCGGCAATACCTTTTTGTGAGTTGCAAACATGTCCGCATTTACTATTGATACCTATCTAATTCATTACAGGGCATTGGCGAATTTAAGGAAATCCATACAGATCCAGCTACAACACACATCACATTCAAGGATCGTAAAACGGCAGAGCAGTTCATGATGGGCGTCTCTGCGAATAACACCATCCCTGGACTTGAGGATAAGGTCGAGATTACGTGGGCTACATCTGCACCACAGTCTGAAACGAAAACTGCCACCGACGGAGATGGAGACGGCGACGGCGACGCGCCTATGGCTAGCGGCATAGACGACGAGCAAGGGATAAGAGACAAGACTAGTAGTAATGGGGGTAGCAGTGCAACCGTCGGGCTGGAGGAGGGAGAAGTCAGTAATAGACATGGCCGTGATCAACATGACATGGACTATGAGGCTGGAGATGATTGGGATATTTCCTAAATAGAAGGATGCTAGTCGTGTTCTCGACAGTGCATTCATTTATTGTATAGCTACCTAGTACCTAAGGTATCTAACCTGGTTTTAGAGACATGCTCTGCACCTACGGCAGTTAGTATGTCCTGTTGATATAATCTGTGCCTCTATGGCACAACGACTAATGGCCAAGTCAATATGATGAATCAACGGCCGCAAGCTAAAATACTATATCTCTCTATCATACATCATCACATGCCGAGGATTAACGATATTCTTAAGGTTTATAGGGGCTTAGTCTATTCTTGAAAGTTGAAGGGTTGCTTCAAGTCTCTTGAGTTCAAGTTGTCTTAGTATTACGTAATAACTCATCCTTTCTCACTTATACCCAAGACATCCCTTATTCTGGACGTTTCTCATGGTCTTTCAAGCTTAGTAAAAACAAAGGTACCTATTCATGAAATTACCTGCACGTATTTGTCGTCGGGATTTTACAGGATAGAAGAAACACACATTCCCCAAGCAAACGTACAAGAAACGTCGTAGTAGCCTTGCTGATATGAGCACAGTGGTAATTCCGGAGAACTTGCTTATCATCTTGCCCATATTATTCGATTTGCCACAATCATGCGCGCCGTAAGACGTGCCTTCCTTGAGGTTGCAAGTCCGATAAAGGTATGTCCGTTGTTCTGCTCAATGAGTTGTTGTGTCTCTATGGGAAGGCAACGGCAACGGCAACGGCAACCATCTGCTCCTGCCCAAATAACTTCGCTTGCCCCGCTTTTGTCCGTTGAAAAATACTGTGCGTCAACACATCTAATGCATCTACGCCTTACCCCTTAACGCACACCCCCCTAATAACGAACACTTTATGTCAAAAACAACGCGCATTTAAAGAAATATTAAGTCAACGCCTCCTCTGTTCCTCTGGGCAGTTCATACTGTCCCAGGAGTCTGGAAATGGGTGACTAGGAGAGTCTTAAGCACGGCCCACGACCCACTTCAGACGTTCAGGTTCCTTTCACACACCACCCTAACAAACAAGCAGCTTATACAAATACGCACATCACCTCCTTCCTACGGAAAGATGTAGTAGGTAGGAAGGTAGGTAGGTAGGTATGGGTTGGGAAGGAACCTCCTAGCACAGGAGTAATGTTCCGAAAATGAATCTATATAAATATATGCCTCCTCTACCCCCGTCAGTAGGTTTCTTGAGTTTCTCAAGAAAACAAACTCCTTAACCTAGCTTCTGAATACTTGGCTTCATAACAAGACCATCATTAGCTTATCAATACCTTTCCACAGTAAGATATCTTCGCAAAAATAGTCCCATCTCTTAATATTTTTATATCTTACTTCAACCTCTTACTACCTACCTACCCACCTACCTACCTAGGTATCTTTACAAGGTAGCTAGCTGCTTGACAGAATGGCATTCCAAGTCCCACAGCAACCGGCGCAGCCCTTCCGTTTCGGGTAAGTTGAAAGGACCACTCGTGATAGATAACAGTCGTCGTACGTATTCGCTAAAACCTAACTTCAACAGCGGCGGCCTCAACTACGCGTTCAGATACAGCGCCAACGATGATTCCAGGGACGAAGAACTTGGCGTCACCTGGGACGAGTCCGACGAAGCCGTGGCCCAGGCCCGAGCCAGTCGGCATTATCTTCCAAAGTTCTGGAAGATGATGATTCACATCTTTAAGAGAAGCCCTTCGGATTTGTTCACCTGGGGTCTTCGTATCGGAGAGGACGAAGACGAGATCACTAGGGACCTGTGTGAGCTCCTGACGCACGAGCTATGGAACAAGGACCTGGCGCTCTTCCGGTACTGTCTACAGAAGGCAGTATACCTCCGCGTCAGAAACCACGTCGAGCCATTTGGCTTCTTCCGACCAGAGTTCTTGGAGCCCGTGTTGAAAGTGGAGAAGTGCTTGGTGGACGAGGAGCCCAGAGAGCAGGACGTCGCGATGGCGAACGCGGTTTACGATGCCTGGGTAACAACCGCGAGCCAGATGGAGATATCGGTCGCGCCGTTCATGTGGGAGCTGAAGAACATCATCAAGGGAACCGAAGTGACCGGCACGGAGGAAGAAGAGAAGTTCTTCGTCCTGGAAAAAGTCGACATTTTCAACATGCGCAAAGCCGCGGACTACCTCTGCGACAAGGGGCTGTATAAAATGCGGACGGACATGTACTATGTCTGCTACATCCGCACGTGGTCCAACCAATGGCCGACCCTACAGCCATACAGCACTGAGATGCTGGCGGAGTGCGAGAAAGTGGTGATTCTCAATAGACGCCGGGCCCGCGCGATGGGTCGACCGGATATTCCGGGTAATTGTCACGATGTCTATACGCGCATCCCATACTGGAACAGTGAGAAGTGCGTCGATAGTCGGTACCGGGAGGCCATGCAAGAATATGGCGATTTGTGGACTGTTGGCTCCGCGGAGCAAGTCCAGGAACAGCCTGGCCGGCCTGGTAAGGAAGAAGCAGGTGATGAGATGGAGACTTTTTGATGGCCTGTAGGGGAGATTTAGCTCATCGTACATGGAGGAATTTATCTACCTACCTTAGATAGTGAGTTAATCTTATCCCGAATAGTACGGAGACTACACCAATGGATTGATTCGGCACCTGTCTAGTCTTGAGTCAGTTGCATCACTTGCATTAGTTGCAGTCTATGCTGCATATATGTATCGTATTGGGACAGGATCAATTGAGGGGTTTCCAGCATAGCTGCATAGTACACACTTGGGTTGCATGGCGTTCGTAATTGTCAACTGTTAACCAGGGATCTTCCTAAGAAGGGGTCAATTGATTTCGGAGTTTAGTCTTGGTATCGACCGAAAAACCTGACATGCCGAGGTTCGTAAACGCTAATAGATGAACTTTGTCTTCTTTATTCGCATTTATAATCCCACGGTTGAATGATTTACTAGGAGCTCTTGGTAACATCAGGTCATAATGCTGACGGACGTGTCTTTCACTCACATTGCGGTGGCCAGTGTATTATCACTGGTCCTCACCTCAATCTACTATGTTGTCCAATGGACAAGACATGAAATCAAAATCAGAAAGGTAGGCGGCACACACGCCCCTACTCTTGCGAACAATCCTATCTCAGGTAAGCCAAGTTTCGGAGAGCTGCGAGAAGAAGACGGCCCCATCTTCAATTTTATGGCCACTTCCCTGACGCGCGTATAAAGCGGCGAAGTGGTTCTACGCTGCGGCCAAAGCGCAAAAGAACCATCAACTCCTCAAGCATTTCAATAGCTATTTCGACGCGGCAACTCCGGAGAGTCCGAACTGCGTCGAGGTCCGATTCTTGCCGCGAGAGAGAAATATTATCACTAGGGACCCAGAGCATATCAAGGCAGTACTCACAACCCAATTCTCTGACTTCGGAAAGGGGGAAGAGTTCCATGACCTATGGAAGCCATTCCTTGGTGATTCCATTTTCACAACAGACGGCCAGCTCTGGCATGATAGCCGCAGCATGATCAGGCCGATGTTCATCAAGGACAGGGTTAGCGACTTAGCGACGTTCGAGAGATGGGTATCCGTACTCCTTGACGCGCTTCCTACATCTGGGCAGACGGTGGATATTATGGATTTCTTTTATCGAATGACCCTCGACGTAACCACAGACTTCCTCCTCGGAGCGAGTGTTGATAGTTTGCGCAAGCATGTAAACCCCTCTCGCTGAACGTTTCCTTGTACTAACTTGGCTTAGTCCCAAGGGCGATTTCGTAGAAGCGTTTAACGACGTGCAAAGGATACAGATGATGCTTACGACAGTTGGGTAAGAGCCAATATATACCTCGCGCCTATGGCCATCGCCCATCACCCTGCTGACGCGTTGCTAGACCATTCAAATCCCTGATTTCCCGCCGGGCCTATAACGAAGGGATCAAGAAGATAGAGAAATTCATCATGCCCTATATCGAGCAAGCGATGGCGTTGCCGCAGGAAGAGCTGGAAAAGCTGTCGAACTCCGATAAACACTTTACTTTCCTGCATAGCATTGCGCGCTATACCCGTGACCGCAAGGTACTTCGCGACCAGATCATCGCCGTGCTCCTAGCCGGGCGCGACACAACGGCTGCCACACTGTCATGGGCATTCTACGAACTATCCCACTACCCCAAGAAGTACAGCAGGCTTCGTAACGAAATCCTCAGCGCAGTCGGTCGATCGCAAACTCCTACATACGAGGATCTCAAGAACATGTCGTACCTACGACACACTATAAACGAGACCTTGCGATTGTATCCTGCTGTGCCTTTCAACATACGCTCTGCGTTGGTAGATACGACGCTCCCGGGTACGCTGGGAAATCCGCCTATTGCAGTGGTGAAAGGCGACGTCGTAGTTTATAGCTCCCTCTCGATGCACCGCCGAAAGGATCTATACCCTCCAACGTCGGATAAATTCGAAGATCCTGCCATATTCTCTCCTGAGAGATGGGAGGACTGGACGCCGAGGCCGTGGCAATATTTGCCTTTCAACGGTGGTCCACGTATCTGCGTAGGACGTAAGTAGCACCGAATTGTGCCCCCCACCTTTAACTCCTCAGGGGTCAGAATCACCTGGCCGAGGAGTTCTTATTCCCGAAGCATAATTCACGATCAGACATATTCATATACTAACTTGCTGTTATAGAGAATTTTGCCATTACTGAGATGGCGTACTGCAGTAAGTATTACCTAATCTAGACGAATGAAGAAAGAAAAAAAAGGAGATGCTAATTGACCGACTCCAGTGGTACGAATCCTTCAGAAGTACGAACGCATCGAGTACCGCGGGAATTGGTACGCACAGCAGATCGAAACGGAGATCGTTGGGAAGCCAAACAAAGGTGTAAAGATTGGCTTATACGAAGAGGGCGCAAAGACGGCGGGAAACCCAGAGCCATTCACTGTTTAGGAAGAATTATTCATGCTGAGTACCTATTATGTTGTATGTTGAGTATAAGTTGATAGCATACTCCGCTCCTTAAGGGGTTGTAAGAAGATACTCTTATCGTATGTATGTATATATTATATGCTCTCGGGAAATGATGAGAGCATGTGAGTTTATGAATTTAGGAAATATATTAATATTATGAGATAAGATAAGGAGGGTGTTTGTCTGGGTTAAGTCGGCTTCCTGGTACCTATCGAAGTATTTATTTACTAGTAAGTACGGTTGACCCTTGCAAAAGTTTTGTCCATAGGGAGATCCTTGTCAAGCTGTCAACAGCTGGTTAGCTTGGTCTGCCACTTGATGGCACATGATTTTCTTGTACATCTCAAAGTCTAATTCATTTTCTATTTAAATTCTTAACCAAAGTCTTAAAGAAAAATATCTTAAAAATAATTTAAATAATTCTTTTATTAGTAAATATGAAAGCTCAATTACAATATTTTAAAATATTTTATATATTTAGTAATTACGTTGTAAATATAAAAGGTATATTGGAGTACATAGTACTTTTAAGCTACCACTTGTTGTCAATCCTGGCCAGTGCGTATCGGGGCTGACAGGGGGTTCCCTATGGGCAAAACTTTTGCAAGGGTCATCCGTACGTACCTGAGGCCCCTGGAGCGCGTAAATTGAAACGGGCGCGTCGCGTTTTACTGGGTCTTAGGCACTTTATTTGCTTACCTCCCTGGCCTCCTAGGTAGGGTCTCCATTTTTATCTGGAGCATCCTATAAACCGGAATTAAGCCATGACCATCATCTTCATATATAATATCAGTTATTTAAAGTACAGCTTACCAAAGTCGTACACCCTTAACATGGCCAAATTCCCTTGTAGCTAATATCTAATTTACGCTTTCGTCATATATGCGCTCCCAATTGCACTATGGCGACTGCTCAAACTCCCACCTCTGGCCGACGGAAGCGAAGTCGTCTTGAAGATGAACTAGACTTGTCACCCGCCGTCAAACCTAGCGTAAACGCCTCCGTCAAGAGGCGCCGTATCGACAGTCTTGCAAACGCCTCGCCCTCTACCCCGAAAGGTTTCTCTGCTATTACCTCTGCCATTGGCGGCGCTCTCGGCCTGCTCCGAAAGGGGAACGCGAATGGTAACACTCGCGCCAACCCGATAAAACCAACTACCAATCCCTCCTATGAAGTACCCGAATCTCCAAACCATGATGACGAAGCTACCAAAAAGCTAGAGAACCTTCCCATAAAGCATAAGAAGCTTGGCCTTAGACCCCCAAATAAGAGCCTGCGTCCTCCCAGTAACGTCTATGATGTACCCGATTCGGATGAAGAGGCTAGCGGTGCTGGGGGGCAAGTAGATGAGAGTCCTGATGAGATTCAGGCTTTATCGCCGGTGAAGAAAAGTGTTGTAAGGACACCAATTGCTTCAAAAAAGAAGAGTGTCAGTACGCGCTTATTGGAGTCGCGGAAAAAGAAGCCAGTTGTCCCGGTCCAAGATGAGACTACACAGGCAGATACGCCAAAAAGAAAAGGGAGGACCCTGAGGACTCAGAAGATAGCCGATGCGCCTGTTCCTAGCACGGAGTTAACTCAGATTCAGCTCCCAAGACACAATGCGAATGCGTCGCCCGCTAAGCTACCGCCTATAAAGTCGATACTGTCTCCTCGAAAGAAAAAGATCGGTCGGCCGCGCAAGAATGTCGCGTTCCACGACGGAGAGAGCGGGAAGGAAAACGAGATTTTCTTCGAGGATATCCAGTCGAAACCCACGAAGCCGAAGGCTCAAGAAACGAAGGCCCAAGAAAAGGTCACGAAAGTTGTCACTGGTAAACCATCGCCTGAGAAAGAAGTAAGCGATGTACAAGATAGTGAGGACGACGAGGTATGCGCCATATGTTCCAAGCCGGACTCGGAGCCGCCAAATGAGATCATATTCTGCGAGAACTGTGACATGGCTGTGCACCAAAAGTGCTATGACGTCCCTGTTATTCCGGAAGGCGACTGGATCTGTAGGGATTGCTCCCAGGACGATGTTCTGACGGGTGCGAAAGCGGCACCAAAGAAGCAGAAACGCGTGACAAACGTGTCTCAAGTTCCCAGTATTCCCAATTTCGAGCAACATCTGCGACATATGCAGCGTGTGTTGCTGGATCGCTGTTCAGGAAACCGCTTCCTCAAGCTTTGTGGTCAGAGCGAAGCTTATGACAAGGCTTTCCAGTTAGTAGAACAGACGGTCTTAGCCGGTGAAGGCAATTCGATGATGGTCATCGGTGCGAGGGGGTCCGGCAAGACAACTGTATGCTTTCCCCAACTTTACCTGGAGCGCTAGCTAAAGGGTTGCTAATCAAGTCACTAGTTGATGGAAGAAATCATCTCAAATCTAAGAGCCGAACACCAGGAAGCATTCCATGTAGTTCGCCTAAACGGCTTCATTCACACCGATGATAAGCTAGCTCTTAAAGAGATATGGCGCCAACTCGGCAAGGAAATGAACCTTGAAGATGACCTGATAAATAAGGTATTATTAAAAAGCCTCGCATATCTTAATCTGTGCATAAGCTAACTCTTAGTTCTACCTAGACGAGCAACTACGCCGATACAATGGCTTCGCTGTTGGCTCTCCTATCTCATCCTGCGGAAATCATGGGAGCCGAGGACGGCGTAACATCTAAATCTGTTGTCTTCATCATTGATGAGTTTGATCTGTTTGCAACACACGCGCGCCAAACCCTGTTATACAACTTATTTGATATTGCCCAGGCGAGGAAGGCCCCGATTGCAGTGTTGGGGTTAACTACCAGAATAGATGTGGTAGAGAGTTTGGAGAAGAGGGTGAAGAGTCGATTTAGCCACCGATATGTCTACATGTCTCTTCCGAAGACCTTACAGGCCTACTGGGACGTCTGTAGACAAGGTCTATCTGTAGATGAGGAGGATCTTGAGCGCGAAGGGTTCGACATTGGTCTGGAAGGACTATACGAGTTCCGTGATTATTGGGACAAGAAAATCGAGGTAAGGCGTTACTAGTCCATTTTTGCTTGCAAATGAGCTCTGCTGATACTTTTTTAGACTCTACGTAAGAAGCCGAGTTTCGAGGATCACCTGGAGTATCACTACTATACAACGAAATCCGTACCGGCATTTCTTACTTCATGCATCTTACCACTCTCAATGGTTTCGACTTCCTCACTGGATCTGGCAATACCTTCGTCTTCGTCGATGTGTGTTTCGCTAGCGCCTTCAGAATCGAAACTTCATCTTTTAGCAACACTATCGGATCTTGAGTTGGCACTGCTCATCTCGGCGGCGCGTCTCGATATCGTTGCTCATACCGACACGGTTAATTTTGCCATGGCATATGACGAGTATAGTTCGCAGATGGGCAAGCAACGGGTGCAGTCAGCTTCATCCGGCATGCTGGCCTTGGGGGCAGGCGCGAGGACGTGGGGTCGAGGTGTCGCCGCGGTGGCCTGGGAGCGGCTAGTGTCACTTGGTATACTAATCCCAGCCGGCATAGGCGGCCGGAGTAACGCTGCGCATGGCGGTCTGGAGGGCAAGATGTGGAAGCTCGACGTCGCACTGGACGAAATTCCTACGGCGTGCGAGCTGCCAGGATTCCTTTCCCGATGGTGCACCCAGATATAAAACACTATGAAGCTATTATAAAACCCAGTACATATTAGATGGCACGGGAGGCGTCAGGATCTGGAATTAACGCTTAGCCTATCGGGGGCGAAGACCGCGGCGAACTAGGTGACAGGATATAAATATAAATACATTAGGTCTAGGTACATTTACACCGACTGTTGTGCTGGTCTTTGCAACACTGGTAAAACAAAGAAAGGAGTTGTTCCATTACATAGCCTAACATACCTATTTGGGCTTGTTTAGGATGGAGAGTTGTACGAACCAACCAACCGGGAGACCTTTTGGCGATGGAAGTCCATAAACCCGTTCTATTTTTAGGACGCGAGTAGCGAGAGGCAGTGACAGGGCTACCTTAAGTGCCTACATATAGGTACCAAATAAAAAGTAATACATTGGGTACAGGTAGGTGGCAGTATACCTACCTCCTAGGTATGTGATAAGCCTCAAAGCTCGACTTTTATTTTATTTTGTTTTGTTTTGTTTTTATTTATTTATTTTTCGGCCACAGCCTCATGATATGAGGTAACTAATGCAAGGAGAGGCTACCATGTACAGGAAACGCCAACGACTCATGCAACCCTGTTGATCAGCTAGTGAATAGGACAGGACCAATCAATCGGTCGAACTGCAATCCCTGTTTCGTCTTTATTTCGACCTTGAACAAGTTGTTGTTAGAAGTTCAGTTCAGCTTCTTGTGCAATGAAACAGTTTTTTGGTTTTTTTGCTACATACCTCCTACCTATGCAGTGCGTTCTTTTTCTTACTATTATTATAGGGCTTTTTGAACCATTTCGACTTTAGATGGGGATGTTGAAATATACCAAATAATACCAACTTCATCACTGTTATTATTCATTTACCTTTCTCTTCTTCATTCTTCTCCTAGATTAATCACAACCAACACTGTCGTCGCCGGGCTAGTCAGCTTGCTATTAACAGCTACCTAACCAACCAACTACATGTAACTTGCGAATTCGCTCTGTTCCGTTCTAGTTTCGATCTCGCATATACTCTCCCCTTTTTTTTTTTATCTGAACTACCTAAACAGCTAAACTAAAGCTCACGCGTGATCCTGTTTTCTCGCCAGCCTATTACAAGCAAACGTCGTTCTCCGCCTCAGGGAGTCAGTTGTTCAAGGGGTTTTGCTCCCAGACCGCGCGAGCCGGCTTTTTCATTGGTGTATTTCCATCCCTCTCCATATCTTGGCGCATCCTTCCCTCTAATCCCCCAGCCAGCACTTTGTTAGTGGTACCTAGGTATTCGAGTGGGTTATTACCAAATCCCTTCAACTACCTACTCATCTATTTTCCCTTTTTTTGTTTTTTTTCTTCCAGATCAGCTAGCGAGCGAGCGAGCGAAGGGAGAGAGAGAAGAAGAAAAAGAGAAAGACACCGCGAGTACGTGTATTGGTGTGTGTGTGTGTGTGTGCGTGTGTGTGACGCGCCGCCACCACAATGGCCATGTCGAAACGCAGCACGTTCACGACGATATCGCCGCTGCCGGCGGGGATCAAGTCGCGCGAGGTCGTGGTGGCGTTCCTGCACAACCACGTGGAGATGATCGACCTGAACCCGCTGGTCATCGAGCGGCACCCGATCGACCCGCCCGCGCACGCCCCGGACGAGGAGCGCGGTTGCGCCTGGTGGAGCCTCACCGACAAGATCTCCTACCTGCCGGGAGGCGTCGTCTCCGGGGACGTCACGTACACCGCCGCCTTCCACGACCTGCCCGACGGCATCCAGACCCACGTGTACGCCCCCATGGGCACCGATATCCGCGAGCGCTGGAGCCTCGGCGGCACCCTGCCCGGCGAACCCCCAGAGCCCGTGGAGCTAGGCATCGGCGCGCCGAGGCAGGGGCTTTACCTGAGAGAAGTGAGTTTTGAAGCTATTGCCCCCCTTCCCCTATCTTAAACGCTTAACCCAGTAATCTAGGGGTGGGTACATCTAACTAATCTATGCTTTGGAAGGACGTCGAGCTGAGATGCAACTTCGTCATGTCGTCCTTCATCAAGAGGACGCTGAAGAAAGCCCACGGCGTCCTAGTCGATAGGCTGGTCGCTAGCGCTGCCGCGACGCACCGCCAGAGCGCCGCGGGACCCCAGCGCGTGGATTCAAGCCTCTCGGCGGCGTCTGCTACGGGATATCCTGCCCCTCAGGATTTACAGCCCACGGCGCCGTATCATCACCCGCAGCAACAAAACCAACAACATCAACAACAGCAACAGCAACAGCAGTCATCAAGGCCCGGATCTACCTCGTTCACCCCACCGCCGGGAAGCCACCCGGCGCCGTACGGACATGCCCCGTCGCATAGCGTGGGGAGCAACAGCAGCCATAGCCATAGCCATAACAATAGAAATAGTAACAGCTACGCACCCGAGCCGCTGCGCGTGAACAAGAGCCGGTCGTCCAGCGGACAGTACTATCAGCAGCAGCAGCACCCCCAGGGCTCGGTCTCTCGTCATCATCATCAAGCCGCGCCGGGGGCAGGGAATAGCGGGTTTCCGGCGGAGTTGGAGTAAGGGGGGATATATAAACTGACAACCAACCAACCAACCCAACCTAAAACTTAAGAAGTGCTTTCAAGCCGCATGTATGCATTGGCGTTTTCGGTCTGGTATATTCGTATCTGGGAAATATTTTTCCCTTTTTTTTTCTCGTCGTGTTTGCCTAAGGCAATAATGGGCTGGCAGGTGGGAGCAAAGTCTAGCATTAGGTAGTCTGATATAGGGTGAGATGGAGTGAAGTGAGGTGAGGTGAGGTGAGATGGGATGGGATGGGATGAGTGAGAAGAAGGAAGAAGAGTTTATACCCCTGAGGCTGTAGTCTTCAATATTAGGGATTTCACATAACTGCCTCAGTTTGATTCAATACGCCTGTCTGGTTCAGTGTGCAACTAGATCTATTTAGCCATACATAAAAGTAACGTTCCATAACCAGTACTTTTGTCTCACTTCGTGGGCATGAGAGAATGGCTACTACAGCTCGAAGGCTCGTGACCTCAATCCTTCTATCTATCTACCTCTCTATCCCACCGTGTCATCGCAGGAGCAGACAGGGGCACTATCTTACCACGAGATATATCATGCGAGTCTAAACAGTCAGCCGGTTTGTTTGTCATGGCTCGCAGATACGTATGTATCACGCTCCTTGTCAGCTAGCCTGGCGAGTGGATTATGACCGGTTTCCTCCTATTTTCGTCAACACTCCCTTGCTTTACCACTAAGACACATTGGAAACCTGTTAGAGACTAGAATCTAGATAGGCGCCCGGCACCTGGGGAGTTGGGTAGTAAATAGCGAGGAATGATCGGTACCCATTAGTCCGGAGAACTGCATTGAGGCTATATAGGGAAAGTTATTCTGGCGGTCTCCCTTAAGTGCGCATGACACTGTTCAGGACGCTATTGACTACCTGGGTACCTAACCTATACTATATCCCCAAACGGAGTCAGTAGTGTAGTCATTCTCAGGTATAAAACTGCGAGGATAATGCCCTGTCATATCCATACTCTGGCTCGTAGAATACCTGTCCGAGGGTTACTGTGATGGAGCCCTTCATAGGGTACCTAATGTAGTAATACGTCGAGTTCTTGACAGAAGCTCTTATCTCATAATTATTAGGTATACATCAAGTTGACCATTTGCTTCCTTTCGAGACTATATACAATAGATACGAATCCAGATCTCAACCACACTATAAACTACTCCTATGTCCCATAGCCTTCGATTACACAAGCTTCATTTCTCTCTCAGAGCTAGGAAGGGAGTACAATAGCTTACGAATGTCTACACCGGGCAAGCGGACGAACTGAAGACGACGGACTATACTCGTCTGATTTGTTATCAGAGCAATCAAAACCCATCTACATCGGTTCGTATATACGAACCTCCTCGCTAATCTAACTAAACGTGATAGTTGGTGATAAAAAACTTAGTTATATCGTACATAGAAGCTAACACAACCGAGGGGCAAAAGAGATCTACTACATAGTGTTACGTCCTAATTCCTTTAAGGACTTCTAACTATCCCAAGTCTTCAAAAGTGCGGAATTTATGTGAATGGACTGATGTCGGTTCGATGAGCATCAAGCTGAGTAAATTGACGAGAACACTGTAATAAACTCACAATAGCCAAAAGAACCGGTAACTCCTGTTATCAATTATTACAAGTCAATAGAAGACAAAATGCGGTATATGTGACATTATCTTGTATATCTTAGGTACCTGTTATTAGAATAGAATGGTTCTTTAACCACCACTACCGTCTCCCATCTCACAGAAACTATATTGGCTGTTTTAGATGCACACTCCAGGTAATGCTATGTATCATGAAATATATTAACAATTACATTTCGCATTCGGTAAACCACCGCGCACACTCTACCGGTCCGAAAAGGGCGCAGCAATAGCCACCGGAGACGCCGGAGTAACTCGTCCGAAGTCTCGTACGAGCTTCGGCAAGGCCAACCTCTGTGTTCGTATTTCGAATTTGCGACCTGAGGGCTCGAGCCTTCATCTGGCTCACGACGAGTAGCTATCCTCGTAATGGTCTAATATCCGAAGTTCATACGTCTTTGCGAAAGGCGGAAACACTTGACGATATTCAAGTGATGAAGATCCATACCATATAGGAAGGGAACGCTTATAATCTAAATCGGGGGGACGTCAATGCATACGAAAGATGCTATCGCCAGTGAGACCTGTGAAGTTCACCGCTCCGAGGACGTCAGATTTACATCTACTATGAGGTAGGCAATGCGTCCGCTCGAGCCATGACGGCCTTGCGGCCTCAGCTTCAGTAGACACTGTTCGTTGGGTCTGGACCAGGGAATCGACAAGAGCGGGCCTACGTGGACGAATTCTAAGACACGTCGAGAATCCAGTGGGCCAAATGCAACCACATACATATCCACAGGCTGGTGAGTCCAAGTAGTTATCCTCACCTTTAGAGTTAGCAAGTCGTCGTCGCCACCGCCGTCCGAATTCTACCTCGTTGGATGGTCGAACCTTATTCTAACCAGGTCAGAAACACCAATGGTAAATTGTTCGGTCATCTCCTTGGCTGCTTGGCTAAACGAGGAACCTTAAAGCTCACGCGAGACCCTGTTCCATATGTACTGTGCGGTAGACATTCGTCCCATATAATATCTCCTGAGCTTGGACCAATGTTTGTAGCGTAAAGGTGGTAGCTGGGAGTTCGTGAACTTGCAGCTAATCCTGGAGATATTTCTTCTAGAAGAATTCAGCTGAGTAAATCAGTGGAGATAACCATTGTCGGCCACAACGGTTTCCTGGACGAAACAAGTTGTGAAGTGCACCTACCATGGTATATTACCGGGATTTAACGATGTTTCGCAACTCAGGATTGTCCCTGCGAAAATATGCAAGGGCTCACCTTGTTGACTGGATTGTATTATACAATAGATAGTACAAGGCTCCGAAGCGCTGGGTGGCGCGACCCAAGGGAAGACGATCTGGAGTCAAGGGAGAAGCTAAGAAGGAAACGTAGGGATATATTAGTTGTACGTACGTGCGTAAGTGAGGCACCCCCGATGTAAGAAAGAATACCAGGGGGCTGTCACTGCATCCGCCAACCGCCGCAGAATCTGTGCATGGACCGACCTTGTAGATGGCACTTGGCCATATAATATACTCTTGGCTCAGCCTTCGTAGCGTAGGCGGCTTAAAGAGGTGCGAAACTTACGCGGATAGAAGTTTCACCACGTGGGATACTTACCTACCCGCCTGGAGGACCAGCCGCACGGGAATTTAGGTCTGGGGACTATATAGACAATTTCGGTTTCGGTCTCGGTGCGACGAGCTCATATTGTTTATCAGCACATCTCGAACTAGTGACCTAATAATCCGTTAAGCGATCAGGATATAGACTGGTTCTGATCGCTATACGATACATGCATTAGAAAAATATCCACTGTCCTAGGTAATTCAAGTTGTAAGCAAGTTCAAGGGTTATATTTTACTTAACCGTTTCTAAATATCGCCAAGATAAACGAATATATAGGTACACACTTCATATCTACCTACCAAGGTACTAGAGGTATGTATTGTACCTACCGAGTACTTCGAGTTCCGGGCACGAGGTAGAGAGATAAGCTCCCGTGTCCTACATGACACGTGTGGGATTGACCAAATTCAACTGTTTCGCCTGCTTTTCGACTTGTTCAAGGCCATGCCGAGCCGGGTTATGATACACATGGCTAAACTGAACGTGACTCGCTAAAGACGTGGCTAAGAGCAGATATCTGATAGTGCCGTTTTTGAACAGGGGGATATGAGGGGTTGACGTACGATATCTCAATGGCGGTGAGACGTGGTTGAGATAATACGTAATACCCCTTGTATAATAGTTCGCTATAGTGTACACACAATACGGTATAATTACCTAGGTAAGTATATGATATAATCATGTATATGTGCGTGATATTCGTGTGGTATAGTGGCCCTATTGCTGGTCATCAACATCCACACACTATTGGTACTATTGGTGTAAGCACAAAAGGTGAAACAAACCGTCAAAATCGGTCCACGGGTATCCATCGTGTAACTAGCCTACGGGCATACACTAGGTATTACTACCTTGTATGTAGTAGTGCAAGTCAAGCGGTGTCACAGGGGCACATGGTATATCCCGATCGATATCCGTAACGTCGTGAGAAGTTTCTTATGTCGGCGTATGTAATACGTTAGAAGCAATAGAAATATGATGAGTTATGGCCGATCTGACTAAAGATCTCACGATCGTGGTGGCGATTGGGCGTACTATGTAACGGCCTTTCGTGATGATAACGGAAATGATACTGACGGCGCCGTCCCGTACAGCCCGTCCCATGTTGATACCTACTTAGGCATGGTGAGAAAATATACCTATGCATACCTACCTAACCTAGGTAGTGTACCAGCCCATCACGGTGCAATATGTACGTACTGTGCGTTCTACAATTATGTACTCATTTTAGATGCGCAGCGGTGCGCAGCGCATCATGTGCTCGTAACGTTCGGGGCCGAACCTGCGCTCTGCTTTGACAAGTCTTATTTAATTCTTGCTGGTGCTGGTTCTTCGGGGCTGCACCTGCATATGTTCGTACCGTTTGCACGGCATTGAAGAGATATGGATATCCTACCGAGAACGCCTGAGAATGACCCCTGTGGCTGCTAGATTATTAGCACGGGTTACCCGTCTCTCTGCATATGGCGATGCTAGGCAGGGGCTCGCAGCGACAGCGAGGCACAGACACATGGGATATTGCCGCATGCTGTGTAAAGCCTGATCCGGGGAACACAGACACCCCCCGTCCAACTCAAAGCCCGATTCTGTGCGTCAATGATGTTTACTGATCCATTTCTTAGAAGAGTTGATGCGGCTATCGCCGTACATCGGTAGGGAAGATTTGGCTTTACTTGATGGCTCAAGATGTTTGAAAAATGCCGTGAGCCAGCCGCCCTCAAATAATTACTCGTATTGGAATATGGTTGTTTGCTTTTGCCAAGCTGCCCTCTCTATCCGGTATGAGACTTTTCCTATGCGAAAAATAAAATAAAATAAATAAATAAAATAAGAACCAGCTTAGCAACGGCGTCGCCGCGAGACTATTTCGCCACAAAGTCCTCTTTGACCCACGCCTATTGTTGGCATTCGAATGTAGATAGACCCTCTGGTACTAAAAAGAAGACCGGCGCAAACAATCTTGAGGCGTCGTAGGAAGCCAAACTACATAGCGGTCAGCAGTAGTTAGCTTCAGAAAATTGAGCTGACCTAATCTTATGAGCCTTTAAAGCTCTTCCGTATTAGGAGTTGATACAAGTTGGATATAATAGTGGCACGTAGTAAAATATGCTGACAAGTCCCACGCCAAAATTAGAAACTACCGTGCGTACTTCGAAGGGTTCCGCTAGGAAGAACAAACCCCATCTATCGGTGGCGCTATTAAATGAAAGCCGAATATCTCCGGATGAAAACCCATACAATGATCTCAGATTCGAAGGATTAGCACGCGGCTTTTGCTTTGATGATTGATATCTTAAGATACACAGAAATAGCACCCTGCGTAATGACTACTCAGCTGCATCCTCTGTATTGGTGAGTGGCGGCGACATGAGAAAGTTGAATGAAAGGACTGTTGCAAGATGTAGTCGTAAGTATTATGTATGTGGAAAATATTCTCCGACTGTCGTGACAAGGGAGCCTAGGAGACCCAGTGCACACAGACTTTTGGTAACCCACTGTACATAGTAGTATGATGTCTATCC